TTGTAGAAATTTCGTGACCACAGAAGGATTCATGATCCATTGCATAGGAGGGACAAATGCAGAAAGAGGTAAAGTTATAATTATAACTCTTATCTGAATGCACAAAGTCAGAAGATAAGAAGAGTGAAAATATCAGTAGAAACATTTTAAAAGTCTTTCTACGCTGTAAAAGATGAAGCAACCCCGTTTCCTCTGTCTGCAAGTGAATTATACAAATAATTCAAGGCAAATGCTAAATGGGCGCTTGTTTAATTTCATACTTCAATCTTAGTCTACATTTAAGCATAAACTTCAAATTAATGCAATGGCATTAAAATTAAGTAATAACAAGAAATAAACAGTATTGAACAATGCACAATTATTATATTTTGACCTGACACTCTCTTTGTCTGTGGTTAAATTATTTTATATTCTGTAACTTGTCTTCTATAAGGATGAGTGCTATAACTTAATAAATAATTAAGAATTTAATAAGCTGACATCAAATTCACATGCCTGCTCACGTAAATAATGCATAAAGGAAGGGTTTCATATGCATTAAACGCGCCTTGGAGAAAGTGAGCGATTTGAAGTGTGCATGATTATACACATTCTTCGTCCATGCATTGTTGATTTAAATATTCGTATGGAATTTATTGATTAGAATTTTAGCTGAAAATAATTTGTTAGTACTTTCACTAATTGCGAGAAGAAAAATATATATTTGTATCGTCATCTCAAAAATGATCGAAATTAGAGTTAGCTTAAACTAATATGTATACATTCTGCATGCACATAGTTATTTTATTCCTACAGTTTATTAGGTAATAATTATTAATATAATTACTTGCATTGCACGATATGCTTATTTCATCCAACTCATACGGTCATCACACGCGACCATTAATCAGTTTATTCTTAAAAATAGAGACGCTCTCATGCAATATTTTAAAAGCAGAAATGGAACACGTTTTTCTTTGAGTGCTGGGAGTTGGAAATTTGTAACTATTTATTCAATGAAAGGGTTATGCGCAGTGAGAGATATGGCTCGGATGTGGCGCATCCCTCCAAACCATGGAAAGTCAGCGATTGGCTGTTCGACTTTTTGGCTGCACACTTAAAAATGTAATGGTACATACTATGATATTGAACGGATCGAGATAATGGAGATTGGTTTGCGGCATCATACACACAACCCCAGGGGGAGGATCCAATCAACTTTAGGGGTAAATCGGACCACCCTACCAGGGGGTGTGGTCGGGAAAAAGTAAATTTTTACTAAATGCGAATCTATAGATGAAATACGGTGATATTAAGTATTCCCTCGGTGTGGCACTCCATCCTGGGGGTGTGGTCAGGGGCAACATGAGATTTTACTGAAATTGAATCTGTACATGCAATACAATGAAATAAAGAATTCCTCAGCTGGGGTTGGGGTGAAGTGAGACAATCTATAGATTCGATTTTAGTAAAAATTTACTTTTTCCCGACCACACACCCTGGTAGGGTGGTCCGATTGACCCCAAAAGTTGATTGGATCCTCCCCCTGGGGTCGTATGTATGATGCCGCAAACCAATCTCCATTATCTCGATCCGTTCAATATGTATAAGTATGTACCATTACATTTTTAAGTGTGCAGCCAAAAAGTCGAACAGCCAATCGCTGACTTTCCATGGTTTGGAGGGATGCGCCACATCCGAGCCATATCCCTCACTGGATGCGTCATTAACGACTTTGAAAAACAATGCGTTGTTCAATAATTATCAGTAATTTAGTACTGTTGAGAATTTTAGTTTAAAATACAAGAGCGTCATTCATCTCATTCATGAAGATATGCATGAATTACAATTAAGAAATGTGACTCAAGTATTGCTTGATGTCAATCATCAAGTAATAAATAAATCTTCCCCATTTATTTATAACACACAATCATTTTGAAGAGAAACGGAATAGAATGAAATACCATGGATTATCTTGAAGCTGCGGAAGTTGTCAATAAAATTTGTAACTATTGAATAAAAGGCTTGGGATTTTGAACAACAATGAGTTGCTACTTAATTTATTATAGATGGAAATTTTATCTTCTAAATATTTTTGGAACATAAATGTCAAGTTCTTTATTAACTCATAAAGGAATTTCGTTGAAGAATTATACCATCAGGATGACGAGGAAGACGGTGTGGGAATGAACTGACGGCTTACTGCTGGAAGGTAGTATTGACCAAACCGTTATTACCATTTCTGTAAACAACATAAATATCAAATAAGAATACAAATGAGAATAAAATCAGAGTGAAAGTTGGGGAAAAACGGACCTGCGAAAGATATGGAAGAGAGTATTGTTGTCCTTTACCGTGTCGTAGTAAAATGTTTGATCCGCATATTTGTATCCATGTTCGAGTACAGGAAACCAGCAGCCTTCGCATTTAGGAGTCTTTCCAGCATCGATGTCTTAAATAATAATAAAAATAATAAAATAATACGGTTGAGCCAAATTAATCCAATCTAGGTTATTTTCAGTTACCTTTAAAATATGTTTCCTTAAACAAATCTATGCAAGTTGAACTTCCACTATTGCTAATTCTGCCACATCGCGAATTGTCACAGTACTCCCACACTCTGGTGACCGTTGATGCATTTGTAGCGGGCGCGTGTCATGCAGTGGGGATTTGTCGTGGAAATTTCATAACCACAGTAGGTCTTACGTGGTATTCCAAAGGAGGGACAAATACATAGCGAGGTAAAATTATAACTCTTATTTTCTGAATGCACAAAGTCAGAAGATAAGAAGAGAGAAATTATCATTAGAAACATTTTATCACTACGCTGTGTGAACGATAAATCGGTCCCCTTTCCTCTCTGTACGAAAATAATGCAAATAATTCAAGCCAAATGCTCAAAGTGAACTTGTTTAATTTCATACTTCACTTATAGTTTATATTTGAGCATAAAACAAATATTAATGCATTGACAATAAAATTGAGTAATAACAAGTCTTAACATGAATTAAATAGCGTTAAACAACTTAAAAATTATCAACTCTATATTTTGACTTGACATTCTGAATCTTTGGTTCAATTCTTCTATTTCTGTTTCTTGTCTTCTGGTGCTAAATAAATATTTACGAATTCGATAAGCTGCAACAAATTCACAGCTTAGCACAATGTCATACTTCGTAGGTAACATATAATATGGAACAAAGGAAGAGTTGTGTATAGGTATGCATAAAATGCGGCTGGAGAAAGTGAGCTGTTGTGTTTAGTCATCATGCACTTTTTTATCAACTTGGTGCAAGCATCATTCATTAATTTATTAACGTTGGAGTGGAATTTATTGATTCGAATTCCAATTTACTTTTAATTTAATGTTACTTTTAATTTTAGTGAGAAGAAAACTATTTGGAAATCACATGAGCAACACATTCCATCCTAATTACTTAATTCATTAATTAATCATATTATATTTATCTTTCATTTTTAAGAATACAAGATTTGTGCAGTATTATTTTAAAATCAGCATCCCAATGGAAGACGATTTTGCTGAAGCTGCGGAAGTTGCCAATAAAATTTGTAACTATTGAATGCAAAACTTGCGTCATTAACGACTTTGAGTAACAATGCGTTGTTATTAAAACTATAGATTGGAATTTTAGAGTTCAATTTTACCAATGAATGTCAAGTTATTTGTTAATTCATGGAAGCAATTTTCATTGCACAATTTGCCTTAGGACAAATTTTATGAACAAAATATACAATTACGATCGCTAGGAAGATCGTGTTGGGAACAAATTGAAAGGCCAGCGGAAATGGTGCCTGAAAATGATGGGTCGCTGTCAGTGGGTTACTGACGAAATGTGGTATTGACCCATTCGTTGTTGTCAGTCCTTGAACAGAAATATCAAATAAGGTTGGAAATTAGAATAAAATTGGGGTGAAAGTTAGAGAAAGCGAAATCTCACCTGCGAAAGATATGGAAAAGGGTATCATCGTCCTATCGTAATAAAACATTTTGCCAGAGTATTTGTATCCATCTTTTAGGCTAGGAAACCAGCAGCCTTCGCACTTAGGAGTCTTTCCGGTTTCAATATCTTAAATAAATTTGAGTGATTGACCTAGATAATTAGAGTTACCTTATTATTTATTTATGTACTGAATAAATTTATTCAGTACATCTTTATATTTTAGCTTTCAATTACCTTTAAAATAATCTTCCTTAAACACATCCATGCAACCAGAAGTGAATCTATTGCCGACCGCAACTTTGCCACATCGGGAATTTTCACAATATTTTAACACTGGTAGCCTTGTTAGGACCATTGATGCATTTGTAGAGCGCATGTATCATACAATCTGTATCTATTGTTGAAATTTCGTGACCACAGTACGACTTTCGAGGTACTCCATAAGAGGGGCAGTTGCAAAACGTGGTAAAGTTGTAACTCTTAATTTCTGAATGCACAAAGTCAGAAAATATGAAGAGTAATATGTTTAGATACACTTTCAAAATATTTCTGCAGCGGGAAAAAATAAATGTAACTGGTCTGTAAATAATTAAAAAATGCTAAACTCAAGGCAAAACTGCACTGGACCAATTTCATACCTCAAGCTTAGTCTATAAGAATCAAGTAAAATTTAATGCAATAGCAATAAAATTCAGTCCTACATACAAGTTGTACTTGCAAGAATTAAATAGTGCTGAACAATACAAAATTAATAGCTTTTTAGTTTGACCTGACAGGCTGAATCTTTTGTCAAATTATTTTACAATCTGCTTCTTGTTTTCGGAAGGTGGATGCTAACTAATTAAATAACTAAGAATTCAATAAGCTAACAAAAAATTCACAGCTATACACAATGTCATACAACGTAAGTATTACATAATATGGAACAAAGGAAGAGTTGTAATGAGTAAAATGCGGCTGGAGAAGTGAGGTGTTGTGTTTAGCCATCATGCACTTTTTGATCAACTTCGTACATGCATCATTCATTATTTTGTTAAACGTTCGAGTGGAATTTATTGATTCGAATTCCAATTTACTTTTAATTTTAGTGAGAAGAAAACTATTTGTAAATCACATGAGCAACACATTCCATCACTAATTACTTGATTCATTAATTAATCATATTATATTTATCTTTAATTTTTAACAATACAAAATTTGTGCAATAATATTTTGAAAGCAGCATCGCAATGGAAGACGATTTTGCTGTAGCTGCGGAAGTTGACATTTAATTTACTATGGATGGGAGTTTTATTTTAGCTTTAATTTTAATTTTCTATACATGAATGTCAAGTTATTCATTAACTAGACTAATTCTATTTTTATTAGGATTCACTTTTCTACTCACAATATATAGGATGACATAAACACATTAACTTAGATAAGGAATTTCATTAAACAATTGACCATGGGAAAATTTGCAACAATCGCGATCATGAGGAAGATGGTGAGGAGACGAACTTGAAACATTTGGCGGAAATCCTAACGATGGGTCGCTGTCAGTGGATTATTGACGAAATGTGGTATTGACCCATCCGTTGTTGGTAGTTCTGAAACAAATACTAAGTTAGGATACAAATGAGAATAAAATTACGGTGAAAGGTTGTGGATAAACTGACCTGCGAAAGATATGGAAGAGAGTATCTTTGTCCCTCATCGTGTCGTAGTAAAACGTCTTGTCCGCATATTTATATCCATGTTCGAGTACAGGAAACCAGCAGCCTTCGCATTTTGGAGTCTTTCCGGATGCGATGTCTTAAATTTGCTCAATTAACCTCAAATGAATTTACTCAATATACCTGTTACTTCCAATTACCTCTAAAATATCTTTCCTCGTGCACATCTATGCAAGCAGTAGTTGCTATCTTCCCGTATGGGCCACATCGCGAATTTTTACAATATTGGTTCACTCTGGCGACCTTGTTAGGGCCGTTGATGCACTCGTAGATCGCGTGTGTCATACAGTCCGGATTTGTCGTGGAAATTTCGTGCCCACAGTAGTAGTACTTATCTGGGCTTCCAGAGGAGGGGCAGATGCAGAACGAGGTAAAATTATAACTCGCGCTATCTGAATGCACAGGATCAGAAGATAAGAAGAGAGAAATTATCATTAGGAACATTTTATCGCTCTTTCCACGCTGTAAAAGCTGAATCAATCCCGTTTTCTCTGTCAATAAGAAAATTATAAAAATAACTCAGGGCAAATGCTTAAAGTGTTCCAATTTCATACTTCAGTCTTAGACTACATTTAAGCACAAACTACAAATTAATTCAATACCAATAAAATTCAGCAATAATAAGAAAAATCAAGTTTTAAACAATGCAGGCTTATTAAATTTATGACATATTTTATAGGGCTTTGTGGTCTCTAGTCTTTGGCTTCCTGGCCGCGTATGGCAGTTGGTTGTGTGTGGATGCCGGTAAAGACTATTATACGCATGCCGTACACTTAACACGACATGAGGCAACGGACGTGGCCAATGTACCAATGGCGGCCGTGACCTTGTGTCCGCATTTTATGGTCAAGAAGGAAACACTTTTAGAAGCTATGGGGTACATAAATTATGTTGCATAAGAAGTAGAATGTAGCACTAATATTTATTTTAATGCATCTCATTTAATGGGCCAGACTTTTAATTGAAATCGCATAACTAAATATGTATATTGAAATTCCATAACTTGAATTGGCAACGTTGGAGTGATCCCTATAACTGAATCCATCAGAGACGGATTTTCATAACGTATTATTGATTGTGATGCAAAAAAAACGTTAACTGGTCAAGTAAATAAACCCTTACAAATGAATATTGCGAATTCTGCACTGCAACATTTGTAAATATTTTATGGGAGAATTGCAATAATCCAGAAAGGTTTCACTGTCAGAAATGAAGTCCCCGTCGGGGGACCAAGCACACTAGGACGGTTCACCCTAGGAATGCCAAAATGGCACTACCTATTGCGTAAAATTATTTACGAAAGATTAAAACATTTTCTTAAATATTTACATGTAAATTTTGTAAATTGAATTAAAGCACCGGCAATTCAAGTTATGCGATTTCAATATGTTTCGCAATGTGATTTCAATTAAAAGGCTAGTGGATTAAACATAACCCCATTTAAATATGTACATGAAAAGAATTTGGAGGGGCACCAGAGACCGAGATAGACTCATTAATGGCCAAAACTGGACCCACGAAGACGCAACCAAGCTTATGAGCTTCATATATCACACTTGTCAGTCAGGACTTACCTTCCTTCGGAAATCCAAAATTCTGAAAAGTGAAATTGATGTCGGAGATACTTTTGAGAGACTCGTGAAAATATACGACAACCCGAGTGACAACGCTCTGAAAGACAAAATAATTCCGTTTTTGTCCGAAGTATTAAAATAATGTTTATCTATTTAGTTCTTTATTTTATGCGATATTTAAATGAATATTTTTAAATCAGGGCACAGTTGACTGCACAAAACTAATTCTTGTGTGTTACTGGAATGGAGTTAAGATGGAGGATTGTTCCAAATTGTTCCGCCCGGCGCAGACTGATGTTGGTCAGTGCTGCAGTTTCAACAGGGTTCCGGACTACATTCTTAGAAAGTGAGTGCATTTTTGCAGCATTATAAATTGCACACTTGTACCTTTTAATTTAATCCCCAACTGACAGGAATGACAGTTTCGGAGCATTTAATGGTTCTCCAGTCAACTGGTACGAACAAGGATGACAAAGAAGATGTCGCGTGGACGAAATGGAACATGGATAATGACGAATCTCTAAAGGATAAAAACGCTGAACGAAGTGGTAACGGTGTCCCCAAACGACAACTGCAAGCTGGGCAAGACTACGGCTTATCGATCGTGGTCAGGATGGACAAAGGATCGCAACTTTGCCCACTAACTGATGGGAAAGGATTAATGGTACGATTTAAACTTTGTGAATTGAAAATTTCAGGACAAATGAATGATCTATTTTTCTTAATTTAGTTGAGCATCCAAAATCCTGCTGAACAACCGCAAATCCGAAGATATGGATTTTTGGTCCAACCCAATCATGAGACCACTGTCCAGCTAACGACAAACTTGGTCAAGTCGACGGATAAGATGGAAGGAATGGAAGTGGTAATTTCCTTTACTTAAGAAAATATTAGATTTCAGATCAGAGGTGGTATAATTTTTTTATCCAGGCTGAAAGAAAATGCTATTTGAACACGGATTATGGCGAGTTCAGCAAATCAAAATTTGAATATTTCAAGTACACAGAGGGAAACTGTCAGGAAGCCTGTTTTGCTCACGCAATTCAGGAAAACTGCAAGTGTATTCCTTTGTCCTTGAGTGGTACGTGACAAAAATTCCTAATTTTTTAAGCAATAATAATTATTTTTAATAGCAAAATTATTTTTAAAGCTGGAAATAAAAGTGTCGTTATCTGTGGACCCGAAATGGAGCAATGCATCCGAGAAAATAAAAGTTTGTTTCAACAATAATATAAATCCGTACCACAAATATTGTAAAATACATGTAAAATCCATGTAATCCATCCACGTAAAATACGTACATATTTGCAATTTCAGTTAAAATTGTGGCGACCGGTTTTTCTGAGAAGACTTGCAAATTGAAATGCTACCCGGAATGCAATCGAGTTTCGTATATTGCGGAGAGGTCGTCCGTGCCATACGATGACTTTGTTGATGAAACAGCAAAAAAAAATCTTGGCATTCCGTAAGTTTTAAGTAAACACGAATGTACTAAGAATTACATGGATTTTTGAGTGATTCAATTTTTATCGTAAATTTACTTGAGCAGGGAGGATGAGGAATTCACCACGATTCATGTTTACCAAAAGTATGACGACATCGATACCGAAGAAGCGCAGGGTCTGCGCATCTTCATCATCTTTATTGGTAGGTGTTTCAAAATATGTACTTAAATAATCCAGTCTGGATAAGCAAGATGACAAATTTCTTTAATTTTTAATTTTTCAGGGACAATCGGTGGAATTCTCGGATTGACGAGTGGATTCAACTTGATGACGCCATTCAATCTGGCGAAGGGAATTTTGCACATCGTTCTCTCATATCTCATGAAGATTCCAGGCTTTAAGAAATTTTACGAATCAATTTTTGGACCATTTTCAGAAATTACAGCAAGCGAAAATGTTGATCCCAGCGCGACTCCTCCGATACCTGAGAGTCCATTGAGTGAGCATGATGACCACGCCAATGATAATGACGCAGCAAATGGATCGGAGCAACCAGGGGGCGAAAATGAGACCACAAATAATGACGACGACACGACCAGCCAAGTCCAACAAGATCCCGTCGTCCCATTCGATGCACCGACACCATCCCCACCGAGGTCCGCTCATCGACGACAAATTTCATCTGCTCCCGCGGCTGGACGATCTGGATCTGGAAGATTCCCATCCTTCAAGAGAATGCTAAACAGCATTAGGAGACGAAAAACTCTCGATTCTGGCGATGACCCACGTGACATGATCCCACTCGTACCACTCGTACGATCAGAGACCACCAGCACCATCGTCCCACCAGCTACACCCTCTCCAGGCTTCGAAATGGAGGAGTTGGGACCACTCGAATCTGAAGTGTTGCCACCCATCAAGAAAGATTCTGCATCTGGATCATCATCACCCGACGCTGACAATGACTTGACTCCACCACCGAAGCCGAGGAAACCAATGGCACCATGGACTTTGAAGCGGTATTCTTGGCGCAAGAAGGTCAAGCCGATCAATGACCCTACAACATCGGAGTCATCCACGACGCCAGCCGCCCTTCTTCCCATGATTGATGATGCACCGGCTCCTGAGCCCATAATTCCGGAACGGCAACAGCTTGAAGAGGTCGTCATTGTGCCAAGGACCGCACCCCCGTCGCCCGTCCTCTTCATCCCCCCAGTTCCGGCCACCCTACACGACTCCCAAATTCCACCCCAAGCTGTGGAAGGGGCCGAGGAAGGATCTTCGACTTCTTCTGATGAGATTGTACCACTCCCAACGCCACGTTATAAATTCCCATCTCCACCACGCACTCCCAAAATCTCGTCCAGCTCCTCCGCCGACTCCATCGACTGGGATGAATATTTGTAAAATTGTGAATAAAATTTTGCATTTTGGATTTATAAATCGTATTTAAAAGAATGACAGTAATTGCTAATCTGTAAATAATCCGTTCTTAAATTATATACAGCTTCTAAACGATATGCAATAATGTTAACAGCTAAAATTATTTGATAGAATATATTCATTGTACATATATGTAAATAGAGAGTTAAGAAGTGTCATATTATTAGACGAGGAGATTGTGAATGAAATTGGAGCTTTATCGTACAAAAGTTTATAAACGTGCTCAAAATTATGCCCAATGATCTCAAAACTTATTTACCGATTGTGATCTCAAACCTGCCCTTTTTGCACAAAAAATATACTTAAAAGAATGACTGCAAAAATCTGTTCTTAAACTATAGAGCTTCTAAATAACTTGCAAAAATGTTAATGACTAAAATTATTTGCTAATTGTGCATATTAAGGAAGTAATTGTATATGCATTCATAGGGAACTTAGGTAAGAATTGCACATATTTATTACATATATTAGACCAAGGAGATTGTGCGAAAAATTGGAGTTTTTATCGCACAATGTTTTGCGAAGTTTCGCAAAAAATATCTGTATTCCCAATGATCTTGAAACCTATTTATCGATTGTGATCACTAACCTATACCCTTTTTGGATAGCAAAATTATATTTAAAAAATTACTGCAATTGCCATTCTGTAAATAATAGCTTCTTAAATTATAGAGCTTCTAAATGATATGGAATACTGTTAATGACTAAAATTATTTGGTGATTATATTTACATATAGGTATGTATACATATTAATTGTATGTAATTGTAAGTTTAAGAGTTGTACATATTTATTACAGATATTAGACGAATGAGATTGCGAGTGAAATGGCCCATGGGAGCTTTTCTCGCACAATATTTTATGAAATTGCTCAAGGTTACCCAATGAATTGATCTTAAACCCGATTGTGATCTCTAACCTGCTCTTTTTGCACAGAATAATGAGGATGTACATATGCACATAAATTCAATCGCTGTGAAAGATTAAGGATTAGCAAAATATGTGTATGGTGTATATATGTATAAAATAGATTGTTGGACAATTTGCACAAAAAAATTGCACAATGTAAATATATCCACCATTTGCATTTTATTAGAGTTAAATCCTTGCAGGATGAAAATCCAAATTTAGTCAATTAATGACATATGTATAATTAGTCGCTTGTTTATAAGTAATAATTTTATGGAATAACTGTAAGAAGAATGTGGACAATTTAAAATTGAGATTGAATTGAAAGTGCCAAAGAGCAACAAGACGATGAGCTGTGTACATATTAAATATTCAGAATTTTAGATTTTACTTAAACCATAAAAGTTATAACACGCTTAACAAGTAGGAATTACGGTAGTTTGATAATAAATATATAAAACTAAAATTGTGATCATGTCATTTAATGATTGCATATGTACAATTTTCAGAGAAACAAGATATCAAGTTGACATGATTAAACTCCGTATTATCGAGCTTTATAAATATGTACATAAATAGCTTATAGTCAGAAAATTCTAGTCTAATTGACATATAGTTTTAATTGATACACCACTTACATATAACTAAAAATTAATAAGATTTACCTAATACTGTAAATGGTGTCACTGTTAAAGAAAGTAGATACCTAATTGTATGTAAGTATATTATTCTCTGCCATTAATAAGGATTACAAAGTGGTCGGCAATAATTTTGATGACCGATATTTTAAAGTTTGATGCAGCTCACTTTAATTACACACGTAGTTAAATATGTATATACATTGGCCTGTTTGACTGTTATTGGTCGGCTTTTACCGACATTCTTCAATTATGAAGTCCCCTGGTCTCAAAATAAGGCTTGCAGTATTAACAAAACCGGAAGTTGGTGGTGATGACTTGTGAAGCTGGCGTCTGTCCGTGGAGATTTGAACCAATTTCAAGATTAGAAACCTACAAAGCGTAGTTCGAGATCACCACTCTTTAATTATAGAACGCACGTATTGTTATTTAAAAAAAATGAAAAAAATGAAAAAAATGAAATAATGAATTATTTAAAAATACGTATTAAGAAGTGTAACAATTAGGCTCCAATAACGTTATTAAAAAAAGTAGAAAGTGTTTGTAGTTGTAAAAGTAGAAATATGCCAAATTGTCATGAAATGAAATTCCATTTTAGTCTTTGTGTCAAGATGGTGTCAAGAGTGTGAATTTGTTAGTAAAACCCTGCTAGATATTAATTTTTACCAATATGCAACATTACCAAAACCGGAAGTTGATGGAGGATGACTTGTGGAGCACAATTCTGTCGGGGGAGATTTTAACAATTTCAAGATTAGAAACCAACAAAGCACAGTTCGAGATGATCACTCTTTAATTATTTAATTAACCAATTAATTAATTCCTTATAAAATATGCAATAAGAAGTGTAACAATTAGGTTCCAAATTCCAATATGTAGAAATATGTCAAACTTTCAAGAAATTGCACTTTAATGTTTGTCAAGAGTGTCAATTTATCTTAAAGCCAGCCAGAGTTTAATCTTTACCAATATGCACAAAAATTAAGTAGGATTACTTATGCACTCATATTTTTAATTTGTTGTTCAAAATATGAATTACTTTCAATCGAAATTATGTGTGCCTGAATTTCGTTTTTATCAGCAATGATTAATCTTTATGAAATAGTAACTCGTCACATTCTGGAAATCACTTATAGAAATTATATTATCTATAACACTTTGCTCCACATTTATGAAGCTTAATATTTAGAAACTTATCTAACTAATTACTTATCTAACTGCAGGATAAATAAGTTAACCATTTAAAAATATGCATTCACAAACAAGTTTATTTTGTAGTTAGTTTTGCACAAAAGAAAGTACTTCATTTTTGTCTCTGTCGTATGATTTAGTCTTGTTTTATTGACATCGTTAATAAGTAAGCAATCTGCAAATCCAATAATTCACACATTTATTAAATATTAGCGAGATTAGTGAGTGATCACATCTATTATATCTATAATATCTAACTTTATTACTGCACTTATGCTTAAATAAAAAATAAATAAAAAAATGTACACAAATTATATCACGTAATGCAATTTATGTAAATAAAAACTTTGCAAATGTATATAAACTTGGCACGAAATCATTTAGCAGCAGACTAGATAACTTTGTAATGATTACTTTTATCGATAATTAATCACAATTATTTGAGTAGTGCAATATTTTCAGTTCTACATCTCATTCAGGAAACACACTTACCAAATTGAGACAATAAAATCATGCATACAATTTCTTCTGCATAATAAAATAATTAATTTTAGTAGATTTTGAGTTGAATTTTAATATTTTAGGTCAAATTTTATAAATATAAATTTGATAGCGCTAATTTTCTCAGCAAAAATGGAGTCCATGTCATTATTCTGGACAAGACGGGCGGCCAACATGACCATCCAGAGGACCTAAAATTGGGAATGCAGATTTATGGAAATCTGGGAGTCCTTAAGTCAACGGCAGCAAGGAGTCTGTATAGCAAATGTGACAGTGCATGCATTCTTGTCTGCTTCAAATTGGCGACAATGAAGTAGTGGCAGCCGAAATTAATGAGTTGGGTTTGGGCAAACCAATTTTTTATCTAAAATTCACACGAACATGCAATTTTACATTTAGCATCATTGGCACAAATTTTCGATTTATATTTCCAGTGTCACAAAATTTCACTTTAATAATTGCTGGTAAATTAATAATTTGTTTAGTCAACCTGAGGACAAACAAATGGCAAGCATGATTTGAAAACTAGTGTCATATAATTTCATCCGTGAACTTTTATACATAAACCTTTGTTATGTTCATGTGCTCTCTGAGCTGCATTTCATGCATCAACTTTTTCATCTGAACTTTCTCCAGTCTAGGATCCGTCCCTCTTCTCCCACATCTTTCGATCTCGACTCCCAAATGTCAGTGTAAATAAGCAAAAGTTTCTACTGCTAAAGTGTTTATGCGTATGGATCAATTTCATCACAATAATTTGTACTCTATATATGTCTGAACGTAGATCGAAATGTGAAATTACTTCATATGTTAAAAATTCTCAAATAAAATATGTAACAACGCATTGGTGAAAGAAGATCGTTAGCGAAATGTAGCTTTGTATTGGGCAAATACATACTAATGGGTAGTTTTGTAAACATGGACACAGGGTCACAGCCGCAATCGGCAATTAACCACATCCGTTGACGTGGAATAAATAAAATGCTGAGAATAAGTCATTTGCAGCATCGTGAAATAAGTAGCAACCATACATACGCAAGCTTAAATGTACGACAGAGACTATAAAGACCTATAAAATGTGTCATAATTTTAATACATTTTCATTGTTCAAATTCAAGCTTGTACTGCTGTCCTATGTTTATTGCATTAATTAATTTGGAATTTATGCCTAACTAAAGCGGATCGAAGAATGAAGTCAAATCAGTGTACGCTTAAGCATTTGCCTTGAATATTTGTGTAACCCGTATGAAAATTGACCATCAGAAAATTGGCACAGGTTTCTGTAATAATTTCTAAGTTGACACAATCTCTTCAATTTCGATCAAGTTTTTTTTCAGCATGATTGCAATTTTGGAAATTTTCTAGAAATGTCCCCCTATTTTTAAAAGGATAAGTCAATTTTGTCAGAGTTGGGAGCCTTTTACGATTTTTAGGAATTTATGAGTGGTATATTTTTTATCAGTTGATCTATGTTTAATTTAGGCACGGTTATTATTCTTAATAAAATATCTTGCAATATATTATTCTGTGCAATTAATTAGGTACAAATTTTCTGTCTTCGACGATTCTGCACGTACAGAAAATTTTTCCGGCAAAAATTATTATTTTTGCAGAAAAATAGACCAGTTTTCGGCAGGTCGATTCTCATACGGGAATTGCTACAGGAAACCCCTACGGAGAAAGATTGCTAAAATGCATCTAATCACTATCCTTTCTCTCTTCTTACCACTTTCTGCCTGTGTAAATTTAGTAAATAATCCTCAATGCCTGTGTCCCTTTCAGGGGAAAAGAAAGAGTAAGCTTTACTGCGGTTTCGAAATTTCTAACGACACGTGCATGTATCATACGGCGTATGACTGTACGGGCCTAAAACAACTTCCTAACACGCTCGCCCCAGTGCTTACATATTGCTCAAATTCGCGATGTGGGAAACTCAGAATACAGTCAGGATTTAATACACAACCCTCCATCGGTTGCCTTGATCTGGATACGGAAGAGTATTTTAAAGGTAATGCAATAACCACTGTAATCACCATTGGCGGCGGGGGGAAGGGGGACAAGGGGCCATTGTCCCCCAGGGTTTCAGGAAAATCGTTAATAGGCTCCTCTTTCAATCACACAATGTCCCCCCTACTTCCGCCGCCACTGGTAACCACAGTTGACAAGGACTTGTGCGTGTCACCTCATTTGCATAAATCTCAAAATATGCAAATGAGGTGAAGGGCACAAATAATACTTGGGCACTATGAATGATGCCATAAATTCCATTTTTTGACATGATCTAGTAGGGTCACCTCATGCATAAAATTGAAGGTATTAATGAGTGGATCATTTCTAAGTACATACAAATTTCCAACTTTCCAACTCAAAATATGTGAGGAAATATAAAAACATGCACAAGAAACGCATTAAAAACAAATTTTTTTGCGTATATTTCGATTTTTCTTAACAAATTTGAGTAGGATAGTTGGAAATTTACTCATCCACCTTCAATTTGATATATGTATGAGTCGACCCTAGATCATTCATTTCAAGAAATGCTGGTAATAACATATTTAGATTGCTAAAAGCAAATTAGGCTCAAATAAATACATTTGCTAATTTTTTAAGACATGGAATCTGGGAAGGCTCCTAAATGCGAAGGGTGTTGGTTCACTTCGGTTAAAGATGGGTACAAATATGCGGACAATTTCTTTTACCACGATTCGTTAGATGGTTTCTACACCGTGTACAAGTACGTTTTTTCTACGACTTTCACCCTAAAATTTGTCTCAATTGTGTTCTCATTTAAGTAATGATTTGTTCCAGAAATGACAAGAATCAATGGGTCAACTCCACTTTCTTCAAACTACCTGGCCTAGCCTAGTAAGGCAGGATTTGCTTGCATGCAACATTACGCAATTTCTCCCAAATGTACCAATTTTTCAATGACATTCCTTAATTGTTCTGAATAACATGCCTATTCAAATTGAATTCTTAACTCTGTACGCATAATAAATTATTTAACAATGCATAGTTTTTGAAAGTCGTTTATGAATGACAAATCTACGCTTTCATTAACCCCTTCCATGATGTGACGTTCTTCAGAATGGATATTTTGACGCTGGCTGTGGACGTTCTATTCAAATTTAATTTTCAATTGTAATACCAGTGCGTTGTTGAATTGAACTACAGTTTTATTATACTAAATGTATGTATATGAGCCTGAGATACAGGAAAATATGACTGATTCTATGATAAGTTACCTGGTAGTGTCCTGTTAAAATTGTAATGATTATATTACTTCTGAATTTAGCATAATTTTGGTTCAACAATTTCACCATAAAATTATTCTTGTTAGCGGGTTGACTGATGTAAATATCTCATGCACATTGGGAGATCGTGTCTGTTGCAAATTTCATATTAATTAAATTTTCAATTGATTGTCACTAGTTTGGTCAAAATCGGAGAGTATACGCTGGGAGACATCCACTGTTAGTTTTGGAAGTTTTGTTTATACGAAACGTTTGGATATTTTTGCTTTTAGCTAAGTAAAAGTCGTAGAAAGTATGAACTTTCACTAAAAAGTGAAAGCGTTTTCTAAATTTGTATTCATATTAAGATGACATTTTATATTTTTGAAATTAGTGAAATTTTACGTTTACTAATTTTTATTCATAACACCCATTATACATATTTACAATCATGTCACTAAAATTTAAGCAAACCCATTTCCTACCTTAAAATCTTAACTAAATACCATAATGCACTAATTTAACAACCTCTTAATTAACGCTGAGACAAAAATGGGCAAAAAATATTGCGAAAAAAGAGATAATTATGAACTAGAACTTGGCAACATTTTCATCCCCCAAAAAAATTCTCCCTCATCTCATCTAGTTCTTCAACTCCCGATCAACTGCACTTTTGCCCACTCTCCGAGAAACCCGTCCGACATTGGCGACGGGGGAGGAGGTTGTGGTGGCGAGGGGAAGAGTGACAACGGTCTCGAGGACGAGGACGGTCCCAAGTAAAACGTCGCCATGGTGTCGTTCAGCAGAGGAGGTGGGACGGAACGGGACGTTTCCACCTCGACCCCATTTTTGCTGGAAACCACCACCGTTCCAGGACTGCTGTTGGACACGACGTAATTTATGCTGGAGGTAATGTTACGGTTCTTTTTCGATTTTGGTTTCGCTTTTCCTTTCCGATTCCCAAAGTCTTGCTTGTTCTTGTTCTTGTTCCGTTTATTGGACTTGTTGGGTTTGTCGTTGGTTTCGTAGTCGAAGTCATCATCGTTGGCGTCGGAGCCAAGGTCATCGGTAATGTCGTCCCTGCAGAGAGAAATCAAATTTGAGTTATTTTTGCTACAAAGTGGGACACTTTCATGCAAAATTGTAGCATTTTTATAAAAATTTGCACTTGTCATGTCATGCAAAAAGGTTTGTATTTTTGCATGCACTTTTCATGCAAAAAGTCGTTAATGAGAGATTTACGTTATTTTTGGTAAACAAAATGGACCAATGTTCAATAAAATTTAGCATTTTTTCATGCAAAAAATATATGTCACCCACCTGTACACAATATTCGGGCCGATCTTATCCTTATCCTTCGTACCCCCATAACCCGACAACTTATCCACAATTCCGCCATAATCACCCCTCACGATTTTAACCACGTCGCCATACACGCCCTTAATTTCTGTCCACAAATCAGAATCTGCTGTCGGATCGGAGTTGTAATCATCTGACGGCGCAGGCTTCTTCTTGTTTCCAAAAAGCGACGCGAGGGTGGAAGACCCAGACGACGACGATGTGCTCGTCTGATCGTCATACTCGAGATTTTCATCCTAAACAAAATAAGCGAGATGAATTATTGATGATAACCACCTTATCATTCATTTGAATATTATTGCTTCGTGTACCTGGAGATCATTCCTTATCTTGCCATTTCGCCCCATATTGCTCAACAAGGTCGGAATCAGAAACGCCGAGATCGCCGAGAGGGCGATAAGTCCGCCCAAAATCCAGTAAGTGTTTAACCACCCTTCATTCGAATTGGGTGCATAGCTGCTGTACTCGGGCTGACTGTCTGCCGCGGCAAAAGGGTGGTGAAACTTGTCGTCGTACCCACCCGCATAAATCTGCTCGCCATTATGACCAATAATCGGAGATGAAGATTTACCCGGGTAGTTACCATTATTCTCTTGGTATTCCTCCGGTCCTCCCCCGTCGACATATCCGGTATCACTTTGCGCATAATTATCTCCCGGGTACAGCGGTTGTCCCCGTTCATTCGAGGCCGGTCCGAATTGTGAGGATCTGACCGGGTAGAAATTATAATAAGCGGGATTCACCTCGGATTCAGAATTCCCGTTTAAATCATCCGGATGCGTCAGGATCCGATCAGATTTTCGGGTCGGGGTAAATTTATTGTTATTTCTGGTAAAGTCGTCTTCCTGACTCCTGCTTGGAATTGGGGTTGGTCTGTCGCGATGATCACGGTAATCGTTGCTATCCTCAAGATTGTCTGGGGGTGGATAAGGTCTCGGATCTCGGTCCAAGTCGGTAATCGCCTCCTCCGAAATGGGACGTCTTTTCCGCTTGTATCCGTTCACATCTTTGCTTCCCCCTTTCCCCTTTTGTGGTCGGCGCATGGGTCGGATAAAACTGGGCGGCTCGTCATTACTATTAGTGTCCCGTTTCGTGTCGTAATTTCGTATCGTGGAGGTGAAGAAGTCTTGATCAGGGTCGACAAACACGGGCGGTGATACACCCACCTTATCGGTCGGGCTGGGTCGAAAGTTTTTCCGCTTATCGGAACCCACTTCCTGCGAGCGGACCCCGTTCTCGTCGTATCGTCGCTTATCTTGGCCATGCATAAAAACCAAGTTTTCCGTCGAACTCTCCCTCAACGGTTCTCTCGGTCGTGTTTTTGGGGGTCGTGGTCGCAATAGATTGAACGGTGGTTCGTCCTCCTCTAAATCCCCGGCAGATTCTGATCCTCCCCCCAATTTGAGAAATGTATCGGAAGGGAGCTGTAAATCACCGCTGGAATCGAATTGCGTCCCCTCCATGGAAATTGGTCGCACGGGGGGATAAGTGTAATCTTTCGGTCTTGGCCTAGGAATCCAGCCGGGTGTCGTGACCTCCGAAATTTTTCCGGGAGGCTCATTCTCTCCCGATCCTGATGGTTTTTTCACGACGGTCACATAAGTTTCGGAACTGTCCGCGAGAAGATCTTCCATTTGGTCGATGGAGGTGAAATTCTTCTCCAACTCCCAATCGTATAAGCGATGGTTGCGCAGATTTGGGTCTGTAATGTGGGCAAAGGGTTGAAGAGAGGATGTCGGTCCGGGGAGGTGGGGTTGCTGTTCGGGTCGTGGCGCGGTTTCGGGCGGTGGAAGTGTCGTCGTGGTATGTGTTGTGCGTGTTTGATTACTTGGTTTACTAAATTTTGACGAGAATCTGTTCCTCACGCCGCGATGGGGTTTTCCCTTCGGGGGGAGAGAGGGGGACCAGATGTTGTCGGCGTCGTTTACCTGCGGTGCCGGTGGTGGTGGTGGTGGAATTTCTGGTTTATTGTTATTTTTATTTCCGAAAATATTCAAATGAGAAGGTAAAAATCCGTTGTTTATAATGTCCAGCAGAGCGGGGTCGAAACGACCTTGTTTTGGTTTTAAACGAGCGAGCAGTTCATTCAGCTCGACGGGATCGGGTGGCGCGTCACCCGGAGAGAAAGCAAAACCTCGCGTTTTTAAAAAGTTTTGTAAACTTTCCGAACTCCCGGATGAGATGAGGGAAGCAAGCGGAGATTGTTGCAGTTTTTCGGGTGGGAGGGGTGGCAATTCGGGTTCCGGAGTGGAGGGTGGGTTTGGATCTAGTGACACAGTTTCCGTCGACGAAGATGAATTTATCGTGGGAAGCGGTGATGTAGATAAATTCGTTTCATGGTCGTGAGTCGTGGACACACTTAAGACCAAATTCGACTCCGTTGTCGCATTCGCCACTTCCGGAATTGGTCTACTCGTAGTTTCATTACTCACGGAATCATCACCCCCACTAAAATCACTACCACTGCTTTCACCACTACTGTCACTAAATACAACGACCACATCGCTCCCCCCTTCTCTTCCACTGGTCACATTCACATCACCTTCCTGTCCCAAAATTGGGGGAATTGTCCTTATCAAGAGGAACAAGATGGTCACAAGTTTTTTCGAGTCCATTCTCCTCCTCGTCATGTCACTCCCGTCGTCCCTCATTTTACTAATATTCACAAAAATTCAACTCATCATGCACCCACAAATTGCAAATCTATCCCAATTTTCACATCACAATAATAACCACACCTCACTAAAAATCCCCACAAAATCAACAATACCCACGCCACTCCGTTTGCACTGCACTGATCTCTCAAAGTCAACGTCTTGGTGAAAACTGCCTTTGCAATCCACCGTCTCTTATTCTTCCTCGCAATAATAGTCCACACTACTTTGCGCGATTGTTCTGATTAAGACGTCTTCCTTTATTTTTTTCTAGGTGCACCTTACCGAGAGAGTGACCGAACCACCTACATTTCGAACCAACGTATGTATTTACCTCCGTACCGGTGCATGCATTCAAATTAAACGTACAAAAGGTACGTATGTAACTTAACTATTTCTTTAAAAAAGTATGTATAAAAGCCACCCGCAGCATTAAGTAAGGCAGCTGCGTGAAGATGAATCTCTTCGCATGCACTTCCTGCCATGAAATGAATTTCGTCTTCGTCTCGTTGTACATAAAGCAAATTCTAAAACCATGAACTTGATGGGATGCCTTTTGTTTTGTGGTGAGCATTCGGTGGTATGGTGGCATGGTTATCTTGGCTTGGGTTGGGTTGCGTATCGTATACTTAGGCATCATTTTATTTCTTCTAGTGAATAAAAAAAGTCTGCAAATAAAACAAACAAGATTTACGATGAGAGATGAGATGAAATGAAAGGAGGTGGGATTCACAGAAGAGATGAGGAGTTACGTTATAGATTAAGTTTAGGTATCAATGTGGAGTCATTCGGTAAATTAAATTCTGTAAAAATACTTAATCTACTCATGGTAAGAAGATAGATGTTTGTGAAAAATAAGTCTCAATTTAGCGCAGTTTATTTACGAGGGGATTTTATTGTCGTTAGATTTTTATTGTTTGTGTATGTATTACATTACTGAATTACGTACCTCTCAGAACTGGGGGCGACATTGTGGGGAGTGGATATAAGATAAGCTTGATAGCATTGCAAGGATGGGAAAAATCAGTATTTTCTTAGGTAGAGGACAAAATAATGTCCCCAGAGAGTTCCGTGGTGCCTGCAGGTTTACACCGTGTTATGTATTTATCTGTAGTTAAATAGGTAAAAAGACACTATAAGCTCTCAGAATTGCAATGAAAAAGCCAAGTGTGGTCTGGTGTTTATGGATGCGTCAAAATCTAGGAATTTTTTTAGTCCGTCTTTTGGCACTAATTTTACATGTGTATTATTATCACAAATTAATTTGTCATTTCATTTACATTTATTGCTTTCTCCACTATTAACTTTTTAGTGCGGATTAAAAAATTTACTTATGTGTACATATTTCTAACCTATGTATTTATTTATTTTGATGATGTCAGAAAAAGTGAAATGTACAAAAAAGAACAGGGAAAACAGACGTCATTAATTTGTAAGATGTTTATAAATACAAATCTCCTTCGACCATCTCGTGTAGAATTATGTTACGCAATTTGAGATTCGAGTAGATGATGAGCACGTGCAATTTAATTACTCTATTTATACCTACTCATTCATTTTTCACAGATAGAAATAAATATCATCAGGTAAAGAAGATCCGTTATACGCTTAACCGTAAAAAAACATGCAATATAATTATAGAATATTCATACTCTTTCACAAACAAAACTAAAATCCTAGTTTAGGAATCCTAAGTGAGAATTAGTAATAATTATTGAAAATATTACATCTTCTGCTACTTAAACTCATGACATTTTTCTCGAAATCCATCCAGCGACGTGTTGACTTGACATATCGTTTTTAATTAAACCATAAAACCATATTTTAGAACAAGAATTACAAAAAAAATATCCGTAAAATCGAGATTCAATGCTACACCCCTCACTCAATCGAGGTTTAGTAAGAAATGGGGAAAATGAGAATGCCAAGTTATTACGCTTCGATCTGTTATAAATGCTATTTTACTACTACGATTTAAGCAAAAACGAGTCCAAAATCCACTCAAAAATTTTCAAAAATTCGAATTTTGTGCAAATGTATATTTTGCTACGAAATTTTATTTCATTTTATGTCACAAAATCCATCATTTAAAACGAAACTCCATCCATACTCAATTATTTCCCATAACCTCACACGAGCTGCTACAATGTATGAACATTCTACATCTCTCTTTTTCTTCCTGAAACTGAAACAACAATTAGCTCAAAAACGTTATACGACTCACATTGATGGAGGAACTGCTCTATATTATCAAAAAAACACAAAAAGACAATGAGAAACGTTACCACGAGTCAAACAAACAATGACTTTAATTTCATTATTCGTTGTACGAGAAGAAACCGACCTGCCACTGGCTACCCATTCAATGTACATAATTCCCACTCCTGTACACACATACTGCACCCGCCCCCTCGCCGTAGTGGGTAGAAATTGCATCATTTACTGCAAATATTTACCTCACTGACTGCATCTGGTCTTCTCTCATCTCATCATCAATTCTCTCTCTCATTTTGCAGAAATAATGGCGAGAAAATAAATAAAAGGAACCTTTTACGGATGAGAACTCAAGGATGAACTTTCAAAAGAAACGGAGATTCATTTTATCCCGTAATCCTTGTAAAACTTGGATTCTCATGGTGTAAAAATGCCCAGAAATATGGGAAAAGTTTCCGGAAAACGATAAGTATATATTTTTGAAAAAGGGGAGAGATTTCATTTTCGAAATGATTTTATGTATGTATGAAATGGAAATTTCGAGATTTTCTCCCCCACGATGATGCCGAGTCGTCAAGCAGTTCAAACCAGGGCGCATAAACTTTTTGTTGTCCGTGGTTTCTCTTAAGGGGGTGATGCAGGGATGAGCATTTTTTCATAAAAATTAAAAAATTAAAAGTTCGGGAATTGCATGCAATTTTCACATGAATTTGGTTGTCAACCACATATTAGAAATGAAATAAATAAATCTTATCTTGGTCTTCATCTCTGAAGATGAGGAATAAAGTTCGACGATTGATAAGATCCGTCAAGTAGATAACCGGTGGGGGCCATATGGGTCGGGTGAAGCCCGTGGTGCAGAATATTATCATTTGTAAAATTCAGTTGACAACCAAATTCATGGGGAAATTGCATGCAATTCCCGAACTTTTAATTTTTTTATTTTTTTGAAAAAATGCTCATCCCTGCATCACCCCCTTAAGAGAAACCACGGACAACAAAAAAGTTTATGCGCCCTGAGTTCAAACCAATTAAGTTGAGCAAATAGCGAAACGAAACGGATAAAGAGAAAAAAATAGGAAAGAACAAGTATCTGGGTCCGTTTGTAAAGGTCACCTGGTAAATAAATGGTCATGGTGGTGGTGAAGGTAGTGTGGCGAATATGGGTCAGTTATGCGGATAGAATGCAATTACACTAATTTTTAGAAATTAGTCACCTATCACTTTTTCTCGTAAAGGTTACCTATTGACAGTGTGGATGATTTCAGCTACAAAATTGGCAAATTTATTTGACACATAAAAGAAGCGTTTCTTTCAAAAGGCTTCCTTCACGTAAAATTTAGTAGTGTCAGTTCAACGCCGTTAATGAGATTCATACATACAATGGTATGTCCCATTTTAATTCAAAATACGGACTATGTTTGAGTGAAAAATAAATTAAGATCGTAAGTAATTTCTACGAAAAAATCTAATTATTTGTCAAATTGTTTTTCGAGCTACTTTTTTTGAACTTAGTTATTAGCTGGTTCAATTTATCAGAAAATTTAAGTCCAACGCCATTAATGAAATTCGTATGATTTAACCTGTACAAATTTAATGCAAGATTCCAAACTATTTGAACCTTTAATCGATATGGTCCATTGGACTCGTAAATAATTTGCATTGCACCAAAAATCTAATTTATATGTCACACGGTGAAGGTTTTTTTCTCAGGAGAAGAGATCTAACATTTAGTCGCCATAAATCGGTAAAAGCGAATAATCTTAAAAAAAGAATTACTTTCGTCCAACGCCATTAATGAAATTTGTATAATTTAACCTGCACAAATTTAGTATAAGATTGCATTTTAGTCTTCTGCTTAACTTCGCACTAAAATTCGTAATCTTTGCCAAAAAATTATTTCATAATTTTGACACGATTTCGATCGCTTACCTAACTCTAGTTTTATTTTAATCTTAATTAATCTCCGACTCGCCCCATGTATAGACCTTCATCCAAATTCATGGTAGATGTAAATCCTACGATAAATATTATGGCATCGTCCCGTTACAAGTTACCTGTATTCTTCCCAATTACTTCCCAAAAATGATAAAAATTAAGACGAACAACAAATAAAAATAATCTCATCTCAAAAATAAGACAACAGCAATAATTTTCATTGTTTTGCTAAGTTTAATTTAACAAGAGGAGGATGAGGGTACAAGTTTAAACGAATTTCGAATTTCGGCCGGGGGGAGACGTGCATTGTTAAACTTGGCTAGTTAAGTAAGCCCATTATCATTATTACGTCAATTATTAGATCAAATCTTTTCTCGTCTCGTACGCGTCGCTGGCTTTGTAATAATTTCGTGCATTTTGATAACACAAAACAGATTTGAAAAGTACGTCTCAATTTTCGCGATCTTGAAACCCACCGACTGGAAAATATGTACCTAAATTATAACTAACTAAATATGGTAGTAAGCATAAATTGGTAATAAGAATAACCTACATTTCCTATAAAATACATAATTATTCAGGCAGATTTGCCCACCCAGTTATAAAATTAAATGTGTATCTTATCAGGATACAACCGTTTTTATGGGCAGTAAAATTACTACCAATTTTTTACATAACGTTTTGTTAACTAGGTCTCAATTTACAATTTTGAAAGTCTTTTCTCTAAAAACCGAAAATCTGCGCAAAACATTTTTTGAATTCGATGACGCTGCAAACAATTTGAAAAATCTTATCTAAAAAATTTCGAAAACCATGTAGTTCTTTATCAGAACTTGCCAAAGTGATATCATTTTTTCGGTGTGTCTACCCCGAAAAATTTCAGCTTTATCTGATCAATTAAAAAAACAGCTATATAAAATTTCTAAAATCCTTTTAAGCTCATCCTCCATCCACTACAAATTTAATAATTGTGCATGAACCGATTTGAAAAAGGAGTTGAATTTTCAGGAATAAAAAAAACGTTTCGGTGAATTATCATCATCATCATCATCTCAAAAAACACGTTAATTCTACCCTTTTGGATTTTACTTTAGGTTAAAAGTTAACAAGTTACGTCGCATTTCACACTCTGATAACTCATCTCATGACTGTAATGCACTTCACGTTGAACATCTCTTCTTTACACACTTACTGGCACATATAAAACTACACTGACTCAGTCAGTGTATGTGTTTTTTTGCGGTACTCGGAAGATCAAGTGCAATATTTGTAGTATAAATGCTCCTTCTTCCTTAACGCAATTTAATCTCGGAGAATTCGACATGTGCGAAAATAAGATTTAAAATTAAGACCGTGTCGTGACACGACGCAAAAATTGACATGTCTTTATAATCATTAAGATCATGATAATTGTAATGTGAAGCTTTTATTAACTCCGGTTCGGTATCGCGGTCTTGAAAAAGAATAGGATGATGATGATGAATTGCAAGTGTTGATAATATTAAACATGTCAAGTAACACTTGTCACTCATACCTATTTTGGGACTCATTTTTTTTTTACTTGAAGACCTTTTTATTGTATTGTTTTGATCATTATATGTTAACGTTTAAAGGTGAAGTAGTACATAAATAATATTTTTATGTTGGGTATAAAGTACAAAATATTTTTGGTAATGTAAATGTTAATGCGGTACGTACACAGTTAGTAGAGAAGGAGGAAGAAGTATATGTATAGTTTGACACAACAGAGAATTTAAGGCTGCTAAATAAGGCTACATAAGTCGCGTTCCTACCAACAAATAGTTAATTACATATTATCACATATGGAAGCCAAACCAGTCACTCTTGATTGGACTATTTTACATATTTTTAGTCTAAATAACGCGAAAATTGCGTTATTATAATCTGTCCTGACTACGATGTATGTATTTATTGACCTTCTGTTTATCTAGCGTCCAAAAAATTGTCTAAGCGTTTCTGGTTCATGTCGAGGTCAATGGTTAAAGCCTGTGTGAGACTCTCGGGAGTGATTGCTTTTCCTAAAAAGTTGGAGACTAGTTGCTTCGCTGGGATTCCGCCGCCATGCGAGAGCACTTCGGACTTGTAACGTTCCCCGTTCGTCGCGTTGAAGGGATCTTCTTGAAAATATTCCAGCCAGATCCAAGACGCCACGGCACGAGACATGAGGTAGGAGTAGTATTTGGCACCATAGCCGACCAAGTGTGAAAAACGGAGGTGCCAGGCCTGCAAACAAATTATACAATTATGTATGCAATTAACTTATATACTTATTTGCATATCACAACCCTTACTGTATTATGAACGTAAGGAATCCCGTAAAATTTGGTGTGAACCTCTTCCATAATTTCAATAGTTGGTTTCTCGAGGGGGAATTTACCAGTGTGTAATTTTTGGTCTAGAGCAGCGTAAAAGTTTTGGATTTGCATTTCCGAAGCGGCAAAGACATGTTTTGCCATAGAATATTTCATCCGCAACTCTTCCGGCATGACTTCACCGGTCTGGAAGTGTCGCGCAAATGTGGCGAGGACCTATTATAATGTAATTAGTATATTTCATTAAATACGTAATATAAAATTACTAATAATCTCAACTAACACGAGGATCAGAGGCGAAATATTCCATCAGAATGGAGGGAACTTCCGCGAAATCAGTGGTACATCGCGTCCCTGTGACGTGCTGATATCTCGTCCTCGCCAACATAGAGTGGAGCGCGTGACCTATTTTGTGAAATTTCATAAACATATTTATTAATAATGCTGCTAAAGCTAATTTCACCAGTAAATATCTGCATACATATTTATCTATACAGAAAGGGCATTATTAAATGATTATTCTACCCATTTCGTGAAACAGATTGTCTACCATGGCTGGCGTAAGAAGTGAAGGGAGCGATCCGATTGGGGGAGGAAAATTAAGCATGAGGACGACAATTGGATTCTACACACAACAAATAAAGAAAAATTACAAAATGTTCTTCATTTACATATGTGACTGTTTGTTTTTCACCAACCTGATAAGTTCCATCTTCCAACTCTTTTCCTCCCTGAATAGTAAAATGACAGTCTTGATGTGGTTTCCCATCCCCTGTTGATAAATATTGTTTGATCGTATAGAAAAAAATCAAGGAAATTGGTAATTATAATTATAAATACTTACGTTCATAAAAGTCGCAGTAAATATCACCTAAAACTCCGTCAGTCTTGTGGACAACTGCAGCAATTAAATCACAATAATTAATAAATACTACTAATTTATGCACAGTAATAATTTCTCACCTGAAATCTTGTACACTTCCGGTGACCACGTCTCCCCGGGAAGAATTTCTTGTGGGACGAGTTCAATATTGAATAATTGCAACCCCAACAAGTTAAGCCCCTCCATGCACGCTCCAAGTGAGAGGTACGGCATGAAATCGTTTCGGTCAACGTTAAACAAGTTCTTTTTCGCTTCAACAGTGAGGTATGGAGGGTCCCAGACTTGTACGACGCTCTGTTTCATTTTCGACATTCGATAGAAATCTCGCTCCGCTCGTTGACCCAACTTGTCAGCCAAATGTTCTAAAAAGTTTGCGACGAGGGAAGGCTTCTCAGCGAGACTGCCTTGAAGTGCTCTGTACAAAAAGGAGAATTGTTTATCAAAAAGTCGTTACCAATTAATTATAAAAATTGATTATTTACCTGTGGGCATAACTCGGAAATCCACAAACCTCCGCAAGTTCGTGTCTCGCCGTGAGTAGATTAACTAAAAGTTCGTCCTGTTTTTGGTCTGGGTGCAAATAAACTCGATACGCTGCCTCCCTCGCGGCTTCCGATGTCGCATCCGAAAACAGTCCAGTTACTAAAATGTTTCCATTTTCGGTAGGAAAGCTGTAGTAGATATCATATATTTAATTTTTATTTGATTGAGTAAAAAATAAAGCACAATTTTACAGCGTAATGCACAATTACTCACAAAGAACGAATATTCGCCGGCAATCTGTCTTTACTAATTGCCGCTGGTCGCATAGCGTTCGTCGCAAACTGTTGTCCCGTGTATAAAATTAAATCATTAAGATAAACGACCCTTGATCTCTTCTCGGCATCCAGGTGAATCCCACTCTGTTCGAAATCGAAGAGAAAAAGTTGTGCGACATGTTCATCCACGGCGCTGAGTGGTTTCACATCCCTTCCTCCGGTCGACCCTTTGAGCGCGAGGTATAGGCTGCGGTCAGTGTTCAGCTTTTCTACAAGGCGACTCACCGAGAGACAAGCATCCTCTGCCGCACTACCGAAAAGTTCGGAGGGGTGTGCAACTCGGACAAATTCCGCCATGTCGGCCACTTTGCATAACGAGTTGGACAAGTGGTCAAATATTTCGACGAGTTTTCTCTTCCTATTGGGCGAGAGGCATTCTTTCACGAGGGTGTCGCATTCTAGGATTGCGCTTTCTTTGAGCAGGTGAAAACCGTTGGGGTCGCGAAGTTCTTCAATTCCAAAGAGGCCTTGCTATAGAATTAAATAATATTTAAACTCAAGTCATAATAATTAAGTAATCAATTATCTCACTCTAACTGCTACTACTCACCTTATTTAAAAACCCAGACAATTTTTTGGAAGGCTTCGAATTGAAAGAGGTCGCGAGTGGTGACCACGTCGTAAGATTTCGATGTGATCGGGACGAAAAAGAGATGAGATATTGTCGAAATAAGGCTAATTGACGACCGCGACAGCCATAAATGCTCGTCATCATGGATAATTGTAGTTTTATTGTCGTAGCACGATAAGATAACGTTCTTTGTCGTCTGTTTTCGGTCAAATGAATGGAATTACAGTGAATTACTACCTGAAATAGAACAAAATGACAAGATTCAGAGTAATTCAGACAAATAAATCATGATATGAAACCTAAAATCATGCCTTTCATTTTATTTTATTTTTAAATTACGACTTAATTTAAATGTACTTAAGGATATACCTCAGTAAAGTTATCACCCCATTATCTCCAATCAAAGTTGGACAAATGACTAATTTTGCAATTAAAACGCACAAATTACAACTTCAATTAACTAAATATATTTATTTCCCCAATTTGAGTGACAAGAGAGACGGAAATATTTACAAAACTATTCCATAATTCCATTAACCTTTATGTTTTGTAACTTTTTAAACTTTTTCGACACAAAAACAACAACACATCACTCACGACCCACAATTTACAAAATTATATAATAAACTAAACTATATGCTTATGTATTTAATCCATCCTGCTCAATAAATGCAAATGACGACTTTAGCAACTTAATTAATTAGTATTCAGTGAATTTTTAGCCACAGAGATCGATCATCATGTACATATCTGCACTTATCTATCGCTATCTATCCTTTTAATCTGGGCTCAACATCGATCGTAAATTTCGTAATCAGGTTAAAGTTAAAGAAACTTAATGAATCAAATTAATTATAACTTACTTAACGATATTGAACTTATCTACACTACACATACCCGCGATAACGCGTAAGTAATGACCAAACTCAAGGATTATATACAAAAACAAGGAAAGGAAAAACTGTGTCTCGTCTCTTTTTCATCCATCCAATAGAAATGTAACTAATCCATACAACTAGCCTTATCAACAAACATTAAGTTAAGATAACCTAATGCAGTATAATTATCGATTTGATCGTCAATCGTCCTCCTCCTCCTAATCTCTTTACTTTTCTTCTCTCCGAGGATCGAATGATGTCCACAAATTATCGATTTCACACAGTTAAGCCGGACCACAATGATAACCATACCACTTCTTAACTAAAACTGCAAGAGATTGCAACATAGTTGTTTTTCACTGCAATTTGTGCAATATTTAACTAAAATTAAGTAACTTTTAATCAAACTGAGTAAATCCCTACTCACGAACTAACAGCTGACCCAACAAACTTGCAAAAAATTTAGAATAATCTCCACAAAAATACCAAACTTACCGATAAGACCACGACCACCACGACAAGCCAGTTGTATGTATCACTCACTCAACTAATTATTCCTACTTTAATTAATAAAATATTTAACTAATTCCTATATTACTGCTACTGCGTCTTCTTCTCCTCTCTTTGTGCTTTTGTCTTTGTTTTTGTTACTGGATGTATTGCCACGCGTGCAACATCGAGTCAACCGAGGCCGAAAATATCAACCTCTCCACGCTTGGGTGAAACACAGCCGCCGTCACTCTTTTCGAGTGACCGTCGTGGACGAAAAGTGCGTCGACATCGACACCTGGTGACGACGACGACTGGTGGTCCACCCCCTGCAAAATATGCACCTGGCTGGAGTCCAGGCCAGAAACTAGGAAAACAGGCTCAGTTGAACTTCCCTGCTGAGAACTCGGGGAAAACTGAATGTTGAAACTGTCTCGGAGAACGCCACTTCCGGTTTTGCCGACATCGTCATCACCACTGCCCCCAAATACGACCGGCAGTCCGACCCTCACCCCAGGAGAGGGTTGTCTCACGTCAAACTTTTCATATCCGCCGTAAGAATCTAGAATGGCTACGGTGTCGCAGATGGTGTCAAAACTGAAGAGAATTTCGACCTCTGCTTTAGAAATTGAGGTAGATTTCGATGACGTGAATGAAATCGGAGATGACGACGGGGTCCGCAAATCGTGTAGGAGGACGACTCCATTATCTCCGAGGAAGAACATGGTCTTGTTTTCTAGCAGTTTAATTTTCGTGACCTTTTCTCCGAGAGAGATTGATGAAGGGAGAGCATGTCGAAGTGGAACTGGGGGAGAAGCAGAGTTCAAATCCCATTCTTGGACGGAGGATGATGTTCCGAGAAATAGGGACGATTCCGTCGTGGCCAGAATTCCAAGAGATTGTTTTGCATGAAGATCAAGAGAAGGTGAGACGGGAAGTTTGCAAAATTCTTTAATCACGGCTAGAAAATCATGGAAAAAATTGTTAATTAAGTACTAAATTGATTAACTCCACAATTTCTACCTAAAGGAAATGAATAATTCATTTCTTACCACAATTCTCATCCCCGAGTTGGTAAAGGGTCACAGAATTCTCGCCTCCTTGCGTGCACGCTACGACAGATCCAGAACAAGAAGACGATTTCACAGGTTTTATCTACAATAATTAATTACTCTTACTCCTGATAACCTCTTATCGCCGCTTTTTTACCCACCTGTAGAATGTTGCTGGATGCATAGCCCCCACTCACAATTTGGAAATCTCGATCCTTGCACAGCCCTTCTTCAATATCTTTCGGGAACAATTTCGGGGGTAGGGCCAACTGCAAAATTTCCGTCTTTTTTGAGTAAGGTTGACATCCACTCAAACAAATGCTCATCTCGTCAATCACTTCGAAAACGTCGGCTGGAAATTCTAATTCGAACATGTACAAGTTGCTGTACCTGTGCAAGTAAAAAGGCGAGATAACTTTTAAATTTTTAAGTCCATGAAATTTAAAAAAAACTTCAGTATATTATGTATATCTCACTTTTTCATGGAATTATAAATCCATTCGTCTCTGTCCTCCTCCAAAATCTTAGGCTCCATTGTTATCCACCAAATACTAGAAAAGAAGAACACAAATTTTTAGAATTTTGATAAATGAAATATGCATTTAAAATTTCCACTGCATTTCCTCATAATTTCTGCCCCATAAGTCTAGTAAACTCTCATGCTTTATACATATATTTTCATGAAATTATGAACTCTCAGTCTCAATGTAATGCAAAATAAAAACACAAGGACGCCTTCTTTTTTGTTTGCACAAAAAAAATATTTTTTATTTTTTTAATATTTTATAATGCACTAACATACTAGAAATTTTGAATAATAGAAACATACGTAAAATCCACAAAAGTAGATTAGCAAAATTAGATCTTCCAACTGCATGCTTTTATATTGTGAATAAATTAAGCATTACTCAAGATACATAAAAAAATATCAATTAAATTGAAGTCACTACATCGTCAACCAAATCCAGTCCAAATCTTATGGTTTTTACATGCAATCTTTGTACTGTTTGCTCACTCTCAGTTTCTTTGGTAAGTAGTGAACTTTTTCCTTATCACAAGAGTTATTTCCTCTTTTAAGCACCTTCTTGTTCGTTGTGACTTCTTCGACAAACCGTGGTGGTGGTGGCCCATTTAAGAAGAACCCATGTAAAAAATAACCCGGAACTTGTCCATCCGACTTGAAAATCCGGCGTGTCTCCTCCCTTGGGAGACGCAAATCCAAGCACTGCTGGTGTCCTGTAACCGATAAAAAAACAATGTAAGTACTGTAAAATCTAAATGAAAAGTATGTAGGATATAAAACCACTTGTTTTAAACAAGACAAGAAAAATTGAGACAAAAACTGAGACTCATACCTGTCATCACCATTCCCATCCCATTCAAGCCTTGCTGTTGCTGCTGCTTTTGAGACAAGACCCACGAGCTGCAAGAGAAAAAGTTAGAGCCCAGCCCTTCCCTTTTCCAGACTGGTGGTGAATGCCGTGTCGAATTGGACACATTTATTGTGTCCTCGTTGTTTGCTGGTGACGGAAGGACAATTTCCGGGGGTTTGTGTAGCATGGAGTCAATTGAGTGACTGATGAGCGGGGGCAAGGGCGAACTGTCGTCTTTTGGGGAATTTACCACCACTTGTGGTTTCGGAGGCTCGTTCCCGGATGACCCAGACGCCACGGAGAGAAAGTGACGAGACGAGGACGGAACGACCACTTCTTCTGGTTCTGGAGTCACGATTGATCTGGAGGATGACCCTGAGGCCACGGAGAGAAGAGGATGAAGAGTCGAGGTGGCATGGACCATTTCTTGTGGTTTAATGAGCATGTTGTGGACCTTTTCCCCATGTCGCTGGACGTTCCCCTTGCTGATGGACCTGTATATGCACAGGGTACAACCCCATGGCTTTTTTCCCGAGTGGGTCAACTGGTGTCGCAGCAATAGCGCATTCCTGGTGAACTCCTTGGAACACGTCGTACACTTGTAACCATTCTTGTGGACGGTTTTGTTGTGGTGGGTGAGGTTAAACTTTGTAAGAAACCTGGCAAAAAAAGAATTAACAGGACAAAACACTAATTAGTTAACCCTTCACAAATTGTACACACATTTACTCCACTGCATTCTTACCTCTCTTCGCAACAGGTCCGGGCAGCCTCCAAAAGTTGGTGCATAGTGGCCAAGTGACGCTTAAAATTGGAATTTTTGTCCGTCCGATACCTGCAGGAGTCGTGCATGCAGATAAGCATCTCTTTTCCCGTCTTGGGATTGAACTCGATTCGATAAGAGTCCACCGGGAGTGCGAGGATGACCGAATTTTGACGCGTCGGGACCATTATCACCATTTATCACTGCCCACTTCCTCTCTAAATGCACTGCTTCTAGCTTATCTTAACTTAGAGTCACTAGCAATTGACTATTGTGTCACTGTATGTATTAACACGAGACTATGAAAGTTTCAAATTTAAAGGAACGGTGAGGAAAGCGAGACAAAATTGTAACTTGGAGAGGAGACTTTGCTGGAGAAGTTGACAGGTGAAGAGTCAATGGGATAATGCTGCATGAACTCCAGCTCGTCCCTTAAAGTCACCTCAATAATTCCAGTGGTTGAATAGTGAGATACGTAGAGGGAGAAGGAAGGCACACGCTAAAAGTGTCATATCTCGTATCTTGTCTTTATGTCCAAAAAAAGACGATATGAAAAGTTATTTAAATCTCAATCCCTGGAAGGCTCACTCGGGAAGCATTAACCGGATTAAGTAACTCCTGGTCATTTTTAGATTTGCTTCTCAATTTCCTCATCGAATAATACCCATCCATATGTATGTCATACAAATTACATTTTCATGACCGGCTCTCCTCCGTCCCGAACGTATGTACATATTTATGCCCTGCCAAACCAAACAGATACGAGGACCGTGACAACTAAGGACGAATTTAAACAGTGACATGGAAAATGTGCCATTATCATCGTCACAACCACAACTCTGATGCAGATGAGAAACCTAAATTTCTCTCTAATCTGCTTGCAATGGGACATATGTCATCTCTTTCCCTCGATATCTATCTATTAGGGCAGAAAATGGTGCAATGTCACCACGAACGAGGAGACTTAAGTAATGACACGAGACGACATTTGTCAAGCGGTGACTGGACAGTGGTCAATTTGCTCGCCCATCAAATCCCCAGCACACGACGGAGACCACCGACAACAAAAGGAAGCCACCGACCAAGAAGAGGGACATTTACATGACAGGATGACATCGCTCTAATGGCAGTGACCACCACCTGGAATCACCTGCCGCCAGGCCCTCCACTATTCCGCAGTATAATTAGCGTCCTTCTCCTCGTTCGAAGGGATTATAAAAATTTCAGAAATTTCTACAACCTTCGCACTCCAAACTGCGGCATAAGGGGTTAAAATCGTCCAAGAAATCACAAGATTTCATCGTCGCAAAAAATCATTTAATCGACAAAAATCGAATGTACTATAATCCACAAAACTCTCATTTAATCGCCAAGTTTGCATTTGCGTTATTAATAGCTCCTTGTTGGTTTTCTTCCTCTCTTTCTCTCCACATTCCCATTGTTGGGCATTGCTACACCTTGACCAAACTCTCCACATTATTGAAATCCACTAATAGCCAGTCATGCCCCAATAAGTCAAACCCTTTTTCAGGCTCCTGGACTGAAAAATCAGTGAAAATCTTAATCCTCTCGACCACTGACTGCCTCATTTATCACACTCATTACATTTTACACACTTTAAACTCCGGGGTAAATTCGGGATGAAAATAAAATAATTTAGATAAGAAAGAAATGTAAAGCACATGTACATAGATAATTAAATATGTATCCATCATCCTTGATTCACTGAAGGTGAATCATCATCTTTTTGCAATGTAAATATCATCGGGAGCACAATATAATTCATCCAATTTTATTTATGTACTTGATCAAACCAGAACTAGCAAAATGATGCAATTAATTAATGACCCAAATCGTAAACCTCGTAAACAATTCCGAATCTTATTAAACAGTGACCAGGCGCACGTACCAATTCAATTTATTGCATGTAATCAATCCAGGAAATTTTGTCCATCTTACGTACATATTCGCTTAATTAAGACTAATTTTATATAACTTGGTCATTTATTCAACGCATTATTATGTATGTACATATTTCACCCAATTGCACAATAATAACTAATAAACCACGCATTATGCACAAGTAACATGCACCACACACAGCTTTCTTAATAAAAAAAGGACACATCAAAAAATTAGAGCAATTTCCCTCAAGGTTATTTGTCCTTGTCGAAAAAGAAATTCCTGGATTCAATTGGATTTGCAAATTCGTCAATTCACAAGAAGCTGAATATGTGTATACATTCATGACGGCGAAAAGTTAATGATGCATGCGTACAAATGGAGGCCCATTAATTTAATCGACTTCAAATTAATTAAGACATCTCGACACATGTACTCCACATCGTAAAATAATGAACCTTTAACAGTTATGGACAAAACTAAAGAGTGAACATTTAACTTTAAATGTCAGATTTGAGAATTTATGGCATGTCCACTTTGCCCTTTATGCCCCTTTTATAATACCAACGTTATAATTAATGCCATGCCCAAAATGCCTGACATTTATTTTCATGGTGCACTATTGTCAGATTTGAAAAGCCAACATATTCAAAATATCAGATCCTTTTCTCTCTGATTCCGCACAAGCGAAAAAAAACATGACACCATTTTTTTGCACGCACAATCTCAACAAAAATATTATTGTCGTTGCTAAAAATTAAAAAAAAATGTGGACTAAGATGATCCAAGACATTTCCATTTATCTCAATTACGTAACTTAACCAACTTTGTATGCATGTATAACTAGTCAAGGAAAGAATTTACGGAATGCATCATCATCGTCGTGGTCGTCCATCGTCATCATCCATTCATTTCCATCCCTCCAAAAAATCATCACATTGCTAACGACTATCTCCTCTCCTTAAAGTGGATCAAATTTCTGCAACCACAAAATAACCAGCTAATAGAATTAGGAAGATTATACCAACTTGATGAATGGCATGGCGCCGGCTGGCGTTACATACGTTCGGCGCCATCAACTCATCCATCTCACCAAAATAGCGAATAGTAGCAAAAAATAAAAACTGGGACACAAAAAAATGGCACAATTCCCCCCATGTCCGGTCACACAAGTCACATTCAGAGCATGTTATTGAGGTTAAAAGATGGATGGAACAAAAAGGTGTCCCGGTGAGAAATTATGCATAATTTGGGCAATTTGCCATACTCGCTCCGGGTCTCAGGCTTATCTGGTCGGGAAGACAAGGAACTTTTGGAGGGTAAAAAACAGGCTGGACAAACACGACGGACTTTTGAGTTTAATTGTTCTCGTGCGGACAATCCAGTCGAGCCCAGGGTCCAGTATCCTATTGTTGACCAATTCTAAGTAAGTACATGTTTATTTCTGGCTGGTGCTGGCCAAGCTCCTTTTTTTTGTTCTATTTAAGTAAATACGTCGGCTAGGCTGAACAGACGGATTTTAGATGGCTTGTGTCCTATGGATTTTCAGGCAGGTGGGATTCTTACTTAAGTGTGTAAAGGGTTCCTTCCGTCTGAAGCTTATAAATTATTAATCCGCAAAGGGATTAAAAGGGTATGAAATGTTTGCGTATGTAAATGTACATACATGAATTTTGAGACGCTTGAGAAAATAACTTATACAAACATTCTGTTGGAATTCGACCAGAAAAAATTCTCAAGTACCTAAAAATACAATGGATTTTCCAGTGAAAATAACTTATAATTAAAAATGACTCTTTCCAGAAAAGGGAAACGAATGAAATGAAACAAAGTTTTTTTCATTTTTACTTTTTACATTAAAAACACTACACCTTTTTACGAGAAATTTTCTGAATGATGATATGATTTGGAAATTAAGTAAACTAGCTAATAAATCTCATGCTGAAAAAGATTACCAATTTTGCTTACTAAACAATTCTTCAAAATAAAATGGAAATGAATAAAATGCATAGTAAAATAGTAAAAGAGACTCTAATTTCTCCCAGTTTTGGACAATACTCTCCAAAATTTCGTAAAAAGTATCCATCATCATAACCCCTAAACTTTAGGGCCTAAAGAACCTTATTATCAGAAAAAACTTCTCCAAAAATTATACAAGACTCTCATCACGTCTTCAAATTCCAAGATTCTTCCAAAATTATAACGACCAACACGATGACGTGTCTGTCTACCTACATTACAACTTCAACTTCAATCCCTACAAAAAACAAGTGTAACTTGACAAAAACCTAATTCCATCCCACCCAAATAATTCATAATTCATTTCTTCCCAAAAACACCCTCTTCGTCGCCTTCTTACAAATTATTAATGTACCCAACACATCAATCCAAAAAGAAACACGTATTTTTTACGACGTGACGCAATTCCGATAAAAGACGAGAAGCGCATCTCTCCCATAAACAACATGACGATTACGACCAATATCTCATATCCGTACAAATTATTTATGAATCCAAACCACTCACTCACTCCAAACCAAATCCATCCATGATCTTCCCCCAACTTATCTGCACCACCATAATACTCATTGAAACTTCTGCTCTTACTACTTCTGTCACTGACAAAGTGAGTGATAAAATGTGTGCAGAGTTAACAAGTCAGTTAAAAGTTAACTTAACAAGCAAGTAGCAATCCCGAGTCTATACATACATATCTGCGCTCGAATAAGTGGTTAACTATGTTCTCGTGTCCCCCTATAAATAAGACCGATGAGATGAGATGATCCTCCACATGAAGAAAAATCTGGTGAGACACGGGCGTCTCAGTCTTCCTCCAGACACTACACGTTACACAGCCAAGCCACCAAAATGACCGCAGATTTTACACAGATTCTCATGGCTCATAACAACAAGAAGGAGAAGGGGGGCCTGCCACCACCTCCCCCTGAAAACGGTACCCACCCACAAGTCATCACGCTACGCAAGGCTTCCTCCTCCTCCTCCCCCCCGAAATACGTCTTCCTCACCGTCTTCATCTTCATGGTGGGCCTCACCGTCGTCACGATGGGACTCCTGGTCAAGTGTGTGGACCGCTTAGACCGTTATCAGGACAAGTTGGACCGTTATGAAGAGAAACTAAGTCAAAATGAGAGACGTGTCACACTCCTTGAAGGGGATTTAGAACGTTTCATTAAACATTTGTTGCACGGTTGGTAAAAAATTGGTCATATTTATCTACAAATTGGTCATTTATTATACATCTCCGCTTTTTCAGACCCTGACGAAGACGAGCTCGAGTACGAAACCCGAAGAGACAGCGACATTTACGAGGATGACGAAGAAGACGTCGTTGACGAAGAGGAGGAAGACCATCTCCCCCCCGGATTCCAGGTACCGAAAGGATTTCACAGTGAGGAGGACAGCGTCGAAGATATCCTCGTCCGAGTGGGAGGAGAAGGACAGGACGATGGACAATATGGGGTAAGAAAAACATTTCTTTTTTACTCTCATCGTCACGTGACCAACACGACGATAAGTCATGAGACGACACGGATAACCGTGTCATGTATCCTCGCTCGGCTATGAAAATCGTTCATGCATCCTGTTTACACCAAAACAACGTAAGCATGTCAAATGTCAGTATGTACGTATGTAAATGTACGTAAGTATGTATGTAAATATACACGTATGTACGTACGTACAGCATTCCAACTTTTGGACCAATTGCCAAAAAAACCTCCATGAAATGAGTTTAGTGACCGTGAAATGAAATATCAGTCACATTATTGCAAAAACCAAGGCATAAATTTTTAGGGGCTACGATTAACCATTTTTTGCATCTGAATGGAAAATCATTCCTCATTTTTTAATGGGTCTATTATTTTTTTTTGAAACTCCGAAATCCGATCCCGTCTCGGGTCATTCATTACTAAATGCATAAACCAATTTATGAAAAAATCATTCCTCAGGAACATCATTAAATACATATTTTTTTAAATTCAAATACCCGATCGCGTCACAGGTCGTTAAACACACAAACAATAAATTTTTGATTAGGTAAGTAAGTCTGGAAGATTTATTGCAAATTCCGTTCCCACGAGGAGAGGAGTGATTTTCCATTCAACTAAATATTTCGAGTACTTATTTATTAGTGATTAGCTCTGAAATGAAACATGAGCTCAAATTGAATTGAATTGAATCGACGCTTACTTAAACACAATAATTGTCTGGCTACATATGTCTATGTGTAAAGTGAAAAATATGAAATGTGATACCACGAGGCTCACTCATTCTACGTGGAGACAGACGCTAATACATTTTTTTCGAGACTTGTTGACTTTACTTAGCAAAGTATGTAATCCAACACCGAGCAGATTTCACCGCTGCAGATTTTAGCAGGCTGAAGAATTTTGCATAACCTTTGCCTTGACCGCAAGAAAAGTCAGTTCATTTCATGATGTGAAATCAATTTAATCCAAAAATTATGCATAACACATGCCCACCGTGTAATACGTAATGGTAATTTGTGTCGATTAAATAAATCCATGATAAAATTGAAGGGCAAGCTTATGTCACTTATCGAACATGACAAATTATGACATTTTTTGACCCTGTTGATAATTCTGTAGAAAGTCGAGCTCGAAAAGGACGAAACTACTCCTTCTCATGCAAAAGAGGGTGTGAAATCGAGGAGAAAGCGACAAATCGCGTTTCCAAACACGCCCACCTTTGGCCCGGAAGTGGAACGGACCGAGTCTGGAGTGCCAATTGTGGAGGAAAGCTATTTGACCAGCTCCGGCGTCACGGCACGATATCCTTCTTCCAATTCACGCCGTGGAGGAGACAACCAAGCGTTCAGGTTGTATCAGAGTTTGGGTATGGCAATCATATTAAAATCATAATAATTTCAAAATTTCGTGAAATTCTGTACCAAAATTATTTTCAACTTTTACAAAACAGGAACTTCATCCCGACCTTCCCACCGGAATTTCGACTCTCCAAATACCAATCGTCAACCAGAATCCTCCACCTCATCGTCCACATTGCTTCCACACCATCAAATCTCTGCGGCATGGTCAGAACCATCTTCTCCCCAACCACGATCAAGACTCCAACTCAAATCTGGCGATAATTATGCCTCCACTTCCGGAGAGAGCACATCCTCCCCAGCACGATCACAATCTAGTCGACGATCCCAGCACTACACTTACCCCGGAAGAGGAGCATCCTCCTCCACCCCAAATTCTCACACGTTCATTTCCTCCCCTTCTGGAAACTCTGGGGCGACCTACCACCGAAATTCACGTGTTCCCTCGACCGGCGACTATTTCTACCCGGGCGGATCTACCACCACCACCTCACCCACAAAAACGTACAGCTCTTCCGCCAACGCCCACCGCGCCGTTAACGACGAAGCTTCCTCCACTCTCGTACAATATCCACCCCTCAGAAAGCTGAACGTGGGCAATGGAGAGGGCGAAGTGAGTAAAAATACTATTAAAAAACCAAGATAACCCATCCGATAAGCTACATATTTTTATATTCTAGGTAATTGCTCGCGTCCTCCAAACCGATCGTGACGATACCGACAACAATTTCGCATCTGCCAACCTCGGCGAATCTGAGGCCTCCTCATCCCGCCGAGTTTACCGGGGTCGCCAAAACCAGACCCCACTCACCCCCACGAGTACCGGACAGGGACAGGTCACCTCCTCCGCCCACACGGCGTCGTACTCCGGTCGTCCCAGGAAGTACGGGACTGGTGGATACCGCAACAGAGTAAATAGAACAAGATCATCCACCACCACGACTACTGCTTCACCCCGCACGAATAGTTATGATGATGATAATGAGCATGCCGCCCCTTTTACCAAGTATTACTCCACCACGTCCTACGACGCCGAGGGGACGAATAATGTTACCCCTGCGCCGCGAAGAAGAAATTCCCGACAGCAGCGAATCCAGTCGATGGAATCGTTCCTCTCGCAGCAACAATTTTATGGGGATGACGACCCAAATGGAAATCAGATCCGGGCCCATTAATTAATTATACTTGGTCACTAATTATTTACTAACCAACTTACTTATTCTCTTTGCCTCCTCTTCAGTATACAACTAATCAATCAACCAGCCATAGTACAACTTCCGGTTTGAATTACTTACTTTATGAGATAAATATTTACTATTTTACTGTGTACAAAATATATCTACTTCCAGTTTGCATGCGTTACATAAATGTACAACTTTTCCTTAGAAAGAGAGTCAAATAGGTCACAAACAACTTACTAAAATATGCACCAATTTTTTTAACAAGTTCGACTAAAATCTTACTTATCTTCACACCAAAAAAGTACCTGCTTATCAACAATTTGCAATCTTTTCATTCCATCATCCTTACAAAATACTTAGAAAATGTGTTACTGAATCTCAATTTTATTTCTTAATTATTTTCATTTCAAGTTTTCTTTTCTTGTTTTTTATTTTATTTTTAAACGGTGCTGAATAATAAATAAGAGTGCGTGCGAGTACGTGAAAAAATGGCAATTTGTTTTCCATCTTTTGAGATTTTGGCAAGCGCAAAATTAAATTCAATTAGAAGATGAACACAAATCAGGGTAGAGCAGATGAGTCATCAAACTCATTTTCATGGGTGACTGACTTGACCTAAATCAAGTGGCAGGTCCATTTTTTTAAAAGCTTGTTGACTGACCCAATTTCAAAATAGGATTGACCTTGACCTACTTAAACGGACTTGTTATTTACGCATGGAAATAATATTTATCTGTGAATGTGGGTGCACGTGCGGCATAGCATGGCAAAAAAATAAATGGATACAATTTTGCATGAAAAATAAAACATTGCCAAAAATCAAGATTAGCTTACTCATCCGCTATTTTGCTGACTTTCTCCATCACACAATTTGCCTGAGCATGTGCAACAAAATATGGTAAAACATAATCACAAACTTGTAAAAATTGAATTTTTGCAAAACTGTTGCAAAAAAACTTCTTCAGAAATGTTTTGCCCACAAATTTTCAGGACCAACTGTACGATTCTTCCGGAGAAGTGACCGTGACGAAGGCGGAGGCGTATGTCGAAGGGCCCAAACCCCTGGCGGCCCATTATGTCGCGGACGTTTCGAACTACACCACGGCGCACAAGCATTACGACGGAAATGGAAGGTTACGAAATGCCGACGGGATTTTTGAAGCTTGGCGACCCGCGGACTGGATGACCGTCACGACGGCGAATTCCGAGGGAGCCGCGGCTACTGCGAGCGGATCGAAAAGCTTCGTACTTTCGCCGAATGGGGTCCTTACGGTCAAAAAAGCTGGGCTGTACTATATTTATGCACAGGTATGGAAAATATGGAGATAATTTGACAATAGGCTAATATTTTTTTCCAAAATTCACAAATATTTGTGAAACAAATGTTTCATGGAATTTCAATAATTTGCAAACAAATTAGATCTGATCTGAACTTAATTTGGGCCCAAACTTCAGGCATATCTATTTGCAATCACAAAATATCCATAATTCAAACTAATTATTTTGGCATTTAAACCTTGCAAAATTAGAAATGTCTGTAATCATCAAATCTTTGTGCAGTTCAGCGAACGAAACATTTCAAATAATTCGCAAATGGTGTCAAAACTTTACAAAAGTCAAACTACAAAATTACATTCCCCAAAAATTCATCTCATCGAGTTAATTACTTTTCTAATTCGAAATCCTGACCAACATTTTAATTTTTCGAAACCAAATACAAAAACTCTTCAAAAATCGATATGAAACTTTCATTTTTTTTTAAATCTGCAGATCCACTACCTCGACGAGCACGACATTAACGGTTTCATAGTCCAAGTGAACACTGACCCTTTGCTGCAGTGCACCACCATGACGGAGACGTACAATTCGGGGTCAAAGTCCAACTCGTGCTTCACCGCGGGCATCCACTATCTCAAGGCGGACGACCGCATCACCATCAAAGACATTGAGACCAATCGGTACTCGATCTTCAAGCCGGAAAAGTCGTTCTTTGGTCTCATGAAGGTCGGCGCTGTTCCGTAAAATACTTTCAATTAATTTGCATAATTACACTTAATTGGGAAATCAACCTTCGGTTCCAAACCGTAAACAACTGCCCGTAAATTCATTCCAGTAATTTAATTGCACGTATTCCGTGTTTATTTTATAAATTAATCCTTGTGTGATAAGCAAATGTTATCAAGTTATATATTTACAGCATTATTTAATATCTATGAGTTAACTATAATTAAACTAAATAATTATACCAACATCATATTGTAAAAATCATCAATACTTTTTTAACTTGATCGACAAGTTCGTTGTGTGCGATTTTGACAGATTATTACATTACCAAAGTCAAAAATAGGAACCAGTGACAATGACCCCTGACCCACAAAAAAAGCTGATTTGTTTCGTTCCACTGCTACTATTTGTGTAAATTTATAATAAATTATTAAATTAACAATGTATGACCCATAACAATTAATTGCGGCAGTCAAATAACTTAACACAAAAATTACATCATCATCACAGAAGGTACTTAACAATTAAGGAATAATTATAATTGACAGGAATGAGTAATTAATTCGTATTTAATTGATTATTATTGTGCATCCGGACAAAATGATGGCCAATTTTTGCTAAATTATAAAATGACTAATTGGCTTTGACAAGGATCATTAGGCTCTTTTTCAATTAACTATCTTCTGACTTTGTCAACCTCTTTAGTCTGGCTAAGAAGATTTAAATTAGTGAATATCTTATATAATTATTAGGACAATTACAAATCCACTAATTTTAATGCAACCCTAAAATCCAGTTTATCCCCTGGACTAGAAAATAAATTAAAGGCTGCCAACACACCAACCATCGTACCCAGTCCAACAATTGGCCGTAAAGAAGGTGTGGCTTCTCCCAAAAGTTATTCACCATCCGTTTCAAGTCCACTTTCTCATTGCAGAAGGGACACGTCTGCTTTTTCCCTACGATGCACCACCCTCGGATACAAAACTCGTGAAAGACGTGGTTGCAACTGAGGCGGAACGTATCCTCAAGGACGCCTTCTTCCTCCTCATTTACGAAAATTTGATTTCCGCAAATTGCACAAATCTTTTCATCTGGCGTTTTCGAGGGGAATCCATCCTTTGAATAGTAGCCTGACAAAATTGGCAAGAAATAATTGCAATATAGAAATAGATAGGGAGGAAATTTAGCCAAATATCGCAAAAACTAACCAATCTTCACGGTGTATATTAGTATAGTAATCTTACCAATTTTGACGGCTGTAAAATCAAGGGAAAAATAATTATTTTATTTTCCCCGATGTAGATTCGGATGATATGAAGTTTGAAGATATTAATTTTTAAATAAGTATTTTATATATTGTACATAAGGGTGTCCCAACTTTTAAAAAAAATCGCTTTTTCCGCTCACGATTTTTTCGCTCTTTTTGTAAACCGCACTGCGCATGCGATTCCGATCTTTTTTTCCGCTTTTTCTGCTCAAAAATAAAATCTACTTTAAGATGATTTTTTCGCTCTTTTTACTACTTTGAGTGAAAAATCAGTCTCTCAGAGACATGTTTAAGGGGACATCGCCCGATTTTGATGCCCTATGGAATATATTGCAATATCAGGTGAGTGTATGAAAAGTGAGGAAGGATTTTATTCCATTGCCCCACCTGCGCCCGCCACACCCCCTGAAAAGCATTGCAACCACTAAAACTACCGCATTCAAACCTTTGCCAAAAATCCTATTTTCATCCCATTTTGGTAATTTTTGGATTTACATGATCTTAGATAGTTGTTTTATCATATCCAACATGAAGCAAATTTAAATTTTAAAAGAAACTCGAAAGTTTCCTAACCACCCATTCTCTGCTCCTGAGTATTCAAGCGATAAAAAATCGGGACAGTCAAGTATTGAGCGAAAAAAGCGGATTTCAGATTTTTTTTAGCTTTTCGCTTTTTCAGATCTTTTTTACAAACTTGGGAGACCCTATAGATGATATGTTCCTCATATCCATCTTTGTAAAATTTGATTATTGTAATGCTCATGTTAAAGGATAAAGAGAATGGTGAAGAAAAAAAAATAATATTTACCCATCAAATCGGAACAAATTTCTGCCAAATCTCTGCCCAACACGCCGTAATAAAGCCCGTAAAAGATGAGCATTAGTGCGCAATCCATCCAATTATTTGGAGCTGTAAACACCAACAACCAATTTATATATGTTTGAGCAGAGCATGAAATCTTGACCTAACTTTCAACCCTATCATGCACTCACCGGCACCGAAGATGGCATTGAGCCCCATTATGGTCGACATCATGACGAGATAGCCCGCAATTCCCATGCCATAAGAGAACTTATGAATTAAATAGAACCATTTATACACAAGGCGTGGTGTCGAGCAGGATAACGGCTTTTCCATCGCTTTCCGTACAACGACACCCGTCAGGACGGTGAAAATGCACCACGTCACGATAAAACGATACCAAAGGTTGTACCCACTGAAGCAAATTGGCACTATCCACATTCCCAAGAGGGTGAGCAACATGTACGACCTGAGATCACAAGAATATGAATGAATCAAAGAAACAAGCCTAGCCATAAAAAATGGTCAAATCTACACATCCATCCACCCACCTATAATGCCTCTTTTTCCACTCTACCAATATAATTTGGGCAATTAGCAAAGTCACGATGAGAATTATAAACATCTCTGCATGCATTTGTTCATGACCCTTGTGTTTCTCGTGAAATTGCATATGTTGCTTTCTCAATTCTTCTTGTGGGGTGAGCTCACGACGGAATCGGATATCTTTAGCTTTCTCTTGACGTGCCATTTCTTCCATGAAATCCATCGGATCTTGGTCGTCCATGCCATTATTATTCAAGGCATGAATATCATCCCCCATCTTTATTAGTGGTGATGTTTTTTTCTCTGATTAAGCCCAAGGAATCCAGACTCACTGAGGAGAATAACAAGTAATTACCATCAAACCAACAACCGATTTAACCACGGAACAATTTTTACAGGGAGATAGAAGAGTTTAATGAAATGATGATGACTAATTTACGACTGATAAGGAAATAATCACACGAAAGTGCATAAACCTTATCCTGCTTCATGATAAGGCACAAATTTCAATTTCTCGTCTGATGATGATGATATAATGATATGATAAAAATACCGTATTTTACAAGAAAATTGAAACAGATTAAGCTTACCTTTGGAACTTAGAGTTGTAGTGAGTCCTACTTGGTTTACTTGATATTTCTGAAAAATTATGACAAATGTTTTGCACCGTAAATGTATTTTTAATTAATTTTAATTTTAATGAATCCACTATTTACCTTCCGCCCAGCAACGAGAAACTCTATTCTTTCTGCTTCACGTTGACATTTTTCTGGTGTGTTATATATTGTTTACCTCTCGCTATGTGATTTAATGATAGCCGAGATGATAAGCAATTATCCACACAATAATTAATTACAATTACTCATTACTTTACTACTAGTAAGTAAATGTGAGTCCGATCGGCAAACTGAATCTGGTCTTGTCACTCGGTTTTTGCGACTCGAGCCACACTTTCGAGGCACAAAGAGACAGCTTCAATTTAATAAAATAATCGTAAAATTAATTTCCAAAAAAATTCCAAAATTTCAAATTTTTCAAATAAGTTTGAAAAATTACATATATGTAATTTGTCAAGTAATCTTAAGCCTGAATTTTGTTTTGCTAACATTTAATCACGGAAATTTTAAAGATTATGTTCCGCAGATTTGCAGATTTTTTGCATGTTGGTAATAAATCTCATGAGAAGATCTGGTATAAAGTCAGGCTTGGAATTTTGCAAGGCATACTAGTACAAAATCATGCAAAAGTTTCATGACATTCGCAAAATAGATGAACAAACAGTCTTTATCTTTACATTCTTTATTCCGTGGTTCTGCCCGTATTACAAATATCTTAACTCGCACGTTTCTTGATATTAACTACTTAATTCTAAATAAAACTAATATTCATGCAATTTTAATTAACAACTAATGTAATAAACTAGATCACCAAATTTAAATCCCCCCACATTAATTATGTAAGGATTCAATTTCTATTAAAAAAATGGGGGAACGTTACTTACAAATCACAAAATTTTGTAACTACTGCAATCTACTTTTTTGTCTTAAAAAAACTTAGGACACTTATAAATTATTTAAATTACGCAACAAATTTACAGGAAATATGTACATATTTTAGACTTAAATAAGATAAAAAATTAATGAACTGAAAAGATGGCAGTTCATCCCATCATTTATTATTATTCGTCGATAGGATAGCGACGCCGCGGAGTGCCACGGTTGGGCCGGGTAGACTTTCTCCTACCTCCTCCTCCAACACCGCCACCATTAAGAGCGGAATTCTTGGCAGATTTGTTCTTCTTGCCAGATTTATTTTTCTTGCCGATGGAACCAGCCCCGGCAGTGATAACTTTCGCCTTGTTTTTGCTGTTGGCGAAGCCATCTCCATTTCCACGTCTACGTCGACCGTTTCCACCACTAGTAGAACCACCAACAGTTGCGGATTCTCCTTTTTTACTTGTAAACTCCTTCTGCTTCTGTTTCTGCTTCCACTTTTTCCAACCCATTTTTCTTTTCTTTTTCTTGTCCTCTTTAGGACGAAGGAGGGGAAAGAGGGTGCCTAGTGGGGGCACTTTGGAAGTTACATATGAAAGCTTCTCCAATGAGTACACTAACGCGTCTTTTAGTACAACTGCAAAAAAATACAGAACAAATTATAACATTTCCAAAAAATATTTCTACTTTCATCTTCAATTAAATTTCTTACCCGAATCTTCACCATGTGGGAGAATGCCTTCCAAATATCCCTTCAATGGCTGTAACTGCGCAACATTACACTTTTCCAGCGATGCTTTTGGCATCTCCCCTAAAATAATAATAATTCAATTACAACTTTTGTTAATGGTTAAGCAGTTTATTATTATCACAAAGCTTACCAATGGCTCGAATCACTGCGGCTAGGGCGGCATCTGTTATGGTCATTTCCAACCAACGCTTTGTAACGGAGGTCAACATGTCCCGGAAGTGGGAAAAGGTATCCGTCCCCCAAATTGTGAACAGCAAGCCGAGGATTTCCGACGCCTCTTCTAGTACTTTCGCCCCCTCCATTTCTACATGTCAAAAAAAATATCAGTGTCATTACCTAACTATTATCGTCATTTATATATAAGAAAGCTCACCTAAAATCTCGTCCATGACGCATGGGTAGAGTTCTCCGAGAGTGAGGTCAGGCACGACCCAGCTAAATGCGAGCTTGACGAGCGAAAGTAACGACTGGTACTGCGGAACTTGGTACTTCACGGGTACATGGGTCAAGCAGAAGGCTGAAACGCGGTCTCGCAAAGAGTACACGGCACGATCTAAAAAAAAACAATTACAATTAATTATAAAAATTTCAATTTTTCAAAATTTACGAAAAATCTAAACTCACTTTTGAAATCAAAATTATTGAAATATTCCGAATTGACTCGCAGCATGGCCATGATTATGACTTGGGCATCGGGTGGACGCCAACACAGGCATTTGAAGAGCAATTCGGAACACCCCCCAAAAATTTCAAACTGCTTCAAAAGTAAACCGTAAAACTGGCCCAAACTCGTCAGTTGGATTGGATTCTGGAATTGAAAAAATTACCACATGTAAATAAATACCTAAGATTTTTGTAATTGCTTAAGTCAGATTAAACTCTCACCTTAAAAACTTGGTTTCTATCCGAAATCACTTCATCCACAAAATATCGGAAACACAGGTTTGAGAAGAATTTTGAACTCCTCAACTCCAAAAGTAGCGACACGATCTGAATCAGTTTAGAATTTCGGAGAAAAACTCCACCCCCGAAAATTGTACTTATGTCCTCTCCCAAACCGGGAGACGCGGTGGAAGCGACGGAAAAAATTGCACTACAAAAATACAATAACATTTAATTAATTTATTAGTTAATTACACCACATTAAAATTATTAAACCCATTTTCTTACATGGCAATGCTTCGTTCGCTTAGTTCAAGGCCAAGTAGAGGGGATTCTCCACCAAGCGTGGCCACTGTTTCGCAGCCACTTTGCAATTCAGTTTCCGAAAGGGTATCCACCCACTTGTTAATCGCGATGAGGGCTGTGTGCACCATGGTCGATTCTGACGGAATCATCCTGGGGCTGCTGACGTTTGAAGTATAGCTAAAATAATCCTCCTCTTCTTCTTCCTCTTGTTCTGACTGGGTGGGGCTGAGAGGGGAATCCAGTACGATTTGGAGAGCCTCTTCCTCGCTGTCGTCGTCATCACCGTCTGCTGACTCTAAGAGAAGCGGTTCTTTATTTTTCTCCTCTACCATAATCGTGGTGGTGGAAGAATTGGACCGGAGACGTTTCGATGGGGACTGAGACTCGACAGATTTGTCAGGACTTGGACAAACTGGAGCTTCTGATACACGTTCACCTGGACGCATAAACCGTTTCTTGACCGGCGATGGCGGAGGCTCGACTATTTCGACAGGAGATGGAGTTGGACATACTGGAGTTTTTGATATATGTTCACGTGGACGCTTAAACCGCTTATTGACCGGCGATGGCAGAGACTCGACTATTTCGACAGGAGGTGGACTTGAACAAACTGGAGTTTTTGATATGCGTTCTCGTGGACGCATAAAGCGTTTCTTGACTACGGGGGTCTTCTCCTCGGCTCTTGCCGGACTTGCAGCTAGGGTGGTACACGTATCGTCTTGTTGAGCAGATGGGACAATGACCGCTGGCGGCAGTGGCGGAGGACAGAAACCAGAAAATCCGGGGATCGTTGCGAGAAGTGACGACAGTTGTGGCGCACCAGGAGCGGAAGGATTGCCACCTAACATACTCATTAAAGCAGGATTCGTCGTTACCATCATCATCACCATTTGGGCTTGCAATTTCAAAATATCTTCCGCGCTTGGCGTTGACGACGTGGCAAGTTGTGGTATTATTGTTGGACTTGACAAAGCTGGCGGCGTAGTTTCCATTTGTGGTGGTACTTGTGATTCTGGCGTTGGGAGTATTTTTTGCGGTGCTCGAATTGTCTTAGGCTTTCGTACAGATGACGACGAGGACGCTACTACTTCGCTTTCTTCTGTGACGTTAGGATCATTCGCATTCGTCACAGGCTCTATGCTCTTTTTCTTTGTGGGCGACCTTTGGGGGATGGTTGGTGTGCTATTATTGGGCATGTTGGTGGCAGCCGGTATGTTATTTGTCGTGCTGATGAATCCTTTATTAGCCGCGTTTAATCTCTTCTTCATTCGAGCGAGACGGGCGAGAGATTCTGCAGAGGCCGCCCTTTCTTTAAGCAGAATCTCGTCGTCATCCTCCACTACCACCGTTTTCTTTACACTATTATTGAACGTCGCCATCATCTTTACAATTTTGTGACTTTGTTCTTTCTCCTTCGTAATCTTGGGGGAAGGAGTAGCAACAATTTTTTTGGGCGACACCACTGTCCTGCTATACGCGACACGTTTCTTGCTAGAAGATGAATAAAGTCCTGTCCCCATGTCGGGCGCAGTCGTCGACTCACTTTCACTGGTTGGTGGTGTGGCAACAATACCGGCACCAATTTGACTTGCTGATTTGTCAGGGGAGGAAACGGTTTGTATTCGCGGCGCTCCAGTCGTCGTCTTCTTAATTGGAAAACAAGACTCATTTTGAACTTTGTGAGGTGGTGGTAGCGATGGAGGCGTCACTTTAAACGGAGAAGTCGACATTATTACTGGTGGCGACAGCTTGGTTGCTGTCGGAGCCGTCGTGTTCTTGCTGCCACCACTTCCCACACTGGTACTTTTACCCTGCTGCTGACGAAGCTCCAATTTTTTCTTCTCACACAACTTCCCCGTCGAGACAGGCACTATGTCGGTGAACCCAAGAGTAAGGCGAGCCTTAATACTGGCGGCTAGGTTGCTGGCACTTGCAGAGGGGGAGGAGGAAGCCTTTGATGAAGTCTTCTCTGTTGTATTAGGTGGAAATTCGTCCTCGCTGCTGTCATCCTCAGAGAGATTAATATCCCCAATCTCCCTATCCTCGGATAAAGAGGATAGATCGTCGTCGTCGTCATCGTCTGAGGAGAGAGCGAGATCGTCCTTGAGGACGGAGCTCTTATTGGAAGCGACAGTGGCATCGACAGGGATTAAGCTCAACTCTGCGCCATCATTTGGCTCATTTTCTGCTGCTGGGGTCTTGGGAGGCGGCGATTCATTCCTGGTGGGTGGAAGCTGAGAAGAATTCCATTCAATTATTATTCCACTAAACTCTGAAGAATTTACTTCCTTGTCCATGATTTGAAACGCTATATTATCGTCATTTGATTGCAGCGAGATTGGAGCTTGAATTGATGGTGATGGGGGTTCTGATAGAGTCGAGTCGTCAACGGCGAGAGCTTCCACCCCAACCTCGACGAAATCAACCCCCTCGTCCACTTCCACTCCATTCAGGAATAAATCAACCCCCTCGTCCACTTCCACTCCATTCAGGAATAAATCAACCCCCTCTTCCTCTCTATCCATGAGAAAGTCATCTCCCTCTTCTTCATGTTCTTCCTTCGTGCTGGCGGTCATGTCGAGGACATCAGAGGAAGTGGCAGAGGCACTCTCCGCCAGTTCTGTCTTTTGTCGTTGTAAAGGTGACCCTTCTTCTTCATCCTCTTCATCTTTCCATACATCTACTTTGCCATTGCAGAGCTCAAGTTCTAAGTAATTCTGGCTTTTTTCGCCGCCCTTTTGCTTTAGGAATTTTCCATACTCGTCATTAATGTTGACCAGCTTGACGTCATTTGGGTTGTTGGAGAAGGATGGGATTTGTTTCATGTCAAGTTTGGGGAGGTTTTTGGTGATAATGCCGTATAGAAAGGCGACTCTCTTTCGCTGCATGGTTATTTTTGCCTCCATAGCCTCAATCTGACGAGCATGGAGGATTTTCTTGTTTTTCTTATCATCGATAAGCCTCTGGTTCTCTTTGATCGCCGATATACGCTCCTTTTCACTCCTGTCCAGCTTATTTTGAAAATCAGTCTTGGTCGCTTCAAAATCATATTCGTAAATGTACTTTAGCTTCTCCGAGTTCCCCAAGGCTGCCTCTTTCAGCACCTCCGTCGTCGTCGTCGTGTCCCATTCACTCCTGATTGACTCGTCCTTCTCCTTCAATCGCTGCAAACAAATTAATGCACATTAAGGATAGAATACATAGAATAAAAATAATTATTTAAGTATTTAATATTTAATTATCAAAGTATTAATAATTTCTTAGCTGACTCACCTTATTCAAAAGCTGGACTTCCAATTCCTTCTCCTTTAACTGCTCGGTGACCTGGCGGCAGTGGAGGTCCAACTTTTTCAACATCCTTTGCAAAAATCGTGGCGCCGTCGTCGTGATTTCTTGCTGTGCAGGGAAAACGCCATCCTCCATCCTGCAAAATATCAAAAAAGACACGATTATTTTAATTATTGGCACAGTTAATTAATTAAATACACGGAGAAAGTTATTAATTAACTACAAACTTACCAGGGAGCCAACTCGGTGAAAATGTTTTCGTTTTGAATCGCCACTTCCAAATTGGGGAGTTGAGAGTCTAACGATAACACCGGTTCACGGATATCTTCCGGGTCATATTTACTCCTGGGGGAGGAGCAGGAAGAGGCGTTCTTGGTTGGCGACGACGTCCCATTTTTCTTCTTGCGCCTCTTGACCCCCTCGGAGGAGGTCGTGGAGGAGGCGCTTGAGCAGACCGATGGCGGCTTCTTCACCCGTCGAGGGTGTAGTTTCATCCTCCGTGTCGTCCAAGGCGACGAACAAAGGTCACGCCGACCTGAGAGGAAGACGAGAGAGTGGCGACAAGCAGGCCGGTCCGAGTCTGAGACTACAAACAACGTTGGAACTAGTCGGCACCCGCTCAAAGGCACACGTTGAGGCAATCTGACATCACGCTTTAGCATAAGAGTAATTGAAAAGAGTATCAATTTTAATTTTAATTTTATTTTTAATTTTAATTTTTATTTTATTTTATTTTAATTTTAATTTTATGCTACATTTGTTTAGCTCCATAATTAATTATTAGCATGAATTAATACATGGTGAGGAGTGATTCGGCAAATTTGGCCGATAAATAATGTGAGATGTTGTAAATTGAGACAAATGAGATATGAAAATGAAGAATGAGACTTTCTTGAATAAAAATTATATTATCATTTAATTGTTCATTTTATGTAAATGTATATTAAAGAATTAATAAATTTTGATTGTTTTAAGTTGCATAATTAATTCATGCCATGAACTAATGGTGGGTGTGGTTCGATTAAGATGAGATGGATGAGGTAAAAATTGAGACGAATATGGTACAAATTGTTCATTTAATATCTTCAACTAAATATTTCTTGTATAGAAAAGTCCATAGACTATATTTAGTCACGATTTCGAACTATCATTAATTAACTTGTCATTGCTACTACTATAATTATAATTACTTAATCCTCCCCCAGAATTACTATTTGCTCCCGTTTCAAGAATTTCTTGCACATTTCCAATGTAAACTTCAACCTCGTCATCATCGTTTCGATTATTCCCATCGTCACCGGGGTCCCCACTTGGCGAATCATTCACCTGAGGGAGGTTGTACTTGTTTTCAAAGAATGAGACAATCCTATCAAAATTGGGACGTTCTTCTTCCTTTATGTCCCACGTTTCGAGCATCAATTCGTACCTGATGATGAAACAAGACCTAAAAATCCTCAAATTTCTAACTCAATTCAGGTTTCATAGTACGACTTACACATCGTTGGGAGCATTGTGGGGACGCTTCATCCGCAACCCGTCGTCCCGCACTTGCTCGATGAAGTCGACGGTCCAGGAAAATCCGGGAAAAGGGACTTCCCCCAAGGAAAATATTTCCCAAGTGGTCACGCCATACCCCCAAACGTCCGATTTCGACGAGAAGCGCATGTCTTGTAGCGATTCCAGGGCCATCCAACGCCACGGGAGCAATTTCTAAGAGACCACGTAAGGTCAGGAGAGGTCAAATTTAGTATGTACACACTTACATCCTGCTTTTTGACGTAGTCCGTGTACTGATAAAGCTTCTTGGAGAGGCCGAAATCCGTAATTTTTATTGTTCGTCCATACCCCAGAAGTAAATTTCGTGCCGCGAGGTCACCGTGAATGACCTGCAGGCAAAATAGCTAGCGGTGTTTAAAGGTAAAAAAATAAGGTCATAAGATATTTATTTACCTTCCTCTCTTCTAGGAACTGCATCCCTTTTGCAGTTTCGTAACACCACTGGAGAAGGTGGCGTGTCGTAAGCGTGTTGGCATTACTCTGGATAACATTCTGATATTGAGGTAGAGTCGCCAAACTGCCATTACTGTTGTCGGATGGCGCCTCCAAAGAGATAAAGTTACCATCCTTCCCAACATAGTTGACAAACAGACCTCTCCTCGCTTTCAAATAGTCGTGAACATTTCCAAACGGACAGAATTCCACGACGATGTATAAACGTTCTAAATAATATATAACGATTGATAAGGTCGCATTAAGGGCAAAATATAACGCTAGACAGACCCACTTACTCTGTTTAATTGCCGAGGTACAAGCCCCAACGAGATTCACCACGTTTTCATTCCTGGGAAGAAACGTCATGATTTTCAACTCGGCCAGGAGCGTTTTAAAGTAAGCAGGGTCTGTCGACTGGTGGACCGTTTTTACAGCGACACATGTCCCCCCATCGTCATCATCACTAGTATCACTTCCGGCCACCATATTATTTCTCAGCTTGGCTCGATACACGAGACCGAACGCCCCCTTGCCTAACGGAATCGTCTCGTCCATGTCAAGCTGGTCGAAACTGATCTCAAATTGTTTATTAAACGCTTGTCCCTTGATAGCAGCGAGGTCATACTCGTCCCCATGACCTTTCGAATGGGCTCCTTGACCTTTTTCAAACTCTTCCACTTCGGCATCCGTGAGGCCGGAAAGGGCAGCGTTGAAGCCGCCGTATGACCTGATTTCTTTAATGAAGGACGCCACGACGTATATCGTGTACGTCTTGTAGGCCAAGTAGAATGGGAAGAAGGTCAAGATTAAGGCGTTGATGGGGAAGAGAACCTGCGTCGCGAGCGTGGCAGAGGTCAACATTAACATGGCCGCGATCGTCAAGTAAATCCAGAGCATGCAGAGGCGACTGTTCCGCTGCAAAAAAGAAGGGGGGCACATGACCATTAGATTTTGGACTTATCCATCATCATGAGAGGTACATACCCGTCTCGCCGTCTTGAAGAGGAACACGGACAAACCGACAATGACGATTTTCTCGGCGAAATACGACGCCCAGAGGATGGCGCGGACTATAAGAATTACACAATTTAAGTTAAAATTTATAGTTAATTATTAATTACATATATATGATTATACCGTAGTAGAGGAACCTCAAGTTCTCATCTTTCCGCATGTCAACCCAATCCTGGAATTTCTTGACTAGCTCGGAAGCGATCAAAATCATGGCAAAGAGCGAAATCCCGATATCCACCATCGCCACGGCACGCACTCCTCCTTGGAGAAAATACCCGCAACACGGCTGGTTCCGAACGTTTCGCAATTTTTGAAACATTTTAATTTACAGCCAAAGATTTGGTGACATCTGAAAATTGTCAGATGCGTCCCAAAACTGCAAATTGTTTGAGTATCAAGTCTTATTTTTATAGTTTTCTGGATTTTCCATGACCAAGTTGGCTAATAATTTTCATATTTACATACATACAACTACTGATTACTGACCACATACACCTCGCCGTAGCCAAACCACACGACTTCCTGTTTTCTTGTAATTATTTACTTTTCTCCTGCAACTGACAGACACGCGTATCCAGCCTGATTTTCTACTTGTAATTAATAATAATGAATGAGATTCGTTAACTTTGATAATTTTCCAAATCTTTATTTTCTTAGTAAATCTCATCTACACAAATCATTCATACCACACATAAAATCACACACAGAAATTAATTGAATCATAAAAAAAACAGACAGCTTAAATTGATAGTTGAGTATGTCTGATGGATAATTGAGCATCAATGACGACGTCCACCTTCTTAGAAAAGCAACAGAGAGAGAGAGAATCCGAATCCACAAAAATTCAGATAAGTGTAAAACTACTCGCTTTCATGTTATACGTAACATCACAAAGTTTGAAATTAAAATTATAAAATTACTTAACTAAATAATTATAATTTGTAATGTCATCTCATACGTAGAAATATTGTCGGGTGAGTAGAATAATTTAAAAAGGGTTGAGAATTAAGTTATTAATTAATAATTATCATTTTCTATCATCTACGTCGAACGAAATTATTCTAATTTTTATCAAAAGCTCGAAACGAAAAGAAAACTAGCGAGCGTTTTTTTTATCTTATGAAGGTGTTGTTCCTAACGTTCATGTCTTTTAGACGAGTGGGTAGCTGGCCTGAGTAGCCACGCCGCACTGATTCTCCTTGTTCCTCGCCATCTTGATGTACCCACCGTCGCCCCAGGTCGTTCCCCAGGAATTCTTTACCAACCAGTAGTCTTGACCGTCCTCGGTGCCATAGCTGAGAAAAAAGACGGACAAAAAAATTGGATACAATTTTTAAAATTCAAGTTGTCCACTTATAAATTTTTCTCACCCCACAACCAAAACGCCATGGTCCAACTCGCTCGAACTGCACTTCTTCTCTACGTAAACCCCGCTCGAGTAGAATTGGAAGGATTCGTGGGAAGCGTCAATGGCAATGGAGACCTAAAACATAAATCAAACCACAAATCAAATCAAAGCAACCACAAATACCCATTTCAACTAAAGTTTTCAAGAGTATACTTACTGGTCCGACAGAAGCTACGGCCTTCATCAGCTTATCTTCGTCGCCAGAGGGAATGTCGACGTAGCCGGTGTCATCGGCACCAGAGTCAATCTTCTTGTAGCGGCAGGTATCATCCTGAGCCTCGTAAGGGTAGCTCGACTCCGTGTCAATTCCTTTGTTCTTCTTAATGTAGAGGAAAGCGTTGTCCATCAAACCACCGTTGCAGCCCTCGTTACCCTCATTCCCTGTAGAAAAGAGGACATATCGTATCAAATTTTGAGAAAGTGAGTTAAAATTCTCTCAATTTTGAACTGCGACTCACTTGAGCAATCGATCAAATTTTGTTCCGAGAGTGACACGAGTTTTCCGGTCTTTCTAACGTGCTGTCCCTCAAGGGCTCCTGTGGCAGAGAAGGACCAGCATGATCCACACTGGCCTTGATCCTTGACAGGGGTGACGTATCCCTTCGTCCTCCAATCGACCTCTTTGGGGGCAGTGAAGTGCTCAGGGGTGAGGAACGTAGCGCCGAGGAGGAGGTGGAGCGACGAGTTGCGAAGGTCAGAGCGATATCCGTTCATTTTCTTGGCAAATTCGTGCGAGAGGAGATCACCATATTTGTTCATGGCTGGGAACCAGACAAAAAAAATTAGAAAATTACATCATTTAAATTTTAGAACAGTAGTAGTTTGCATTTGCATACCTAATTTGTAAGGGAGGTTTTGTTCCTTGTTGTACTTGGCGATGCGGTGTCGGTTCTCGAGGTAGATCTGTTTTTTTTCATAAAGTTTAAGTTAGTAATTTCTCTAATAACCAGATCACTAATTTTATGTAATATGACAAGTATTGTACCTTCATTCGGAAACGCTCCTCCACATCGTTATTGTACTCCTTCTTATGGTGTTTCTGGGAATGCAAAAAAAACGATTATGTAAAATAAACATGCAAAATAAAATTATGAAAATTCATATTCATCAAAGCATTTTATTGAACATGGAAAATTTTTCATGGAAGATATATTATAGATTTATTTATTATAAGTTTCCTCGTTTGCATACGAACAAAATCATGTAATTCTCTAACATCATCCATCTGAAGGAAGAACTTGGTAAAAGTTGACAAAGTCCAGCAAAATAAAATTTTTAGCAAATATAACATGATGCAACCACATGCATGAATTTTTCGCATTGTTGCTAATTTGAATATACTATTGAACTATTAAGCGAACTGCGTGACTAAAAATTGAATAAACTGCGATCTAATCAAATTATGCAAATCGTATACAAAAATCATGGACTAAAACTAATTGTATGATGATGGAGCAATAACGTCAACTTCGCAGTTAAAACTTTAAATGACTTTTACTCCTCAGAGTTCTTGGAAGATCAAAGTGCAAAAAAATAGACGAAATCCGAAACCACGCTACCCTACCCAGGAATTTGTTTAACATTTTGACCTTCAACTTTCAAATTTTATGACAATAATAACACCATTAGTCACTTGACGAATTGAATGACAACTGGTATTGTGGTTAGTTCGAGTTACAAAAATACATATGCTAGTGAATCATCATTCTTAATTGTCATTTGTCTCCAGAAAAAAATAATTGCTTATTTAGTTTTTACATCATAAGAAATAAGAATGTTACAGAATCACTCCTACCTTTCGTGTAAATTCGGATAAATTGCATGATTTCGGCGTTGAAATGCGATTTTACATATAAGGTAAATAATAAAACGGAACGCACAGATGAGAGTCTCATCATTGATTGTAACGAGTTTTGCAAATCTGTACTTTTATAGAGATGATCATTGCAAATTTCAACTTGTTTATACATGCAAAATTGCAATTTAACAGCAAAGTTCGTGATTCATTTCAAGCAGCAGTATGACTTGGCCAAAATAGAGCTGCAGGCAACGCAAGTCGCAAAAACATGATGCAAATCCGAGTGCAAATCTACCCATTCCATGCAAACCCTTGTTGCTAGTCGAAATGTGCTGCGATGTAATTTAATCATCTCCGTTCGTCATTACCATTTTGACTCAGAGTTCACCACTAAATAACAACCTACAAGTATTTTCCCCGTAATGAAATTATCAATTTGGAGCGATAATGACCATCACACTCTAAAGGAAAGAAGCTAAAACTTGAAACGGAGTAAAATATGATGCAATCCTTTAGTCCAGCTGTTGTTTAAGAAATATGCTATTTTTCAGAATCTATCTTTTAATAATTTATCTTTTATTGTTAGAAGAAAATGTCTTCATGATGATCTATCAGCTGATGGTCTCGTGACGTGACGAAAAAAAGTACAACGCAGCAGACAAGACAAGGAAATAAAATGGCATGGCTTGTTGCAAAAGATGAACCCACGCCATGTTCTGTGTATTCGCCAGAAATAAGTTCGTCGCAATTAGTTTGCATGAACTTCAGGACACAAGAAAAAAACACACAATTTGTGTCTGTCTTTATCCAGTGTATAAACCAGAGATTAAAAGTCGATGAAAAACAAAAACAAGTTGAGAAATGAATGACAATCTTAAGCATTTAAAATTATTAGTTAATGGCAAATACATCTTTTATCGACTCGTATAAATATGCGTGTAAATTGAGAAAGGTTGATAAGCTACATGTACATGTACTATATTTCTCTTCTTATCAGTAAAAGTTTAAGTTTTGACATAAAATTGGAAAGAAATTGAACTGCGAGGACAATGAAAATCCTTGTTCTTATCAATCACGGACATAATATGAACCAAGAAGAAGATCAAGCAGAATGACAAGTTTGACGAACGATGATAACGTCAGCCAAAAATCACTCATAAAAATAATCCCTCAACCTTTTTAAAGACTTACTGAAGCAAAAAATTTCAGAAAAAAACACAACCAATATCTCCCTAACCATTCATAACCCCACAACATTTTGCAAAAAAAACATTACAAATTTCAATATCAAATCGTATAATTCCTCACCTTGAACGCGTCCCACTCATCTTTCGCCAGTTCGGAGAGAGACAAGGCTTGCGCCACGGTCAGGACGGCAAAAAGGGCAAAAATAAGGCACAACTTCATCCTTATAACTTCTTCAAAAACCAGAAACGTTTAAGAAATGTAAGTACAAAAATTATTCTCAAGAACACAAATTGTGAGTTGTTTTCAGTCCGAGGAGCGAAGAGTGAGTGAAGTTGGGGAGTTGTGCAGGCAAAAAGTAAATGACGAACCAATGTTAAATAGCGTCGTTAGTTAATCGTCAATCGGCCTGCTGCTGGGGTGACTGGTGGTGATATTCAGTCGGACAAAGGAACAAAGACTTGCTTCATATGTATACTTTTATGTGCTTTTTTCGCATTTAAATACACCCAACGAACCAACCACGAATTTACTTATATGTAAATTTGTGTAAAGATTGACTCATTTTTCCTTCATCAGTTAGTCTCACGTGAAGAAAAGTATTGAAATAATCGATGTTTAATACTTGGAAACAAGGTACATTATGCAAATATATGTAGATGATACCAAGTAAGCGGAAAGTTTTTCCTGATTTAGGTTGTTATTTAGTGGTGAACTCTGAGTCAAAATCTCACCCCGAGAAATGAATTGTCTTATGTAAACCATGTCAAGTTTAGGTCCTTGTGAAAATATCATGCACTTATCTTTATATTCTTATTAACTTGATAAGAGGACAAATGTATAATAATAATAATAATAATAATATTTATTATACTGATTTATATGACCATGAGATACAGGTAACAATGATCAAGACTAAAGAAGGTAGCTCTAGCTTAACATTTCACTACAAATAAGCTACATGGCATGTTTCAACAGTTTACATCCTATCTAAGCCATTACTATTACCGTCTTTAATTGACGTCAAATCAATAATTTATCAATATAATTCTGTGTCAATTTCTTGTCAAATTGCGTCGCGTCTGGGGAAGAAATGGGTTAAAGTTTAAAAGGGTTTGTTTGCATGAAATAGTTAAATAAATATGCAAGTTAAATATACCAAGAAAATTTCCAGTTTGAAAATGTAATGTTTGTATTTCTGGTATGTTTATATGGATGTATTTATGAATGATGGATGGATAAGTCAGTATCACATGAGCATAGAACCACACGCATGTTTGAGGTTATACTTACAAAGAAAATAGCAAGATAAGAAGTTATCATTCCGTAAATAAATATGTACCGAGAACAAAAATGTGTATGCATTTCCTTCCTTTCTATTTGTTTAATGTATTGGTTGGTCTCTTTACATCTGTCACAAATTTTATGAGCGTCTCGTCTCGTCGTGTTGGATGAATTGGATGAATTGCATTGGCCGAGATTTGCTGGTGTTTGGTTAGTATCGCAATTTTTATTAAACTTTATATGCTACATGTGCTACTAGTTATTTCTAGTTTGTACCGGACCAGATGGATGGACATTCGAAGAGGAGCTGGTTAAAAATTGTGATAAAAATGGCGAGGGGTAAAAATTGGCTAACCAAAAACCAGTCTAATGCTAAGTAAATGCTTGCAAATATAGTTAAACGATGAATGTGAATCTTTTTTGTATCTTACTTGACCAGTCTTCTCATATTCTCATTTCTGATAAAAGTACGTGCTTTTGGCTAACAGCTATGCTGTGCAATGATGATAAATATGTAGTTAAACGAGGCAGAGGATATAATTATTGCTAAAGTTAAAAATTTTGCTTTAGCAGCTGGTGGTCAATTAATCAATTTTTCATGGAGGGATGTTTATATATTTATATGAACGTATTTATTAATGGGGCTACGTGCCTGATTAATTACTATTCTTTTTTTAGATAAGCCGAAACGATGAGATCATTCATTTCCCATTCTATATAATTGTCGCCATTTTATTCGTAAAGCGCTTTACGAATGAAAGTGGTGCCTGAATTTATACTGCGTCTGTTTCTCAACCAGAAATAAATTTACAAGGAACATGTAAAATATGAAGTGAATCTTAGGATGTGAATCTTAGGCTGTGAATCTTAGGCTGACGTAAATGTGATTAAAATTCGGTATGTCAAGTTATATGCACGCGTAAGGTTCGTTAAAATGCATATGAATTGAATTATTGAATTCTCTACCAAGACATTTTTCACTGGAAGCTTTAGCACGCCAATAAAACACGACTGTCCCACATTGTAGTTGACAAATTATTTTTTAAATTAATTTTATTCGAATCAATCATCATCACATTCACATCCGCTCCAATCCGAAATCTCCAATCCAAATCATAATAAATCTAATTAAATTTATTTCCAACTTTAATTACCAAGTTAGGAAATTAATTAATTACACTTTTAGTTACGGGAGAACAAGGCTTCCAGTTTTTTTAGAACAGGTACAACTTTCACACAAGTTTTGATAACCGCACGCTTTCTCAAAAACCTCCATCCCTTCCTTTCTACAAGTAATAAACAATAGTAGCATCTACATAATAATAAGTATTTAAATAATCATAGTTAATTGATTAATTAAGTAATCATTCATCGAATAGTCATAATAATAATCTGACATTAAATCATCACCCAAATTATGGTTACGTCAAGAAGACGAAACCTTCTACATAAATGCGAGATCTCAAAACTATCTAAATTATATATCAGAACGAAAAAAAAACATAACAAAAAAACCGAACCAGACTTATCTCACAGATTATAATAAAGTTTAACGCATCGTCATCGCAATCACCATGATAAATTCCCACCCCACCCACACAACTATAAACTAATGATAATAGGGTCTGGTCAGCACAGTATTAAATGGGGGATTTGTTAATCCGGAGATGAGATTAGATTTCGATTTCTCTCTGCCTAATGGAAGATAAGGTGAAAACGTCATATAATATGTGGAACTATACGCTATCTTCACTACCGGAACCGGAAGAGTTTTCTTGTTCCAAGTATAATTCCAAGACGGAGAAAAATTAACACTAATCTGAATTAATTTTCATCTAACTCTATCTAACAATAAACTTCTACCTAATCGGAGAGAAAGTCAGCCTTACTTAATAAAATATGGCAACAATTATATAACAATTTATATAATAATAATTATAAGTTAACGTCTCGTCGTTCGTGAATCATTGGTGAGGAGAGATTTCGTTTTGCAGATTGGTCAGACAGATTCATTTTTAGTGGGGTTTCCACTAAACTTTTTTTTAGAGGAAGGGGTTATGGGGATTTGAGCTGGGCGCAGTCGTGGCTGTGGTGGCAAATGGGTTAAACATTTGAGACGATGAAGATGGACCAAACTGATGTTGAGAGTGACCACTAAAGAGAAAGTTTCCTTGATGACCTTGACTAGGGGGACCGGACCAAGAGGCTGGAGAAATAAAAAGCACAATTTGATATAATAATAATAACTTGGTGACATTTTTGTCAATTCTAATTTCTTACACGTGGCGGGCGAGGATGATACTCCCACAACTGCGGCGAATGGATTCATCGTGGGGGGAGTCGGACCGGCACCCCAGCCAGAACTGTTGGGTGATGTCCCAACTGTAAAGTAAGGTAAACATGATAAGTCAGGGTTGTTAATTTTATTTAAAAATTTATTACTGCATGCTTACACATTGAGAATGGATTCGGTTGCTGGTTGTGACCGGGCGAGACGAGGGATGACCACCCATTGTTTCCTGAGGAGGACAAATTGGCAGGCATCGAGGTGGAATTGCTCAGTCCGGTGTGATGTGTGTTGTTTGATGTTCCGTTAGTTTGGGGTGTCGTATTTTTTGCAATTTCGCCAGAGTCACTTCCTATTTGCAGAGCGAAGCAAACCTTATAAATCTAGATGAATTACTTAATAATTAATTATACACGAGTCACTAACCTTGTTTAAATATTTCGTCCAAATCTTTCAATGCAGCGTATCTATCGCCCGCACTTCCTCCTCCAGTGCCATTTTGTCCATAGTGACCATTATTCAGATCGTTGTTTAAATTTCCTCCATTTTGATTTTGGTGAGAGATTGGAAGCAGAGGTTTATCAAAGGTGGCAAATCCACCAAAATTTATAGAATTATCACCTCCATTTAGCACAATGTTGCTCGGCTTGTTGCGGCTTATGCTGTGATTCTTGCTGTGATTTGATGAATTCGAGAAGGGGTCGAAATTCGGGGAGGACACGCTCCCATTTTCTGGGGAAGAAAATGCTTCATCGAAATTGGCAAAGTTTGCATTGAAACCTGAATCAAAATAGATTTAAAAAATATTTAAACTCAATTCTACCTAAGATAAGTATTCAATGATTCTATACAAAATATATAATCCAAAATATGTTAAAAAAATATTATTATTACCATTTGTAGCAGCCCCTCCATCACCTACTGCCCAAGGATCTTTATTACTACTACTACTGCTCCCATTCTGTAGTTGGTGGTTTGTGTTGATTATTTTATCATCATGCTGTTGGACCACGGGATTGGACAGGTTGTTGATAAAGTTAATGGGCTGCAGGGGGAGGAGGGACGAGAGGGGCTTTATATCCGGTAACGTCTGTGAGTTGACCAGCCTTGACGAAGGTGTTCCTCCACCTGCTCCATTGTGATGTGCACCCAGACCGGAAGCGGAGATGAGGGAGGCGTTATTCCGCAAGTTGTTCATGATAGGACTGGGAGCGTTGTTACCGTTGGCGCTGGTATGGACACCCTGTGAGAGGGATGAACCGGACGAAGCGGAAGAAAGGGAGGGTGATCTATTCGAAACGGAAGAGCCCGAAGATGATCCCCCGGAGAGTGAGAATGACGCCACGTCATTGTTATGCAGGTCTGGGATTTTCGAGGGGTCGAGGTAATACCTCTTCTGTTCGTACTTTGCGGACATGTGGCTCTTTAACGTGTTCTTTTTATCACTGTCCGTCTCTGTGGTGGCAGAAGAGGCGAGATTGGAATCGCGAGATGTGTACGTGGCCAGCCAAACTTTCCGACAGTACTGAAACACAAAACCACCATTTAATTTCGAGTTAATACATAATTATTATTCAAATTGCATCATTTTCTTAATTTTGTGTCAAATCCGTAATCATTAAGTTCTTAGAATTATCATCATCGCCACCCAATTTGTTACTGACTGAGTGAGAGCATGGCATGGCATGGCATGAGTTATCATCAAATTCATTATGCATGTTATCATTCTTCTCCTTAGCACGAAATATTTGCTGCTTTTGGACTTCGGCGAATTTCTTATCATCGTATTTGCAAAAGGAATTTACATCAGTGTTGAACCGACGTCAAGAAGTAGCGAGAGATAATCCAGGATTGTAATATAGTAGAACAATTTATGCTGAGCTTGCGTCTCTTCTTCTGCAATTTTACAAGACCAGACGTGACGTGAATTTCTCTCTTTTTTGGCCAAACAAAAATAACCAACTGGACTAAACACGGCTTAATTAAGCGACGACGACGAACCACACCACTGCATGCAATAGTAATTAAATTAATTATTAATGCGGACCAACTGGACACAGAGCAGGCAGCCAGAGAGATGTGGTATCTGCTCGACATTGCATAAATCATGATGATGATACCAAACCAACTCGCAACAACCACGGGACAACAAGACTCTCAATTCTTTCCTTCTATTACGCAAAAACTACTCGAGATTCAACAACAAGAGCATCATTGCCAATACCAATACCAAAACCAAACCACGCCACAGAGAGATGAACCAAGTTCAACAACTAACTTTTAACCTGACATGAGAGACGACTATTCTCTCGTGGTGCCAGAAAGGAGAAGACCATACGCTTTTAACGTGGCATTGTATCACGTGGTTTTTTGTTTGAATTGTTGTGTCTCAACTTTCCCTTCCTCCATGTATTCAAATGGCGATTTTGAAAAATGTTCACCGCCTTTCGTTTTTAACAATATGAAGATATTAATGCACCTAAAAATCGGTAATTTTTAGGCTTACATAGTTAGGAGATAAAAATTTTGATTTTTTTCTTCAATGAGGAAATATTTAAATTTTATTGATTATTTTTCATCTATTTTATATTTATCTTCTTGTTGAAGAAAAAAATCAAAATTTTTATCTCCTAACTATGTAAGCCTAAAAATTACCGATTTTTAGGTGCATTAATATCTTCATATTGTTAAAAACGAAAGGCGGTGAACATTTTTCAAAATCGCCATTTGAATACATGGAGGAAGGGAAAGTTGAGACACAACAATTCAAACAAAAAACCCCGCATCAGCCAGCATGCTATTCCGCCTTAACTCCTTCTTTTCCAAAGGAATGGATTTAATATGAAACGTGATGTCCATAGTTTGACATTTCATCTATCTCAGCAAAACTTTTCTGGTAAAAAAGAGTAGTCGCGTATACACATAAAAACTACGCAGTCCATTCCACTCCTCAATGGAAAGAAGAACGAATAATGTCGGCCACGAGTGAGACCAAGTAATTAATTGAATTAATTAAGAGATAAAACTGGGCGACAATGACACAAAGGCGACGATATGGCGTGGCGCAGTTGTTTTTTCATCTGGCATGATGTTAATCTTTCCTATATAAAAATTAATTGAGATTTGATTGCTTTTGGGATTTGTCACGGACGCAATTCATACTTTCACCCATCGTTCGTCGTCTCATCTCCTTTTAAGTGTCAATTAATAATTAATTACAATTGTTTTTTCTTAGTGAGGCAAAATACTTAGCAACGAAAAAACACTAAGTATGCAGTTACTCACGTTAAAAAAAGTGACATTTTACGATAACTTAGCCATTTCTCAACCGATTTTGATGAAATTTTGCACCGGTCATTCTGACTCAATTCGAAAACGATTTGCTATTGGACTTAGCGATTGATTGATTTTTACTCGACTTATTAACGAAAATGTACCCCTGGTAACACATTTTGATTTTTAACTAATTACTGGAGAATCAGGGGTAGTTTTCTGATGGCAAAATTTTAGATAAACTCACTCTGGATTTTTTAAGCCAAATATGACCAAAATCGGTCAAGAATTAACTGCGTAATGATTTTTCTTAGTGAGGTAAATTCCTAGCAACAAAAAATTCACTAACTATGCATTCACCCCCCGCCAACAAAGTGACTGCAGGATAACTCATGCAAAGATTTTCATCTTCAACTGATTTTGATTAAATTACACGTATCATCATTACGCAATGGTTATTGAACTCGCTTTTGTAGTTTTAAGTTTTACAGCCAAAAATGTGATCTTAGTAACGTATTTTCATTTATGGTTGATTTATAGAACAGCTAAGAAAGTTTTCAAACCCCATCAATTATAAAGTATTTTTTCTGTAAATTTTAAGATAAGGAGAGTCAAAATCGGTTAAGAAACCGCTACAATATTCCATTTAGAAACTTGGTAGCCACGCAAAGCATTTAAATAGCTGACAACAAATGCTATGCTAACGCTAAATTTGAGGAATTCGTGGTGTTTATTATGTAAATCACTCAATTACAAGTATTAAGTAAACAAGGTCCTAAAAAAAGAGGAAATCTTAGTGAGGTGGTGCAGTTACAACTAATAAATAAAATTAGATTGCAGAATTTTTGCATCACCGCTCTCGGTGCCATTTTTACTATAAACTTTGCTTGTATATACGTGAATTCTTGATTTTACTGAGTAAATTGAGACTTCAAGAAGATGTTTTTGCTAGAAATTTTGCGAGAATTGGGCTAAATTTACTGAGATAAAATATAATTGATAAACTATTGTGAACTATATACGGATTTGTTTTAAAAAGTTCTAAAAAGCTAATCTATAATTTCCCTTATTAATTTGGATATTCTATTATTCTTACGAACAGACCAAATAAATATTTTAAATGATTATTGCTTCCAGAAAAAATTGTACCAAGAGCGGTGATGCAAAAATTCTGCAATCTAATTTTATTTATTAGTTGTAACTGCACCACCTCACTAAGATTTCCTCTTTTTTTAGGACCTTGTTTATTAGCTAGATAGTTAAATACCTCATTTCCTCTCGTCCTCAAAAACTGGATCTCGTCGGGAGTAAAGGTGGCCATCGAGATGGATTTGACTCGGTGTGGTGGCGTTATTCCTCGCCTGTCGAGAAGAGAAAATGAAAATTTAGTTAAATGTAATTAAACTTAAATATGGTTAAAAATAATGTGTAATAGGGGCATCATAATTATTAAATATTAAAAAACCATTAAGACAAAGAATTGCAGCATTACGTAATCATACAAAAAAGCAATTAAATGAGTGAGTCATATTCATTTTCCTTCTTGGGTGAATGTGAATGTGGGTACATATTTATATATTTGCATAATTTGGGTGGGCTGGGTTTAAAAAGAATGATAAAAACAGGACAAAAGAATACAATTAAAAATTAAGAATGTGACGACATGGAGTGGATTGATGTTATTGATAGTAGCGTTTCTGTCGGATTAATTCATCATTTTATACTGGATTTGACGCCATAAAACGGAACAGGAAATGATGACATCACAAATAATAAGCTCTGAACATTATTCGTCCAGCGAACTTGATGAATGTATAACTTAAATTCGTCCAATTCGACAGATTACGCCACAAAAATCGCCATCCGCCCACGCCACATCATATCTACGCCCGACGCCCACACACATTCTCGTCCTTGTTATATTTCGCCACCCCATTTTCCACTAGAACTGGCCTGTCGGTTTACTTACAACAGTCCTGAGCAGGTCATGCAAATAAAGGATCCGATCGTAACGTCGACATAGGTCGGCCCTCTTTGCGAACACTCGAAACAATGGCGATTTCCCTGCAGCTGGACCAACTCGCGGAGGGTCTTCATATGCGACTCATCCACCAATTTGGCAGCTCCAGAAGATGAGGATGATGTTATCCGACTGCTCGTTTTTGACGACATCGTTATTGATAAATTTATTTTGCCAATTTAATCGCCAACTTTTTCACTATACAGTCGCACAACTTAACTTCGTTTTTAGCTTCAAAGTAACGTATACATATATATATATAAGCACTCTCCACCAGATTGGAATTAACAATGATAATTTGTTATTCGATACTTGGACGATATCGATCGATAAGAAAGAGAAAGACGGCGCACGAAACAAAACCAATGTCACAATGTCAATACTACCAAACTCCCTACAAACAACTGGATGGATAAGAGTCACCACACAGCTCAGATAAGCCCCTCCTTATCAGCATCAGTCGCACAACAAATCCTTCCCTATAATAGATCTCCTTCCACCTTCCAAGTGATTAACTGTAAAAAGTAAAAACAACTCCCGTCAAAATAAATAAAAATAAATAAAACATTTCCCATTTCACTTTCTTTTCATTATATTTTTAAATAATACTTAACCCTTCATTCATCATTACCTGACTGACTAACTGAATAAATAATTAACTCACCTCTACTAATTACACACACCAATTCGTCACCTTTCCTTTTCCTTCCGTCGTCGTCCCCCCACCAAAAAAACTACTATTCCACTTTATTAACCAACTGTTCAATTAAGCGCACAAAAATATTTAATTTGTGGTTTCAGTTAAATTTAACAACAGACTCGAATTCCACTTGTTGTTTGTGGTCTCTCTCTCTTCTCGGCTGGCAATAAACGAAGTCAGACCAGGCAGGCGGATGTGTTGCTGAATGCAACGGGTTCTTTCTTCTATACCAAAATGAGACCTCGTTCTCAATAGCTTAGCATATAGATTCATATGAGTTTCAATCTCATCTTCACCACCAAACTCTTACACTTCAATGAAGTGACTTCATAATAAAGCAGTTGGACTGAGCTACGAGCTACACGATTCCCAATGCATCTCGCATCTCTCGTCGTTATTTTATCACCTCGTTCGTCGTCGTCGTCTTTTTTAACAGAGTGCGAAGAAGAAGAATTCCCAACCACCACTTATGATTAGACGCTTATTACATTACCAGGCGAATGATACCAAACTAACCAACAGCCACATAGTCATGATACCAACCAACCCTTTGTTGCTGCTAAGAAGTGAATTACTTACATGGTGTATGCAAATGTGTATGTACATATTTCGTTTATGCACAAGAGGGAAGAAGCCACTACAACTAATAGTTGTTGCGGCTCTCTTCGTATTAGGAGAGAAGGTTGGCATAATTTGGCAAGTCAGGAATAAACAAGTCGTAAATAGAAGGAAGGGAAAGGACACGGTATTTGCATGACGGGAACGGGACTCGTGATGTTGGAAATGGTTTGACTTTTGGGAATTTGCAAATTTTAGAAACTGGATAGAATTTAAGACTTGTTTTGTCAAACATTTTTTACAATTTTTAATACATTTTTTACTCAGCTACATAATAATTACAGTTAAGACTTGTTAACAAGAAGTTAAGCAAGTCGATCGTCGCCCGTCACAATTATGTTGTCAGTTATGATGCGGCGATCGACTCACTTTTCTGTGAGGTGACGATGGCTCAAAATAATATAGCTTAGATATCTAATTGTCGCCCCTGTCTTATTATTAGCGATCAATTTCACCAAAGACGACGTCCAGCGTTCCAATAATGGCTACGATATCGGCCAACATATGTTTCGGACCGAGTTTTTGTAAAGCGGCTAAATGTGCGAAACCAGGGGCCTTAATTTTACACCGGTACGGTTTCGAGCCGCCATCTGAGACTAGGTAGACGCCAAATTCGCCTAATAAAAATTAAATAACAAATCAGTCAAATAATCCGAGATAACATATCTACGTTTGCATATGTACCTTTTGGAGCTTCGATGGCCGTATAAGTGGACCCCGGTGGGACTGTGTAGCCTTGCGAGAACAATTTAAAGTGATGAATCAACGCCTCCATGGATGTCTATCGGATCAGGCCAATTAAATTAATTATTAGTTTTAAATCATGACGAGTATTCAAAATTCCAATATAGCACCTTCATTTCTGCCCGACTTGGCGTGCTAATTTTTGCATCGTCTGTTTTCACCGCTCCTTCCGGCATCTGATTTAAGCATTGTTCGATAATACGAAGGGATTGACGCATTTCCTCAATACGGATTAAATATCTGGAAATACCAATTTATATTAAGAAAATATACACCGACCAAAAAATAAACGAGATGACTCTCTCTAACCGATCGTAGCAGTCGCCCTTTGTGCCAATGGGGACGTCAAAGTCGACAAGGTGATAGGCATCGTATGGTTGCGTTTTTCTCAAGTCCCACTTAATTCCCGAGCCACGCAGCATGACACCTGAAAAGCCGTAGTTGAGCGCCTCCTCCGCCGTCACGATTCCAATGTCAATCGTTCTCTGCTTCCAGATTCGATTCGCCGTCAGTACGTCCTCCACCTCGTCCAACCGTTCGGCAAACTTGGTAGAAAACTCGTAAATGTCGTCCATCAGACCAAGTGGCATGTCCTAAACAACAACACATTTACTAATTAGTATGCATGGCACTTATGGTTCCTAGCGTATATAATTTCTCACCAGAGAAACACCTCCAGGACGGACGTACGCGGCGTGCATTCTCGCACCGGAGACGCGTTCGTAAAACTCCATCATTTTCTCGCGCTCCTCGAATAACCAGAAGAAGGGGGTGAGGGCTCCAATATCCAGGGCGTGCGTCCCCACGGCCATGATGTGATTCAATATACGTGTAATCTCGGCAAACAAGACTGCAGAGAGAGAAGAGGAGTTATATCAAAATTGCATTGCATTGGGACCGTATTTAATTATTATTCACCTCGGATGTACTTTGCCCTGATGGGGACATCAATGTTAAGAAGTTTCTCCACCGCGAGGGAGTAGCACTGCTCGTTGCACATCATAGAAACGTAGTCCAGCCGGTCAAAGTAGGGTAGCGCTTGTGTATACGTCTTGTACTCGATAAGCTTCTCAGTTCCTCTGCAATTAGTAAAATAAATTACAGGGATATACACTTATTTCACAATGTGATGATAAAGCTAGCCCTACACACCTGTGAAGTAGACCAATGTGTGGATCCGCCCTGACCACGGTTTCACCCTCGAGTTCGAGAACGAGACGCAATACGCCGTGAGCTGCGGGATGTTGTGGGCCAAAATTTAATGTCAAGTTCTTCACCTACAGTTAATTATTATTAGCAAATGAATATATCCAAATAAGTGCTTTTATTAAAGAATTACCTTCTTTTCAATTTCCGGACGATTCTCAGACAACATAAGGATATGTTTCCACTGTTCGTGACCCGGATTCCAGAGGTAAGGACCTTTCATTTCTTGCAAGTCTTTTTCCTCGGGGTACCATCGGGCAGCGGAGCGGTTGGGAGTCCGACTAGACCAATTAATTAATTACAAAACAATTAACAAATTAACCAAATTAGTTTGAAAGTTGAAAGTCAGAAAACAAAGTTGTCCTCTACTTCCACTTACTCAAGCAAAACACTCCCAGATGGTTCGAGCAAACCACAACTTTTCTTCAACGCTGAGCCAACAATCTTCTGGCGTAAACCGGAAACCAGAACGGACGCCATCCCGTCACTTGTGCCAATTAGCAATTGAATTTACCAAAATCAAAATTTTGAGAATTTTTAACTGAGCTGTTTTTATTCGGCTGCTCAGCCTTAAATTGAGACTCGTGCCTGAATTTACCAGGCAGGATTTAGCCTTCCTCCAAAAGCATAAATCTAAATAAACAAAACAGCGCAGCGAATTTTTCTTTATGAATCGAGATAAGGCAGCGCTTATCCAACTAGCACCGAACTTATCATTATGCAAATAATCATAATACAACAGACAACCCAAATATATTTTTCATTTTCAAAAAATCTTCTCTTTAATCAAATGAAATTTGAAAAGGCTACAAAGCTAACGTACATATACGACTGACCAATCACGCCCACTTTTCCGCCATCTCCTCCTCAACCTCAATCCACACCCACACACAGCATTATTATAACATTAAGTATCCTAAAATAATTTGCATGATGACTGACTATATAGGCTGACCATGATGCGTAAATACAATACATATCAGTTTTCTTTTTCTCCTGGTTTAACACATTTTAGAAATTTTGAGCCGATTCTTCATCCTCTTCTTCTTCTTCTCCCTCCGTGGTATTCTCCGCATTGTTTTTTTTATTAATTAGCAAGTAACTATTTTTATTAAGCTTATTTTTTTTAACTATTAGCTAATTTATAACTAACTAGCAGTGCAGAGTAATAGCAAATAGCAGTAATATTTAGTCGTAGTTTAGTATAGTAGTAATAGTAGTAGTAAATTTATAATTTTAATTATTACAAGTAATAATCATCATTGTTACAAAATTACCATCAATCGTAGTTTGGTAGCAAGTAGTATTATGTATAGTTGAGAAGAAAAAGTAGTTACTAACATTTTTAGTCAAATCCAACTCATTAATATAATTTAATAATAAGAGAAAGCATTTATTGTAGGGTTGAAGGGGGGTAGGGGGAGGGACAGCCTCATCCTTCTCATCCATCAATATCCACAGGATACTAAGTAATCTCCTAACTTTTCAACTACCGAGGCCGCTTGCTGAGGTTGGATTGGATCTTCGTACAGGGACACCACAACGGCTGCGAGGAACAAACACAAGAGTTAGAAAATTAAACTATATTTAAACATCAATTTTACCAATTCAGAGTAAATTATAATAGAATGGATGGGTAGAAGAGGGTCATATTTCGAACGACGAGAAAAAGAGATTGCTTTCATCCATCGGCAGTTTCTCCATTTCCGGCCGCCTACTGCTCATCATGACAAAGCCATTGTGTCAGCCAAGCCACTCTGTAGGTGGGGAGGTGTCTATTTCCTTCCGGTCAATGTCATCTGTCATCGGCTCGAAAATATGACACCAACCAACCATCCATCCAAACCACCCACCTTGTTGAGTCTTCATGCAGTGGACGCCGATTTTGCCAAACTTGGCACGGACGACGCGATCAGTTCCGGAGAGGTAGATGTACCGCTGTCCTGCCAGCGTTACTCCCGACCCCGTCAAAATGTCCTGATTATCAAATCCCGAGACCAGCTTTACAATCTCTTCCTTCCCAACCTGCACAAAAAAACAAACACAAAGTTAGACACAGACCAACAAAACTTTACTTTTAGTGGCGAATCACATCATCAAATATTTCTGTACAACTTCCTAGTTCTTCTTCTTCTTATCCAATATTTAAAAGAGGAAGAAAACAATACGAAACCAACCAGAGAAAGATTTCACAACAGACACACAGCAGAAATACGAATCTTCTAGCCAACATAATCCCATCTCAGATGCATTCTCCTCAGAGAAAGAACTTCTCTCTTTCACCAGAGAGTAGAGAGAACAAAATCATCAGCCTCGCCGGTGGTGCATGTAACAATAGCAGTCGGTGAATGAAATCTTACAAAAAATGCATGAACGGCTTGCTTCGAGAGGTACTTACTTTTTTAATGTAATACCCACCGAATTAATTCCATTCGTTCGTTGGATTCAGCAGTGTACATACTATGGCCAAGGCATGTTTTATCCGGCATTTTGTGCATTTGAGACACGTCACAAGCGAACATTTATTGTGACATTGGCCTTCCGGGAGAAGAATTTTTGGGCATAAATTTCATGAGCATAAGTACAACTCTAGGATTAAGTAAGAACAAAATCCGTATCGAGAACAATAGGACAGAATTTTTTTCATATTTTACAAATGAAACTAGTCTATTGGTCTGTTTTTGGGAAGATATCTAATAACCCCATCTAATCGCAGCTTTATATCTCTCTATCGTCTACTAAATATCCCATCTTATCTAATCCAATTAAGTAATTGCCAAAAAACTAACTTAAACCGTCTAATTAAAAGAGAGTCCAAATCTCACTGTAATAAAGTAAAAAACGAAACAACTCTCACTCAATTTTCCACTGCAAACTTTTACAATTTCATTTCAAGATTATTATACTCGTATTGTTTTAATAAATCTCATTTTCTCAGCAAAACTAAGTATGTAAAACTCGGCTTCCATTCGACTCATCCATTTCACATTTCTTATTTCTTGCTTAAATTTAATCCTTAATTTTTGCATTCAATTCAATTCATCCAATACAAGAGAGCCCAATCAACCAACTGACAGACATCCGTTTCTTTCTCTCTCCTCCTCTTCATCCGGTCGTCGTCGTTGACTAAAAGTCTAAAAGTCATACCAAGCGAAATATACATGACCATCCGCATAATAATAAATCATCAATTCATACCACCACCACCAGCACAAATTTATAATCATAACGCTGCAAAAATTAGCCAGTCATTGAGATATGATAAGCTTCATGAAACAAATGCAGCAAGATAAGATTCCTTCGTCATGTCCAAATGCAGTCCAACTTCAAACACGGACCTAACTGAACTGAACTCAATCCAATACATGGAAATCAACCCATTTTTATAAACTAACGTCATTTCATTATCTATCACCAAATTTTAGTCCGGCAACAAGTGGGTTCAGATGACATTGCTTTTTTCCGCCATCATTTCCTTTCCAGTAAGTAAAATAATTTCCAATCCAAAGCCCAGCCCAGGCTAACCAAAACCTTATCACGAACGGAAATATATTAATCCACAAAATAATAACGAGGATAAAATATAACACAATTTTTGTCTTATTTAACTAAATTAATATCAAGAAAAATAACGCCCCCACAAAAAAACTATTCATTACAACCACCAAATATTCAATTGTCCTTCTTCTTCTTTTAAACCTCAAGGAAAAGGAAAGTACGGAATGAAACGACATAACGCCAAACAAAACCAATTCTGCCAACACCACCACAATAGCCAAAAAGTATAGTTGTACTGTACATACATACTTAAAAAAACGTATCGAGGACACGTTCCGCGAAAAGAAATAATAATAATAAAATTTGTCAATTCAAACACTCACAGCTAAATACTAAACTAATGAATGACCTAAGAAAAACTAGCACCTAAAACTAAACCAATTCCCAAGGCCCATACAAGAGAACGGGACACAAAAATGTGTCAAAACCACCAAATTCGTTCTCCTCGCCTTGTTTGGAACTCAATACATAAATCTGTCCAAATCCATGTATCTTTCTATCTTTTGCATACGGAGGCAAGATTTTTCGCAGTATCGACACATATCTGTCAAAATAAGCCATCCGTCCGTTCCAAACATGCAGGATAGCTCACCTCAAACAAAAGTCAACAACAAGGCTCAATAATTTCGAGATCCTAATAAAGACTGAATTCTTGGATGGCGAGAGGAGCTACAAACAAATAAGGACAGCTAACCTTTCATAACATAATCCATCCATTTACCAGTCAACAAACTAGAGAAATGCAGAGGAGAGGTGATTAAACAATGTGATTATTATTATGATATCAAATTTGTAGATGGGTGGATTGGATTGCCTGCCTGTCTGACTTCGATAGCCAGCCACCACACTTTACTGTTGTGTGTCTATCTCCTACCTTCATCTCTTTTGTATTGCAAATAAGCCAAATTTCCCCCATTATCTGGCCACTTTTCTAAAAATGTCTTATTTTACGCATCGCGACGCATCTTCACCTCAGCCCCTTACACAGATTTCAATTTCAAATGAAAATCACTCCCTCGTCGCTCTCTCTCGACTTAAGTATGTGCAGATTACGTTGCTAAATTAATCCTCACCTCTTCTGCAAATATATGTCACTGCACAGTAAAAAAAAAGTCGCTCGTCCCCTCATTTATTTCATTTCGCACCAGCTGCCGTTATTTACTCGTTCAGTAAAACGCCACATGCATCTTTCTTAACTATACCAGTCGGCCAAAAAGAATAATGAAAGTCAACACATTTACTTTTTGGGGACGACGACGACATAACATTTAAGTGGTCCGAGACTACAATAAAAAAACATAAACGGGGCTATTATGCAACGTCATATTTTTTAGGTCCACCTTAAACGATCTCCTAACCATTTTCCCGTCTGCTAAGACAAAGTCTTGTGTTTAATACCGGGCAGAATCGGAGGGTGGATTGGATTGGAAAACCAGGCATAATAATATTTCGTCTTCTCTCTCTCGACTTTTAGGCTTCCTTTTTGCACACTAAAACTCAAACCTGAGATGAAATGAGCAGATGGAATGCATCATCGTCATCGTCGCAATCCGCTCTCTCTCTCCTCATGTTCAAATGTTCATGTTAACAGAAAAACAGCTAAAGTACATACTACACATACATACGAGGAAAAAGCATCACGTAGCCAATAATCCTACACGGAATTAAATTCAGTCCAGTAGTAGCATCAGCAACACCAGTCCACCCACCCTCCACACACCACAGCATATTACATTTACAGAGAGATACTCTGCTAGACCGGTGTATATTTCTACCACCACACCACCCGGGTGCTTTGGTCTCGGTGAGTACAAGTTTCGGACGGAGAGAAGATGAGATACAAAATTACAGCCTAATAAAATCCAGCCCAAACTCGAAAACCGATCGTACAACATACACAAAATAAATTCTGCTCCTCCTCCATCATCCATCCCGAACTTCCTGTCCTCTCTCTACATCTCTCATACCATACATATGCACATAAAAGCATTCTTCATCACGGCAAACCGCACCAAGAGCTACATTCACATTCAACTAGTAGCTTTTCAAAAGAATTTCAGAATCCAAATCCCTTCAATAATGTCATACATACATCAATTAAGTATGGATTTCCATTCATTCATTCACCCTCTTACACAAGAGCAGCTAGATACCAATATCTATAATTAAGTAATTGCTTAATGCTTGCTACTACATTTATTTGATCCGGGACAGAGAATACCCGGGTATTATCCACCCACCCATCCATCATTCCTTATCCAATGATAATCATCTTCTTCACTCATCTTATCAAATTCTTCCTAGAAGAAGACCAAGATGGATGAAAGAGAGATCAAAGAGGATTACAGTTCGATATCAAGTCCATGAAAAATATTGCTCTCATCTTTCACACAGGATGGAAAATCATGCGATACGAGCACCACCACGAGGACAAACTGTATCCAATCCAATCTCCGAGATGAGAATTTGATGCCAATACCGAAACCTTTTATCACTCGAAACTCATTCGACGAATTGTTTTTGCCTCTTGTGTGTCACACTGACTCGGTAACATTGATATCAAATCCTCCTTCCGCATACCGGACTGACTCATGGCGATACTAACCCGCACCGGGTTTGCTACTCCCACACACGATCATCACTATCAATTTCTAAATGCCCAGGAAAAAATTGTACAATAAAATAAACTTAACAGTTATCATGATTTTATGGATGAACGTGTCAAAGTCGAAATCATGCACAAATCACGATCCTTCCACGTGACGAGGAGATTCAATTATTCACTCAATGCCATTCACCTCGAAGAAGAAAATATGCAAAATGGAGACAATTCGTCAAAAAATTCTTATGAAAATGAGCACCCAAACCAAACCAGTGGAAAGGACCTATCGTCCTTCCATCCTGATGATGATAAGGTGATCGCTATATGAAATACTACATTATGCAATTTTACATACTACCACATGACATCCAACCCAAATGTGTGACCAGACCAACCCAGAATAATATGCCACCAACATTACAGGCAAAACCACTTTGCGTTACTAGTCCTACTGAACCATTCTGGAAATAAAGGTGAGTCACCTCGGCAGGACTACAACTCCTCGCCCATTTTTCATCACTTAATCCTCGACAATATTATTGGACAAAAAGGAAAGGATTGGATCATTTTAAGTAATTTAACGAATTACAAATTTTCCATCCACCGAAATCCCTAATTCAAATGCACTTTACGTCCTCCTATGGTTCGCAATTTGATGAAATAACTGAAAAAATAGCCTGTACGCAAAGAAGTCGATACCATTTTGTGTATTGTCTCTCAAATCAAAATTATCCGTCTTATTTCATCTCGCATTAATAAAATTGCAATTCTACGAAAAGAATGAATTGCACAGATTGCGAGACAGCATATAAAAAATACCATATAATTCAATCTAATTAAATATTCATCCCAAAACTATGTTTCTAACTAACGATCCATTCATCCCCTATGCAAAAATTATCATTTTTCGTCCCCATCATTTAATGGATGCCTCGCATACATACACCGCAATAAAATAAATCTGATTGTGGTGATCTACTTTTTCCCGTCAAATAAATAATTCAGAAGAAAATAGTATCGCGAATTTTGTGGAGCAAGGTTGTTTGCAAGAGAACCGAGATCCAGAGAAGACTCCGGAGAGGAAGTTTGGGACGGATGGATGGAAATGTCCAGGTATAAGTGACGCTGATTGGACAGGTGACTGATAAGCAGGCAGAATCAAGACGAAAAAGACGTGTATTTCGTATATGCAAGTGCTTAAAAAGTGTTTCATTCGCGATTTATTATGCAAGTCAAACATTACTTTAGCTAAGAGAATTTTACAAATTGGCGACACATAGTGGGATGAGATCATCCGAATTTCAGCTATTTCGCAGAATTTTTTAAAAGCATAAATAAACGGACAAAGATAGCGGGTTGTTGGCGTGAAATTAGTAGAGTTGTACTTATCCAGTATATTATGGCATGCCCTTCAATTTTACAGTATCCCCCCCAAGGCAAATGTTATAGTTATAACAGATGTCTATGCAATTTACTCCGCATTTATTTACCTATTTACATGTCTAATAGTACAACTCTGCTTCTAAACTTTGCCCCGGTCATAAATTCTACGTTAAAGGATAATAATAATAATTTTTATCTTATCGGTTCTTTCACCCCAACCGAGGCATACATAACATGCCATAATTACTCATCATTATCCTCCTTCTCCTCCCCTCCCAAAAGCATCCCCCTTCACCCAAAAAAAACCACACCCATCTTGGATCTTCCTCCTCCCACCAGTTTCCTTACATCTTAAGAATCATCCCCTTTAATAAAACTATCTCGTCCATCCAATCCATTAAGGAACAATTACTTTACTAACCTCGAAACCATCCGACTTGGCCCAAACGTTCCCGTCCAGTCCGGCAATGCAAGCTTTCGTCACACACTTGGAGGCAAGCAACTGCTTGTCGACGTAATCCTGCCAACTCATCCTGGAAAACTATTTTTTTAGACTTTGGCGACACCGGCTTGTTGGACAGACAGGGAGAGAGAGCAATTTGCTGTGTGTTGTTCCTCTTGCCAGGTTGGAGAGCAGAGTGAGCTAGTTGGATGACTCGCAATGGCCGACTCCACCACCACCAGACCAGCCACCACCGTACTCCTCCGCCGACCACATAGTCCGTCTGAGGGACCCTCCACAAATCGTGGCGTCGAAGTCGTCGTCCCCCCGACGTGGGGGGCAAAATCTAACTTCATCCCCCGGGGGGAATGACGTATCATGGAAATTTCTTAAAATTTCTGTAAAAAACTACAAAAATTACGGTTACTTATTAATTAATTAAAGTAACAGTAATTAATTTAATCAATTATTCAAATAATCTGCTACCTCATCCTTCCCGATAACAAGCTGACACTGAAATAATTGGAAAATTCACCGAAAAAACCGAATCACGTCACTCCTGCAGGAGCAGAATGATTCGAGCTCTTTGTTGCATAGAGAGATGTGTATTTTTTATGAGTCATGCTTCGAGATGATATCCCCTTTGAAATCCAGAAAATGTATAGTCGACATGAGAAAAAATGCTGGTAAAATAAATGAAATTTAGGAAAAGTCATCTCTACAAAAAACACTTGCTATTTTTATTTTATACATTTATTTCTTTTCATTTGTTTTATATACCAAATCCATCCAATCCTCCACTATTAAAAAAACAATACAATTGTGTATCATTTCTTATTAACCTTAGTGTGTATCGTAAATCAATTTTTTTTCATGTAAATTATTTTTCAGCTTATCTTATCAAAAGGAAAACCCAATTTATACATTAGGTATTTAATAAGATTTAATTATGTTTATGTATACAAGATTTAATTATTTATGTATATAAGATTTAGAACTTGGAAACATACTCAATATGTTTCTCTCATTTTTACCATGTTTCAAATTTTTGAGAGTTCTCACCTTACAATACGTTGATAAAGTGAGAAGAACTTTTGCAAGAACTTCAACTCCTCGCAGTGTCATAAAATGAGAACTCTCAATAATCGGAATTTCTGCTTATTTTTACTCCCTCTCATCATTATCAATCTCACCCCACACCAGCCCATATTTCTAGTAATTAAGTGCCTAACTAACTAATACATCAATTAATTAATAAATTGTAGAGTACAAAAAACTTTTTGCTCCGCTTTTTTCCTTTCCGTTCCTAGTTGCCCTTAGTTTAGAACATGTCTGCTACATTGGAGGGCATCTCAATGATTTGTGTATTGTAGAATTCTTCAATATCCTTCAGAGTGCGGTGATCTTCGTCAGTGACAAAATTGATGGCGACACCTTTACGACCGAATCGGCCACCGCGACCAATTCTGTACAATAAAAAATCACACAAGAGTTATATACACGGAAAGAGAAAGTAAAAGTAAAAAGCAACAAAAATTATAAAAGACTCACCGATGAATGTAGTTTTCGCGATTTGTTGGCAAATCATAGTTGATAACGAGCGACACTTGCTGCACGTCGATACCTCGAGCCAACAAGTCCGTAGTGATCAAGACACGAGAAGATCCAGAGCGGAACTCCTTCATGATGATTTCTCGATCTTTCTGATCCATGTCTCCGTGCTAAAAGTAGAAAAAATACCAAAAATTAGCCACAAATTCAATTCCATCCAAACTACACCCACTCACACGTAATCTTAACAACAATTTTAACTTACCATGGCGGAGACAGTGTGCTCCTTCTCACGCATTCGTCCAGTCAGCCAGTCAACCTTCCTGCGAGTGTTACAAAAGATAACAGCCTGTGTAATGGAGAGTGTGTCGTAGAGATCAGACAAAGTGTCCAACTTCCATTCTTCCTTCTCCACGTTCACGTAGAATTGCTTGATACCCTCCAAAGTCAGTTCCTCCTTCTTGACCAGGATTGTTACTGGGTCACGCATAAACTTGGTTGTGACCTCCAACACCTCTGGTGGCATAGTAGCCGACAACAGGATCACCTGCGTGTCTCCGTTCATCGTCTTGAACACCTAGTTCCAAAAATGATGCATATTATAAATAAGAAATTGCCCAAAACGTTACGACAAGATTTAACAAAAACTGTCCAAAATTAATTACCTTGTAGATTTGATCTTTAAATCCACGAGACAACATCTCATCAGCCTCGTCGAGAACGAACATCTTGATGTGATCAGTCCTGAATGATCGTCGGTTGATCATGTCGTAGACACGGCCGGGAGTTCCGACCACGATTTGCACGCCGCTCTCCAATTTTCGTTGGTCGTCACGAACATTGGTCCCTCCAATGCAAGCGTGACAAGAGACGTTCAAGTAGTCTCCAAGAGCAATGACCACCTTCTGGATCTGCTGGGCCAGCTCTCGAGTAGGCGCGAGGATCAGTGCTTGACAATGGGGCACGTCAGGGTCGATCTGCTGAAGAATAGCGATCGAGAAAGTGGCCGTCTTGCCAGTTCCAGATTGCGCTTGGGCAATCGCATCGCGACCTGAGATGCAGGGGATGATAGCCCGCTGCTGAATGGCAGAAGGCTTCTCAAAACCATAGGCGTAAATTCCTCGGAGCAACTTCTGGTTCAAGTCCATCTCGTCGAAGCTGGTGCACACCTGAGGATTCATAAAAATAAGCGTTCTAAAATGCCATTCAAAATATTCAGAATCCGCAAACTCTACACGGCGACGCGGCGAAAATTAAATTTAGCCATTTTCTGCACAAATTTTCTAATGCAATGTATTTCAAATTTTATGAAATCTCCTCAACCACCACACGAAAAGATGGTTGTATAAAATAAAATTGCCCTTGAATTGACTTCTGTCTGTGTCATACTCACAAGCTGTTTGCGTAACCTTATCAGTTTTGTACATACAGAGCTTAAGCCTCTCATAATAACTGTGACATGTTGTTCGTATCCTCATGAAAATGTACATAATTCTTAAAATTAAACTGCTAACTAACTGGAGCTATCATTATCCATACGCCTCATCCACACGTGATTAGTCGCAGCATAAAAAAATCTAAGCAATGAAGAGTTAAAAATTTATTAAGCTTTCAATATAACGATGCTATTTTAGTCAGAGGAAAACTTCTCATTACAACATTACGTTACGTTTCCTCCATCATAGATTATTAACATTTGGGAGAAGGGTAGTGAATAAATAGCATCCAAATTATTGCATCAATATCCCTTCCATCACTCCTGTTCATGGTCAAATTTGATATTTATCTTCCTATAAAATCTCTTGCCTTAAATTTAACATCAGGATCTACTGCAAAATAGCGCAACAGGAAGAAATCTACCAACTCCCAACATAACTACTCAACCAAAAACTGTTAACAAAACCAAACCACCACCATTAACTAACCAACCATCACAGATGCATGTATCCAATCCTACTTCTACACAATACAATTCATTCATGAACAACGAAACCATGACCTATTTAGTTTTCCTTCCTCCCATTCCTCACTCATTCACTCGCGGCATTCTATTCCCTTCACATAGCACACCACTGTCACTTGGACATTGGACTTGAAAAAAAGGTGAAAGGGATGCTCAACCATTGCTCACTGCCAACCATGACATTTCTCAATAATTTTTGCAATCTTGGAGGTCCCTAAAACAACATGCACTTGATGCGTGCAAGTTCAACACCGCCGCCACGCGACCACACCTATTAATAAGGGGGCGTGAATATGATGCTCTCGGGAAAAAGATGGCCTGTCCATGCTTAAATTTTATTAACCTAATTTAATCTCATCGATATTCCCATGTCGAAATACCAGCCCAATTTTTTTACCCCCTGGTTTGGTTTACTTTGACGGATCCTTCATTTTTTAGGGAGATTTACCATTATAAAAAATATAGTGCAAAATGTTTGAAATCTTATTTTAAAATTTACTCAAAGTCAAGGTTAAAGTCAAAATCTACTTTTATACATTATCAAATCTGTCACAGGCAGGATGACGAAGATCAAGTCCAAGTTCAAAGTTCAAGATCTGACCAGTGTGCAATGCTTCATGCTTCTCTTTCCCTACAGAGACTGACACACAGACATGCCGATCACATAATCCCTAACCTAACCTTTTCCAGACAGAATAGGATACGGTAATAAAAACACGCGTAAAGGTCACCAACCTGATTCCAGCTCGACTCGATGACACCGTCCGGGTCCATGCCGGCCGGTCCATCGTACACTTCCTTTACAGGACCACCTGCTGGGCCAGTGCTCGGTCCATTCTCGGACCAGGATTGTTCTCTTTCTCTGCAATAAAATAAAACAAATAACAATCAAAATCCAGACAATTCAATGATAAATCAAATCTCTCTCCAAATCAGGTATTCTTCTTCCGGGTTCACAATCAATTTCCATTTCATTCTAATAATTCACAATCTCACAGTTCAAAAAACCCACCTTGACAAAAAATCTGACATATTACTTTTTCCCAAGTAATAATAATTTTTTTAAAGTTACAAAATCAAACTAATGTCAAAATTGGGGAGTCAGTTTTTCGGAAATTAATAATGCGCACCAACTACCAACCACGAGTCCATGCGTGTCGCCATATTGGTCTGACGAGTGCAAGAGAGGGAGACAACCCCAGCCAGCCAGCCAGCCAGCGAAAAAACCAGGCATGGTTTGGGGTGGAAAGGAGAAAAAACTTTGCGTCGAGGGGTCAACCGGGGTCAAAATTGGGACACGGAGGAGAGACAGGGGTTATCGAATGGTATGACAAATAAGATAAGTGGGGGCGGCTTACCTTCTTTCAGAAGTGGACATAACGCGAGAATTTGTGTGTGTTGTTTGGTTGAGGTGAAGTAGTAGAATGGATGAAGGAGAGCAGGCTGCGATGATGGTAGAGAGCGGCGGAGGAGTACGGCGAACCACTACGTCCCCTCCGCCACAGACAGACACGCTCCAAGGGGTCTATGGCAAGTGTTGGGCGAGTTTCGAGTGAGATAGCAGATTTCTGTTCAAAACTTGCCATTTTTCATTTATTTTGGGTTATGAAATGCATTATATATTTTAGATAAGTTGAAAAATATTTTTTTATATGCTTTGAAGAATTAAGATTTTTTTGAAGTATGGAATTTAAAAATTTACCATATAATTTGTCAAATAATTGCGAAATATTTTTCCTACAATTTTGAAGACTTTTATTAAATGCTTGTAACAAATTAATTACATTTTTTTTATAAAATATGAAATTATCAGGTTTTAGCTGTACATAATTTTAAAAGTTGGAAGCATTTTCAGATAATTTAATTGCACGCTTTAATTTGCAGTTAATTTCCCACTTACTCCGACAAGGGCTAAATAAAATGAGATAGCAGGTTTTGCAGTGCCCTGATGACACTATTTACATCCATGAATGTACCAAAAACAAGTCCACTTTAGACATTAACCTTCCAATAAGACTTTTAAAAAAATGAACAATGCCATTTTGACCCAAAATTTCCAATTAACTTGGGTTTATAATCTTTTTTAAAATTTTCATCAAATCTTTACACACATTCTTAACTTTATAATCCCTTCCTAAATATTTTAAAAGGCATTTTATCCATTTTGTCCAGTTAAAAGAATTCCTTAATCCTTAAATTTTAGTACCCTTCTAAATATTTACATTTGTACCACACAATGGAACCCACTTGAATACACTCATTGTTGTCCCTTCTCTTTGTTCACACAACCTTTTAAAATCCCTTTCAAAAATAAACTACCTATGTACACAAATGCATAAAAATTCCGAAATTCCCCTCAATTAAATTTTCTCTAATAATTTCCATCCACCCCACCTGAAACATCCCCCTTGGAATTTACCCTCCGTTCCAACCGAGCCCCACACCTCGAATATTTCTCACCATACCAACTCCCCATGTCACCCATACTTTTTATCCTCTCGCCTCCTCCACCACGGTCATGACCTTACTCTTCCCCCCTCCCTGCTTAATCCCCCCGGCGTCGCCACACTTGCACCACGCGGACCCCAGCGCTTCATCCCCCCTCCGAATTTCCCCCTCTCTCCAACCACCGCACTATTTCACATCCGCCCACGACACCATTGTGACGTCACGGCACAAAACGTTACTATAATTTCCACGTAATATTTTTCGGGATGGGTCACCCAGTCATTCCCCCCGAAAAAAATCGTCCCAAAAATTTCCTAACTTATTTCAAATTTCCAAATTCCACCCTAAAATTTTCTCCCATACGGGGATGCACGATCCCATCAAATTCTCAGAAAATTGCGATCTCATGAGTCAAGCTGAGACGATTAAAAGAAAAACGAAACGATGATGGGGCCGGACAGGATACGCTGCCGATAATGAAGATGATAAATAAAGATGAATCATTAATTATTATTGTTGTAAAATTCGAGTCAAGGTCATTTTCGAAAATTTACATAAGGCCAAAAATAGACTGGATTGAGGAGTGGGTGAAATAGAGAAAGCAAAAGAAAGTGGTAGGAGACGTCATCACGAATGACGTCACGCCACAAGGTGGACAGATGGAAGAGAAATCCGAAATCGGAAATCTGGACTAAAAGAGTCCTGATTTTCGGAGGAAAAAGAAATGATCACGATTTTTCAGATATCTCAACCTGCCTCCAATAGTGAAACGTCTCAATTTGTCTCGTATTTATATATATTACACCTCGTCGTACTTGCGCCATAGTTAGACTACAACATTGGTGCAAGTTAGTAACGACTGAAGGAGGTCAAAATATTCAAAATATTCTTTATGGAAAATTAACGACGATATTAAAATCACGTTATCACGACAGGTTGGAAATGATATTTTCTTAATTGCTGCATTTTAACCTACTTTCTTAATTGTCATGCCCATAATTACACATTTCCTTCTCGCCAATTTTATTGGCAACGAATTTTTCTCCCTAGAAAAATAACAATTGCTAATAAATTCTTGAAATTCCAACACCACGATTCTCAACTCGCCTCATTTAAATCTCCTCTTGTCTTCCCTTGCATTACATAATATGGATTGTCAGCATTCTCATCGTCACGTCGATCAATCTTCCCCCAAAATTATGAGTCCTCCAAAAAATGACACGGGCCGATCCCACCACCACAATTTCTTCAGAAACGGTCTCCTCCTCCTCGTCCTCCTCTTTTGCATCTCTTGGGCTACCAGTTCCGAACCCTACGACCGATGCTTCCAAATGGAGCACATCCGCCCGGGATGTGACTTCCTCAAGGATCCAGACAATTCCTCAGTTGACGCAGAAAATAAAACGTGCAAGTTTTTATGACAAAAAAAGTTGTTCTTTTAACCCATTTTGGATCAGATTATCGTCATAATTTCCAAATTTTTATATATTTCTTGTCCATCTTTTCCAATTTTGTCCTAATTTCTCCTATTTTTTTCTCCTTTAGGCTACACCACCCACGGGCGCGAGCCCTTACGCAACAAGACGGCGCAATGGCATCCCTTCACGTGTCACAAAGCGTCCTGCAGCGTACAAAACGAGGCCTTCTGGTTGGGTCAGTTTCCCTACGAGACGTACATCGGGGAGGAGGATGACCCTCCGGAGGGTCACTTCCTGGACAAACCTCCCACTCATTTTGACAGCAAAGACGCGGAGGAAGCCGTCCGGAGAAAGTACATTTACGGACTCAATTCTTACTGGAAGAGTTTCAAACGGATGTATGACCAAGGGGTGAGCAATATGTACTAGATGGCGTAGAAAATTGACACATCTTCCTGTAGGATAGAGTTGAAAAATTATGCAGAACTCATATTTCAGAAACTTTCTATAAAGTTAAATCTACAAAATAATCATGCTCGTTTTGTGAGAGAAAAATTGGCCAACTTTCGGCAAGTTGATTTAAAATTCTGCAGAAGCAGAGTTATATAGAAAATATGCCAATTTCCTGTGGACCAATTTTCACAGGGTGCTCATACACGATCCGAAAATGACACTACTGACCTGTTGACCTCGATCAAGCTTTTACCATGTTACCTTACAGGGTGCCCAGCTCGACTTAACCTGGCTAGAGAAACTCCCTACCCCGGACTACATAGGAGAATTTGAAAACAAGCTGATCAACGATACCCGCTACCCCTCCCCTGGGTTAATCGTCCCGCTCATCTGCGACCCCAGGTCATACCTCACCTGCGAGCATAGCCTCCGCCTTAGCATGGATGCATCTCCATCCACCCTGGGTATGTCTATGGTACGACATTTCTGAGCGTGTCGCCATAATATGTGCGTCACTTTCAGAACCAACACCCACCGGAAGTTGCCAATGCCACCCGCTTTACTCGGTGGAGGCCGAGCCTGTAAGTTTTTTTTAATTTCCCACAAAAGCGCACTAAAAGTAGATAATACCCGGGGCCCCGCCAATTTCAAATAATCTAATCTTCACATTTCTACTAACTTTAGAAAGATCGTGCTCTCCCAAAGGGATTGCAGACTATTAGGGGCACCTCCGAATGCCACGGGCGCGCCATGGTGCCATGGTAAATTCACAGCGTCTATAGTTAAAAGCTGTTGGCGCAAGTTGCAAAATAACGAGTGAAGTGATGCCATTACTTTACTCGCTTGACTTTTTTAGCGAATTTGGTCGCTGGGTGTGGCGCGCTGGGCAGCAGACATTGAACAAGACGGAATCCATTAACGAGGACCTCAACTACTGGGGCGAAGTATGGACCCATCCACCCAGTGGGGACAGAGAAGCCAACTTTCTCAACCCGGAAGACCTCCATGATTACACTTGGGACACGATCAATAGTACCGAAAAGTTCATATTTACTGCGAAAAGTTCGCCGTGTATTGCAAACGCGAAGGTGAGTTGGGGTCAAATTAGTTGCAAAAAAAGTGCATGCCACTAAATTAAACTAGAATTTCGTCAAAGTATTTTAGACACAAGTGCTAATTTTACATGTTAATTTTCCAGTGCGAATTATTTTACGATTTCAACGAACGCGACAGTTTTCGGAGAGGTGAGATATGGCAAGGTTTCGGCATTCATCCCATAATTCGCGAAATGATGCTCATGTCAGCCACAAAATTGTGCAAGTGTAAATTTCAAGAAGGTTTCTTCCATAATTCGATGCACGACTGTATCAAACAAGAACAGTAAGCGGTATTATGTAAGCGATTAGTTACGAAATATGTTTGTGAATATGGGGAAAAAATAAGTGACAAAAATGTGCAAACTGCAAAAATGTTTTATAATCCACAATGTTCAAAATAAAAATAGTTTGCTAAAAAAAGCCCTCATTTAAAATAATTATTTATATTGAATACAAAATTTATTTCTCCTTCTTCAATTTGGAAAACATAAAATTCTTCGAAAAAAGTGAAATTTGCATGTGAATTCGGTCAAAAAATAGGAATTTATTTAATTTTGCATGCATACGCCAACTGAAAAATGTAATTATTCGCTAATTGACTATTTATCTATATTGATAAAGGAATTGTGTTTTTTTTAAACGATTTTTTAAGACGTGCACTCTCACAAAAGTTACACGTGCAAAATTGAGTCAGAAATCCACTCCAGGCAAAAACGGGTTTATTGTTTCCAATCGAATTCTATTTACACAAGACTCATTTAGGATCAAGTAACATGTTTACTTTCGGATTTCACCGTGATCCTGCATTGTCGCCAAAAATGGGAGTAAAAGCACATTCAGGATGATGAACTGCACCGGGACGCTTTTTCATATCCATTATTCATTCATGATTCTCCTCTCGGCGTGTCACTTCGTGTCATGTCACCGCATCCTCGCCGCTTGGGTTTATTTTTTCTATCCACTCCGGGTGAAAGTGACACAAAGTGAAAGTGAGACGAGGACGATGAGAATGCAATTTTATGTAAGTAAATCACTTTCATGGAATTTCATGATTTTCCATGAATGTCATAAATGCTAATTTTGAGCTAAATATGGGCGACCAAATCGCGAAAATGCACTTTTGACACGTGCGATATCATTTTTTTAACGCATTTTCTTGTTCTCAGTTCTGACACGAGGGCGAAGACGATATTCATGTAATTTTATATTGCATGGAAAAATTTCATAGTTAATTTTCCACGAGAAACAGGATAATTTTGACCTACGGGAGCGCTCTGGAGCGACCAAAGCGCGCAAAAACGGGTGCAATGTTATTGTTTTTACGTACTTTCACTCAAGTGAAAGCAAGTACCAACCAAAAGCTGAATTGAGACGAGAATGCATCTCGGCTTGACATATTATTCCATGGCATTTCATACAACTTAATATTCCTTGGTGGCCTACATTCCTCTGTGTAGCCTGGCATTTCAAACATCTCCCCTTCGGGCTTTTCCGGGTGCAATGTATATAAAAAATCGCTTCATACCTACATATACTCAATATCGGATTGCGGATGATATGACGGAACGCACAACTTTATGCCGTGTGTTATTTACATATATTCACGACATGCAAGCTTCCAATCACTAACAATTAAGATCCATGTGTACTTGCAATTAGTAAATTTTAATTGCAAAAATAATTACAAGATTGTGTAACCTACTGTAATAGAATTCCCGACAAACTACCCGTCAAAATTCGCCCATTATACAACCACCATCCTACACCTGGCGTGGATGGTCCAGCACATGCAAATATTTTGGCACACCGCAATTCATCTCAAGAACAGAGCAGAACTTGAAACCTCAGCCGGAGAAGGAAGAGGAGGAGGAGGCGATCCACCATAAAAGTCAGAAACACAACCCTCTCCACCAAAGTGAAAGTAAACCAACCTTTCTCCACTCGCTTTCTCCATAGCTTCGCACCATCCAACTCAACGCCACTGCCACCACCACCACCGGTGCACCACCGGTGCATGCATCCTATCCTCCCGTCCCGTCAGCTTCATGTACCAAGAAGAATCTGCGCTGCTGCTGAGCCAAGAAAGAAAGTCCTCCAAGTGCCTACAACAGCATCTCTTCACCGACCGAGTGACCAGTGGTGGGCAAAATACCTTGTCAAAAAATAGGGTTTTGTGCTCAGTTCTTCCAAGGGGTTAGATTTCCAGGGCTGTTACAGCCAGAAAAAGCTGAGAATTTACATGCGGAATACACCAGTCATGCGAAAATACGTATTTTATGAAGAAATTAAATTTTTATGGCGGTCAAAATACTTTATTTTTTACAAATATCATGAAAACAATGTATTTTTACAGTAATAACAAGTCAATTTCTTTAAAAAACGTGTATTTTCCTATGATTTCTGTATTCTCCTTAAAGATTCTCATCTTTTTATGGCTCTAATAACCCCTACGAAATCCAACCCTTGGAAGAAAGTAGCTCAAAATCCTTTACACTTCAGCCCAGTACTTTGCCCACCCCTGCCGAGTGAAAGTTGAAGAAGTGGACAACTTTATAGTAGTGCGTACCACACCACCACCACCACCACCACGACGGACTCGTGTGTTTACTACTTTCACTCACTCACTTTCTCCTCTCCCAATCCCAACCCGATGCGATGGGTGAAGAAAGAAAGCGAGCATAATATGTAGAAATAGACCAAACCAGGCCACGGGATAAAAGGTGGGGGCCACTTCATGTCGCCATCCTCTCTCTTCTCTCTCTCCGACAAAATCCAATCCCAGCAGCAGTTCACACCGTAAACCAAATCCCACCAGCACACGAAACCGAAAGAAGAAGAACTATACATCTTCCTCTTGTTCATTCTTCTTCTTCTATCCGGAAGAATTGGGAGGTGTAATGGAGGACCAGAAATTTTAGGAGCAGTCATCGCAAAATTCCTCAAAAATAAATAAAAACTTGCCCAATTACGTACGTGTAATGATGACACGAGTGAAAGTAAATATGCTGTGAGTTTTTGATACGGTGTAAACTTTTGGACAAAAGGTGCTCGTTAAGTGATAGTTTGATCCCAGATTTACTCTAAAACCTGACAAAAATACGGACATTTGTTCACTTTTACTTTCACTTTCACTCGCTTTCACCTTGTTATTATTACTCTTGACTGGATTGGATAGGATCAAGAAGCGAGGCATTAAAGTGAATTGGGGACTTGTTTGTAAATACACATTTTTGCTTATTACACAACTTTTTTGTGTAAAAGATCGTCATCTCCACATTATTATTTACGAGGGGGAAATCATTCCTTTGTGAATAAAAAAGAGAGCTCCGACCGGAAGTAGGCAGCCAGTCATTGGAGGAGGATAAAAAAGACGTGCAATTGTGTAATAACAAGGTAACTTTATTTTTTTCTATTGATAAATGGTTTGTATTTATGGTCCTAATTGTATATGGAATTCGTGGGTGAAAGTTTATTCATGGAGAAAATTGTGTCGTCGTGAATTGAGTTGTATTTAAGTGCATACAAGAAGCAGGGTATGAAAATTTTTTAATGCCGGCCATTTTTGGCACGGTATTTATTATAACATCGTAACAGTGACCTTTATGGGGATTATTTACATAAATGTAAATTCTGGGAAAATACGGCAAAGGAAATTAATTATAATTCATAATTAATTTGCATTTTTTCAAAAATATACGTATTTTACTCAACATTTTATCAATTTTTGTGTCAAAATGTGTCAGAATATAGCTTAATTTGCAACTTTGAACTTTGCTTCAATTAATTTAATTAGTGAACATCATCTAAAACTGTGTTTTGGCTAATTAAATTTCACAATTTTTTTACAACCGGTGTCGCAGTCAAATTAAGCCCGATTTTCAATTGAGGTTACAATTTAGAAGATAAAATTTCTCATTTTCGCGAGTCCAATACTTTTCACAATTCATCATCAAATACCGAATAGAATTACGGGAAGAAAATTATTACGCTATTTTAATCAATTCAAATGATTAATAAACCAAAATTTAGGATCCAAATATTTTACTATAATTTTTTTAAATTATGTACAATCCGTTCTGAACTTGGCAAAAAAATTTCTGGAGTTGGTGTGTTAGTGTGTACCAAATTATTTTCATTTTAAACTTTACACCCATTTCATTATTTTTATTCTTGTGTTAACTTACTTACCAAAATTAATTGAATATTTTCAACTTAGGATTTCAATAATTTGATGAATCCCTACTCCGATAATTGATTCTATAGCTTGTTGCACTTATTAGTCAAAAATAGGTTTCAAAGAAATCCGAATGAGGTGATATCATTCAACGTTATGTATTTATAATTTAGAGAATTAGCGTATTAATAATTGCACAAAAATATGACAAATTTTATTTCACACTTTTTACCTTTAATAAATCCATTTGTAAAATTTAAAGATATAACACTGAATAGACAAGCTATCTGATAAGTATAAATTGAATTACAAAAATTTGATTACCAAATTTATCGCCAATTCTATCAATGTTTATCCAAATTTATGATTTAAATTAGAAATTCGCACCTGAATTTAAATCTAATCACATTTCATCTTGAAATTCTCTCATTTAATTATCAATTTAATTCCAAAATTTAAATAACCATTTAATTATCAAGATTCAATTAATTAACAATTTAATCGACAATCTACCTACCAATTTAATTACCAATTCCCACCTTAATTTAACCCCGGTCACATTTCATACTCATTTGTAAGTCATTTTGGCCCACCAAAATCTACGGCTTTGTCGCCGGATGTACAACTTCCGGTTCGGGGTTGATACACTCCTTCCCACAGCCGACGGAGCAACAAAGCTTTCCATTTTTACAGTCGCCATGATCCCCACAATTTCTAGAGGGGTCGTACACGCATGCGCCGACGATGGCGCCATCCCCACTCAGCGATACGGGGCAGACCCCTGCGGGCGGCTTTTTCGGTCCGACGGGGTCCTTACACACTTTTCCACACCCATCCGCGCAACAAATCTTCCCATTCAGACAGCCCGAGGAGTCAACGCAGTTCACGGAGGGGTCGAACACGCATGCGCCGAAGGTCGCTGAAGGTGGGGGGCAAGAGTCGTCATCCCCAGAGGGAGGGGTTGGCGGACGTGGCGTGGGTTTTCGTGGCGGAAAGGATAACGGTTGCTTGCAGATTTTGTTGCATCCTTGTGGGCAACAGACTTCTCCGTTTGAGCAATCCGTGTTCTATGGGGATTTATTATTTTTTATTAGCCAAAATTTAAAAAAAAAATTGAGAAACATATTTTTTGGAAAAATTAATTTTTCATGTTGATTTTGGTCAACAACTTCCACATGAACTAAAAAATTAAATCTCGAGTTCATGTCCTATATTTGTTAATTTTCTGATAGGTTAATGTTTTCAATGTGGTAGTTTTCAAAATTTTCAACAAATTAATTCTCCAAGAAACTTATTTTACGTTAAAAATTTCTACATGAAAATTTTTAAAACGAAATATCAACATAGTTTCTCCTATGTTGTGTGTCAAACTTAATTCCGACAACAAAGACTTCAAATCATAATTTCGTGCAAATCAATTCAGAAAAGGCTTCTCAGAAAAAGATCACAAATTCATAAGAGAAACTTTAAAGAGAATGAATTTTCAATTTGGCGAGATTTTTACTGAAAAATCTCGTCAATTTTTCTCCACATATTTTTTCTTTACTACATGTATGTACCTCGTTGCAATTAACTTTGGGGTCGAATGTACAAATTCCTGCAAATTCTGCAGGATTGATTCCTGTGAGTGGGCAGTTTAATTGGGGGTCCTCTCCCTCATCGGGATCTTGGCAGGATCGGTTACACCCATCCGGACAACACAGCTGCCCCTTCGACTCACACTGGTCGTCCCCCGTGCAGTTAATTTCCGGGTTAAAGACACAAATCCCAATCCCACTTCCTTTCCGAGGAGGACACGTTCCCTTCACTTTCGTCGACTCTGCAAAAAAATTAACCCAATTATTCGCTTATTTTTTATTTTCTTTCATGAGTAACAAATTTTTATTCAAAATTTCCAAAATATTGTCCAGTATTTTCCAATTCTTTCCCAAAATTTCAATACTTAGAAAATATTTCTGCTATTTGCAAAATTCGTAAATACTCATTTCTGCAAGATATTTTTAAAAATAATACATAACTTTGTGCAATACTTCGACGACCGCAAAAAAATATTTATGTTGAAAAGAGCAATTACGGTATTAAAGATGCACTTTTAGAAAAATAGTATATATATAATTTTGGAAATATGCCTGAAAATTTTTATTTTCACTTTCTTCCTGGTAAATACTTTGCCCGTACATATTTTTCGTAAAGATAAAAAAATATTTCGACGACCAAAAAAAACGATTTTTCAACGTTAAACAGGTAACAACAATTCTAAATACGATATGATTTTCTTACGAATAACAATTTCCCAAAGAACTGTCTGTTTGAAAAGTAATACTTTTTCCTTGGAATATTTCCTTAAAAAATAATAAAAATTCCCCTAATTTTTCATAAATATACCCAAATCTCCCCCAAACTAATTAATAATTTTAAATTTCTTAACCCAGCTCATATAAATCTCCTCCCTCACTCACCTCCAATCCCAACGCCGACACAAAGTAGTAGCCCCGCTGCTAAGAAGAACTTCATTTTTATGAAAATTATCACAAATTATTTTAACTATCTCTTCACAACGAGTAATCCCACCAAACTGAGTCCTGGAGTTGACAAGGTTCTCAGTTTTATACTTATTAAATATTTTCCATCCCATGGGCAGCATTTTTTTAACATTGTTATTTTACATTTACGAGGAGGAAAGTTGTTTTGTTAAATCAACAAGATTATCCAATCCACGCGTTTAACAAGACACGAACTTAAATACATTTTACATAACTTGCTGAGAAAAAAGTTTGAGTCATCAAAGCCAGCGAATAATTTGCATGTGTATTATATATAAATAATTCCATTTTTTTAGTGGCATGGTAAACCCAAATACTCGTGGTAGCAGTAGTACTTAAAAACCCCGATCTTACGTATGTACTCGCATATTTATGAAGATGAGATTTGTGACTAAAAGTAGTTGACAATAACATGCAATTCACATCAACAACTTTTGCTAGAACTTGTACATACTTTGCGAAATTCGCTGAATGCTGCTTCACAAGTCGAGAAGAGAAGTAGACGTGCAAAATGTTGAGCTGGTTTTCCAGGTACACATATTTTAGGCAGCAGGGTTCTGTTATTATCGTGTTTTTTATGTAGTTTTTTTATATCATGTTTTAATATCGTGTTTTTTATGCAGTTTAATAATTTTTGCGGCGAAAATTTGGTATATTAAAACAAATTTTTTGCAAAATTCATAGAACTGGGACAACTTTACAAGCAGTAAATATGACCACATAAAATATTTTTTCATCAACCACTTGGATTTTTCATGGGCAAATTTCTATAAATTTTGTCAATTTGGAAATTATTTCTTAAAGCGAACCTTATAAAGAATACATATTCTAGGTTTAATTTAATGCATGCAATTTGCTGATTTTCACACAAAAAAAGTACGACATTTCTTAAAAACTAACACTTTTTAAGAACCATGTGCTTTGTTTACGAACCCTGAATGGCATTGAGTACGAGTTATGTCTGAAGATGGGTATAATTTTAGCAGGGTCATTAAAATAAATCAATTCATTTAACTAACCAACCAACCAACTCACAATCTTCTTCTTGGTATAATTACTTAAACTTGGCGAGTGACGTGATTACAAATTTCTCACGAATTTTCGGACAAAATTTTATTTACATACATATTTTTCTCGACAAAACAATGCCACGAATTTGCAAATTATAACTTTTTTTGCTCAGTGACAAATTTTTCTAGTAAAAATTTCTTCTTATTTGTCCTCCACACGAAAGTCCTTGACTTTGTGCATGTGGCAGCGAATTATGCATGTCAAGAGGAACAAAGTCAAGTCAAAAGTGTTTATTTTTCCATTAATATGTACAAAACCAATGCCAAGCTCTTTAATGGTTTATTTTACTACGTATATTTTTTGTACTTGAAATTTTTAATGGCTTGCAATTTTTTTAGCATTACTTAATTGTGCAAATATTAACTTTTCGATTTATTTAATAGCCAATCAGTAATTTATTATTGAATTAACCCTGCGGAATCACTCAGAATTACATAACAATCATGATTTTTAATTAGCATACAAATATTTAAGAAGTAATTAGTATCAAAAATTACAAAAAACTGATAAACAAACTAAAAAATTTAATTACAAATTCAAAATTTTACAATTCTGGGCTATCCAAAAATATGTAAATGAAAGCATATTTATATTTAAGAATTATTATGTGGTATCAAAAATTACAAAAAAAAACAAAAAAAAATTATAATTGTACCGCTGCTGCAAAAAACTTGAAAATATTTACAAACATTTTTTGCCAATAAATTACCATTGGAATTTCAGAGCTAAAGCAAAATCTGTTCTTTCTCTCTTTGTGGGTATAATTTCGCATTCATGATTCATGAAAGTTTAGGAGCCATTCCAATTTCGACCATTTTTTATAAAAAAACGTATTTGTTTATTATTCTTCTCCATCCAGCTCCCTTGTTTATTTGGATTCTGCTACTTACTCGCAGGCGCCGCGGAACACTGAGGACATTTTTGAAGTAAATAAATATATTGGGGATATTCGTGACTAATGAAAATGAAAATTGCAAACTTTTTTTAGCTGCTACGACAGAAATGTGCAAGTTCTCGAAATAATTTTTCATGTAAATTTCTACGAGAATTTTTGCAACATTGATTTTTTTCAAACTTTCTCGCCGTAAATACCCCTATTATATTTGGGCAGTCATTATTACGAGTTCACTTTTTTTAACCCTATGGGTTTTTGTTCAATCATTTTCCAGTCCAATTTTTACGGAAATTGTTATGTTGGAAACTTTCTCCTCGTGAAAGTCGTGAATATCCCTAGTACATTTTCCTGTCATATTTCCAATTTTATCAAGCCCCTCCCCTTGCCTACCAAGCCCTTACCCAAAGTCATAGCATACAATAATAGTTCCTTACACTAAATTTAGTCCCCACTTTTCCGGGGTTCTTGCTCCTAAATTTTGAAAGAAAAAACGGTTAGCTTTTTACAATATATGCATGATGCAGAATTGGAGGCCAGAGTTCTCGAGTCAAAACATACCGAGTGATGCTTAACGGGATGAATAAATAATGAGAGGCTCAAACATCAAGGGAAAACGGGGACGTTAATTGATGAGGATGAACAAGGCTTTACTATCTCACCAGCCAGCCAGATCTGTACGTAACGTAGACTATAACTAACTAACTAGATAGCTGGAGATACATCCGAGATGATGAGACCACCAACCAAACAGTGGGCATTATTTATTATGCAATCTTCCTTCTCGTCCTCCTCCCTCCTCGTCACAATTTGTGACTCAAATGCCATGCAAACAGTTCCAGGGTACGCAGTAGTGGTAGATCCAGTTTCATTTCCTGACTGGAAAGTTGGATACCTTACGCAAAACCGAAATTATGGGCAGATTAACAGGCTAATTTGTCCTATTGGTTAAAAATAGAAAAAGCTTAAGGATCATTTTACAATTTTGCAAAACGAAGTACAAATTAAAGCAAAATTTCATTTTCTCTGGAAAACGTAAACTAAATTACAAAATTAAATTAAATTAGAGAAAGAAAAAATTGAAATTTAAGTCGCAAAAGGGTTATTTTATCTCTACAAAACTTTTTAAAAAATAGTAGAAATTAGAGTAAAATTGCATTTTCTCTGTAAAAATTCCATTTAAAATTACGATTTTAACTCAAATTTGCCGCCCTAGGATAAACTAAGCGGGATTTTGATAATTTACAAAAAAATTATAAAGCCTTTTCCTCTAATTAATTTTCCAAATTTTTTATTTGCAGGTATATCCGGAATATCCTCTTACAATGGATGACCCCCCTTCTCCTCCTCCCCCCGTTACCATGACAACCGCTCAACAAAACCGCAGCGCTTCTTCTCCTAACAACCAACCCGCGTCACTCAAACGATCTAAAAGTTCCCGCTTCAAAACCCGCAGAAGAAAGACGACCGACAAGGCGGGAACAAATGGCGGGAACACTTGTTTCACCTCCGCCCAAAATACATGCTCAATTCTTGCTACTAAATACCACTCTTATTTTCGCCGCCGACCCCGCCACAGTGCAAGTTTGGCGTTTGCGGTCATTTTTATCATTATGAAACTCGTCTCCATGGCGTCGGGACAATATGCAGGGGTCGTTTTTGAAGGAATGTGTCCCGTCCCGGAGTGCTATTGCGGATTGGATACGAGAAATCGGTTAGAAGTCGATTGCAGTTCGGGCGGGCTCAATGAAATCCCGACGAGTCGGATGTCCCCGCATATTGAAGTTATAAGAATCACGTCGCCGAAAGGGAGGGCAAATCATGTCACGATTGGAAGATCGTTTCGACAGTTTAAGAAGTTGGAAGAGTTGCACATTGTGAGTGGGATTTTGTATAATTTGAATTTTAAATAGTGTCGGGAAATATTTTTTTGTGTGGTTAGACCGATTTATTGATTGTCCAGAACTTGTTTAATTATAGAGTAGCGGGGTATGAATTATGGATAATTTGAATTTAGCGGGAACGTTAGAAATATCTACTCGTCGCATTCTTGGAAAATTTTCTAAGAGGTTATTTGGTTACTAAAAATAAAAAATCTGCCAGGTAACCTTTCAGAATTTTTTGCGACTAATAATACTGGACGAACAGTAGTGATATGCAAATTGCACATTGCCTCACTAGATATTTCTAAAATGCTAAATGCAAAGTATAAATGTAATATTTTTGTATAAAATGACGGGAAAAATTTGAATTAAGATCGGGGAATTTTATTTTATTTCAGGTAAACTCGAATATTCCCAACATTGGAGAAAACAACTTTTGGGGCGTCCTTTCCCTCAAATTGCTCAATCTCACGAGAAACAATATAAATCAAATTGTTGATTTTAATTTCCGCGGATTATCAAATTTAGAAACGCTGTCCTTATCGGAAAATCATATTGATACACTGGACTCGGAATGCTTCAAAAATTTGACAAAGCTCAAGGTTTGAAAGAAGATAATAAAAAATTTTTAATTTTTAAAATGTTTAATTTTAAAAAAATTATTTTAAAATTTAAAAAAAAATTATTTTAAAATTTAAAAAAAAATTATTTTAAAATTTAAAAAAAAATTATTTTAAAATTTTTACAATCTTACAAATTAAACATTTTAAGAACATTTTAAGATTTTAAAAATTTAAAAATTTAAAAATTAAAATTAAAAATTAAACATTTTTTTCAATCTTAAAATTTTAAGCATTTTAAAAATATTTAATTTTAAAAATTCTAAAAATAACAAATTTTTTAAAATTTAGATTTTTTTTATCTTTAATTTTTAAGATTTTTAATTTTTTTAAATATTTTTAGGTGCTTGATCTGTCACGAAACAGAATTGGTCGTCTGGTGGAACGTCTTTTCTATAATTTACACATGTTGGAAGTCCTCGATTTGTCTGACAACCGTTTGAGAGATTTAAACGCAGACGTTTTCCGAGACATTTGGCGTCTCAAGGAGTTTCGGTGTCAAAGATGTCAACTAAGGAGCATCCCGCCGTTGTGGTATTCGCTCCTACCGGCATTAAAGGTGCGTAGATTTTATGGCGGGATAAATTTGTTTAGAACGGACTTATTTGAAATTGTGGAGATACATTTTTCTTGGGGCCACAGGGTATATTTAAATTAAATTCCGATTTAAGGAGTAGCGGGATGCAATTTTATGCATTTTTTTGGATGGCGGGACACAATTTTGACAAATTATGTGGATTTATAAATTCATTGTTAGCAATTTTTGAAGTGGCGGCAATTTCAACCCTTAAAATTAATTACTTTCTTCCCTTTACAGAAACTGGATTTGCGCTATAACGAACTAAAACGTCTCCAAGAAGGTGAATTCTCCGCGCTCAAATCCATTGAGGAAATAGCCCTCGACGGCAATAAGATCAACGTCTTGTCTGAAGAAGCATTCAAATTTACGCGCGTCCGCACCCTCTCGATGTCCTACAATGGATTAACCTCCGTCGATCGGACCGCTTTCGTCAACGCGTCCGTCGATTCCTTGGACCTTTCTGGAAATAAGTTTGAAAATTTGAACAAATTAATATTCCTCGATTTAAAGCATAACTTGACAAAGTGAGTAATGGGGTAATATGAGATTCTAATTCTTCCTTCCGCGGGAAATTCAAATAGGTATTTTATATGCATTTATTTCTCCTTCTAGGCTGGATCTAAGTCGCAATCCCCGCCTAAAATTGGCCTCTTTACTTATCATTCTCTCCGAAAATACCCGCCTGAAATGGTTATCTGTTGCCCGGAATAATTATGAAGACCTACCCCTCGATCTTTTCGAAGATAACCGATACCTTACCCATCTCAACTTATCGAACAATCGGCTCCGCGACTTATTTCCACGTCAATTCAGTCCACTTATCAACCTCCAAATTTTGGACCTCAGCTATAATCGATTGCTCGGAATTGAATCCGAAGTTCTTGCGGTTTTCGATCGAATATCGAGCATTCGGGAGATACGATTGGAGGGAAATCCTTGGGCGTGCGATTTGTGTCATGTTCCCCCGTTGCACAGGTGGATTCAAACCTCCCCCATTTTTCGGAAAGGTTGCATGCTTCCGAACGGACCGTTCTGTTTGCGCTGTCGATACCCGAGTGATCAATATGATAAGGCGATTATTGACCTGGACGAGGAAAATTTGGAGTGGTGTGATCCTTACGGCGGGGAATATGGGGATGAAAGTCGGCTCGGGATTTTCCTCGGGATTGGGATTCTATTCCTAATTTTAGCGGTTTTGGCGGGAGGATTGATTATGAAGTATCAATTTTGGCATACGGCACACTACTATACGAATGAGGAGAATAGGGTGAGTAAGGCGGGAGAGTTTAAATTATTTTGAATATGCGGGTGAATTTAATGTGTATAGATCAGCGGGATCACTTGAATTTTGAATTAGGTAGAATAGTGGAATATTTGAAGCATCCATATTTTTATTATTTTTATTTACATAAGTTGGGCTATTTAAACTTTATGAATTTGAATAATGAGTGGATATTTAAATTGTTAACAAACAATAGTTAATAATTGAGTATTTTAATACGGAATTAGCGAGAGTTTTCAGCTTAAATCATCAAGATTATTAGAATTTTGAACAAGTTTGTAGTTTTTTGTAATTACATAAATTGGCGGGGGATGCTAGAAAACTATATAACTTGTCTCAGCTTGCCCCAAACTTTTCATTAATATCTGCTCCTTACTTTTTCTCCCCACAGGTCGACACTGGTTTAACCCCGCCGCCGGTAGATGACGATTTTGAAGGTTCTCAACAATACTACGCCACCATTAATGGGACCCACACCAAGATTATTGCCACTATTGACGAAAAGAATTTTGACCCGGATGCCAATTTCTATCCCGATTTGGGCACTAATCTCAACCTAAATCCGCTCTACCGCGCAGGTCCCGCCATCTCACCGACCGTCGGCAGTAGAAGCGGCGGCGAACAACAACATACTTCCTCCTTCAGATAAATATTCAAACCAACCGCGGATTTTTTTGCGTAAATAACCGAATTCGGGTAAAATATACCGACCGATTTGCACTAATTATTCTGATTTTCTTTCCAAAATAACTGAATTCGGGTTTAATTTTAAACAATTAACTCTTCATGCACGAACTGAATTCTTAATTACTGCACGCTTAGAAAAGTTCACTACTAGTTTTAGACACGAACTCTTGAATTTTTACGTTTCGAACAAAAAAAAAATTGTTGAGCGGCGAAAAAACGTAGTTTGAAAGTACCGCCAATGTTTCCATCCTGTCCGTTTCTCTCCCGCTATAAATAGACGGTCCAATTAAACGTTATCTACATAGTTACAGACTAATTAGCATTTAAAATAACACGGTCTGTTTGTCTGGTACTCAAAAAAATTATAAAGTATTTAACGATCTCAACCCTTAAATACTATAAAATATATTCTGAACTCCATTCTAACTTGCGCCATAGTTAAAACTACAATATTTGGCGCAAGTTAGCATGAAGTGAAGAATAAAGGCACCTTAAATACTAAAATTTCACCACGAATTTTGAAATTAACTGAGATTCGTAACGATCAAATGAAGTACAAGGAACAAGGAAACACAAGATTCGATCTAATTAAACAACGACTAAAAAACTACTTAATTTAACACTTTTTACAAAAAAAAATAAATAACGCATTTTAGATTTTTAGTAACCGCTTAATTTAAAATTTTACAAAATTAGCCGTTACTTAATTAACTCATTAATTAAGTAATTAATAATTTCGTTAGCAGAATAATAAATACACAAGTAGTAAAACAGAGGGCAGTATTTTAGAGAAATTTTAGTATTATAGTGCTGAAATAGGTGCATACTAATTACCCATTTTCATGGAATTTATTTAAAAAAATAAACGTTTCCATGAAAACTTAAGTATTAGAAGAAAAGGAATTACGTATACCAAAAATACACCCGTGATAGCGTCGTCGATTAATAAATAATTGTTGATCGTATGAAAAAGAATCTCGATCCGTCATGAAAAACTGAAACTATTTGATAACCCAGGACCTAATAATTTATGTAATAATTGCACTTTCTAAGTAGCTTTTCATGTTGATTACAAATTTTTACTTACAAATTCAGTCGTATTAATTAGTCTAAAAATTTCAAAAATTTCAAAAATTTCAAAAATTGTTTAAAAAAAATTATTAAAAAACAAACAAAATATACTCGCAATTAATTTTAAAAAAACTGGACAAAATGTTAACGAATTTAAGTAAAAATGCACACAAAAATAATTTATAAATTAGATATAATTGCACAATTGTAATTAACTATGATTATTAATTACGTTACAAAAAATCGATTAATTAATTAAGTCCTTTTACGATTTTTTTATTATTAAAAAACAAACATAATTAATTAACTTTTCAAATTAATATTTGCTACGTAGGAAATCAAATCGATAGCTGCGATACGTTTCTGAAACTCTTTGGTGCTTATGAAAATGAAAAGTGTTCACTTTTCTTGTTCAATTTTCTTGTTTATTGCGATTTATTAGGTGCATTTACTATACCCTACTTGCGCCAATGTTATAACTTTTAACTATGGCGCAAGTATAAATGCAGCGTTCCCTCAACGCTGCACCCCCCGCATTATAGATGACTGAACAAGCATAAACTAACTAATTACTGATTAATTATTATTACGTAAATAGTATGAAAATGTTAAGTAATTAATAATCAATTAATTAACGTGTTACATAATTAATAGAAATGTTGATGATAATGATTTGTTAAATATTAATCATAAAATAGGGACTGATTGGTTAAGTAATGAATTAGTATTTAATTAATTAATTAAGGAGGTGCTCACTACTCCCTGGATGATTCGTGTCTCCCAAAAAGCATAAAATAATAAAAAAATTAATGTATGAAAAAAAGTAAGAATTAAATGATCTCATGAGATGATTGAAATTTTAGAGTGAGAGAAATTTTATTTGCATATGGTAGTTTTAATCAAGCAATTATTCGAAGTAATGGTCATGGTCAACAAAGTAAATTTCCAGAAATTTTGTTAGTGAGGTTTCACACTGGTCACAAAAATTTCGAATTTCAAGAAAATTTATATACATTTGCATGTGCAAAATATGACGCCAATAAGCTTTTTATTTTTCTCTTGTCATAATTATTACGTAGTTAGTTAAATAGTTACATAAATGTCGTCGAATAATATTTATTTTCGAATCACTACATATTGAAACATTTTGCAAATTTTTTTTCACAAAAATATACCAATTTTTTTGGCTGCTAAATTATCTACGAAAAATAACTACGTTTGTTAGTAATCGTGTTTATGTTTAAAAATTTATTACATAAAAACCTCATATTTTTTTCAAATTTCGAAAAATATGACCAGCTTTGTGTTTATTAATTGGCTAAAGTTGAGAATCATTTTTGTACACTGCAGTCGTTAATTAAGTAAATATAATATCGAAGCATATCAGTTAAACTGAAGCTTAAACTTAAGCTTGCTTTTTAATAAGTTAATTAATTACATCAACAAGTAGCAATAATATGCGACAAGAGCTAGATAATTGGCACACGATTTACCTAATAAATAAATTGAGCAACAATTAAATTATAATTTTATAGATAACGATTTACTGGAATGGTAATATCAGTTCAGCATTAAATAATTTAATATTTAAATGGTCAGATCAATTGTTAAGTACATATTTAGTTGAAATATTTCAGGTAGACTCACATTTACAAAAAAATACGGATATATATATTTCCATAAGTTCGGAGGCTTTGTACGCTAAATATATTTTGTTAATATCACATAACTAACCCTTTTTTCGTCACATTTAACTCGTCATATGACGAACTTTTGGACACCTCGTCACTGACGAGTCGTAACTGAAACTGTTAACTACCAATTGGTACTAATTAATTAATTGATATAGGGTGGAAATTTTTACCAAAACACGAAAAAATATTAAATTTTTCCAAATATTTGTTTCAGTCCAATAAATAAAGTTTTCAAGTTTCTAATATTGCAAAATTTAAGCATTTTTGAATAAGTATTTACCAATTTATCAAATTATGTACGAAATACTTATAAAATATTGAAATTCGCAAATATGAAAAATATCTTAGCCAAAAAAAATCGAAAATAAATAAATAAATATCCTCCCTATTAATTAATTAATGACAGTAACAGAATTTTTCCAAGTCTCCCCCCACACAGGAAGCGTCCCTACTTATCTTATTCATTCGAAGCAATTCCCCCGTTAAGGTCAACGACGTCTCGCCCACTTTTTGCACATTCCCCTCAAACAAAAATCCCCCCGGGGTTGTGTAAAAGGCTACGATGATGGTTTCATTATTACGACCAGAACCGGAAGTCGAGGGGCCAGAAGAATCTGAGAAACTCGAACGAACTAATCCACCAGCATGAATGGACGAAAGGAAGAGAGGGGCGCACTAAATAGTTTACATTAATTAATACATATTAATTAAATAATTAAATAGTTAAATAAATTAAATAATTAAATTAATTACCTTTTTCTTGGGCAGTCTATTATTAAGCTCGGACAACGCTACGAGCGCCGCTGAGACGAGGCGTGGGTCACGAACTTCCAACTTTTGTGGAATTTCACACGCACAAAAATTTTCTGGAATGCCGGCATCGCTACATTTCCGGTCGGACGGGATGGGACGGAAGAAGGAAAGGCCACCACGTGACGTCGAAGTCGACCTCCTACTTTTTTCTGTCTGCATTGCTCCGGAGGTGGAAAAGGTGGTCATGATGTGCGTCAGGGTGGCGTGGAGGTCGAGAGGGGAGGTCAACCGGCTGAAACAATTCATAAATGATAACGTTTAAGATAACCTATTTACGAGTCCAAATTTCCATAATTTTGCTACAAATTTCTCAAATTTCCCTTTAAATACCTATAGGTTTGTCCAAAACTTTCCTCATTTTTTCTAAATTTCCCTAAGAGCTTAAATTTCCGAAGTTAGTTTCCTCCAAAAATCCCTATACTTTTGCCCCCAAATTTCCCAATTTTCATCCTAAATCCCTCCAATTTCACCCAAAATCTCCCTAATTTTTCTTCACTGTATTTTACACGTGGTCTCCCGGCCACCGTGACTATATGTACCACTTCCGGTTTGATATTACTCACCCTGCATTCAACGCCAAGGCGTCGGCCCACTTGGGATGGGAAGCTCGGATTCCTGGGGGCAAATATACCCAAAAATTGGGCAGTTTGTCTTCATACCAACCCGCAAAAGTTTGGCGAATCGGACCGTAACGATATCCGTGATCCGAAATGAAGAACAAAATCGTATCATTCAAGTCCAAACTCTGCCAGAAAATGAGACAATTATTAACCTTGACTTTGACCTTTGACTTGTTGACCCACCTTAAGAAAGTCGGCATAAATCTCATCCCCACTTTGCGCCCCGTTCAAATCACCATGTGCTAGATTGGTGAGCCACGCATAAATAAATGCGGGCAGCCCGACACTCCTCCCACCGGCGAGGATATCTCGAATGTAGCGATGAATTAGCTCGTCCACCGTTTCACCGCCCAAGCATTCCAGGTAATAGTACGCCTAAAGGGTCAAGCATTAAATTAAGGCCAATTAAAGGTCACCTTATATTATAATTGGTCAAAGGTTGATACCTTCCGAGCCACCAATTTACTGACGCCGAGCATAAAAGGGCGTAAATAAAAGTCCACGGGAGGTCGGAGGAAACCAACTTTGTCGTAATTGTAGGTCGCGAGGTAGGGCGCGTCCTCCAAAAAGGCTGCAAAAGTCAAATAAGCCAAAGGTCAGATAAACATCTAGATAACCTACAAGATAACCTGTACTTACCCGTGAGATACCCTGCCTTAGCGAAATCCTTCCACGCGAAGGGGCAAGAATCTAGAGATTTAGTCGAATCTGCAAAATCACACGGACCAAAGTCCATTTCTTTTCGTGCCATAACTTCCGGTTGTGACGATGATTCGTCCTCCACTTCCGGTGAGGATGACAATTCGTCATCCTTCAGAGTGGACAATTTATCCTGTGACGAGTACCCCGTCATGAAAGAGATCGCGTTCGGATACGTATTTTCACCAACTATTAAAAAAAATAATATACCTTATCGCGTCAATTTTTCAGACTTGCGCCAGTCTTTAACTATGGCGCAAGTGACGATGCGTGGGCAACATACTTTGTCAAACAAAATACCGTATTTTTAGATCTTTTCACAGCCCTGAAAATTCAAGCAGTTGGAAGAACAGGGTTCAAAAATACTGTATTTTGAAAAAGCATTCTTTCCACCCCCTGCAAATTACTACATACGTTTTGTATATCCGTAAAACTCCACGGCTCCCAATTTTTTCAAAGTTTGTCTCGTTTTTGGCATATTTCTCTCAAAACTGAGCCTCGACATGGAATCAATCCCGAGCAGGATGACGTTCGGTGGTGGTGCTGACGACGACGATACCATTTTCGACTCGTCATCCTCGTCGCCGTGTGACGACGACTTTTTTTCTGCCCGCCTCCACCCAAGTTTTGCCCTCCTCTTCGAGGAGACGGTGTCATTTTGGAGAAACGGTGCAGCGTGAAACGCCCGATAAACGGTATCCCCGCTAAACGGCCAGTATTTTGAGGTGCAAGAGACCCGGATAAAGTCGTCGCCCGGGGTGGAAAGGGATGTCACCACGCCGGTCAGGGGGCGACAGGTGGACGAAATGCTGAAAAAATTTAAATCTTGTATTGGAATGTTCCTAAAAAGTTCGGGAATGATGGATGAAATACTTTTTTAGCATTTATTTCTAGAAATTCCAAATATTTATGAAATGGAAAAAATACATTTGTTCAAAATTTGTGTGTAAAAAATCCAAATATTTCCGAAATGGGAATGCTATGCTAAATCCTGGCAAAATTTTCATAAATATATTACTCAATGAGAGAATCTGCATCCATCCCGTAGTTCGAGAGGGGTTGGTTTATCCGAAGAATTGACCGATAACAGCAGGAAATCGAGGAGATGGAGTATCCCGAAGAGTGCAGAGCAGTTTCGTTCAGGATTAAAATCTGGGAGGATAATAAGAAACAGAAAAATGAGTTAATTTAGAACCAATTCATTTTTAAAGTTTTTTTAAAATTAAGTTTTCAAAATGCTGTATTTAAGTAAAATAAATATTTTGTGTCGGATTTGAAAAATTTCTAGAAATATTCGGGAAAATTCGAATACAAAAAAAATAAAAAGTTGCTTGTACAAAAAAATTGGTCAAAAATTTGTACAAAAAACCTAATAACGAATTTTGTAATTTTGTCAGGAAATGATAGCTTTCTAAAATTTTGGGTAAATGAAAATTTGCTTTCGAATATTTCCGAGATTAGATATTCCTACCTTTTTCATGGCATCGACATACGTCCACTGTTTGACCCCGTCACGCCCCCTGCAGTTCAGGCCCCCCGGCGTGGAACCGTTGAGGAGTGGAAGGATCGACGTGTGGAAGGCGGAAATGTTGAGAATGTGACAATTCACCGTGTTCACGATGTGACCAAGGGACGAGTACTCGTCCTCCGGGACAAAGTCTGTGGACAATTAAAGAACAATTAAAACATGCCGAAAAAATATCTTACATAAAAAAACTAATGAAATTAACACTTTATATAAATCACAGGAAAGGAATGAATTAAAACATATTTATCTTGAAAATTTTTTAGAGAATAAATATCGGTGATTTTTTTTTTAACTTTTTAAAACTAGTATAAAAATGTGTCAGATTTTCGCAATCAATCAACGATAAATTGCATGCATATATATTATAAAATCATATTACAACATCAGTGATTGGAATAAAAAATTTTATAATGCTTAATTCAAATTTTAAAAGTCAGTTGCCCTAAATAATCCTATTAATTAGTAAAATATTTTGCATGTATGATTTCTACACCGTTTAAGAAATATTTCTAATTTTCAATTATAATATGGTTTTATTATTTAGGTAATAATGAGGAAGGAGTTTGTTTCAAAAATATTCTGGAAATAATTTCTAGGTTAAATTATTAATGGTTAATTTTTATCTGTACAAATTTTTAAAAAATCCCAATATTTCTAATTTAGCAAATTTTATAATGTAAAACACTTTACTATTTATTATTTTTATATGTCTTATTTGGGCTAAGGACAGAATGAGACTGATGAACTTTTGCTAAAAATTATGACTTATGTAGCTCAGAATATACCAATTAATACAAAAAAATATTGCACAAAAATGCACAAAAATATATGAACCCTTTTGTACATAACCCTTTTGAATAATTTTAAAATTTAAAATTCTGAAAATATTCCGCCTCCACCCAAGAATCTTTATGGAGAAATTCCTAAAATTTCTCACAGTTTCTAGGCGGTGGGGGCGAGTTGTAGTAGACATCCGACGCTAAGAAGGCTAGCAGCCCGAGCGTGGCGAAACTCGTGGCTAGAAGAGCGGCGAGGCGACGAATCCCTCGCCGACATAAAATCCTGCGCCACATTTCGACAATTTTTCCTCACAGGACGCCACGATTTGTACGTTTAACTATATTTCGTTGCTTGAGACGATACTTCAATTTGTGGCGACGATTTAGCGATGTAAATTCCATAATAATGCACTCTTCTTCCGTTTCAATTTTGTCCAGTCACCAGAAAATAAATCTGAAATGGAATCAAAATTATACAAACTTGGTAAATATTTTGGGAAACTTTCCCTTCATTTTAGGGAAAACTAAAAAACGAGTTTAAAATAGTCGTATGCAAATTTACAAAGACCATTTAAAAATATCGTATGCAAATTTAATTTACAAATACCATTTAAAAACGTAATTTAAACTGAATTTAAAATGTTAAAATTGAGTCAAATATCGTAAAGCATGTTTTAATAAACTTTTAAAATATAGAATTTCTAAAATTTCCAACAAATTTCTAAAATTTCTCGCTTAAATGTTTACTTACCTTCACTAAAATCACATCTTCTCACTCAATGTAAAAAAATCTCTCTAAATCGCAAAAAAAGACTGATTTTGGCAACTTTTACAACCTACAAGATACCAATTTGCACCTTGGGGTCTCATATTTGCAATCCATACACATAACTAAAGACTTCCTAAAAGGTAAACTGGTTTAGACTGTTGCTAAATGAAATATGCTCCGTCTGTATTTACGGCAGCTGCAGGAGTGAGTCAATCTTTACTTTCTTACGAATCGTTAATCTCTGTTAAAGTTAAAGACACACAAACAACACGATCCGACCAAATAATTATTCGACCTTGAGCATTAATTCCAATACATCGATATCCATAAGATAAATGCCACACCAACAAATCTCTCCGCACAGCCAGAAACCAACAACCAACGACTTTTCATACATAAGAAATCATGTAAGATTTGTGGTTCGTTTCCTGCTGCCGGAAACTGATAAACCACTAAACTGACTGAAAATGCAGTCCCCTTAATAATTTCTGAGAAACTTATTTGGAAAAAATGATCAAACTTTAGAAATCAATTGATTATTACTTTATGAAACTTGCGGTTTTTTTAGAGTTATAACTTTCAATTAAAAATATTTCTGGCGTTAAGTCATGCAAAATGTGAAGGAATTAAATTGAAAAGCAATGTGATAATTCGGTGGCAGCAAATATCTGAAAATTCAGTTTAGTTTATCACTTTATGATATGTTATTTTTCCCATAATATTTAACCGATTTTTCATAAATATTCACGCACGCCAATATCTGTCTCACAAAATTAAAAGAATACAGACGATTGAGAATTTCTAAATTTAAAAATTCTATTACTTATTTTAAGACATTTAAAAAATTGCTACAAAAACTGCATAATTATTTTTGACACCATACACTTAAAAAACTGGTGTTAAATCATCACCTAGTACGTACATGGATGTATGAATCTACCGGCACTGGTAATAACTGCTTGGTAATGTTGTGGTAATGAAAAATTAACCACTCACCAATCCGATAAGAAGTTATTACCAAGTCCAACACCAGTACGGAGTTGATATATCTGAATCTACCAGATTTTTGCCAGGGTACCTTTTTCCCTTATAAATTCCCGACAGAAAAGTTTCCAGATTCTTTAACTAACCTTTTAATGGACAGCTTATTCTTATTATTTTACTTATTCTTCTTCGTCACTTAACAAATAAACTATCCAATTAGTTCCTATTTATATACGTATTCATTCATGCAGTAAATGCCAGACACTGGAAATACATACATAAATTATCTACGCATCCCCATTCCCTGCCCATAAACAGTCCAATCACTAAAACCGTACAAATACATGGTTGGCGACAAAGTGATAACAATAGAGGAATGGATATTCCATTCAACACGTATGAATGTAGCTAAAACGGACATTCATCCACTCAACACGACACCACCCACTCGTCTTTATCTACTTCCATGTCATGCATATTCATTAATCTACACGCCATGCATATGGACATATGTACGTAGCGTCACGCACTTAAAAAAAATACATATTATTCTTTCCCCACTTCTTTATTTAGCTCAAAATTTTGATAAAAATTCAAGTGACTCACCCTATTTTATCTCTTTTTAGGTTGTAAAACTTATTAACGACGAATTTCCACTAGTAACTCATACAAAAGTGTATAGATACTATTAGATACTTTTGTTTGCTGAAGAGGCAACTTGAGACTTGAGTGAGAATCAATCAATCAATATTACATCGTTTGTTGTTATATATCGATTAACAATGAAACAATGCATGCATGGAACTCCGGTGTCTCTTTATAAAGGGATAAAATTCCAAATTTTATACGTATTTATGTGTCCCATATTTTCAACACGTATAAAAATACCGTAGGTATTATACACAACAGCAACTGCCAATTCTGAGCATTTTGAGCAACAGACTTATGAGGGCATAAATTTAAATGGGGCATGCCATTCATACCCTCAGCATGGGAATAAATAATTGCAAGCCTAATGTACCAATAAGACAGAAGATACATAATTTTGTAATTTTTTCTAGAAAAATTCATTTCCCAAGGAAAAAAACTTCTTTTTCTAAATTGTACACACCAATTTTAGAACGAAAGTTGTCCGTACTAATGGTAAGACCGGATGTTGCTTTGTGCTTTCATCCTCCAGCCTGCATTTCATGATTCCCAACAAAGAAAGGGATTGATTGACACTGACGGGAAAAGAATTAAGGGCGGACAATGGGGGAACTTGCGTGCGTGAGAATGGGAGGGGGTGCTACCCGACTTATTTGACACGTATGCCACTCATGGAATATATGTATGTGCGGAGTTGTTGAATAATTGATTCGAAAATTGGACGCCAAAATAAATCGATCCGACTCCAATTTCACCAAAACCACGAAAGTGGGCATGAAGTAAATCTGGGGTTAAGTTACAATAGGGGTCAATCTCGGGGCTCGATTTCCACCCCGATTTTGGTAAATGCACGAAGTTAGGTCCGTGTTTAAAATCAAATTGGTAAAATATTTCGTTATATTGCTGGAAATTTTAGAAAATTGTTGTGCATCATAAAAATTATAAATTACATATTTGGTAAATCCTGGAATTGGAAAATTTTATTTTTTATCTACCAAACAATTTCGGAAGGAAATTGATTTCGAAATTTCGAACAATAGAAATTCGTACAATTTTTACGTCCAGTCCAGTTAATACTTTCTGGTACACACATGCAAAATTGTGCAATTCATACCAAATACCCGAGTTCGGGTAGAATAAGGTGTATATGCTTACATCGGCTTAATGATAATTAATTAAATATGTTGTAAAGTAATTACTTACCAAAGATATTGTATTTATAACTGAAGTTTATTGTGTGTCGATTTATGCAGATATGCAGATAAGTGCTCCTCCAGACAATGATATGTATGGACTGATAATCGTCACGGCATAATTAAGAGACACAAATGTCAGTTGCACTGTGTTAAAAGAAAATTAGTTTACTTATTCTTGCCCAATTTCTACACCGATTTTAATAAATAAATCCACTAACGGATTACATACAACTTAGATTTGTTTGAGCGTTGTTATTAAAAATTGATTGATACAGGATTCCACAAATTTTAAGAACTTTTGGGTAACATATATTTCTGGAAATTTTCAGATTACGAGAGAAAGAGAGAGACCTCTTTCCAGATGACTTTCGCAAGGAGAATAAAACAACACAAAAGAAGTGAAACTTGTACGACCACCACTCGGATCGGAGGATCAGACCCAATACCCGGGTTATTAAAGGGGAAGGAGGAGGGATGCTAGCAAACGATATGCTCAAGGATTAAAAATTATGCAACCAAAAATCATGCAGAAAATGCGTCATGCAAAATCTATTGTCATTTACATACATAAATATTTTCTTAACAGTCAGTTTCTTCAAATTTTGCATGCATAAAAACCAACGAGCTGCATTTATAAAAGTCGTATGAAATTTATATTATATAACTCTATGATAACTCTATGATACAAACTCATGATGAATGAAAACTGAATTTTTTTGGCATCCTTCTCCCTAACCCGTCACACATTTCATTTCAAACTCGTCCAAAATTAGTACATGAATTTTCACCGTATGGAAAACTAATCTGTAACAATGTGCACGAGATATGTATTCATTTTTAGCACAATTTTTGCAATGTTTTGCAATTAATTTACATACAATCCACCTCATTTCATTTAAAAATTCACTTCTGTCTATGCATCAGTAGTCAAGGAGTATGCAAAATTTCATAATTATTTAGCGTCCCATTTATTATTCACCACCGCAAAATAATTGACTCAATTTCATGTTTTTTTTTGTTTCCCGAATAAATAAAATGCCTCTGAATATTTGCCGCAACCTTATCCACTCTGATAAGCATTTCCTCTCAGTACATAAATAAACACATATCTTACCAATCATCACACCCACTTCAGAATGAAGAACGTTACCCCGTCGTCGACCTCCAAATCGGCCACGTCCTCCAACTTAAAGGCCAATGCTGCCAGTAATACCAACAGCACGCTGACCTCCACCACGATGGCGACCGGATCTGGGATCACCATCGCTTCGGAGAAGAGTACCCCGTCCAGAACGCAACGCCTCTCCGTCACCTCGATAGCGTACAATTCTCCAGGAATTTTAGACTACGCGGGGGGTGAACCGGAGGAGGAGGAGGACGAAGGTGGTCTGGACCAGGATGGAAATCCCTTAAGGAATGAGTCCTCCTCAGTCATCAAGTAATTTTAATTTAAATCTCCCGCTTCGGCGCGCGCTCATTTGAGGAACTAGTCCTCATCTGCTAGAGTGTAGCGGTTTAAATTTAAATCTCCCGCTTCCGCGCGCCTACCTAATTGTTCTTTGATTTGCGTAGATTCTACCCGGATTGGTGCCATTGTTTTTCCTGCCTCCGCCGCTCGGATCAATATCCAGACTATTCTGCGACAGGATGGCTGGACTCGATCCGTTCCGCATTTCTCTGCCCGCCGCAAGGTCCCATGGCGCGATTGATGTCGTTCCTCTTCCTCGCCGCGCTCACGTGGGCGTTCGCTTTTCTTCTCTTACTCCAAGTAGGGAGCGACCATTTGAAGAGTCCCGCCAGTCCGAAAGGACCCATCTCCGCGCTCGCTATCCTCCTCGTGACGGGATTGTTTGCGGGTGAATTTAAATAAAATAAATAAATGAAAGCGCGGAGGCGGGATGGTCAAATTTATGTGAAAAGATATTTATTTCTTTTGAAAATAGGAATTACTATGAAGCGGTTTAGACTACCGTCCCTCCTGGGACCACTAATTCTTGGAATTTTCCTCAGAAATATATCGTGTCTCAATATTTTTACTTTTTTTGAAAGTTGGGATTCTAGAAATTGTTCGGGTATTATTGATGTCAACGGGTCGAGGATGGCATGTCGGGAACACGCTATCACTTCGTCAGGTACAGATTCGCATAATTATCGAGTACTTCTTACGTAAATTCTTGCCGAAATTTTGCATGCAAAGTGAAATTTTACATGAAAACTGAAATTTTACACGGGATTTTGGCTGAAAACTGAAATTGTACTTGACAATTCCAGGTCACTGGATAAAACCGATCCGTCAAATCGCTCTGACCATGATTCTGACCCGAGCCGGGTTGGAACTGAGTCCTAAACAGTTGCGCAAATTGAAAGGCGTCGTCCCCATGTTAGCCTTTGGTCCTTGTCTGGTCGAAGCATGCGTCTGCGCAGCCATGACTTATCTCCTCTTCAACGTCTTTGGCGATGGCAACAATGCCAAAATCAGTATCCCCATGTGCTTCGTGGCCGGGTAAGCATTTCCAATTTTTTGACAAAAAAATCGGGAATTTGTCACCAAAAACCCGAAATATTTAATTTACAAACACATAAATTTTCGTTTAAACTTCACTTTTCGACTAAAAGCCTGAAATTTGTACCAAAAAATCCCTTAATTTTCCCTAAAAACATAACACACCCCTTATTTTCCCCCTTCCAGCTTCGCCCTCGCCGCCGTCTCTCCGGCCGTCGTTGTTCCCGGAATGTTGTCCCTGAAACGTAGAAACCTCGGCGTAACCCAAGGAATTCCAACCCTGCTGATTGCCGCGTCCTCGATTGACGACGTGCTGGCCATTTCGCTCTACACGATCTGCATGGGATTAGCCTTGGCAGGATCGAGCAAAAATTGGGAAACGTTCGCATCCGGTCCGTTGAGCATTTTGGTCGGAACTTTTCACGGTTTTGCGGTCGGTGCGGTGATGCATTTCATCCCGGCGCGGGGGAACAGCAATAAAGCGCAGATTCGCCTTTGCCTCCTCCTCTTGGCCAATTTCGTGGCAATGTTTGCCTACGAAGAGTACGAGCTGTTGAGCGGGGCGGGGAGTCTGGCCGTGTTGGTGACCGCGTTCATCGCCTCGTTCGGCTGGCGGAGTCAGCCCCATTGGAAAAAGAGTATGAAGGCGATCGAGAGCTGGTTAAGTTTGTTGTGGACGTTGTGTGTCCCCCTACTTTTTGGGACGATTGGGAGGGAAATTGATTTTCATGGGAGTGGATTCGGAGGGGTCAGAGTCGCCAAGATTTTAGGAGTTATTGCCGTGTCGTTAGTGGTGAGTGGGTGGGGGAAGGAGGAATAAAAGGGTGGAATTTCTGAACATTATTTTATACGAAGTAGAAAATAATTTTGAGATAAATAATTTTTTTTGAGAAATATTATTGTTCGAAATAGTGTAATGAAAAATTCCCAAAACATAAGGGCGATTTTAATGCCAGATTTAGTGCAATCAATCAAAATTCATTTAAAAGTCATGCAAAATTCATAGAAAATTGAGTTGCATAACAAATTAGTGCAAAATCCCTGCAAAATTTAGTGCAAAATGTAATTACAAATGAGTACAAAATTCTTGTAAATGTTGCTGCAAGATTCAACAACGTGTAAAATCTATACGACACGACGTTTTAAATCAAAACTGTCTCAAAAGCAACTTCGGCTTCAAAGTCTTACAATTCCAAATCTAACAATCTAACAAATCTAAAAAGAAACTAAACCTAAATTATTTTCTAAAAATTCCACCCAACTTTTGAACTACCTATTTCCAAAATTTAATAAATACATATGCATATTTACATAAATTGACATGCCCTGTTCCACCCCCAGATTCGTTGCTGTACAGCCTTCCTGATCGCGGGGATGCCAGGGCTAAACGTTCGCGAGCGACTTTTCTGCGCGCTGGCATGGATTCCGAAAGCCACCGTCCAAGCCGCCCTTGCGCCCCTCGTCGTCTCCAAAATCCAAAGCAAACCGGACAACGAGGCCTTCAAACCGCACGGCGAAATAGTCGTCACGCTGGCCGTGTTGGCCATCCTGCTCACTGCGCCCCTCGGATCCGTCCTGATCGCCTACTTTGGACCGAGGTTGCTCCGAAGAGCGACAATTCCCGAACAGATCACGTTGGTAAGCGGGGTGAGAGATAGAGGAATTTTAGGGCATCTTTTATTTACTTGTGGCGTCATTTTGTGGATTACTCGTGCGTGTAGTATTTAACGTTTGTCGTAGAATTTTCCTTGCCGTCTTTCCAGCCGAAGTTATGCTTGACTTCTTTGTACTTACGCCATGGTTGAATTGTTTATAACATTGGCGCAAGTTGGGGGCGAGCGAAGTAGAAATACACGCAAGTTAAGCTAACTTCATGCCGATTACAGTTAGAACAAGCAAAATGTTTTTTTTTTGCAGAATTAGGCATAATTTCATTTTTCGACTCTCAAAACCCGTTCATCAATCATTTCTGAAACTAAATAGGTAGAAATATTTTGATTTCGACTTCCCAAAATGATCCAATTAATGGTTTCAACCCGAATATCTATCTAAATTTGTACAAAAAATCAAAACAACTTGTACAAAACAATTGCACATGAAGATATTTTTTGCAAGCAAAAATTTCTGTATGTATCGGAAATTGAGATACTAAAAAATCTCCACTTTTTGTCACTTTCTAAGTATTTTTGTTTTTACAAATTTCAGGCAGAAGAATTTCCCAATGGAGATGGAGTTGATCCGCACGAAGACATGGTCACAGTGAAGCCGCATAAGCTGTCTAACGGCCCCATGATCGTGGGTGGGACAGGGTCACTCGACTCCATGTCTCCCTCCGCTTTCAGGTCAGGGTTAAAATTTATTTTTACACATGAAAAAAAAATAACAGAGGCGCCGAAAATACTTTGTCAAACAATAATATGGTTTGAGCTTATGCTCAATTTTGAGCATAATATGCTAAAAATTATAATTAAATTATAATTGAGCATAATATTATTATGCTCAATTTTGAGCTTGTTCTTGCATGGCCATTAAAATTTACAGCCACAAAAAGCGACAATCTTTACAGAATATGTTGCATGTACAGCAGTTATACACGTTTTGCGAAGAAACTTTTCATGGTTGTAAAAATCCATTATTTTCACGATTTTTTTTAAACAATGTAAACAATATTTTTGACGGATAAAAATTAATTTCTTGGCAAAACGTGTATTTTCGTATGGTTGCTGTACATATGTGCAGATTCTCGTTTTTTGTGGGGCTGTGAGTGCCCTGGAAATTCAAGCCTTCGGAAGAACGGAGCTCAAAATACTGTGTGTATTTTGACTTGGCAAAGTATTTTTTCCGCCCTTGAAAAAAGAAAATAAGGCAAATATGTACCTATAATTACAATATTCTTGACGAAAGAGTGTCATCTCAGACGCAAACGGTTCCTCGAAGTGCGTCCGCCGACGCTATGCTTGAAGGAGGAGGACAAGTTCACAAAAATCGTCAGGATCACGATCAAAAAGCCTTCTGGAATTTTTGGTCGTAGCTTTGCGAAAAACATAATGAAATGGGAAGTTATTAGGTGGGAGGGAGAGAGAGGAAATTTTATGCTTACATATTTTCTGACTTAATTACATATGCTACTAATATTTAATTAAAGGAATAATTAAAGTGCTGACGATCCATAAAAGTGAGTATTTTGGTGATATTTTTTAAATAATTGAAAAATTCATACAACTTTATGAGAAAATTATGTTGACTACGTTTCTTTTATTTTTACGAAATGACTACTCATCGTAAATTGCTGGGGAAATAGGGGGGTTGATAAGCTACATAAACATTGTCATTACAAATTATAGGCAAACCTACTACAATTTAATAAGTTAAATACGTCTCGTATTTTTAGTTATCTATTAGTGCACTCAAGAACAAAATAATTAAATATTAAAGTCGCAGTCATTTTTGGTTTGGTAAGGTACGGGTTCATTTCCTACTTGCGCCAAGGCTATAGTTTAACTATGGCGCAAGTTACAAAATGAGGGAAGGATACGATTTATTCAGCTACTTCGCTGTGTCCCTTTCGATGACGCGGAGGACGACGTTTCTGCCAAATTGAACAAATCTTCTCCCCATTGAACCGCTTGCTTCGTGGCTTCACAATGTTTCAGCAGACCACTGGGAATCCCATCAAGGCCGAATTGTGCCCCTGCCAAAGCCCCAGCCATAGATCCGATCGTGTCCGTATCGCCGCCAAGATGAAAAGATAACATTAAGGCCCGTTGGAACACGTTGTCAGTCTGAAGTGAAAATTTTTTCTTTTATACAGGGTGGTTAAAATGTCACGCTACAATGGAAAATTTTTCGATGGGGAAAATTCGTAAATTTCCATTAGTTACCGAAATTTTATCGCTAAAATTCAACATTTTAAGAATTTCGTCATCAATGCTCCATCAGTTTTGATAATAATTATTAAAATCTCAATCCAAAATCTTGTAACTAATGGAGATTTAGGGGTTTTTCCCATCAAAAAATTTCCCATTGTAGCGTGACATTTTAACCACCCTGTAAATTATCTAACTTTCCGGCTACAAGATTTTACCAGCAAAATACCATGTCGAAATATTTTTGGCAGATCAAATAATTTAGGGAATTTGAACACTTCGTAATTTGAACACTTTGTAATTTGAACCAGAGTATAAATCCAGACTGTACCGGGATACCCTGAGTTCAGGCTGAATGCCATAAGACTCTTCAGCATTGAAAACTGCGTAATGGTAGCCGGAGGGGGCAAACACAACATGACGTTTCTTATTAAAAATAAAATTGTATCACATTCCAAAAAAAAGTTGTAATGTAAAATGTAATTGTAATTTGTGATGAGCATAATTACTGAGATAATTGTTTGCGATAGTGCTGGTATTACAGTCACTCAATAAGACTTAATCAGTCGAAATTTACAAGTGTGAAATGACTTTGAAGTTGACAAATTTTGTAAAGTGAAAAATAATTTCTACCGACTTTAATTAGAGAGATAATTACCTAAAGATAGTGCTGGTATTACGGTCACTCAAAACAACTTAAATAATTCAAAATTGAAACTGCGCAATCACTTTGACGTCAACACACTTTGTAAGGTATTGAACAGGATTTTTTTGCACCAATTATTGAGATAATTGGTTAAATATAGTGCTGGTATTACAGTCACAAACTTTTTACTTTGATAAAGGTTTGTACCCAAAAATATGTGTGTGCTCCCTTCCATTCATTTTTAAATCCTAAAAGTTATCCGGCAACCTCAGATATCGAAATAGGAAAAGTTCAGCCTGGATTTAAACTCTGATTTGAACTCTGTTGTTCTTAGGGGCTATTACAGCTAAAAAAGGACGATTAAATAATCGCAAATTAATTTCATCACAAAATCTGCATTTCTGTATGACTGGTGCATTCTTCATGTAAATACTCGGCTTTCTTGTAGCTGTAATACCCTTAAAATCCTAGCCCTTGGCTGAACGTATTTAGCTCAAACTACTGTATTTCGAAAGGTTATTTTGCCCTCCGGAGGATTTTTCAAAAACCCACCTCAATTTCCGGGATGGGCTTCTGCGCCGCTAAGAAACAATAAAGCGCAGTGGGTACGGAACGATGCGCACTGACCGCGGTACCCAAAACCTCCTCGATCTCTTCCCTATGCGGTGGCTCGTTCAAGGCTAGGAAGGATCTCACAATCTCCAATTTTTTGACGTAACTCGTTTCTGGATCCTTGTCCAATTTCGAATGAGTCATATGCGCCTTGCCGGAATCCTGAAAAAATGGAATTTGTTTCGAAATTTGCGACATCAACTATAAAATTTAAGAACTTACTGCACCCTCCACCTGCGCCATGATATCAATCAGTCCATTCGTAAATGCAGTCGTGTCCATCTTTTCACCTGCCTTGTGCCGTAAAGCGGCTCGGACTGCGATCGCGTGCAGAATAGCGCCCCTAATCCCGAGTGGATTGGAATGTGTCACTTTGGAACAGGTCTCCACCGCGGCGAGAAGTGTGGATAGGTCGTCACTTTCGTCAGAAGTTGAATGAGTGAAAAGGGGAACGGGACTAATACGCATCGCGGCGCCATTTCCGTAACTTCCCATCCCTCCAAATTGTCGGGACGCGGGGCCAAAAGGGTCCTCAAACGCGGTCAGGTGCAGATTCTGAAATACGTCACCAACCGTTGCGCCATAACCGCGTTTCGGATCCGCATTGTATTCTGAGACGAAGCTGAAAACCAAGGCCGAATGATAAGTCAAATGATAAGTCAAGTATGTTGAATTTGTCGAAATTAGTATCTCTCACCGTTTCGCCATGTCCATTGGATCGACACGGCGACACTGAATTAAAGATAATGCGACACTTTTCGTCATGGCGGTGTCGTCCGTGTAGGTTTTAAAGGGGACTGAAATTAAAAATAAAATTTAGCGATTCATTCGAAGTTTGATTATTTCATTTTAATTATTGGAATTTAAAAAAATCTATGGTTTAATTAGAATCACAATTAGAATTTTAAACTCACGTCGCACCGAAGGGTCCAACATTTTTGCAAAGTATTTGTTAAGATGTGCCTTTGAAACGTATTTACTTCCCTCGAACGGTCCACCAAGACAATCCCCAACCAAGACCCCCAGCAAGGTGCCCTGAAAGCGGGACAGGGTTGAAGCCGACATGGCGAAAAACTGTTCAGTTAATTTAATATTTTTAATTGAGCATGTAAACACTTTTTCAGTTTAGAGGAACAAAAACACGAGGTGCACAAGGTGATGGGATGGCGGTGATGAAAACGCAAATCTTCTCATACTGCCTCCAACAATGAATAACATTTTTTTCATACTATGAAATTCATCGCCATAAAATAAAATCGGTCGACATGTCGAATTTACAAAAATAAAATTGGTCAGACAAGAAGACAATTAATTAAATGCTTAATTTACTTTCGTACAAAATATGAAGTCTTTTATAAACTCATCATCCTAAATTTATAACTTCGCGACTAGTAGTTTTAAACGCCATGGCATGTCGATATATTTACATTAAGCTTAGTCGTCACACCATGTCGACGAGTCTGAATTGATTATGCTGCTTATCCGGGATGACGTGGACGTACTTCTTGAAAAAGGGAGCCGTTCTGGAACGAGCCCCGTAAAATTTTTCGACCTGTCGATGTTTCCAATTTAGATCAGGCGTTTCAACAGTGAAGCTAACAGTACCCGTTTTTAGGGCGACGAGATTTAAACGACCGGCGAGACGAACCTTTAATTGTTACAAATTGTAATTAACAATTTAATTTAAATCCTTTTAAAACTAAATAATATTAAATAATTTCCAGTACTCACATTAAGGCCGGGATGAAACCATAATCTTGTCTGCTTGTGGACAATGATATCTCGCGGATTAGCACGCCATCCGTCCCAGATTTTTATTCCTTTAAAGTTTCCGGGGGCCTGTTTGGGGTTTTTATTTCCTCCACCGGCCGCTTTTTTGGAGGCGAATCGAACAGGTTCTGAAAATACATAAGCTTATAATTAATAAATTATCATCACCAATTAATTAATAAACAAATTATGCACTAAGATAAAAACTCCCACTAAATAAATACACCGAAACCGAAATTACAAAAATCTGAAAATTAAAAAGGAGAAAATTTGAAAAACTTACGAAGGGATTGAACTGTTCCTGGTTTTCCTATCGCCGTCACCGCCCCCACTAATATTGAGGGGATCAATTTTGAGAGGAATTGACCTCCCGACATTATTTAAAATTAATTGCTTAATTAGTTAATTCAATTTGAAATTTCAATAAAATTTACAAAAAAAATCTGCTAAAATAAACCCAACTCAAGTCTCAATTTTCCCTCATAGAGAGCCAAGCACGGTACCGCGGTTGACTTTTCGCCAGGGCGTAACTCTCCCCAAGTGAATTAATCGCAATCTGACGTCCTTTCCTCACAATATTTAAAGTTAACTTCACAATTAAATTTTTTAACCCCGTCACTAATTGTTAAGAACATGTCAATCAAGTATATTTTAGGCTACTTCAACCTCGTCACCGTCACGGCGCTTGTGCTCATTGGTAAGAAAATTATTAAGAAATAAAACGAGTAAATAAATAATTAGCATACCCCGGACAAATATTTTTTTATCCTACCCTACTCATGTTGAGCTCAACACGAGTAGGGTAGGATAAAAAAATATTTGTCCGGGGTATGATAATTAGTCAGTCGATTTATATGAACTCAATTGAATTAAAAGTAACATATTCTGCTAAATATTCTACAAAATAGGTTAATATTTAATATTTGGTGGGTTTATGTTGTATCCTCTATTATGTAGCTGGAATGTAGAATTTTAATCCCAATTGATTGGGATTAAACTATAGTGTTGAGAATTTGAGAAGTTCTCAATGAGAACTTTTGCACATTTAGTTTTATTTTTTAACCAATTGGTTCCTTATTTATGTAGGAGTATGCTACACCGTGACGGGACAAGGAGAACGGATCGACTTTGGCTGGTTCTTAACACAAACATCTCCTCACATGTGGGCCGCGACGGGGGCAGCGTTCGCTGTCGCCCTGTCCGTCGTAGGTGCAGCTTTGTACGCAAAAAATATCAATTTAAATAAACTTTGGACCTTGCCGCACATTTAATTTATGTATTCCTTTAACTACAGAGGAATCCACACCACAGGAGTCTCCATTATCGGCGGAGGTGTAAAAGCGCCCCGAATCAAGACGAAGAACTTAATTTCAGTCATTTTCTGTGAGGCTGTCGCTATTTACGGGCTAATCACTGCCATCGTTTTAGCCGGGATGATTGAGGTGATAATAAAATGCATATGACCACTATGAACTATGAGCTAACAATAAATCATGTATTTGTAACATGCAAATAATCTTATTATTTGTGTAGCCCTTCTCCTGGAACAAGGCCGAGTTGTCGATGGAGGTTCGCGAGCGAAATTACATGTCAGGCTACCTCATGTTTGGCGCTGGGCTGACCGTGGGGCTCGTAAATCTCGTGTGCGGAATGTGCGTCGGGATCGTTGGGTCAGGCGCAGCGTTGGCGGATGCCGCAAATCCTGCCCTATTTGTCAAAATCCTGATCGTGGAAATTTTTGGAAGTGCTATTGGACTCTTTGGCTTGATCGTGGGAATTTACATGGTACATTTTCAAAATTTTTGTATCTAAATTGAATTTATAACCTATTAATATATTTATCTTCCCCTTTCAGACCTCTAAAGTCAAGATGGGTGATAAGCAGTAGTGGTATTGGTCAATCACAAGTATTGTCATCAAATCACCTCCGCAAGAAATCATCATTCTATATTTGATTCTAAATTGAAATCTGAAACATTCCATTCGAACATACTCCAAACTGACTATCTGATATCGGACCTGTGTAACTTACTAATTAATTAATTTTTTGATTATCTACCGTTTAATCTTTACAAGTATAAGATGCAATCTTCTGCACAGTTTATTCGGATTGGTTGAAATGTTAGACCTTGTGCCCGACTGGCTAATTTTTTCGATACATTTTCCTCCTCCTTTCTTAGCATGAGAATTTATACAGAAGTCGTTCTAGTAGTTTTGTTTGTTGGTGGTGCGTGTTAATGAGAAATCAATATTAGTTTTTTAAGAATAATCATAAGTCGAATCGTCCCTATTCAACCTTAGTGGATGGGATTTCAGTAGTTTAGTTAGTTGGTTGACGTCGCCGTTATTATTGTCGTCGTCGTAATTGTATCTGATGAATCTAGTCTCGAAATGATGATGATGATGACGTGTAAGTAAATTGTACTGCATACATTAATTACTGCTGCTGCTGAGAAAGGCAAGGATAAAGCAGCTGCATTTTCTTTTAGTAGAATAGAGAGAAGAAATCAGTAAATAAAAGATTTTTGTGTCAATATAATTAATTTTGTATTTTTATTTCGAAACTAATTTACCGGCGAACGACAAGCGACAAAAATGTCACATTTTAATCAACAACGAAGAACAGATCCATTTTAAAAGAAACCAAGATCCTAGCGTCACTTATAAATCTCTCCGCGATGACGACAATCTGTCCAAAAACTGTCCACTGGTCGCATCACGTTTTCGTTTTGTCGCCCTTGGTCTTAATATTATCCAAGATGGGATCGTGCTCCGATTTCTCTTTAATTTTCCCCTCCAGTTTGTCAAACTCTTTCTGCGCAACTTTCTCGTGTTCTGCGATGACCTGTTCGACTCCGAGGACTTCGGGGACGTAAAATTGTAACATGTTCTGCACCCCGTTCTTCAACGTGACGACGGACGAGGGACAAGAGGTGCAGGAACCTTGCATAATTAGCTTTACGATCCCGTCCTTAAATTCCTGTAAAAACAGTTGGTAAGATTATGACACGGTAAAAAAGGTCATTTCAAATTGTGCAGCCTTCTCGTCTGCAGAAAATGAACTTCAATATTTTCGGCAGATCGATTTTCGTACGGGTCACTCACCACGAATTGGATATCACCTCCGTCCTCTTGCACGGTGGGTCGAATTCGTGAATCGAGCAGTTCTTTAATTAGCGCAACGGTCTCATTGTCCTCCTCTTCATCACCGGAAGTGGCTATTTTATAGACAAGGAAGATCATGTCATCGCCACAGAATAATTAAACCCTTACATTATTTAAATTCATTAAATCATCGTTAATAATTATTACAGCCTCTCACCCTGCTGACTAGTTGACCCTGGTTCACTCGCCCCTTCAGTCACGACGGGAAGCCCACTCGCGAAAAAATCCATAATCGTGGCGTAGATTTCTGGTTTGAGGAGACGCCAATCCACTTCCTCGTCGACACGCGTTACGGTTATGAAATCCCCCCCGAAAAAGACGGACCGGACGCCTTCAATTCTAAACAACATTTTCGCCAGGGTCGAATTCACGGCGGAGGCAGGGGTCGGAAAATCCAGGGTGGACCCAGTATCGAGTACCTGCATGTCAGATGGGGAGACATTATGCTACAAATAATTTATAATTATTAATCAATTTAATTGATTACCGTTGTTCCGGGGTAAAACTTTAAAGAATTGGGATTCGGTGTGTCCTGCGTTCTGATGAACATGTTGTCACGAGCGGATATCGAAATAGGGCGAAACCCCTGCGCTAATAATAATTGTTGTCGGCATTGTGACGAATTTTCCGACAAAGATAATGCGCGATAATTTCGGGTCGTTGTTTGTGTAGATGATTTAACATTTGGCACGATTACTCTAAAAATCAAAATAGACTTTTTGCTAAAATTTTTTGCAAAAATAAAAAATTGTGCTGTTTCCTCACCTATTTGATGTTCGGACTCCAGCTCCAAATCGAATCCCAAACTCGCGCAGCATGTTTTCGTACGTAATTGCGAGTAAGGTCAAAAGGTTCCGTTAGTTTGTCAAGTTTAATGACAACAAATGATGAAATATAAAATATGACGTGATATAAGCTTATTTTTAAGGGTCCATTTACGGAGATGAACACTTCTTTCAGGACTATTAATTGTTCAGCTAATTAAATTCAGAAAGAATTTTAAGAATAGAAATTTTGTAAATACAATTTTGTAAAAATTTCACAAAATGAAAGTGAAATCACGTGAAATATTCGGCATGCGACGTTCCCGGTGTCAAATACGTCTCACTTTTCCGTCTAAAGAAATCTCATTTTCGTCGCAATATCTTCGTCTCAATTCTGTCTCAACCTGCCTCATGTCGCAAGCAAAATCGTCTCACCGTCTCATCCCCCTGACCTTTGACTGCTCATTTGACCCCAAATCTGACCCCAAATCTGACCCCGGATTCGGATCCGGTGACCCCAACATTACTAAAGCTTCGATAAACAAATTCATTAACAATTGACATCCGTACTAAAATACATTTTGGGAAAAGTGAGACAATAACCATAGCTAATTTTATATTAAAATACGTACATTTCATAATTATTATACAATTTCCAATTATGCAAATTCTTCTGGAATTCACTTATCGACAAGCTTATCATCAATAATTTAATTAGGATCTAGTCATGGGGACGAAGGCCACGCCACGTGTAAATATTCCTCTTCACACTGCACCACGAATTGCACTCCTGCTTCGAAATTGCTCATTAACAAAATAACAATTTGCACTTCAAAATGTCAAACTTGACGAAATTCATTTTGTTACAAAAGAGTAACACTTGACAAGCTTATCATTGTTACAGTTAACGTTACTTATCATTTACTTATCATGTCCCAACTTCGTGCAATTTGAGCATGTCAGGACAACTTTTATTACTTAACGTGACACCATGCTTTCACACGACAAAACAAAGGAATGCAATGACTGATGGGCTTTTTGATATCGAATCAAATTCGTCCAGTTTTTCAGGGGGTTGAATTACATCGAGATTCCACTTGATCCGTACACAATTATGTCATCACGAACCAACCACACCTATAATTTGCCATATTTTTCTGCACTTCAATGGATACAGCAGTTTAAGTGCGTGATTCATGTCTGGTTCTCACACAATTTACACGAGGTTAATCATCCACCCAATTATGATAAGCTATATGATTTTGATAACCTCATCGAAAATATTTACGACGTGGGATCAATTGCATACATATACATAAGTACATACCTACAAAAATTGGATAAGCACCCTTGATTATCTTTAGGTAACCTTATTTACTTGAAAGTTGGTTACTTGCCAATTGAGTACCTTATGTATGTTGCCCGTATTTAGTTGAAAGTTGGTCAGTCGCCAAATATTCTGTCATCTGGTAGGACGCATTATATTTTACGGTGGGCAATTAAATATTTTTTTGTTTTTGCAAAAATTATGTATTATTCGCAATTTCTCGTCGCCCTCCTCCTCCTCGTGGTGGGAGGGAGCCAGGCCCAATCGGTGTGGACGTACACGTGTCGCAATGAGAAATTCTGCCAGCGGGTCGCGGTGGCTGATCTTCCCGGGGGCGGCGGCGTTCCGTTGGACGTATGCAAATTAAATTGTGACAAGGCCCACGGGAGTTTGTTCCCGTTGCCGACGGGGCAGGTGGGTTACGCAAATTATTATATGCAAATTATTAGTGCTAATTATATGCAAGTCAGTATATGCTAAAATTATTCGCATTTTCTCCAGGTCACTCTTGGTCCAAATACGACGCCATTTTATCCCGGTTATGTCACTCCTTCGGGCTATGACGCTTATCCAATCCCAGTTCGTGACCTTTTTAGAGCTGCAGCGGGGATTTTCATAGATTATTTGAATAAGGTAACGATTTAATGTACATATTATACTTAATTAATAATCAAGTATTCATCCAATTTACATATATTATAACTAATTAATTAAATATTCACCTACATAATTTACATATTCTAATTAATGAATTTTAGATGCGCCCGTCCGGGCCTGATGACCCGATTTATAGGAATGCCGTCAACGTCAGACTGACCGCGTCGGACACTTCGACCGCCATGTTCACTCTGGGAACGGATGAGTCATACACGCTGACCGTGTCCGTTAGTGCGGATGGGGTACGAATCATAAAAAAAGCTATTTATTACCAGGATTTGATAAGTCTAGTGGCTTATCTGAGCATAAATATAAATAAGCTTATCATATTTATGTCCCTATTTACGTAAATATATTTACAGAAAACCGTGACTGCGGATATATCAGCGGTCACCTTTTTCGGAGCGAGGCACGGACTCGAAACGTTATCTCAGTTAATCGCCTACGACGAGGATCTCGACGTTTTACAGGTTTTTGTCATGATAATCTTTCAGATAAGTGCATTATCATTTGCATAATGACTCTAATAAATTTACAATTTCTTGATAGATCGTAAACACCGCGAGTATCGTGGATAAGCCGGTTTATCTTTATCGAGGCCTAGCGTTGGACACAGCGAGAAATTTTATTAGTTTAGACGGCATCAAGAAAGTCATCGATGGCTTATCGTACAACAAGATGAACATGTTTCATTGGCATATTTCGGATACTAACTCGTTCGCTATGGAAGTTGAGGGATGGCCGCAGGTATAGTGGTTTAAGAAATTTCGGAAATTTTGAAAAAATTTTAGATTTACCGTCATGTAACGTATTTTTGATTCAACTTTTGTTTCTTAAATTAGTTCACTACGCACGGAGCCTATTCTTCCGAGAAGATTTATTCCCTCGCAGATATGCGCGACCTTGTCGCGTACGCGAGGGCGCGTGGGGTTAAAATCGTTCCAGAATTTGATGAGCCTGCCCATGTTGGTTTTGGGTGGGAATGGGGACCTTCCGCCGGGCTGGGGAACCTTGTCGTTTGCCTGAATGAAGATCCCTGGTACGACCTTTGTCTCCAACCCCCGTGCGGACAATTGAACATCGTCAACGATAATGTTTACGTAATGCTCGGTATGCAAATTTCAAAATTTCATGATATTAAATTTTCAAATTTCATAACGCAAGATAAGCATCAAAGCATCGACCGATAAGCTAATTTATTTGATTACTATTTCAGGTCACATTTTCACCTCCATGTTGAAAATTTTCGACAACGATTTATTCCACATGGGCGGCGACGAGGTGCATTTTGGATGCTACAACAGTTCTGAAGAAATTAAGGCGTGGATGGCCGCAAATGGAACGTCAACCGACGTGGCGGGATTCGTCTCGCTTTGGGGAAGTTTCCAACACCAGGGTAAAAAATAGCTTATCATTTTGGCTTATCAGTAGGGATAACCATGTTAATTTTCCGTTAGCTCATGACAAACTTGTCGCTGCATCGAGCAACAAAGACATCACTGGAATTCTCTGGACGTCCGAATTAACTCATCGCGAATACATCTCGGAATATTTAGACCCGGCGAAATACGTTATCCAAATTTGGACCGAGAGTATGCTAGTTAATTTTTTAATTCGAATAATTTTGGGAATTATATTGGAATTTTTAATTCTTTAAGCCCTCAACGCGGACACCCCCGCCATGATTACGGACGGTTACCGTGTCATATTTTCGAATTACGACGCCCTCTACTTAGACTGCGGGTTTAACGCGTGGCTCGGCAGTGGGCACAATTGGTGTTCGCCGTACAAAGGGTGGCAGGTAAGTTACTAATCGCTCTAAAATTCCCGTTGGGGAGGAATAAGTGAGAAATGTATAACTTATTTGCATTTTATTCTACAGTCAATCTACGACCACAGTCCTCACGGTATTTATGCTAACGCGACAAATTCTACCATGGCGGACGCAGCATTGGCGGACGGTCGCTTATTAGGAGCTGAGGCGCCCCTTTGGGTGGAACAGGTATGCATATTTATAAATTTGAACGGTACATCTCGCCTTACCCAAATTAGATAAATAGAGCTTATTAAATTGAAGCTAGCTTACATTGAATAGGGGTAAGGTGCGATAAAGAATTCAAATTTGTTCTGGTGGAGAATATGCTCACCTTAAGTATTATGAGACGAAAATGTTTACTCAAAGAAAACGCTCGATATTTTTATTAGGCGGACGAGAAAGCCTACGAATCCCGTCTCTGGCCTCGTGGCGCCGCCTTGGGTGAACGGCTTTGGACAAATCCGACTACCAACTGGGCGGACGCGGAACATCGCATGGTCACAAATCGAAATCGAATGGTCGCCCGAGGAATTAACGCGGATGCAATGCAACCCGAATATTGTTCCATGTATCAGAACAAGTGTTACGGACCGGGAGCTTGGGATGGAGAGGTGACGTCCCCACCAACATCCCCCCAAACGCCAGCCCCTTCACCTGCAACTTCCCCCCAAACACCAGCCCCTTCACCTCCAACGTCAACCCCGCCGTCCTCAACGACACAAGGCAACCAATCAAATTGTCGAATTATGCTAGTGTTCAGCCCGTATGCTAGTCTCAATTCCTTGGAAAAATTTCTGAGAGGTTATTTGATTTTTGGAAAATTATCTGCCAGGAAACCTTTCAGATTTTTTTCAGACTATTAATATCGGCTGGACAGTAGTACCCCAAATTTTCGATCCCGCTACAAATTTTGTTGCACCTATTTTCTACCCGCTAAAAAACCGCTTGCCCATTAGCCGGTAGTCGAAAGCGGTGGAAATTCGTTTCGAACTTATCGACCCTAAGGAAAATAAGTGCAATAAAGCCTATTTAATGTTTTTTTAAACGTTCGAATCTAATTTTCGATAGCCACGTGAACGGGTTGGGGTGAAATATGAATCGCCCACTTGATGGGATCAAATTCTAATCGAATTAAAAATTCTAATTTGTCTAAATGAACTTTGTTTAGGTGGCACGGGAGCTGCCTCGAGCACGGTAGGCGGGATTTTTCTCGTGATAACTTCTCTACTTTGGAGCTTATCTACAGCATAACTTTTTTGTGATTATTGCAATTTAATTTATTCATGTGAATTAAAATTAGTGTGATTTGATTAAATAAATGAATACTTATGAATTATTCAGAAAATTGTATGGGTTGAAGATGCAGAGAACTATTTGTAATTGAGTATTACTCGGGGAAACATATGTATGAATTTCTTGATAAGCAGATTGCATCATAAACCTTTTATTTCCCATATTTCTTATTGCATACATGTTTTAATGCATTTATTAAGCATATTACCTAAATATTATGCATGAAAAACGTATGCGAAAATCATAGAGGTTTTTGTAATCAATGTGCAGTAACAGTAACTTACAACTTATGTACATATGTAAACATATTCTTAAAAATATACCATGAATTTCTGTTCCAAATTCAGTTATTCTGTCCGACCGCATCTTGCATGGATTCTCGCACGCCCAAATGGTAAAATTATTGCTATGTGTAATTCTCATCATATTCATCTTTTATTTTTTCGAATAATGCATTTATTTAGTCAAACCTGATTAACTTTAATTATCAAGAATAAATTAAAATTTACAATTAAAATATAATATGGTTAGGCAGCAGATAAGCTCCAAAGTAGGGAAGATATCACGAGAAAGATCCCGCCTACCGTGCTCGAGGCAGCTCCTTCTTTTTTAGTGTCTAAAGAACATTTATCGTTTATTTATTAATAATTAGCACTACTTATCATAATTAGCAATTCATTAATTAGATGTGATTCAATCCGATAAAATTTTAGCAACCACCCCGCAACAAATTGTGGCGAGGCGTAAGTACATAAAATTCCAAACTGTTACTTGCCTGGTGGCGGGGGCCCGTAACACTTGTTCTGGTACATGGAACAGTATTCGGGCTGCATCTGATCCGCGCGTATTCCGCGCGCCACCATTCGACCACGATTTGTGACCATGCGATGTTCCGCGTCCGCCCACCCGGTCATCGGATCACTCCAGAGCCGCTCACCCAGGGCGGCGCCACGAGGCCAGAGGCGGGATTCGTACGCTTGATCGTCCGCCTAGAAAAGGAACCGTAATTTATTTGAATAAATACCCATATTTTCGTCTCACAATACTCTAGATTAACGAGAGGATATCATCTGAATTTGAATTTTCTACCTAATTTTACCCCTAATTAAGCAAATTTTTAAAACCGTTTTAATTTAATCAATCTTATTTATAGAAAATTCATGAAATTGATACGGGTTTAGAAATTTATACGCAATATAGGTAAGCTGAGATGAAAAATTCAAATTTTTATGGCGGATCCACAAACACCTTTATACCTGTTCCACCCAAAGTACTGCTTCGCCTCCTAATAAACGGCCGTCCGCCAGTGCTTCATCCGCCGCGGTAGAATTTGTCGCGTTAGCATAAATAAAATGTGGACTATGGTCGTAGATTAACTGTAAAAACCATAGAGAAAATTCTCAGCGTGCCCCAGACTAGGCCGATTAATTACTTACCTGCCACTCTTTGTATGGCGAACACCACGTGTGCCCCGTGCCGACCCACGCGCTCAACCCGCAGTCCAAGTAGAGGGCATCGTAATTCGAAAATATGACACGGTAACCATCATTAATCATGGCGGGGGTGTCGGCATGAAACGCTAAAATTATTCAAATTACAAACTCTAATAATAATCCCACACCAAAAACATTAATTGACATTTTACTCTCAGTCCAAATTTGGATCGCGTATTTCGTGGGGTCTAAATACTGCGAGATGTATTCGCGATGAGTTAGTTCGGACGTCCAGAGAATTCCAGTGATGTCTTTGTTGCTCGATGCCGCGACCAGTTTGTCATGAGCTGATGGAAAATTACGATTGATGATAAGTCCAAGCTAAAATGATAAGCTATTTTTTACCCTTCGATGTAAAGCTTCCCAAGAGGGATACGAATCCATCCATATCGGTCGACGTTCCATTTTCCGCCATCCAGTCGGTGATTTCCTTCGTAGTATTGTAACAGTTCATATGCACCTCGTCGCCGCCCATGTGGAATAAATCGTTGTCGAAAATTCCCAACATGGAGGTGTAAATTTCGCCTGAAAAATATTCAAGTCGATAAGCACCTGGCTTATCTGAAATTAATTATTTATACCTAGCAATTCATAAACATAATTGTTGACGATGTTCAGTTGTCCGCATGGGGGTTCGAGGCAGTAGTCGTACCACGGATCTGCATTCAGACACACGACCAGGTTCCCCATTCCGGCGGAAGGTCCCCACTCCCACCCAAAACCGGCGTGGGAGGGCCCATTAAATTCCGGAACGATTTTAACCCCACGGGGCTTCGCGTATGCGACTATCTCGCGCATATTTGCGAGGGAATAAATCTTGTTCTTCGAGTATGCCCCGTACGCCGTGAACTATTTTAGGAAACAAAAGTTATCTAACAAGATCCGCTAGATGGCGACAAATTTAAATCATGCGGAACTAATCAAAGGTTCTGCTGATCCGCTAGATGGCGCTTAATTATCATATGATTTACATACCTGCGGCCTTCCCGCTACCTCCATAGGGAACGACTGGGAATTGGAGATTAACCAGTGGAAAATATTCATTTTGTTGTACGATAAGCCGTCAATGACTTTCTTGATGGAGTCCAAACTAAAAAAGTTTCTCGACGTGTCCAGTCCAAGTCCTCGATAAAGATAAACCGGCTTATCCACAATATTTGCGGTGTTTACGATCTATAAATACATATGTAAATGACTAATTAATTAAAACCACTTGAAACACATTATGCAAATGATATTTCCCTAATCTGAAAAAATCATCATGACAAAAACCTGTAAAACGTCGAGATCCTCGTCGTAAGCGATTAACTGAGATAACGTTTCGAGTCCGTGCCTCGCCCCAAAAAAGGTGACCGCTGATATGTCTGCCGTCACAGTTTTCTGGGAAAGTATTTACGAATGTAAATTAGCACATAACTTGATTACGATGATAAGCTAATTTATGTATGCTCAGATAAGCCAAAAGACTTATAAAAAATCCTGGCAATAAATAGTTTTTACGTTAAAAAAATCTCACCCCATCCGCACTGACGGTCAAGGCCAGCGTGTATGACTCATCCGTTCCCAGAGTTAACATGGAGGTCGAATTGTCCGATGCGGTCGCTCTGATGTCGACACGGTTCCAATAAATCGGATTTTCACCCCCGGGGGGCCGCATCTTTAGTTGGTCAGTTAGTTAATTAAGTACAAACAATATGTAAATTAGATATGTCTGAAAATCGTTACCTTGTTCAAATGACCCGTGAAAATCCCCGCCGCAGCTCTAAAAAGTTCACGAACTGCGATTGGATAAGCGTCATAGCCCGATAGAGTGACATAACCGGGATAAAATGGCGTCGTATTTGGACCAAGAGTGACCTGGAGAAAATGCATATATATAATTTTAGCATATACTAATTTGCATGTAATTAATACTAATAATTTGCATATAATTAGCATAACCCACCTGCCCAGTCGGCAACGGGAACAAACTCCCATGCGCCTTGTTACAATTTAATTTGCATACGTCCAAGGGAACGCCGCCGCCCCCGGGAAGATCAGCCACCGCGACCCGCTGGCAGTGTTTCTCATTGAGACAAGTGTACGTCCACACCGACGTCTGGGCTTGGCCCCCTCCCACCACGACGAGGAGGAGGAAGATGGGAAATTGCGAATGATACATAATTTTTGCAAAAAAAAATTGTTCGCTGCAAAATAAAATGCGCCCTACTTGGTGACTACCTAACCCGCAACTAAGTAAATGTTTAGAGTAAAAGGATAAGTAGAGGTTATCCGAGTTATACACTCTTTTTAATCCAATCCATCATCCTATGTCGAAAAATTTTTAATGGCTTATCAATTCTCAGAATGATATGTCAAATGATCTGCGCTTATCTTGTGGGGATTAACATCGCTTACACTACTGTGTGAGTGAATTACGCCCGATTGACTTGTTCACTGAAGCTAAAAAAAGGTATGCATTAATGATATCAAATTCATGGTTTATTTTAATTCTTTGTTTTGCTGTATTATGCGATGTCAAAACTCCAGCAACAGGCATAATAAACTGGTGGAACCGGAGTGGATGAGTATTTGAGGTGCATCATTTGCCAGGAAAATTTGACATTTTATGACCTTTGACCTCGTTTACACGGTCACCTGGTCGATCTACGTCGAAATTATGGTGATTTCTGAAATCTCCGTCGGTTAAATTTTTTCTCATTTATACGGTCACAAGGTCATCGTGCGTGGAAACGATGTAAATTTCTAAAATTCCCTCCTCAAACTATGTATAAAACGGATGATATTAAAAATTCGACATTTTTGACAATTGACCTCATCGCTGTGGCGCATACTTCTTCCCATCTTCGAATTTAACCCCTCCCTAAAATTGGAAACACTTTGATTCAGACTGCATCCTGAAATTCAAATCCGTTATAAAATTATCGTGGATATGGACGGACAAGGCATTCCCATAAAAGGGTTTCACTCATTAATAATAAAAAATGTCGTGACCTGCATGACATGCCGGGCTTCATCATGAAATTCTGATGTGCATTTAATGTAACAATGCTGATAAGTTTGTCAAGTGTTGTTACACAGTTTTGTAACAAAATAGATTTAGTCAAATTTGACATTTTGACGAATCGTTATTTCTTTTTTGATAAACACTTCTGAGCAGTCGTGAGAGACTAGTGGTGGTGTCGAGAGTCCAAATACATAACATGCACATATTGTCTCGTATGCATTTATGTGGCCTTAAAAATGTCCATCACCCGATCCCTATCAAATCATTAAGTTATTGACTGACAGTCACTTGTTGACGGAAATTCCGACAGAAATTACATAATTGAAATTGCATAATAATAATAATGTACATATTTTAATCTAAAATTATACTTTAGGTTGTCTCACTTTTCTAAAGATGTCAATTTTTAGTATTGTTTGTTTACCTATACTCTTATTATTTTTGGGTCGCCGGGTCCGAATCCGGGGTCATATTTGGGGGTCAAATGAGCAGTCCAAGGTCAGGGGGGTGAGACGACATTATTGTTGTGACTTCTGATGAGGCAGGTTGAGACTGATTTGAGACGAGGATATTGCGACGAATGTGAGATTTTTTGAGACGGAATGAAGTGAGACTTGTTTGCGACCGGGAACCATCCATATGTGGTACCGTCCACCATCTACCATCTACCCAAAGTAATCGCCCATCATCTACCTTTCTATCATCTACCATCTACCTTACTAATTGTCCAACATCTACTTTCCACCATCTACCCAAAAATCTCAAATTTCCCAAAAATCTCAAATTTCCCAAAAATCTCAAATTTCCCAAAAATCTAAAATTTCCCCAAGATCTCAAATTTCGCAAAAATCTCAAATTTCCCCCAAATCTCAGATTTTCTTAAAAATATCAAATTTCCCCAAAATCTCAAATTTCTAAAAAATTTCAAATTTCTCAAAAATTGCAAATTTTCCTAAAAATCTCAAATTTTCCTAAACAATAGAAATAATAATGGTGATCACAATCTTTCATGACAAGTAATGTCTTGTTATGTTTATGCCAAACGATAAATTTATTAAAATAATTACATTTTCTTGAGCCATATCGTGCTTATTCTATGGGACTTGCCAGCTGGGTCGTATTTATGAAGCTTTTCAGCTTTTCGGTACTATTAGCAACCAACTCTTTGTGAGAATGGAGAGTACGCGGGGTTAAGCAAATTTGCGGCACCATGTGGCATCCAGAGTGGACATGAAAAACCAAATAGAAACCTTAGCATGTTGTAGAAAATATTAAAAAATACTTTCTCTGCAAAATTTTTCGACATCTTTCGTTCCTGACCTTTTATTAAAGGGTCAAACCCCCTCCGTTCGCATTATGATTTCTTGAGAACGGATGCGAATTTTGACATGCGGTTTTCACCAAAAGACCTCAGAATTCGCCCGAGCGTTGAAAATTATAAGATAGAGGTCATATTTTATTCTGACATGATTATGCTATATTTGGGCGTCGATATTATAGATGAGGCTTATAGGAGCCATATCGATTACTTGATTGGAACGCCACCTAACGAAGCTGACACAATCTTACTTGAACGAGTTCAACAACATCATGGAGAATGACTGCCATTATTTTCTGCTGTTTTTGCTGCAAAGCAACATTTCGAAAATATTTACGGCTCGAAGTACACATCTTATCTGTACTTTTGCACGGACGACTTTTCCCCGAGTTTGACGCTTCATTTCGCACGTCAATCAGTTTTTGACGGGGGTAATCCAGTACCCTACAACGGCACACTTTCCAAAGACGATGTAGGACCACTGTTGGAATAAAAATGGATGACGATTTTACAAAACGGTTGGCTAGGAATATGCTACAATAAAGATGGTCAGATATCACCCAAATATAGCATAATCATGTCAGAATAAAATACTAGAAAAATAAAATGGCTCACCCAGTTTATTTATGGGGCCACCTTCATCATCTCGAACTTCAACGTTAGTACCTACAAATTAGGTAATAAAACGCGTTACTTGATGTAAGCCAGTCATTAAATGTACTGATCAAAGAATAACGTGAATAAATAAATGACTACCAACCAACTTGGGCCACAGTAGCGATAACCTGGCAAATTAAATGCCAATTGACTGTCTCCCCTCTTATTTAATGGGCGTTTTCGAATCGCGCTTCTCCGAACACGTCCAGCGGCCCACAATGGGTTTCTGTAACAGCTGGTAGATGTTGTGTAGTCCGTAGATGGGAATAAAGTCAATCCAATATAATTATTAGGTTGCCTCCATACAATTGGTAAGTCACTATTTGGTGAAGATAATAGAGCACAAATTCTCCATCTTTTTCATCATTTAAGTGACTTGAATCCAATCGAATATGTGTGGAAGGACATTAAACACAACGTGAAAAGTGAAAACTCAGAAGCAACAACGGCATTTGTAGTGGAGAAAGCTCGTGAAGTAATGAACAGTTATACAGAGCAGCAGTGGCAAAGACACGTTCAACACGTGATTAAGTAACGCATTTTTACTTTGACAATAACTTCGAGTAAAAACTACATGTAATACTTGTGTGTGATTAGAGCAAAAGTATTTGGAGAACGATGGAATTTTTGATAGTTTCTTGGATCATAACGATGCGGAATAGACCCTCCACGAAGAATCGTGGTAAGTACGCTATTTTCATGAAGCATTGGAGTATAGTAAAAACGATTTGTAAGACACCATTCCGGAACTCATGGATGTAAATTTATTCGATGTTTATCGGTCACGATTTGTAATTGTTGAACAGATTAGGTAGGGGGTGGATTTGGTGGGGGTGGGGGTGGATTTAGGTGGGGGTGGGGGTGGAATTATAAATGCCGTACAACGTTGAGTGTATGTGTACAATGTCCTGAGTCACCATTACTGTCACTCTCGTACAGGTGTGGTTCAGAATTGTTGTTATTACTCGCATCTGAAGAATTAGCTTTTAATCGTCTCACTTCTGTGACAAAAAATTTTACGACGCCGCACGATGCCAACTTGTACATGATGTTGGATCCAGTGTACGTCATAATTAATTCGTAGCCCTGTACGTCAAATATAAGTTCATGATCAACGATGACGACGATGGTGAAGAACTTGACCAAGATGGGCTCGAACCGTCACCTTCAGTCCGACGTCGACTCTGTTATGACGAGACTCCAGATGACACCCCATTTGACCCAATCGAGGTCGTGACCTTTTTCGTGACCTATGACCTCTATCTTATAATTTTCAACGCCCGGGCGAATTCTGACAAAAATAATAAGACATTACTTGTCATGAAAGATTGTGATCACCATTATTATTTCTATTGTTTACCATGTCAATAAAATATTTATCTTTATTTATGTTTTGTGTTTGCTGATTCCTTTTTCTGCTTTTACTAATTCTTAATTATTAACATATTTAGAATTTATTGTACAAATTTTATTTAGCATCATCTTTTATCTTTGATCTTTAAGAAAATTTGAGATTTTTGAGAAATTTGATATTTTTAAGAAAATCTGAGATTTGGGGGAAATTTGAGATTTTTGCGAAATTTGAGATTTTTGGGAAATTTGAGATTTTTGGGAAATTTGAGATTTTTGGGTAGATGGTGGAAAGTAGATTGTTGGACAATTAGTAAGGTAGATGGTAGATGATAGAAAGGTAGATGATGGGCGATTACTTTGGGTAGATGGTAGATGATGGACGGTACCACATACCATCCATGCCGTGCACAAATGGTAATTCACGACTTGGAAGCATTTGAAAAGTTGTTAAAATATTGCTAATATTTTACTAATTAACTGAACAATTAATTATTCTATTGCCTCGAGAGAGTAGCCCCCGAAGTAGACTCCTCTTTCACACGAATACCCCTCTAATTTCGTCTTTACTTGAGCTGATTTTTTGGTAAGAATTTTCAAAAATAATTTTTTTTTCAATATTTAATTGCTAAACTTGCCATCATACCAATTAATTAGTTATTTAACTAATTAATTCCTTCAATCTCGCATTTTCACTCTTCCAGAATCTCTGGATGCAGTAGTTCGTCGACAAGAAACTCTACTCGTCGTCGCCTCAACGATAACAAAATAATGGCGACAATTAATCCCCCTCTCAAGGAGAAGCCCCGCGGGATCATTGCCGGTCTCGCCGGTCGTATCTGGTACGTCGCCGAGACACTTTTCTCCTACGGTTACGCTATCCTCGAGTCCTTCGTTTTCATCGCGTTTTCCGGTCTTTTTATCGCCGTGAGGTCATACTTTATCAAAAATGAGGAAGACAATCTTATCGTGACCTCGTCCGGGGGAGGGCGAAACTCTGTCAAGAAACATGTCAACATTTACTACGCCTCGCAAACCGGGACAGCGCAGGTTTGACCACAGACAGAGTTATATTTACAATAAATTATTTTGTACATTTTTGACAAAAAAAAAACTAACTTTATTTCAGCGTTTCGCCGAACAATTGTTCCGAGACGTGGAAAAGATGGACGACGCGGTTAACTGTCCCGGTGACCTGTTATCCCCCGTGAAAAACTTGTCCCTCACAGAGGTCGAACACTTATCGGAATTAGGTCTAGCTTCCTCATCACTGGACTCTGTGGGCGTCGCGATTTTTATTGTGCCCACCTATGAAGACGGCGCGCCTCCCGATTCAGCCGAATGGTTCTTTAAATCCCTCGCGGAAAACGCGGTTGACTTCCGCGTGTCGAAAAGCTACTTGAAGAAGATGAACTATGCCGTATTCGGGTTGGGAAATTCTCTCTATTGTGACAATTTCAATAAGGTATGGTTAACCTTTTGCTCATCCCGGTACGGATTATAATTTATATTTATTCGTGCAGGTCGCGAAGCAGCTTGACTACAATTTAGCCCACCTAGGGGCACAACGACTCCTCCCCCTCCAACTGGGAAATGAGAATAGCACCGAGTCTGACTTTGGCAGCTTGGTGGCCGACTTCAACATGTGGAAGAGACGTCTTCTCAAGATACTTTTGTCCAACGAGGCACCCGCTTTTCATCCTCTCGGCGGCATCACCTCTTCGAGCGATAAGTTCGTATAGCAAATTATCGTGGGTATCTAAACCAAGTTTTGATCTGGGTTACCGATAGACACAATTTTTATACTAAGCTAGTGTTTTTCACGGAGACTAAATTCGAGAAAAATTAGTGTTTTAAATTTCAAAATTTGAGGAAAAGTAGCGTTTTAAACTCGTCAAAATTCGCGAACTTTTACCCCGCTATGTTTCATCGTATTTTGACATGTTACATGATACGGCAATTTTCATTTTATTATTTCTTGCAGAAATTCTCATCCTCCTCAAGACGAAGACCTTGTCGAATCTTCCTCCGAAGACGAGGCTGCTGACGACACCGTCGACCAACCTGGAACTTGTGGAAGCAAGACAGAAATCAAAATCAACCAAAATAATAAGACATCTTCCGGAGATCTCGTCGATTTAGAAGACATCGGCTCCCTCGTGATCACGGCGAGAAAGAAGATCGCCCGAGAAAAACAGGATTTCGCCGAGATGGGAAATTTAAAAGAAATGGTAACACCCGAGCTGAGGAAGGCGCTGACAAAACAAGGCTACAAACTGATTGGGTCACATTCAGGGGTTAAATTGTGTCGCTGGACGAAGGTATCAAATAAATAAATTAATTAATCGTAATTAATAAATTAATCGAAAATTACGTAATATTGCTTTCCAGTCAATGTTGAGAGGAAGAGGTGGCTGTTATAAGCACACCTTTTACGGCATCGCGTCCCACCAGTGCATGGAGGCTACGCCGAGTCTCGCCTGCGCCAACAAGTGCGTCTTTTGCTGGCGTCATCATTCAAATCCTGTTGGCACCGAGTGGAAATGGAAGATGGACGAGGCGCAGATGATTCTTGACGGAGCGTTGCAAAACCATTACAAGATGATCAAGGGTTAATAGATTGATTGATTAATTAATTATGATTAGGAATTTTTTAACATTACTAATAATAATTAGTGGGATGACTTATTAATAATTATGATTAATTACCTCGCTTTTTAACCTCTTAGAATTTCAAGGAGTTCCTGGCGTAAGTCGCGAACGTATCGAAGAAGGCTTGCATGCCCGCCATTGCGCCCTTTCCCTCGTCGGAGAGCCCATCATGTACCCCGAAATCAACAAGTTTGTCAAACTCCTGCACGCCAAGAACATTTCGAGCTTTCTCGTCACCAACGCCCAGTTCCCAGACGCCATTCGGTACTGGATTAACGTGTCAAATTTGCATACCATACAATTGGATGCATTGGTAAACTTATACCTTGAATTATTACAGAGCCATGTCACCCGTCACGCAGTTGTATGTCAGGTGATGATTTATTTAAATAACTTAAGTTTAATAATTTTAATTTATCCACACACATTCCCCATTGGCATTTATATAATTATTCCTACTTTATGCAGTGTCGATGCGGCGACGAAGGAAAGTCTCAAGAAGATTGATCGCCCCCTTTTTAAAGATTTTTGGGAAAGGTTTCTCGACAGTTTGAAAGAAATTAAGGATAAGGTAAATATATAATATGTGAATTATTGCTTATCTTACGTAATAAATCTTCTGACAGGGCCAACGGACGGTTTATCGCCTCACCCTCGTAAAAGACATGAACGTCGCAGAACTTCAGAATTACGCAAAACTCGTGGAACTCGGAGATCCAGACTTTATTGAAATTAAGGTGATTCATGTCGTCTCGACACATTGACCGAGACGTTTAACATTAAATATCACACGCTTTATCTTAATTTTGGCAAAACCGTGTTGTTAAACTTTTAAGAACAGATCTTCAATTGTGAAAATTACTAAAGCATTTATTTTCTCTCTTCTTCCAGGGCGTCACGTACTGCGGGACATCCAAAGCGTCCACCTTAACGATGGAGAACGTACCGTGGCACGAGGAGGTGGTATCTTTCAGCCAATCCCTATGCACCAATCACCTCCCCAACTATGAACTTGCATGCGAGCACGAGCACTCCAACTGCATCCTCCTCGCGAACAAACGGGTAATAAAAATCATGTCAAATAGCTCACGTTATAAAATATGTATATTCTCATGAGAAATTATTATTTTTTTAGTTCAAAATCGACGGGGCTTGGCACACATGGATTGATTACGACAAGTTCCATCAACTAGTACAAAAATACTACGATAGCGATGGAACTATCACGTTCAACGCGTTGGTATGAGAATTAAATAAATTTAGTTAATTGGTGTAACTTGATTAATAATTGGGGGTGGGTAAAATACTTTGTCAAAATACAGTATTTTGGTCTCCGTTCTTCCAAGGGCTTCAATTTTCAGAACTATTGCAGCTGCAAAAAGATGAGAATCTGCATGGCAGTCATACGAAAATACATGTTTTAGTAAGAAATCTGTCAAATCACATATCACGAATTTTATCAAAACAATGTATTTTGATAGCGATAAAAAGTTAATTTCTTAATCAAACATGTATTTTCGTATGACTGTTATATTCTCCGTGAAGATTCCCATCTTTTTGTAACCGTTCTGCCCTGGGAAGAACTGGACTCAAAACATTGTATTTTGACAGAGTATTTTGGCCCCTTTAAAAAACGTATGAAATTAGGACTACGCCGAGAAATCACCGTCCTGGGCTGTGTACGGTTCGAATGAGAAGGGATTCGACCCAGAGGAGACGCGATGGATGAGAAAATCAAAAAACAAGGACATTTCAGGGTGCTAAATAACCGCACAAATAAAGAAATGCGTAGTTTAATTGAGCAGAGTGCCTTCACGTCAGACTCTTTACACTGTTTTGCAATGTATAAAATTAATTATATAATTAATTATTTAAGTCAGTTTAAAATGATTAAAAATTTAGAAAACTCTCTTGTCCAATGTGCATGTGAACCATGTCGTATGTATAGTTTTTTGTTCTCTTCTATTTTCTCGTTTCGTTTAGATTTCTAAATTGAACTACATTTGAATATTTTAGTACAGCAGTAATTAAATTATTTAAAGTACAAACAGTTTTTGCCTGTACTGATATATTTAAAGAATAACTATGCAATTAAAAACTGCGTGTTTAATATAAGTTAGTAAATAAAACTTGTATCAAACTTTACAATTTGGCCCATTTTATACTTTTTACGCAAACTAATTGCTCAATTAAAAATTGCATATTTCAACAAAATTGTCTTTGTTGTCTAATAATTTCATTTCATTTACAAAATCACACCCGTTGAACAACTAAAAGCTGTGCTAGGACGACCGGGAAACTCGTTCTTTTCAGCCTGACCACTCGTGCAGGTGACAGGTTCAGAGTAGAAGGTCAGAGTTTAACTTAATTGCAATTATTTTAACTGTATTTGCGCCCTAATTAATTAAATTTTAATTGTGCCCTTGGCAGATTCGACTCGAGATGGAAGTGTGCGAGCAGCTCATCAAGGAAACCTTTCCGCAAATTAATGAGGACATTTATGCCTACGTGGAAGGCAAGTGGTTGATTGGTCATATAATTAATTTGTAAATATAAAAATGAAATTAACTTTGAATTAATGTTTTTGAAATTTCCAGGAATTCTGACCGTTGGTCGAGAAGACTTTGAAGATGAGACCCAGGTGTTTGACGCCATTGGCGAAATGCTGTTGGAAATCTCAAATGTTGGCACGACCGAGGAGGACGTCAAGTAATTAATTTGATCAATATATTCTGTTTACGTAACCATTTAAATTAGTTCAGTTAATTGTAATTTGTATATATTTATATTTAATTAATTAGAGCCGTCTGCACCACGATTTATAACACGCTCGGTCTAGGCGAGCAGAATCGCTGCAATAAGAATGGGATTCGTAAACTTGACTCGACAATCCAAATGTCGACCCTCCTCTCGGACGATAAGCTCACGGATATCAACTCTATTTGGATGCGAAATGCAGGAAGCAATGGACAGGTATTTAAAATGGATGATTAACTATGTAAATTATTAATTACGTAACTAATCGCCACTCTTGTAATAGAGCCTCGTGGACTCTAAAAAGTTGCAAAAGGCGGAAGCTAAAATCTTGCAAAAGCAGGAGAAACGTGCTGAAGGTGGTGGCAAACCGGTCGTGAGCTTGTCAACTCTCATGGCAAATCAGGAATGTCAAGCCTCTGCGGCACAGGTCATTTCCAAAAAGGATAACAGAGTCTCTGCCGCGTCCGGAAAAATTACTGACATTAAGATTGAAAACTTTGACGTCGCATTCGGAGATAAGGTGCTTATCCAAGGTGCCACAATTTCTCTCGCGTTTGGGCGACGATATGGTATGTAAAAAAATGTATAAATAAATTATATGGAAATTAACTAAATTAGTTAAAAATTAACTAAACTGTTAATTCGTGTAGGTTTAGTTGGGAGGAATGGATTGGGAAAAACAACCCTTTTGAAAATGATCGCGCAGTAAGTGTGGCTAACAAACTATTTCAAAATTCTTGTAATTCTAATAATCCTTGAACTTAGTAAGCAACTCCGCATCCCGCCAGGCATCTCTGTCCTTCACGTAGAGCAGGAAGTCGATGGCGATGACACACCGGCGTTAGAAGCCGTCCTGGAAGCGGATGCCGTACGTCACCATCTCCTGCAAGAGGAGAAACGTCTCGTCGCCCTCAACTCTGCTGATGCTGCAACCGAACTCAACGAGGTGTATGCCCAATTAACAGCCATCGAGGCAGACAAGGCCCCCGCACTGGCTTCCGTCATCTTGGCCGGACTTGGATTTGCCCCCGAAGAGCAGAGCCGACCCACAAAGACGTTCAGCGGAGGGTGGCGCATGCGGTTGGCCTTGGCGCGAGCATTATTCGCAAAACCTGACTTGTACGTAATTTTGAAATTTTCCCTACTCTGTTACTCTTTACAAATTTTTTTTTACATTCTTCTATTTTTACCTCAGGTTGCTGATCGATGGTAATTAGATTATATACTATTATATACTATTATATATTCATAATATAACATAATATTATCATTATTGTCACCGCGGGGAAGAACCGAGCAACCACCTAGACTTAAAAGCTATCATTTGGTTGGAGAATTACCTCCAGTCCTGGCAGTCCACCATCCTCGTTGTCTCCCACGATCGCCAGTTCCTCAACGAAGTCGCCACCGACATCCTTTTCCTCTACCAGCAGAACATTGAGCACTATCGTGGCAACTATGAGAACTTTGTCAAAACGAGGGGAGAACGGCTCAAGAACCAACAGCGCGAGTGGGACGCTCAACAACAACTCCGAGCCCACACGCAAGAGTTCATCGACAAATTCAGGTAATTCTTCTACCTGGGAAATGTTGGCCTTATTAATTGCTAACCTCAATGTTGACATGTTTATTATCAGATACAACGCTAAACGAGCAAGTTTGGTGCAGTCAAAAATAAAATTTTTGGAGCGTCTGCCAGAACTGCGCCCTGTCGATAAGGATGGCGAAGTGGTTCTCCGTTTCCCGGAAGTGCAGCCCCTCAATCCGCCCGTACTTCAGCTGGACGACGTCGTATTTGGTTACACCAAGGACAAAATCGTCCTAAATCGGGTTACCATAAGTGCTGGGTCGGACTCCAGAATTTGTGTGGTAGGGAAAAGTTGGGAGGAAAATACAATTCCATATTTCAATAAATATTAATATCTACTTTTGTAATGTTATTTCAGGTTGGAGAAAACGGTGCTGGAAAGTCCACCCTATTGAAACTAATTTTAGGCGATTTTCCGCCCACGGGAGGACTGGTGATGACTCATCGTGGAATCCGGTTTGGATATTTCAGCCAGCATCACATTGATCAACTCAGCCTCGACTTGACGCCAGTGGGCCTCTTGCAACAAAAATTCCCCGGCGCAACGGTTGAGGAGTATCGGTAGGTTAAGAAGTAGTTAAAATCGAAGTTGTATACAAATTTTTTACATTATTCTTTTGTTTAGTCGACAACTGGGCCGTTTCGGTGTTTCTGGCGACCTCGCACTGCAGTCGATCGCATCTCTCTCAGGGGGACAAAAGTCTCGGGTCGCTTTCACTGGTACGTGCACTTTATCATATATACACATGTATATATAAATATATATATATATCTTCTTCGCTTCGCTTATCATTATTGGTGTTTGTTTTATTAGTGATGTGTCATCCGGGACCCAACTTTCTAATTTTGGAGTAAGTTTAACTTTAAGTTATTCATTTAACTCCTAGTTAAATGAATTTTCTAAAAGTTTAATCGTAATTTATTTTTTAATTTAAACTATAAAATTAATTGATAATTATTCAATTAGCGAACCGAGCAACCATTTAGATGTTGAAACGATTGAGGCGTTATCCGCGGCGATTAATAGTTATCAGGCAATATTAATTAACTTATTACATATTTTTTATTATGTTGTCCTACATATTTCGTAACTCGACTCATACAGTCAAGAGCAAAACTTTACGACATATGGAAGAGACTTTTGGGACATGTTATTCAAATGGGGAATTAAAGGCCGTAAAGTTTTGCACCGCGTACCTTTCCGAATAATTTTTTTAACGCTGTGATATAATTTTTATTGAATAAAGAGTGCAAAAGTAGGGGGTGACGTGGTAAATTATTTTTGTCGCCGAATTTTTTTCAAGGAACTACAAGGAATTGAAAGAATTAATTTTGGAAGAGACTTTTGGGACAGCCATAAGCACAATGTGTTGTCCCAAAAGTCTCTTCCAAAATTAATTCTTTCAATTCCTTGTAGTTCCTTGAAAAAAATTCGGCGACAAAAATAATTTACCACGTCACCCCCTACTTTTGCACGCTTTATTCAATAAAAATTATATCACAGCGTTAAAAAAATTATTCGGAAAGGTACGCGGTGCAAAACTTTACGGCCTTTAATTCCCCATTTGAATAACATGTCCCAAAAGTCTCTTCCATATGTCGTAAAGTTTTGCTCTTGACTGTAAACAACTCTCGTATTTTCCTAGGGGGGCGTGATCCTCGTTTCTCACGATGAGCACTTGATTCGAAACGTATGCAAGGAGCTGTGGGTATGCGGTGGAGGAAAGGTCAAACGGATGGACGGCGGATTCGACGAGTATCGCGACGCTGTCGAGAAAGAATTGGACTGCGTCGTATACAAGGATCGGTCTTGATGACGGTGCTATTTTAAGAATCAAATGGATATCGCCACGCCGTCACTATAAATAATTAATTGTCAACCTTAACAAGTATTTAATTGTCATCATTACCATCATTCGTCAACGTCATGAAGAAGTAGAAACTTTAATGGACCATCAGGAGTTAACTCTTTTTATTTTTATCGTCACGAATAAGAAGAAGAATTAAAATCTCTCTCTTGTCCGACGCCAGGTCACGCCACCCACTCCGTCACGTCGTCAAACATTTATACATCTCGACTATAAAAGATTATCGTCTGCGTTATCAATAAATCGTCGTCGTCGTCTTATCACTTATCTTCGTAAACTTTAAGATGGTGAGGAGACTGAGGATGAGATGTGATGATGATCATGCCATCTAATCTTTAATAATAAAGAAGAAATAAATGGTACAGAGATATTTAAAAGTGTTGATGTTTTCGGGGGGCAATTTTTTTGCAATATCAAATTCATAGTTTATCGTTGTACTGTACGTACACATTAATGTTGCATAACAATTTTGCATGCTAATGCCGACTGAATATGAGATGATGGCCAAGGTCGTGCAAAATCTTCCTTGCACACAAAACCACATGGTTTGGTTGGTGCTACTCCAGCCTTTCTCTGCGTGTCCAATTTTTCAACACTTATTTATTTGTGGTGGTGGTGGTATTGCATAATTTCGACCCTGCTAATTCTCACACCCTTCGAATTGCAAATTCTTGATTTAACTTGTTCTTTGGGGTGTTATAGAGTATAAAATATAGTGTGAAAAATCATGGCCGCTTTGCTAAAGAGAGGTGTGGATTCCCTTAAGTCTAAGGAGTTTAGGGACTACTTAATGAGGTTGGTTATCAAGTAGTAATCTATTATTGATTATGCACTTCGTTAGTTGAGAAATTGATTTACCAGAAAATTTAACTGTGCAAGTTAAATGGTAGCTTTTTAACTCAATGTTTCGATCTTTGTTATCAAATTCCTGCTTATTTTAGTGCAAACTGCATACTCTAAATAATACTGACTGATACACCTACTTTATTCAACAGCACCCATTTCTGGGGTCCTGTTGCAAATTGGGGAATTCCTTTGGCAGCCATCGCAGACACCCAGAAACATCCCAAATTCATCAGCGGAAAGATGACCACAGGTTTAATTAATATCGCAATTTTGTCTCGTGTTTAGTTAATTGTGTCAAAATTTTGAAAACTAATAATTAATTACTTTTCAGCGCTCTGCCTGTACTCGTTAATATTTATGCGTTTCGCGTGGAAGGTCCAACCCAGAAATCTGCTCCTCCTCGCCTGTCATATAACAAATGAATGGTTTGTTGCATAAATTTAATTGTGACAACGTATGAATTGAAAAGTAATAAATATAGTATGATAAGTATGAGTATATTTGATAAATAGCGCCCAGCTAACCCAGGGGGCTCGATTCATCCAGTACGAGTACATGGGGGGCAAGGAAAAAGATCCCGAAACCGTCCTGACCACCACTACGTCTTCTAGTCAACCACAACCACAAAAATAGTTGTCAAAAATATAATAAAAATATAATATCTCATGATATGCAAAACTGATAGAGATTAAAAATGACGTTACTATTACATTCTAGCAGAATTTATCATTGTTTTATTGACTTTCTTTTAAATTATTCATTACATTACATTCGTACTTAATTTTACTACGTTTTGCAATATCGGACTTTGCTCTGTCTGTTCGTCTTTATTTCTTGGCATTGTACAATCGCGTCGCGACATCAGTCCAGTTGGCCACGTTGAATATATTTTTGACGTAGTCGGGTCGCACATTTTTGTACCTGTGGATGGATGTGCAATAGTACTTAATTTGCATTATAATATGCTGATACGAATTAAGGGTTTGTTATATTTACTGCAAGTAGTAGGCATGTTCCCAAACATCAATCCCAAAGAGTGGCACTAATCCCGTCGTAGCCTCGAGGGGGTCCTGATTCGGACAGGTCGCAATTTCCAATCGTTTCGCGACCTTATTGTAGCCCAACCAGCCCCAGCCTGACCCCTGGACACCCACCGTCGCTCCGCTGAGACGCTCCTTGAAGGTGGCGAATGATCCAAAATCTCGTTTAATCAAGTCAGCCAGCTCGCCTAACAAATATACAAACTAGCAATTATACACTGATGTATTAATCTAAACTTGTCTTACTCACCACTCGGTTCCCCACCCCCCTTTGGGCTCAAATTCGCCCAAAAGATAGAATGATTGATGTGACCTCCTCCATTGAATCGGAGTGAGGGTGCGAGAGCGATCACGGCAGAAATGTCGCCCTTCGCCTTGGCCTCGGCTAACTTCTCCTCCGCCACGTTCAGATTGGTCACATAGGTCGCGTGATGCTTGCCGTGGTGGAGTTTCATTATGTCGGCTGAAATGGTGGGTTCGAGAGCGCCATAGTCGTAGGGAAGGTCGGGAAGGGTGTGCTTCTTTCGGGTACTTACTGAAACAGGGGATGATGTCGATAAGGCCCCTCCACTGATAAATGTCCTAGTGGGGAATTAAATATTAACGCCTTTAATTAATTCTGATTATTTCATCACATTTCGAGTGACATTAAAGACTCTTGAAAGATGAAGGAGGATATTCAGATTATTTAATCTTTTCGAGTTAATTTACCTGACTGGCGACGAGACGCTCCTCAACATATTACGTTGGTATCGATAACCTTGAAATAGTTCACTTGCTGAGTTGACCTTGTTGACCTTGCACTGACTGAGACTGGAGACGGAATATTTTGATGCCGGGCTACAAGATATGATGTCATATTATGCAAACTCTAAATCCCAATATTCTCCCAATTCCCTCAACCCGGGAGAGACACTCAAATAGTGAATCACAGATCAGTCAAATTTTCTTATTTTCAGGATGGAAGCATTAAAAGATAAAATTTCAGAACTACGACAGTTGCAGTTTACACGTTGGTCAAGCAGTAGGATGGGAGAGGGATCTTCCGGCTGGACAAGTTTGATCGACGGGACCGATACCTCTTACGAAGTTCCATTAAGTTGTCACTCTATAATGCTTGAAATCGTTCCCAAAGGGCGCAATTTTGAACTTCACGTTAACGTTTCTATTAATGCTGGTGGTGTTAGTCCAATCCACCGATTTCCAATAGATGATAGTTTTATCTGTGGTTTCTCCAGTACAAAGAGACGTGGCCTGCTTCAACTAAATATTGAATACGGTGACCGTATTTTAAAAATTTCGCGAACTATATCTCCAGAACAATTTGACGAAGCCAAATCTAGACTTGACAGTTTCACCAACGAACTGTACGTAAAAAGTGAAGAGTTCAGCGCAGAAAGCAACGAGCCAGCCGGTGGGTCCAGCCGTCAGTCTTTGTCGTCTATTTCATCTATTGACGAAGAAGAAGGCCTTCCCCAGCACGAACAGGAGGACTAGTTCGTCGCTGGTCATTTGTCGCCAAGTCTTCCTCTTCCAATCACCAATTTAGGACGCAAGAGACGAAGTTTAAGCAGTTTACTAATTGTTATTCTCCGGTAAGTTGTTTGATTGCTAGAATGTTTAATTGCTAGCTGAAGTAATTAATACGATTTGGCTTTGATTGTTTATTTGAAATCAAAAGTATAATTGCGAAATAGTTGATGAATTTGCAGTAATTGTGGGAATCAGACTAATTGTGAATTATTGATCTGGTGTCAACCCGAAGTGGTTAATGGTGTACAGAAACATCGCCGAAGCACTCGATCTGAACGAACACCACACATACGCCGAGGAGGTCAACGCCCGCGCCAATTTCATTTCAGCAGCCGAGGCGCTACCAGGGACGACAATTTCGTTCAGAACTCCAGTCTTCTATAAGCGATATGTAATCGTGAAATCCCTTAAAGAACCGGAGTGAGGACGATTTTCCGATTCAGGGATACACAATCGCCGCTGCAAAAGAAGTGCGGTGTCTTTTACGAAGCAGCGACCTGCCGGTGGTGTGCTTCGTGGGCGAGGACGAGAAGAATGGGACAGAGACGGCAAGACACTGTTGGGCGGCCATATTTTGGAACGAGGGGGAGGATTATGCGTGTTCCGTAAAAGACTAGAACGGGCACAATTCCGGAGCAAGGGTCCCTCAACACGTAAGGGGGTGGAATTATAAATGCCGCCCAGAAAGCGTGCGACCCAGTGCAAAGTTTTAGTATCGTGCATACAGTTTTGGTTAATCGTGTGTTTTCATGTAGGAGAATAAATTATTGTTTAGAGAACATGCTCTTGCTTGCTTTATTACCTTTAAGGGGTTTGGCCAAGAAGAAAAAGTTAACTATTTATTTCGTAGGAATTAACGAAATTATTAGATGTACCTTGAAAAATAATTAGCTCGATGCCATTAGTTTATTTGCTTACTTGTTGCTTGACATTGTAGAATGCTTAATGCTTTTTATTAGCGAATTACAATTAATGTACAATGAAAATTATTGGATGAGATAATTATGCCGACTTTGATGAAATTATTTATATCAATTTAATAATTAAATTAATAAAATTTTAATTAACTGGCTAATAGCGTTTTTGTACCGTTACAATTTAAAACATCCAAAATTATCAGTAAGCTTAATAATTCCGAACTAAAGATTTGTATAGATTTAAGAAAAAGCATAATAATGTGGGGATAATTGTAAGAATTGTTTTTGTATTGTATTATTATTATTATTGGGTAATAAAAAATGGGAATTCAGATTGGCCATGCATGTAGTCGTGATTTTGTATTGATTGATTGATAAGGTGTTATCATGGGTGATAAGCATAAATAATTGGGTAAAACCTAGTTGTCGTGATGGACCTGCTGAGATTCATTTAGACAATTTCATTTACATCAGACAATTTCGACCGTTTGAATATAAATTATCCTTCTCATGGCGTTAGAAATTTCATTCAAAGGGAAACATGTCCTTGTCACGGGGGCTGGAAATGGTAATACATAAACATTCACTACACTCTTAGAAATCTGGTATAGTCCAGCAGGTATTGATTTATCGGTATTAAAGTTGCTACCTTTCGTATTAAAATCATACTGGTCCATAAAAATTTTCCTAAGGTAATATGATAAAACCTTAATAGGGGGCTAATACCACTTATCCATACCACTTTGGTAGAGCCATATATTATTATAATACCGCTTGGTATAAGTTTAATACTGGATTTCTAAGAGTGTGTTATGCAATTAATTTAATTTCAATGTCAACAATAAAAATTTTCTCGTCAAAGGAATTGGTTTAGCCCTGTGTGAAAAATTGTGGAGTGGGGGCGCCCATGTGGTCGCGTTGGATAAATGTGACCAGAGTTTGGACAAGTTAGTGGCCAAGTGTCCCGGCGTGGTGCCGGTTTGTGTCGACCTTCTCGACTGGGAGGGGACGAGACTGGCCCTCAACGAGGTGCTGAACGGTGAGTATAGGACAATAATTTAATGGCATCGTCATAATAATTTTTAGCCCGGCTTATGTACCCGAAATGGTTGTCTGTGTGTCTGTCTGTTTATCGATTACGCTGGTAAACCTTATCCAGTCGACTCCTGCAAAATTAGGAATCCAGTTTGAAGAAGAAGGAAATGCGGAAAAATTGTCGTGGTGGTGGTGTATAATCCACCTCGACTATTAATAAGAACGCCTTAACTCGGGCTATATAACGCTGCATTCTGATTTTATTACCACAGAACCGCTCCACGGCCTCGTCAACAATGCAGGAATTGGTGGAGCTGCCACGTTTATGAAAACGACCCCAGCCATTCTCGACCCCGTCATTGGACTTAATGTGAAAGCGATCGTGAACGTGTCGCAGGTCGTGGTGGGTCAAGCGATCGCGGCTGGAAGGGGGTGCAACATTGTGAACGTGTCGTCACTCGCGTCCCGATTTCCGACGAGGGCATCCTGCCCGTACAACCTTTCAAAGGTGTGTCTTCTTAATTATTAGTGCAGTAAAATATTAGTATTTTGGTCAAGTCGTAAATAAATAGCAGGTGTTTCCGGTTTTCAAAAAATATGTCCGTCCAGATTAAAAATCAACCCGTCAAAAAAATTGGATTATTAACAAAATAACTCGGTGGCTGTGTCCTTTCAAAAATTATTGAAGGTGAAAGTTTGATTTAGATGGTATAAAAATCCGGATTTTTCCGGAAACTCTGACCTTCGACAATAACTTTGAACGGGACCGACATTGGAAAAATTTCAAATTAGTGTCCATTTACTTAGTATAAGATTTGCGAAAGGCACAATCTCACAATGTGCAGGTTTGGCCGAGATATTTGCATCCGAAGAGGAGAAAACGAGCAGTAAATTATTTGCAAACTGTAAAATTTGCCACATTTGGGACGCAAATATTTCGCCAAACCAGCGCATTTGGGAAATCGTGCCTGGTTCAAATTAAATTTTATTGGCACTAATTTGGTCAAAATTGAAGAGCATATATGGTGGGGGACCTCCATTTCAATTTTTGAAATGGTCCAAATTTTTGGGTTGATGTATTATCTATTTCCAAAAAAAATATAATAATTTTTTTCATGTAAATATTTCACAGGCGGGTGTCGACATGCTGACCAAATCGATGGCTTTCGAGCTGGGACGGCATAAAATTCGGGTCAATTCCGTAAATCCGAACATAGTGATGACCGCGTTGGCGGAGGAATGGATGCGCGCGGGTGATGGGGCCGTGTTGAAGGGGAAATTGGTCGGAAGAACGCCGCTGGGTCGAGTGGGCGCGGTGAGCGAAGTTGTCGACACTATCCTTTTCCTTCTATCCGATTCTGCGCCCATGATTCATGGACAAAGCGTTTTTGTCGATGGGGGCTTCTCGGCGGCATAATTATGATCAATGTTCATGGTAAAAGTAAAATTTTGAATATTTTCGGAAAAGAAAAATTTATTACAGATATTTGGTGTGCTAAATTATATATACAAGTAATTAAATCAATATATAAGTCGACCTTGATTTGATTTGATCTGTCTGCTCATTTACTTTCTTCTCGAACAATGCGTCATGCTCACTTTTACCAGATCTGTAAAAAGATGTGGGTCAAAATTATCTAGATGTGTGCTATACAGATTTCCAAAAATTATGTACAAATTTCCAAAAATTACTTACCTGGATGGCATTTCTTATCACAAACGAGAGCGCACTCATTCTGGTAGAGAAAGCGATTCGACCCGCAAACGAAATTAAAATCCCCTGGACAATTGCAACTTCCCAAACAGTCCAGACCTGGGTCATGAGTTGTTTTTGTTGGTGGTGGTCGTCGGGTCACTTCGGGGTCAAAGTTGAAACTATTTACTTGTTGTTGCCCCCCATCCACGACAATATTTGACCCTGATGACGCTCCTCCTCCTCCTCCAGACTGAAACTGATTAACAGAGAAGGATGACGAATCCTGGCCAAATGATGACATTCCTCCTCCAAGGTTATCGCCATCGATGGGAAATTCTGGCGGGATTTCGACCGGTGGGAGAAGTTCGACCATTTCTCCTCCGATCGAGATCAATGGTCGGTTTGGAATTGAGACAGGTTGGGGACGTGGTTGAGGCTGTGGGGGAATTTGGGGCTGAAATTCAGGGTTATTTCCTGTCACAGGAGTGGAAGCTCCACCTCCACCTCCAAATTGTATTAAGGGAGGGATAAGTTGTCGTGAGGGAGTATTATCAATAATATTCTGCTGTCCGGTACCCTGCCGGATTTCCAGGGGGTCTCCTTGTCCTGGTTGTGACGGTTTTACTGCCGGATTTTCTGATAACGGCGACACCGCAACGCCACTACTTCCTCCACGTAAAATGCCATCCACTCCCACAAGCAGGACACAAATCACTCCCCCCAAAAATAATCGTGACCCCATTCTGATCTCTTCTATGTACGAATAAATGTGGAGAATTTTCGAATTGGAAAACCGTGAGCAAAGATTTGTGCGTAAAATCTCCTCACTCTGTTAACCGTAATTAAAGCTGCTGATGTCAGTAGATGGTTATGAAAATGACATCGCAAAGTAATGAATAAGAGAAACTTTCGACCTGATTTTAATGTCTTAAAATATTGTCATAATGCGTCATAATTTATTTTTCTAAGTTGGTATTTCCATCGCCATTTCCCTTTCTCTCGACGATGCTACATACAATTATTTAAATAAGAAATTATTACTCAAATCATCTCCACATTTCCATTTAACGTTTACACACAACAGGCGAAGAAGGAAAGTTCATTTGAAAACAAAAATATCTGTAAAATATTGGTAAAACCAAACCAGGCACGGAATGACGAACTGAATTCATTTGCATGCATGCAAATTTTGTACCGAAATATGCAAAGCAAACTGGAAATCAGTTAACTTTTAACTGATTACGTTAAGTTGCACCATTAAATTAAGTTTGTTAGAAAATACAAAATAATATTAAATCATGTCAACTAGTGGCTTTGTTCTTTTTAGAAAAACAATCATTGGGTATGTACATACTAAATATTTCTGTAAAAATACTGCCACATTTAAATATGTATGCAAACGAATTGATAAACTACAATTATGCCCATCACAACAATTAAGTGCTTAATTTTTCGGACACACATCCAACTCTTGACCCACCCACAATCCCTCCATAATTGCATACTACACACACACATCTCGTATACCTCTCTCATAATCGGCAACGTGATCCGCAACCATTTTTTTACAGATTTTTCCCCCTCACTAATCCTAAGAAATCTTACATTTTCTGACAAAAATCATGACTCGTTCTCCCACCACCACTTTTACATATGTACAGATATTCACGAAAAACTAATTAATCTCCTTCATCCTCTCGAAGAAGAAGAGGTTCGAACAAGGCTGCTAATTGCCCACACAAAAGACGCAGATACATAAATCTCAATGAGTGTTTTACAATAATAAATCCATAATGCAGGCAGTAATAACCGTGTCAGCAATTATTCATTACGCAATAATAATAATAATACCATCTCTGAAATTACACTCCCTCCTTAGATATTTACCATGAAAATACACATATTTTACCAGCAACACCTGCACAAAATCTGTCCGTCCTACCGATCAGGGTGTGATTAATAATTCCCTTAAAAAGCAGAATAAAATGGGTGCAGGCAGGCAGCAAATTAAAAACAGCAGAAATCAAACCCTGAGCAAAAGTCACGAAATTAATCCTGCATGTCCTGCCCACTGGATTATGTACAAATGGCTAAAAGGTCCTTTTTTACGGCGAAGGTGTCAAAAGCGTCCACATTTTACAGTACAGCATCCTCTTCACGATTAGCTGAACCGTGTCCACCTCCGTCAAGACGGGGACACAATTAATCCTTAATTTTATAATTCGTCATAAAATTAAAGTAAAATACATATCCATCCATCCATCGATTTGTCGTTACATCATGAAATGAAATGAAGTATTTATCATTATCACCCATCACGTGTATATACCAGGCAATCCAATAATATCTCAAGTGCATACTTACTTATTCTCTGGTGGTTACTTGTTGATGTCCACTCCGCCTGCCAAACATGGACATGAAGGTCAATAATTATTCACTTCTTTACGACTTTGTGAATTGTTTTACTTACTTTTTATCCTCCTCCTCCAGGGATAACAATAAGCCACCAGCAATACACCACCTGCATGCAAAAATACATACTTGCAAAAATATTTACTCTCCTCTTTAAACCGTACTTATTAGCACGTAATTAAATTACACGGGGGACCACCACCGTCCAAAATAAATTGCAAATTTACGTATGTATGACACTACTCATAATTATAATTATAGCTCATCGTACACACGCCACTATTATTATGCAAATGTGATGCCAAACTCAAATCCGTGTACTGATTTCATTTGATTGGGAATGTATGTGCAGCGTCGAATTTTTCATACGTTCTGGAAATTTTTTATTACTGTCGTCCCCCATTATTTGCATGGACGCGTTTTCTCAATGGGAAAAAATTCGCAATATTTCGCATAAAGGGGACCACTACTCGGGGGCGGATTAGATTTTCTGCCAATATTTATTCTATTTCATGCCTTATGGTGTTTTTTACGACTTTTTATTATGACTGGAGTGGAGATAAGATGTTGCAAATAGTCATGCCACGATATTTCTCCAGTTTTTTTAAGTCATTATGCAACACTGACTAACTGACTGACAAGACATGCAATTGTTTGTATATTTTTGAGCCGTTCTTCTGCTGGACACCCACCGATCGTCTGATTTCCAGCTTTATTCTTTTATTGCTTTGTCCCTAGTCGGACCAAGTCCACTTCAATTCACGTTCCCCGACCAAGCACAACTTCGTGTTTTGCATACGGATTAAGTAATTTAAGTGTTCATTAAAACCATTGTTTTACATGCATAAATTTAATTAACCGTGTATTAATTAAAAATAAGTACATAATTGTCCAGAAAGGATCTAAAAATAAACTTGAATTATAATTAAGTGCTTAAAAAATCAACTGTTGGCGTGAAATTGACTCAATTTTTGTCACAATTTTAGCCAATCTTTTTTAAAACAATCGTTCGTGAACTAAATTTAATTTTTGTCCCGGATTTATAAAACCGATAAGAAAACCAAAAATAACAATGCCGGTCCAGACTCAATTGGGTAAGAGTTATCATAAACAATGCTAAATTATTTGTCTCACTTTGCCTCAAAAAGAATCTTTCCTAAAAATCGTCTCATATTTCCCATTCGTTTATTTATTTATTGAGAAGTGTGTAATAATTACGCTAAAATTACCCCATTACTACTTTGCATAATAAATAATTACTTAATGCCAAATTAGCATGGATTCATAATTCTTCTCACTCACGTAATCAATCATCTCGTCAATTCAGCACTATTGTCATCTCATTGTCATCATCATAATTCGACGCCCTCGACTTGTCATTCATAATTTTTTTTCGTGTGTGTAATTAATTGTTGGCAGATCAAATCAACTTTTTAAATAAAATGCAATGTAATGTAGTGACACAAACAAATAGGAAATAAATCGAGCCGCATTCTCATTTTATTTCAAGAAAAGCTGCTGCTGCTACTGCCGATCAGATTAAAATCTCTCGAATTAATTTATTACAGTCAACAAACAAGTCATTTAATTATTGTTCTGATCTCTCCTCTTTTACAAATATGGAATCTTGCTCGTCATGAGTAATCCCAATAACTTGAACTTATGCGTCCTCCTTTCATAAGTAGATACGTACATATCTCAACCATCGGTTATTTAGTGACCAGTGGCCGCGGAAGCTGTGGGGACATTAACATTGTAGGATAGGGGAGGGAGGGGTTTATATAACATGGGGAGATGATGGGGACATCGAATAACCGTGGGGACTGTCCCCACGCTTCCGCGGCAATTTACTGTTAGTGACCACTAAAGCAGTGACCATGCATCCTTCCTCTATCTCTGAGTACGTGACATTGACACTGACGCACAAAAATATTTTGGATACCACTTTTTTTACGACGTGACGCTGGGGGCGTGTTACGTACATACGTGTCCCTTAAAGTGTAAGTGTGTAAGTAAGGTCGGCCAAGATTGAAATGTGTTATCTCCCATATTTCTCTGCCCATGTTGTGATAAACGGAATATTTAACAGGTGAACGAGATAGCACGTAATGCAGGCAGGTTCATATTTAACAATGACAGATATTTTTTATGTCGTACTTACTTACATGCATGAATATTAAGTTTGAACATCATTTAAAGAGATTCACAAGATTCGCCTATTTGTTAGTCAGCAGAGCTGCGTTTTTTCATGATTCACTATAGAATGCAGTTCAATAATACTTGTCGTCGTGGTCGTCGTGGGTGAAGCTCCGTTTCTAAAAATCATCCTTCTTCTCACACCACAAAGTTGACATATTTGGCACAACGTGCATTAAAAATAACTGAGCCAATCCTTAAGAGAACAACGAGAATAACGTTACGTTTTGTTTTACCAATCAATACATACATAATTCTGCTCGTCCATCTGAATAACTTTTCTACATGCATTGAGACACAAAGCAAAAAGCGAGTTACAAAGTTCGTCAGCGTCTCGAAAAATCAGATTCTTTGAATATTTCAAAAATTTCGTACCTGTTTTTATCAGAAGAGACAAGCAATTTAATTAGTTGCATTCAAAGTCAATTAAGACAAATCAATTAAAATCCAGGTAAGTGAAATTCATCACCTAATTATACAAATTGCACGCTAAATATTACCTCAAGTTCAAAATAAAGGGTAAATTCTGTACAAAATATTCAAAATATTTCCAGCCTTCAAAATTACTAATTTTTAAAATTCGAAAATATTTCTCATCCTTCTCCAAAACTAAAAATATTTCTGCTCTGTAAATGCGTTGCAAATAAATATCTAACAAAAATTAAAGTGACCTCATTTTCTACGAAATTCAAGTTCAACTTTTAAAATAAATCACAACCAGAAATTTATATTGCATGATGAAAGTCTTAAAAATTGTGCATGTAATTTTTTTTGCGAGAGGTGCGCCCAATTTATTTCCTCATGCCTCATTTGTCACGCCAACTTTTGTGTCGCGGCGTGGGCGTCGGTTTTACTTGTACTTCAACTTGAACTTGATTTCGTATCTCATCTCTCTCTCTTTTTTTGACAACTACCACTAACGAAACACCGCGTGGGATTTACACAATGAGCACACAAAGACAAATGGCTACATGATTACGGTACGAAGTTGCTTTTCTGGACAAACAATGTGCAGATTTTCGCAATAAAATAAAACCAATCATCATCATCAAGGTAGAGTTTGCATTCTTAATTAGAAATGAGTAATGAATTCGTGGTTAGAAACAATGAAATGAAATATTGGGCACAATTTTTTGGCAATGATTTTTTTTGCACAGAATGCAGAAGAATTCTTTGGGTTAGGTATTCGCAATGAAATAAGTCTTTGCTCGTTCAGGTGTTTGCTAGCGTTCGTAATTTTTGTGAAGGATGAAGTAATAAAATTGTTACTAAAAAAATATTGAGAAAATATATAGGTAAGAATTTTGGGCAGGTGTTTTTGCATAACATTTTTGACCAGTTTTGACGCCATTTCGACATTATTTTACTTATTTGTTTAATAATTCGTATTTATTATGTACAAATTTGCGTAAGAAATGCCGTTACATATTATTATGCAAAAATTATTCAGCTACAAGTGCAAACTAAATAATTAAATTTCCTGCAAAAAATACATCTTTGTGATACATGTCTTTGTTAAGTACTTAATTTCCAATGATTATCGGTTGGGAATTTACACATTTTTTTACAAAGATGAAATGTTCTGACTGGTTGATAAAAATATGCAAAATTTGATCAACAGCTTTTTACTCGGTCAGTCAGTGCCATAATTATTGAGCATTTCACGAAAAATTAGCAAATATGCCAAAATTTCTTCCGCTAAAATATGACAAAATGAATTTTCTCAACATATTTGCACCACATGCAAATTAATTAATTAATAATGTACGCCTTTGGTTTCACAGACCCCTCCTACTACGGCGTAATGGACCCATCGTCCTCCTCCCTGTCCGACCTTATGATCGGAGACGTCATCTACATCAACGGCGAAGGCGACTGGCGTGGGAAAATATGTTTTCTCGGAAGCGTTCAATTCGCCAAGGGTGACTGGGCCGGCGTTGCTTTAGATCATCCCATGGGTAACAAGTAGACCTTTGGTCACTTTGCATAATTGATGTTGCATAATTACATTTTACATAACGCTCGTTTTACATAATTATCAATTATCCAATAAAGACTGTTATGTAAAATGAGTTTTATGAAACAAAAATTAGGCAATTATGTTACGAAAACGCGAAAACGCGTTATGAAAACGCGTCCGTTATGCAAAGGTGCATTATGTAAAGTGACCTAGGACCAACAAATAATGGTCAACTTCAGGTCATTTTGGGGTCATCACTATTTATTTGGTTATCCATAAACAGGTCACCACGACGGGACTGCCCACCACCGCCGGTACTTCCAATGTCCCCCGAATCACGGCATTTTCACCCGGATCCACCGCCTCTCTAGAAAAATGCTCATTCCGGAAACCTTAAACGGCGAAAAATTAGGACTCACCAAATTCCAGAGGGAATATTCCGCCTCTCCCGAACCCATTTTGCACCCACGCTCGAAATCAAATTCTCGGGAATCTTCCCCTTTCGGATCCGGATCACTGCGAAGCGTGTCCTTCTCACCGGACGAATCTGGTGGTCGCGGGAGGAGTCCAACCCCGCCGATATCTCGGGAGCAAGCCCAGCTAAAAGTGGGTGACAGAGTTATCGTCAAAAGCTCCGTGGGCGATGCGAAAGTTGGAACTCTTAAATTTTTGGGAACCGTAGAATTCGAAGAGGGTAACGATATACAATTTTTTATTACGTCCATGTTTCAAAAATTGAAAATGAATGGTAAGAACTTTGAAATTTTATTTAGGAGTCTGGGCAGGGATTGAGTTGTCTTATCCAATCGGCAAGAATGATGGCACCATTCGAGGACGAGAGTAAGTAGTAGATTTTGTACATCTAAACCGCCCGTATGAAAATTTGTCCATTTTTCTCACGAAGAAATGTGCAGTGCATGTTTCGGCAGAAAATAGTTGCATAATTAATTAATTCTGCAGATAAATTGCCTGCAAACTTATATCCTGAAAAATTATGCAGAATTCTGCGCATGCCTAATTCCTGATTCCTGATGGAGGGGAAAAATATTTCACTTGTCGATTTTCATACGGGTGGCGGTACGAACGCACCCCTAAGTTTTACGACCCTTATCTTCTGTAGATACTTCCGTTGTGAGCATCCCTACGGTCTTTTCGTCCCCCTGCATAAGGTCGAGTCCAGCCCGGCTAACAAGGTCGATTTAAGTTTTAACGTTATTAAATTTTTCATTTTAATTTTATTCAATTAAAAATTTTAAACGAAAATTTCAGCTCGGAAAAAAGATGGGCACACGGGAGAATTTGTACGCCGTCATGTCCTCCACCAGAGGAGTCAGGGTGAGAAAAAGTTACAAAATTGCACAAAATACTCTTGATGTGTCCTCTCTGGAATTTATATTAATTTCTCCTTTAATTTAACAAATTTGTATGCCCAAATCTTAATTGCATTCCAGGCCGGCTCATACGAAGACTATTACTGAAGCAGATAAGCTCCGAGCGTCCACGTCTTACCGCAACCATAAATACGTACTTAAATATGTAAATATGCACAAAATATCAAGCAACAAGACTTATCAAGTTACTACTAAAAAAAGCTAACTTATTAACAAACCCATAAATAAATGAGCTTCTCTATTTATTAACCAAAAAGAAGTTTTCGCATCTTATAAATAAATATATAAATAACCATTTCAGTCATTTCAAAAATTTCAAAAAATTAATTGTGATATCGATTCAATAAATTTAATTGATCCGTCACGGAATTAAAAACCACATTAAAAACCACGAGAAAAAACACATTTTATCTTATTCTTCATCTCAAAATATTCACAGCCTTTCCTCCACAATGACCCAGAACGGTTTCGGACACAAGACGAGTCCGGGTTTGACATCATTCCTGACATTTATAAATAATTTATTTCTATTTGAAATAAAATTTAAAAACTGGAATTATTTACCTGAAATCCGGGGGATTACTTGGGTCAGCAAATTTAAAGTTGAACCTTTGCAACAGTCCGGCGAGAAAGAGGAAAAACTCAGTCTGCGCCATGACTTCGGCCAAACAGACGCGTTTTCCCACCGAGAAGGGCACCACGTTCTCATTCTTTACAAACGTAGACGTCCCAGAAGACGTGGCGAGGAATCGTTCCGGTTTAAAACTGTCCGGATCCGGAAATACTTGTGGGTCGTGATGAACTGCGTACAAATTTGGCATGACGATACATCCTGCGGGAAGAGTGTAGCCGGCAAGGGTCACTTCCTCCGTGGTGGAGTGAAGAATAGCCCCCACGACGATGGACGAAAGGCGGAGGACTTCGGAAATGACGGCTTCCGTGTAAGGCATTTCTTTTCGGTCGGACGTAGTGGGGAGACGAGAACGGCCGCAAGTGGCGTCAATTTCGGTTTGGATGCGGGTCATGGCCTCCGGGTGGGAGCAGAGGTAAAGGAGGGCAAAGTTCAGGGAGGAATTTAGCGTGTCTGACCCTGCCGTGAAGAGATCTATGAGGACGTGCAGCAGGTTATTTTCTGGAATTAAAGATAAGACATCATGATTAAAAGTAATCGCCCATCGTCATAAAATGATAAACATTGCTCCCTCACTCACCTCCCACTTCCCCATAAAAGCTGGACTCTGTGTCCTCGGTCTCTCTAATCTTGGCAAGATAAACGTCAACAAAGTCGCGGAAAACGTTGGGAACGAAGGTGGCCTTGTGTTCTTCTACGACACCACGAAAAAGGTCCTTCAACTCGGCCACCACCTCGACGACGGAGTTATATCCAGATGAGGACGGCATGAGTTTCGCCAACCAGGGCAAGAACCACAAGCTTCCTGCCACTTCGGGGTCGATGAATCCCCTGCAAAAGGAAAATCAGACGTTAAAACGCTATATTCTTTGTCACGCTTTATAGATTTTAAGATATGATGGCTCAAGTAATTTTTAGTATGTAAAGAATCCGTCAAAATATTCGGGAGTTATCGAGATAGGAAATTTTTGCAAATCTTTGCAAAAGTTTTAAATTTAAATTAGTAATTCATCCATCATTTCGAAAATATTTTCCTGTTCCACTCACTCGATACACATCCTGTAAAGTTCCTGAATCCTGACATCGTTAACGGAAAATTTATCACCCACGAGAATCGACCAGAGCGCGTTGATGACAAAGAGGCCAAAAATGTGTTTTAATTCGATCGGTTTGTTCGTGTTCTTCCTGCAACAAGGACACAATTAATGGTACGACGATTAATATTTATATTTATGCAGGTTATTTTAGTACCCGAAATAGTCGACCAACTCATGCACCTCTTCCTCTACGAGTTTCTCCATCGATTGCTTCCCAAAGCCAAGGTCTCTCAAAGTTTTCAGGGTGAAGCGACGCTGTTCGTAGCCGGCAGGACCGTCGTTAAATGTTATCCCTGCATTTTAATTGTTCAGTTACGCTTTAAAATATTGTCCACATTTCTGACTGACTCACCATCTCGAGATAATTTCATAGCAAGTAAGTGATTCGGCCGTCCGGAGAATGTGTCACGTCGAAGGGCGTCCTTTATCATGGGGAGCGTATTCAGAACCACGATTCTAGAGGATACAAAAAATACAGAATTATTAGCCGGCCCAATTTCCCTCTGCAGGGTGTCCAAAATCGCATTTTGAAAACCCGAGTTTCAATTTTTCCCAATAAGTTTTCCTGAATCCGGGTTTCGATTTACTCCAAAACATGCTTTAAAACGAAGTTAGGTAAAATGTAGAATATATAACAAGATTTAGGTGTTAATTTTGGAAAAAAAATCGAAACAGTACAGAATAATGTAATAAAACATAAAATGGACATTGTAGACTCAATTGTTATAGTAAAAAAACCTACAGTGCAGACTCCATATAGCCCGAGTCAGGGACAGAGTCCCTGAATCGGTGATTCAGGGACCGTATTGACCGACATAATACACAAACTCCGTGTTTTGGATAGTTTAATGTGTGTTAGATTTTTTATTATTTGGCATCAAATCCCTAAACAACTTGAACTTCCAAAGCTGTGTGTGCTATCCAGAAGTGGTTTTTATCCCCCATACCAAATTTCAGATGGAAATAGCAACTTTTAAAAACGGTATGGGTCAGCCTCCAGGGTCACTCTGGTTGCACTTTGCTCACTTCAAATTCTTTCGTAGGAAGCCATTAAGTATCACCATGCCGGATTTCATGTTTTTTAAAGCAATTTCTAAAAATCGGTATGGGTCACCCCAACAGGGTCGCTCCAGATAAAAATTTTACTAATTTCATATCATTCCTACATTAAGACCCATTAGCAACCTCTCTACCAAATTTCAGCTCGATATGATGATTTTGAAAAATCCGTATGGGTCACCCTATGGGCTCCCTCAAATTGAAAATGTTTCCAACTTGAAGTAATTTTTATCTATTAGGAACCATTAGCAACCTCTGTACCAAATTTCAGCCTTCTACGACAATTTTGAAATTTTGGTGCATAATACCCCACCCACTCCGATGACTCCCACGGGTCAACCACTGGACCGATTTCACCCATCTTCGAACTCGTTTCCTAACTTTGTCCAATATGCATATGGTAAAAATTTCAAGTCAATCGGTTCAGCCGTTTTGGCTCTATCGTGCCGGACAGACAGACAGACAGACGGACGGACGGACATGACGGTTCCATAAGCCCTGACTCGGGCTAAAAATCGAAACTCGGCTTCTAATGCCCAACTCACTTACGGATATGATCCATAATAAAGGCTAAAAATGGGACCCCATTTAGTCCCAATTTCACCCAGTTTCTTGTGTGGCGTAGCTCCAAGGAAGGGCAGATAACCAAAGATCGGGATTCCCATTGGACCTGTGTTTTAAATAAATCATAAAAGTTGCATTCCATTAAATTACGATTATTAAATTAACCTGGAGGAAAATTTGCTGGTCTTTTCTGGCTCAGGTAGATCCAGAGGAAGAGCAGCGTTGCAAAAATGAGGGAACCTATTTCCAAAAACATTTTTGCGAATTGTTATAAAATATCTGTCAGACAGAACTGACAGAAGCGACTAATCAGACAATTACGCATATATAATTTCAGCTAACAAGGCGTGGACAGCTGCATCCGGTGTGGTAGTTATATGGTGATACCGGAAGGAAATAGTTGTGATAAATCATTCCTAAAAATTCGACCACATAAACACCAACACCAAACCAAACCAGGAAAACAATCATGCCAATATAGAAAATGCAATTTTGTCTCGGTTTTTATTACGTTCCTTTTTATCCTCATTTTGCATAATATTTAATTACACCTTATTGACTTGGGAATAATTAAAACTAAAATCCTGAGCAAGGTTTAGGCTAATTTTGTTTGATTATCACCAAGTACATATAACAACTTGCTCTGGTCTAATTACATTAATATGTAGGGCCATGATTTAATTATTGACACATTTTACCAATTAATTTTATCATTAATTCCTACACAATTTAATTTACATTTTGTCACCGAAAATTCTCAAGTTTAATTGTTGACTAACATCGGTTCAGAGTCGACAATAGTAGCCCTTCATTGACGTATCTTTTTCTTGTCCTAATATATTGCTTATTTAGCTGTCCTTGTTTACTTGGGCCCCAACATGTCTTCCGGTTTGACCCACTTGTCGAAATCCGCTTCCGTCAAGTAGCCCAATTTCAGGGCGGATTGTTTCAAGGTGGTGCCCTCCTTATGAGCTGTCTTTGCAATCTTGGCAGCCTACAAAAATATCACTTAATATGATATCTCAACCGATAAATCGATAATCAATCGTTATCCAATTATACCTTGTCATAGCCAATGTGTGGATTTAACGCCGTCACCAACATGAGCGACTCGTGCAAAAGTTTCCCAATCCTATCCTCGTTCGCTATAATCCCATCGACACAATTTGTCGTGAATGCTTTACAAGAGTCGCCCAAGAGTCGGATGGATCTGCAAAAAAACAATCAAACACTTGTTAATCATGTCTCGCCAAATATTATGCAAATCATACCTCAAAACATTTGCGACCATCATGGGTTTGAATACATTGAGTTCAAAGTGTCCATTGCTCCCTCCGATGGTGCACGCGACATGATTCCCCATCACCTGCCCGGCCACCATAGTTATGGCCTCGCACTGCGTGGGATTCACCTTTCCTGGCATGATCGAAGATCCTGGCTCATTCTCCGGCAGCGACAATTCCCCCAAACCACAGCGCGGACCTGACGCCAAAAACCGGATGTCGTTCGCAATCTAGAAAAAATTGTAAAAAACACAATTTACAAATAAGCCACAAATAAAAAATATGGACGTTATCACATTACCTTCATTAACGAGCAAGCGACCACATTAAGGGCGCCGGAAACCTCAACCAGCGCATCGTGACAGGCCAGCCCTTCAAACTTATTCGGCGCAGTGATAAATGGAAGTCCAGTCAGGGCAGCGATCTGTTCCGCAATCTTCTTATCGAATCCGATCCTAGTGTTGAGTCCCGTGCCGACCGCAGTTCCGCCAGCGGCCAACATGTAAATGTGAGGCAGCGTGGCTTTCACCCTTTCCACCCCAAACACCATTTGTTGCACGTAGCCAGAAAATTCTTGACCCAACGTGAGTGGAGTGGCATCCTGTCAAAACAATTAATTAATTTTAAAAACTGCCGCCTCCGCGCTTACGCTTATTCATTCATGCCAACCTGGGTATGCGTTCTCCCAATCTTGATAATCTTTTCGAACTCCTTTGACTTTTTTTGTAACGCATCCCTCAACAATTCCATCCCGGGGAGGAGCGTGGAGTTGATTTCCATTGCGACACTGATGTGCATTGCGGTCGGGAAGGTGTCGTTGGAACTCTTGTGAAAATAATTAAGTAATTATTGTCACCACTTGATAAGCTCGAGTCCTAAGGGTAATACCTGGCTCTTGTTGACATGGTCGTTAGGATGGACAGGGTTTTTCGACCCGAGGACACCACCCATAAGTTGGATAGCTCTGTTGGAAATGACCTCATTGGTATTCATGTTGGTCTGCGTTCCTGACCCGGTTTGCCAGATGACGAGGGGAAAGTGCTCCTCGTACAGCGCGCCGCTAATCACCTCGTCGGCAGCGGAACAAATTGCATCCGCCACTTTGGGGTCAAGGCCGTACTCTTTGTTCACTATGGCGGCAGCCTTCTTCAAAATCCCCATCCCCTTGATGACCGGGAGCTAAATGTATCGGGATAAGATAACATAACATGGTAGCACTTATTATTTATCATCAATTTTTACCGGCATCCTCTCTGGATTTCCACCGATGGGAAAGTTCATCACGGAGCGGAGCGTCTGCGCCCCATACAGTTTATCCGCTGGGACTTTAAGTTCGCCAAATGTATCCGCCTCCAGCCGGTAGTCACCCTCCTGCACAAATTTTAATACAAATTAATCAGACATTGTCTTTTCTGTTATTTTTTTAAAGTAAACTTTACAATTTGCATTTGCGAGTCGGCCAACGATTCACACATTTTGATTCCGTTTCCAATTTAATAATAACTTGGTAAAGAGAGAATAATAATTGATTGGGAAAATAAATTATTTAGGGAAAAGGCCGAAGGTAGGTAGGTAGGTAGGTAAGTAGAGAGTTTTGTGACTCGTGACGACTTTTTTTGTGACTTCCGGATTTATCGATTCTTCCTCCTCTTATTCACACTAACACTCGGATCGATATCACACCACACCGAAAAGCAAACAACACGCAACCACCGACCAACAACCGTAAGGAATTTGTCTCCAAATTGAAATAAACTAATAATATCGAACAAAAATATGGACAGACTTGCTTCCAGCAGAAAGGATTTGTTTTGTTACTATGTAGGTTGAACCTTTTTTTAGCCGTGTGCAAATTCAGGCATGTGATGGTCCACCAACAGCATCATCGTCATCCATCCCCGTTCGGCGTTTGTGTGAAATAGTGAAATGCATAAAAAGATGAAGAAGTCGAGCAGCAGCATCCATTCAAAGACAAAAACTGCACGGAACAGGGGTACGAAATTTTTCTATAAGACCACAACATCCGAAAAACAAAAAAAAAAAAAAACAAAACAAAAAATTCTCCGAGGTTCCTAATTAATAATTTTGGCACTACAACTTCGTCGCTAGCCGTTGGAGAAACATTTTTGTATTTGGCATGTCGTGAACTTGTAAAAATTCCACTGTTTCGTGCAGCTCGACCAGATGAAAGAATAAGATGATGAGATGAGATGACGTGAATATGACGACACATTATTATGCAACTGGCCATGATTTTCGTGACATTCTGACTTATTGGTAACGCGGTACATATTTACATATGCCACGTGTAGATAAGAAGCACCCACCTTTTTCTTACTCCAGGATGACCCAGTCGTGGCGAAACATCTCGCCAGGGAGGAGGGACCATGTTGATGAAGAATCTTTTGATGGTGGTGAGAACAACAGGACGATCTGGTCACCAGTACTCCGAGGACGCGACAACTCATTATGGCAAGAACTAGTGGCGAAGAGATCTATAAAGAGGGAGGAGAAAAATGTTTAAATACAATTAAAATAATTGTACATAATTTCTTCATGATGTGTACTTAATTTTTCTGATTTGAATTGAATTTGACAAAATAAAAGCCCACCAAAAAGAAACTACAGCGATAAACCCGAACTTTTGCCCCTTTTCATAAAACAAACTAAGCATCCTAACAATTATTAATAGCAATAATTACCGGAATTACTTACCTAAAAGTTTGATATAAAGTTTACTATTAAAAATGAACCGGACACAGATTCACTTCGGGTCAGGTCAGACAAGGTCACCACGCCCAATCTATTCCTTTGTAAAGGGGATAACTAACTATATATACTACCCACCTACCACGAAATATATATAATTAACTACTCAATTTCGAACAATTTACTCCAATTAATTAAATCCGGTGAATATTTTTTTCCCGAGTATTTAAATGAAAACCGAACTCGGACGGGTTTTTGGGCTGGAATGAAGGGGTGAATTGATTTCTCCCATTTTCTACAAATCTCAGTCACCGTAAACAAACAAAACCGGAAGTGGACACTTCAACTAATTTGGTATTAATTGACCCATTATCAAGCCATTTTTATCCAAGCGTACTAAAACTTTTTACAAAAAAATTAGGATACAAAACATCCCCCAGAACATGATAATAGTGAAATATTTCCATAAATTTTGACTCGGTCGATACTGTCGCAGTGGTGACCAGCCCGCACTGTGCATTTCGTCTTGATCCCCTTCATCTCCTACTTCGGGGGGCTTAATCTTCCCCACATCCACATCGGCACCCTTCTCGACAGGAACGTCATACGTCGCGTCGAAAATGGGCACGTTACAGCCATCCGTTTCACAAAGACAGGTTGTAAAACCATCAGAAGGGTCGGTGGAACACGTCGTCGACGACGACGAGCCGTTTTTGCCACGAATATGCTCTGTACATTCTCTTGAAACAGATCTCGAGTGTTCATCATGGATCGACGAATTTGCGCAGAGCATAATTCCTACGGGCAGTAAAAATTTACAAATTTTACGAGGGTAAAATCATCGTTTGATAAATAACTTACCACTCGGCTCATGTGGGTCACCGCATTCTTTGAGTAATTGGATGGAAGGGGTGTCACGGAGACACTGGGCGGCTGGCGAGCTGGGGGGCAACGTGTCCGAGTTGTGACCACGATCCGTGTCGTAAATACATATGAAACACTTCAAGGCGAAAGTCGCTACCGGAAGATGGGCGACGGCGACCAGGACTAGAATAAATGCGGTTTTCATAAAAATCGTCATCCTCTTCAGCATCGATTGACAGATCCCGGCCACAAGTCGAAATATATATCCGCGGCTATACATTTCCGAAAAAAGTATCCATGCAAATTACGTATGTAAAATAAATGACGCTACAAAATGTACTTAATGTCAAGTAACATTAATTAACTTTTACTGATCAAAATCATCTCATTCATTCATTATTTTTAAGGTTGAAGCACAAAAAGGTATGAAAATTATGTCGTCAATACTGTCTCTGTTGACCTTGATGACCTCCATCATGCCAGTCATTATTCAAGTTGCGTTGTTCATGCTGATTGTCGATCCCTTGGTCGTAAATCCAGTCGGCTCCCTTTGCCTGCTCGGGCGTGGTGAGAAATTCGTCGCCCCGACTTTCGCCACTATCCACTCCACGTTTCCCATCCTGCTTCTTCTTCGCAGCGTAGGCCTGGTTAAAATCAGTCTCTTCCAAGTGGTCGACCAACTGTAAAATTTTAATTGCAATTAGCAAAAATAAAAATTATTACGAATTAATTATTAACCTTGTCCAAATCCTTTCCAGTCGGTGCTGACGTTTGGATCGCTTCTCCCAAAAGGTCTACCTGCTCCTGAGCAAGGCCAGAATTTTGTACGGCACGGACGAGTCTATAAACAAACCCGGAAGTTGGTAAATGTGTAAAGCATCTAATTTAATTTTTGAAATAGTTCAAAGTTTTGGGTTGATTTTTAAGCAAGAAATCTCGAGGGTGATTTTTCTAGAACTGATAAAGATCTGTGTACGACTTGGTGTACGCACCTTGTCGAATTAGCCCTGTCCAACCCGCTCAGCTCCGCCACGGTTTGCAACCTCTGTAACGTCGCGACATCCAAGGGCTGACTCAGATCGGGTTGTTGTTGTGGCTGTTGTGGTGGTGGCGTCACTGGCGATCCTGCTCCTCCCAACGCCGCTTTAGCCTTGAGTGCCTCCAGCAGTTCGAGTCCCGTGGTGAGTGTCATCTTACCCGAGGCGAACTCCGTTTGAAGATCGAACACTTGTGACCTCGTGAGTTTGAGTAAGTAAGCCTGCTGAACGAGTTCGAATGCCTCCTTTCGTGGAATAATATGACTCGCCAGAACCCATAAATTGTCCAAATCCTCGGGTAAAGCTGGTGCTGTCTGAATAATTGGTACAAATTAACACAAATTGTGAAAACCATACAAAAATGCATGCAACTGACATCGAATAACACCCCCAACTTACCAACGGTGTACCAAAAAACACATGTGGCCCACCCATCAAATCTGGCGTTGGCGATCCTCCCGCTGCCCGCGCCGACCTCTTCCCAAACGGACTGTACAGATCAGACTGCGCCAAACCTGCCCACGTCTTGCCAACCCGATTACTAATTGAAGCCATATGGTTATTGTTATCTGCATTATTAATCGCATTTCTGGGCAAATGCTCCGACGCGACGGTATCATACTGGGAATTTTTCATGTTCGAATCCACCACTGCATCTTCCAACGCGCGACGGACGCGTTCCGCATAGTCCGCAGAGGTCGCCGGGTTCATCATGACTTTCTTTAGATCGACCACCTTAAAACATAATTCGGTCGCGTGTAAGGAAATAATGCCAACTTTTTGACACCGCCCATTAAATTCACTTATTAATACCTCGTGATACTTCAAGTCCAACGCCCTCACCGCTCTCAGGACGCGTTCCGCCTTTGCATCCGACAACCCAGCACCCTTCGTGGCGGCCTGTGATAAGCAAATTAAAAAAATTATGACGACTAGTTATTTAACGAAGGTAACAAAATACCTTTATCATCTTCTTGTAAATGTCTTGATAATGAATGGCAGATAGCATTCGAAATATTGACAAAAGAAAGCAAAACTTTTTCTTCGATTTTTCCACTAAACTCGTGTAATCCAATTATTAAAAAATACCTTTAATTTCATCCACTCGACGTCTGGAATGACATGCTGGGTCGCACCGGGTGTGGGGGCGGTCGTAGTTTGGACTGAAGCATGTAGCGTATTGATCAAGACGGACCCAACGTCGTCGTCATCCAGAGGTGGACCTCCACTACCCATGATCGCACTTGGCTCGCCATGTGTCGACGCGATGATGAGGACAAGAAGGGTGAAAACTAGCGGAAATACTCCTGAAGAGAAGAAATACGATTAGAAAAATTGACATTTTATAGTGACAAGGTTAAATTTATTACCGCAAATTCTTCCTTCCTCCCTGTAGAAATTGGCCATCGAAATTACTTAGTTCGAGATTTTTTTTGAGAATTTTAAGATTTAAAAGAAGGAGGATTTTTTTCTGGCTAGACTACTGGACTTGTTGGATTTAGTTGAACAGTGACAATGCAAGTTGGACTCTTGATTATGTAAATTGGTTGTCTGTCTTCAAATTGAAGTATTGGTTGGTGGTCAATCCCCAATCCCGAGCTCACTTCTATGCATTCCTCGGGTTGGCTTCCTACATTTGTAAATTAGAATATCTCATCACCAAGTCCAAGAAAAATTTAGTTAAATTGAGGACATTCACGTGTAAATTACCATCCGACCGCGTTCATGGCCACGGTTCTACAACTTTCATGGTTTAAAAGATGGAGGAAATTATGATTAATTAGAATATTATTATTATTGTTTGATTTTTCCATTGTTAATAGATAATGATGGACTAAGATTTGATACTTTTCATGCGTGATTACATAATTGCTCCTACGTAATCGTACGATTTTTAGTGTCCCCGACAAATTAAGGTTAATAATTTCTAATGTCAAATCTCAAATCCCATTTTTATTTACCAAATAATAATAATACAATACAAAAACAATTCTTACAATTATCCCCGCATCATGTTTTTTCTTAAATTTATAAAAATCTTCAACTCGGTAAAATTAAGCTTACTGATAATTTTGGATGTTTTGTAACGGTACAAAAACGTAGTCATACTATTAGCCAATTAATTAAATTGATATAAAAAATTTCAACAAAATCGTCATAATTATCTCGTCCAATAATTTTCGTTCATACATTAATTGTAATTCGCTGCTAATAAACTTTTTAAAAAGCACAAAGTATCCGACAATGTCAACCAACAAGTAAGCAAATAAACTAATGGCATCGAGCTAATTATTTTTCAAGGTACATATAATAATTTCGTTGATTCGTACGAAATAAATAGTTAACTTTTTCTTCTTGGCCAAACCCCTTAAAGGTAAGCAAGCAAGTGTATGTTGTATTATATTAAGAGACTATAATCACCAGCAATTAATTAATTCATCAGTTAACTCTAGATATAAATGTGTTCAAAAAACACGGAAAAAAACGAAAACGACAACCCATCAGGATGCAGTAAATCTTATATAAAAAAAAACAATAAGAAACCTGATGGATCCAAATAGAAGATTAACTTATGCTAATAATAATTATAATTGCTAACAATTTACTTAATTAATACAATGGCGACTATCAATCACTTCCACCTGTATTGTAAATTCTGCAACTTGCTCAACATTTCTGGGGATTAATTGGATTGTTGTAAATGAGATAAGATAAGACATTAAGATAGATGCGCGCAATTAGTACGATGGAGGAGGAGGAAACCAGCAGTCTTTCGGTTTGGTAGACTTTTTTTTTGTTCTTGGGAATTTATTTATTCGTCCCCTCCGCTCGTATGCCAAGTGAGACGCTCTTCATAAAAGCCAATCACGACCTGTGGACACTTGACGTTGGCCTGTCGCGCTGGAACGAGATCCGCCTCATCCGTTTCCTTCCATTTCATGAGAAACATCAACTCTCCAGAAGAGTCTGTCGCCCCGATGATCTTCTCAGGATCGAGACCTCGATCAAATCCAGTCAACTCGGCACGAGCTGCCTCCTAGAGAAACGACACGCAATTAGTTAATGTGGTAATAAAGATAAATTATGCGCTCGCTCATCTTTTCCTCAAGTTATATACACTTACCCGTCCAACTTTTGCCTTCTTTGCTCCCTTATCTCCTCCACGCTGCTTGTTATCATCCTTGTTCTCCTCGAGAAGACGTTTCTTGCTCCCTGGTCCGCTCTTGGACGACTTTTTAGCTGCCTCCTTTGCCCTCCAGTCAACCTCGAATGCTTCAATCAGTTCAGGACAGCCCAAGTTCTCCTGCGGCTCCCAAGTGTTATCCTCTCTGGGACATTAATTAATTGGTTTAATTATTATTATCACACTCGTCCAATTTAATACAAAGTATTAAGTAATAATAACTGTACTCACTCTCCATAACCTTTCCACTTTAAGAGATATTCCGTCCTGCCGGTCGCGGGGACAATTCGCTTGTCGAGAATCGTCTCTACAATGTACTCCTCCTCTTGTTCAGAAGTCTCCCCTTCATCTCCGCTAGCCTTCGCCTCCTCCATGTCAGAGTCCACGTCAGATTTGCCACGACCCATTTTTAATTCTTATTCTCTAATAATAAAACAAATAATTTAATAAAAATACTATTAAAAATCAATCCTCCCACATTATTAGTCATATTCCCACAATTACTTAAAAATTATCCCCCCAACCATTTCATAATTATACTTCAAGTCAACAATCAAAATCAACTCGTATTAATTGCATTATTCAAGCAATTAAATATTCTTGCAATCAATCAAACAAACAACTTACCGGAGAATGACAAATAGTAAACTGCTTAAAATTCGTCTGACTTGTAGCGGTGCAGGTGCGTCTTAATTGGTGATTGAAAGAGGAAGACTTGGCGACAAATGACCAGCAATTTCCGACAAGAACAATTAACTTTAAATTTAATTTAATTTAACCGACAAGAGAAAATTCTGAAGGAAGGAAGAACGTTTTCTTGACTGTCGAACTTTCAGACGAGAAGAAAGAAGAATGCCACCGACTCCATGGCTGGAGATTGGGACGAACACTTTACACGCTGCCACGCTATCGCTTAACGCACGCCTCTCGCAACTCCTCCAAACACGCCACCGTGCTGCCTGTCGCTATCTCCTCACCCCAAAAACACGCTGGGAAATTCAAACCATTGTCTCATCTTTTATCTCATGACTTTCTCATTCCAGAATTTAAGAAAAGTAAATTTAATAGGATTATTAATTAACTAACTGACTAATTGACTAACTAAGTGGGAGGTGAACTAAATTTTAAGTGAACTTTACACTCTGAATTGCATCACATCGCTATTATCGTTAAGGTTAGTTAGAAGAGAATTTGTTTTATGGAGTAATTTCAATTGTGGTTCTTTTTAATGATTATTTAGAATTTTGAATTATTTTAAATGCGTATTAATTTGGTAGCATGACGGGTGGTGTCCTCTCAAAGATGGGTCTGGGTAGTTTGGAACCCTCGGATGAAGTGTTGATGCCCCTCCCAGCAAAAAAGGAGGTCGTTCTAGCCATTATCCGGGGTTAGCTTTATACGCGTTATATGTAACAGCAATAATAATTGCGTAATACTATCATTTTAACTTGTTTCAGCTGGAAGTATCGGAATCATCACGTTTTACATTATGCGATGGGCGCTACGCTACGCAGATCCGACTTATCAGCAGAAGCAAAAGTCAAAAACCAAGGTATGTTAAGGAATTGTCGAATTGTTGCTCAATTAAATTAAGCAAGATTTTATTTAAGTAAATAAATAATCCTTTGTTTGTTTCTTCCAGGCAAAGGAGATTATGGCCCGATTAGGAGTAAAGGGGATCTCCCTGAACGAGCATGAGGTCATGATCGCGACTCACCTCGTGGACCCGAACCACCTCCGCATCTCATGGGCCGATATAGCCGGGTTAGACCAGGAAATTGAGCAGATTAAAAAGGTGATAAAGATTTATTTATTTGTGTTCAAAATCTGAAATCTAACAATTTCTATTTCAATATTTAGACAGTAATCTACCCCGTCCTTGCCCAGCAGAAGAATATTCGTGTCTCAAAACTAGTCCAGCCTCCTAAAGGTGTCCTCCTCTACGGTCCTCCTGGCTGCGGAAAGACATTGATTGCCAAAGCCATGGCGAAAGAGGCGAAATGCTGGTTCATCAACTTGGACGTTTCCGTTCTTACGGACAAATGGTACGGCGAGTCTCAAAAACTTACCGCCGCCGTTTTCTCCCTCGCCGAGAAGCTCCAACCCTGCATCATCTTCATTGATGAGGTCGACTCTCTCCTCCGCCTTCGCGCAACGCACGACCACGAAGTCACGGCTATGATGAAGGCGCAATTCATGTCACTTTGGGATGGACTGATCACTGATCCTAAGAAGACCGTGATCGTCATGGGCGCTACGAATCGACCGAAAGACATGGACACGGCCATTCTCAGAAGGTATTTTCATAATTAGTTATTCTTACTAAATGTAATTATTAATTACTAATTATTATCAGAATGGCAGCCAAGTTCCACATCCCTTCTCCCGACAAGAACCAGCGTAAACACATTCTTGACCTTACCCTAAAGCACGAAGTGATCGGACCAGACTTCAATCTGGACAAGTTGGCCCTTATGACTGACGGATTTTCCGGCTCAGATTTGAAAGAGGTCGCCCGATCCGCCGCGGTCGCCTGTCTCGCTGACCTACAACTCTCTAGAGACACTCTCAATAATTTCACTCTCACCACCACTGAATCCGAGTAAGATCATAAGTTGCAAAAAATCATTGTACATGCAAAAAAAGCATATACTGAAATTATCTCCTCCCAGGCTACCTTCCTCCCTGACGCGTGGCTGGTTCGACATGATCAACCCGTTCGCCTCCTCCTCCTCCGACGTGATGGACGGTGATGGTGGGGGTGGAGATGGAGACGACGCCTCCATTTCCTCTCTTGACGTAGGTAGCGTGACGAGAAACCTCTCTCTGCGTGCCATCAACATGCGAGACTTTGAGCACGCTGTGATGAAACTGAAGGAGGCACGTGCCCATTGTGGCAACGCTTTGGATGCCAGACATCGCATCGAGCTGGATTAGTCGACATCATCTACCAAACTACAAATACCTTACTATATAGCCAACCAGTCGATTTTTCTTGTAAGAAGTCAGCAACTAATTAATAATCTAGTCTTATTATATTCAATTCAACTATTAGTAGGTTGTACGTACTATTGTAAAAACACATTATTTTGAACCTTCAATTTGTTGTAAAATTTTGACTAAAAATGTAAACATGTGTTTGGTATTTGTTTTACATCGTAACGTTTTTTATTTGGCATAATTTTAATTAAATACAGTATAGATTTGCTTTGATCTAGTAGTCGTACACTTGTCCAGCAGCAGCTCCTGCTTGGTGATAGACGGCCTGTGGAGCAACGCCGACGACTCTGGGATGATATGCGGGTTGGGGTTGATGATACGCTTGGACTGGTGTAGCTTGGGCGTAGTGGACCTGCTGAGGCGCAGCAGCAGCATGATAGGCAGGCTGGACATGATAAGCTGGTTGTGGAGCGTGATACACAGGCTGGGCGTGATATTCTGGTTGATGATGATACGCAGGCTGTACGTGCTTGACGGGAGCCAACTTTTGCAAATCTGGATAATAATATTTCCCACGTGGTTTAGTTACATAGTTGACTGCTATCTTTATACGAGCAACTAACCTCTGACGGGAAGAGGTCCCTTGTCTACGATCGCGTTAAATCCGTGAACCGGATCAGCCGTGTAGGTCACGGTCCTTACGCCAGACTAGTAATATAATAATAAAGGTGACCTTTGACCTCAACTTTATATCTCCATAAATACTTTTATCTTACCCCGTCCTTCTCCACGAGGGAGTACTGTCCCTTCACGACACCGCCGTCCTTCTCTTCATGGTGGCTGTGAAAATCCCCATGGTACGGATCGTTCACAGCGTAGCCAAAGTTATACTTGGCGTGTGGGTCGTAGTCCAATCCTGTACAAACAAAATATAGGTCAGTTTCCCTTAAAAAAACGGGTATAAAAAATCTCCCCACCTTTCGCGAGGACTGGTCCATGTGCAGCATACTGTGGCTGATAGTGACCTCCGGGATGATGTGCAAGTCTGTACTGACCAAGCGCACCAGCCACACCGACGACAAGGACGAGATATACCTGCACAGTCACAAAAACCATGATAAGTAAATCGTCACAAATTATTTGCAAGTCTGAAAATTAACACGTTTTTCTGTAGACGAGACGCACAATTTTTCTGCATGCATAAACTTTCATGAAGAATGTAGGATTGATTTTTATGAAGAAATTTTTACACTTCTCTTCCACAGAAAAATGGACAATCTTATTTCTGTTGATAGGGAAGCTATACCTTAAATCCAATCATGACGATTTCGAATTCCAATTGACAAATTAAATGTGCTGTTCTTCCCACTTGACGGAATTTGGAGCAAGGATGCAACGTTACAAAGGTTCGTAAAGGACTGAAGGCTTGCAAAAAGGGCTAAAAAATAGAGTAGACGATCGACGCACCATTTAATTTACCTACGATTAATAGAGACCAATACTGTGTAATCCTTGGTTGGGCGTTTCTTTTTTTTCGACCCCTTCTCCATTTCATCAAATCCTTCACATTTTATTTGCTGACATGAATTATATCATTACGCACGCTTCATGAGAACCATATTTTATTCAAGGGAAGGATACTTATATTTTTTTGTATTCTCTAATTTTCTGTTGAAATGTAGCAGCGGAGATTGTGTTATAAGAAAAATTAAATGGGGTGATTTTTGGTTAGTTTGGTCTGGTGGCAAGCACATTGTTGCACCAAAAATACTAACAACAATGAAACGAAGGGGTGACGCGTTGCTCGTAATAATTGGCAGGTGAGTGAGGTGTGTAGACTATCTGAAATATTTATCTCGTTTGTTGCTCATATCAGTCGACTAACCAAACCACGTACCATTTCTTGGTGTGAATTATTCTTATATAATAATATAAAGTGTAGCGCTACCACAAATAAGTATATGGGAAATTAGTATTATTTTATGCAGTTTTGCAAAAAATGGGAGAACTCACGTCGTTGTCGTAGTCGTAGCCGAGCTCTCATTTTCTTCAATATCGGGGAGAAATATTTTGCAAAAATTGAGATCATCCAGTAAATAATTTTGTGTGGATAAGAATCATAAAATTGCTGAAATGTTTATTCCTCAATTTTCGAAATTTGCAATTTTTTGACGGGGGTACATTCGCATACTAAATTGCCATCCATCGGACAATGCAAAAATTCCAACATCACAATAATGATGATCTTGTCTGCATTTCAAATTCTGACGTATCGACACTGTTCAATTGGTGGTTGGTGACTCAAGATCAACATTTTTCAACGAGACTGCAATGCAATTCGACTTATTACATCATACCTGCTTGCTTTATATAGAAATAGCCAATCAATCAAGTTTGAGAGTCACACCCTCCCAAAAGATAATTAAGTGTGATTTGTTCCAATAAAATTGGAGCACTTCATTGCAAAACCCTGTTATCGATCATTTTCTGCAACACTCATTCTCATTGCGAGATTTTGCCTGCGACAAATCACGAGGCGTGGAATGGATGCATGTAAATATTCAGAAGTTAAGAAATGGGGAGATTGAGACGACAACGATGAATGAATAGTGAGTTATTTGCGACGGGGAAATTGAGACTTACACAAAATTAGATGCTTCCCATGCATATTATTCATGACCTGTGCTGTTTGTTTAATTCTTGCTAAATGTGGATTTATTGCAAAATACATACATCCTCTTCTTCAGTATAATTACAGCCATTAAATGACTTACCTTACCTACAGTACGATTTGGCATTCATTAACCACTCATTTATCACGTACCACAATCTACATATGGCGACTGCAATTCCTTCCTTCCTGCAAAAAAGGTGCAACTGCATCACGTAACAGCGCAACCAATCTCGCACATTATACAGGGTGGTTTAAATGTCAGGTTACAATGGAAAATTTTTCAATGGGAAAAATTCGTAAATTTCCATTAGTTACGGATTTGCGATTGAGATTTTTATTAATTTTTATCAAAACTTGTGGAACACTGGTGACAAAATTCTTAAAATATTGAATTTCAGAGGCAAAATTTCGGTAACTAATGGAGATTTACGAATTTTTCCCATTGATAAATTTTCCATTGTAACCTGACATTTAAACCACCCTGTATATCGATATTTTTACCACAATTTACTTCTAACACTAACTAACTAACCATAATCTCACCAATAATAAATAAAATAAGAAACCAACAGGTAAACAAAATTAAGTAAGTGTAAATAATATCAAATACGGTCTGCATAAAACAAAACCACACACACTACTTTCTCCACCATCACACATTAAATGAGTATGATCTACCTTATAATTTAATATCTTAATCTCTGCAAATGCAGTTTGCAATTTTTGCACTCATAATCGCACAAAGCTTATGTTTGCAACACGAGGTGGCCGAACTACAAGACTTAATTAACTTCATTCATCACATTGGTCAGAATTACATCATGAATTTGATGGTACGCATGCACTAATTAAACAAGTCTTAGTTTCAGGAAGGAATAAAAAATTCATTTGGATTAAAATTCTCAGCAATTCACACGAATTTGCTAACCAAACCAAGAAAAAGGACGTAATAAATATGCGTGCAATACTATTTATTTGACACTTATGCACCAGAACCGGTGTTAATTAATTGTGATTTGCGTGGGATTATGGTTAAAACATGTCAAAACAATTAATACGGAAATGTATGTGCGAATCTTACTTATTGTTAGCAAAAATTTGCATATCTCAATATTCGCATTACAACATTGCCCCATTTCCAGCGAATGAACTCGCACCAAAAAATCCATGCCGGGTGCACATTTTGCACAACAATCAAGCAAACAAAAAGTGTGAGATTGTTTTGATCCAGAAAACGTAAAAACGAAAGTGGGCTTATCTTATCGCCATCAACTTATCCAATGAACGCATCTCTGCCCGTCGAAACAATTAATATTACGGCGACGACCCCACTCTCACCTTCGCTCTTATCCGGTCGTCGATCACCTGCCCTTCTCCCATCCCTCCCACTCGGTCCTTGTCTCACGACTTGGACACCGGACCATCTCATCGCATCGTCCTTATCATCAAAACTCGTCTCTGTCCATTCCTCGTCCTCCCCACGGCTTAACTTTATCTCCAAAAACTTTACCTACGAGCGCATCTCGTTCGCCCAACTTGTCGCCAACTGCTGTAGCTCGTCGAATACGTTCTGGTACCTGCGTTCGCTCGGGGATACGTCACATTCTCGTTCCGACCTAGCCACCCATTTCCCCTCGTTAGCGGCAGAGCTCGATATTCCCCCACTTTTTTCCCCGGAGACATTTTTCTCCTCCGTGTTTCGCATTTCGTCTCCCTCTCTAGAACTTTGGACGCATTACGACACCTTGGATAACGTTCTTATCCAAGTCAGAGGGTCAAAGAGGGTCGTCCTTTTCCCACCGAGGGACGCAGACAAGTTGTACTTGGTGGGGGACAAGACCTCCGTTGTGGATTGGGAGGCGGACGATTTGTTAGAAAAGTATCCGAAACTTAGAGAGGTCAATTGCAAATTAACTAATTATTGTGTTGTTAGTTAATTAATTCATTGGTAATTGGTATATTTATCTTTTAGGTGACCAAGTACGAGGTTATTCTTCAACCGGGTGACGTCCTTTTCATTCCAGCGCTCTGGTTCCACTCGATAACAGCGATCGATTTTTCCATCTCGGTCAACCTCTTTTGGAAAAATTTGGACGGGGAGCAGTTCTACGATAAGAAGGATACGTACGGAAACAGGGACCTCATCCCCGCGCAGCTCGTAAACATTTAGCAACTGCTCATTATAATTGATTAACTAATCAATTCACGCTTTATAAATTATAATTATTTCTTTAAACAGGCGTTTAAAACGTTTGAAAAGGCGACGGCTCAATTAAAACAACTACCACCGGACTACGAGGATTTCTACTTGCGTCGTATGATCATCAATATTCAAAAGAGATTGGATACGTTAAAATCTGAGGAGGACAATCAAAATAGTGACGACAGGGAATAAATATATCAGAAATTTCGGCCAAAACCAACATCATCATGTCATCGTCCCAAAACTCTTCTTGTAGTGAAAATAATGATTTGAAGAAGACGCATCCCGGCCAGTATTGGCGTGAAATGAAAGGTGACCAAACTCGTGACTTGGCACTGATACATAATTGGTCCCGTAAATAAATTAATATTTTATGTAATTTACAGAACGATGTCGCACTTTCCTCACGCGGAATTGTATCCCACAATTCGTCGCTGTCTTGGACGACAACACCTTCAACAAGGCCCACTACGCCATCAAGGTTGAGTAAGTGGGAATCCACCCAACTCTCATTTTAATTTCAAGTTTACTAATTATATTTAAATTGTTGATTATAGTTACTTGACCCTGTTCGGAGATGCTCCCTTCGTTGGGCAAGCCCTTCTCCAGACTCCTCTCAAACTTTTAGACATTTTTGACGCCGCGGCACGACGAGTTCTCACCGAAACTTTTAAATCGCGTGACCCTCCCCCTGAGACTTGCATCCCATCGCCCAAGCTCAACCTACACGTGCGGATCCACTCGCTCCCCATCTGCAAAACCCTGACACGCTCAGTCTTCCCATCGGCCAAGGAATCTGGGGACTTTCTCTGCCTCTACGGATCCGTCATCCGCGCAGGGACCAACAAAATCCTCGAATACGCTCAGTGGTTCGAGTGCTCACGGTGCAAACAACTTACACGCGTTGAGGCTCCTCCTTCCAGAAATTATGCGTACCCAAAGACCGCTTTGTGCCCCAATCTCTGTCCCAACGCGAAGGTCACCCCGGTCAAAGAGGGCACCGTCGACCAGGCTGAGCCCGTCCACAAAAAATACCGTGACTACCAAGAGATCATACTGCAGGAACAAATTCACAAAACGGAGTGCGGTGCGGTACCCAAAGTTATTGATGTCGTATTGGAAGACGATCTAGTCAATGCGACCAAACCAGGGGACGACGTGACCATAACGTTAGTCTTATCTAGTATTTACTAAATAGTATTTGGATAATTATAAATTTTATTTTATCTCATATATAAATACAGGGGCCACCTTTACCTTCGCTGGAAATCGGTCAAGGATGGGCTCCGAGCAAAACCTCAGCTCGTCTTTAAAGCCAATCACGTCCAGGTATGTGCATTACTTGGCCTTTGACATGTGTACACTTTTCACCATAATTTACCACTATTTCCTCCTCAGGTGAACAATGATCAGCGCGCCTCCCTCGTTTTGTCTGATGATATGCGCGCCTTCTTCACCAGTTTTTGGGACTATTATAAGGACAGCCCGTTCGAAGGGAGGAACATAATCATTTCGTCATTCTGTCCCCAAGTGCGTCATAACACCACAAACTAAATAATTACTTGAGCAAAATATAATTCTCCTTTTCTGTCTGTTCCAGATTTATGGCATGTACATTGTAAAGTTGGCCTTGTGCATGGTGCTGGCTGGGGGAGTGTCAAAGACCGTGAGTGGGAGTCGGATTCGTGGCCAGTGTCACATGTTGATGGTGGGTGACCCTGGCACGGGCAAGTCACAACTGCTCAAGTACGCCGCCAAGATTAGCCCACGTTCCGTCCTCACCACCGGAGTGGGTAAGAGACCATCACATTCAGAATTATTGGCATAGTCGAGTTTATTAATTAATGATTATCTTAAAGTATAATTAGTGCGGATGAGGAATATAATTATCAGAAGTAATTAAACATATTTCTCTCTAGGAACCTCTTCTGCTGGATTGACCGTGTCTGCGTCCAAAGTAAGTACGACAATTTTATAGTTTAGAGTCGCGTATCCTCCAAGTCTGGGGATTCTTCTCTCCCTGCAAAATAGAGTCAATTAATTCTCACCCTATTAAAATTGTATTGCCTTTGCACGTACTCTCAGTATCTCTCAAATTCACGTGCTGCTGCTGTTGACTCTTTTTGTTCATGCTTGATTTAAGTGCGGATTTCCTTCCCCCAGAAGAAGACGAGGCTGAAGAAAACAATCTCAAAATCAGAACATAATTCTGTAAAATTCTGTATATTTCTGCCACCTTCTCGGACCCGAATGGCTTCCAACGCTTGTCCAATTTCGTCCCTATTTCTCCCCGCTTCTGCCTCCATCACCATTCTCGCTATTGCCAGCTCCATCGCTTCCGATACGATCTCCTCCGCCCGGCGACGCGTCACTTGGTCATTCTCGTCCATTTTTAAGATTGCACAATTTTCTAAATTTCCTCTTCCTCTCCAGGACACGAATACAGTACGACAACTCGCCTCAAGCTATTTCGCTAGCTGTGGCTGTAGCTCTTTTTCCTTTGTGATCTGTGTGTCAATCCTCACCACCACTATAAAATCCAGTCAGCCCATTAATTCCTCACCTCTTTTTATTATCTTCTCCTCGCAATCAACTTGTTTCAGGCAACATTGATTTCATAATAATATAATATTTTATGTCTCTCTCTCTGGCTATCTCACCACCCCATCGGCATCATCATCATCATCACCACCATCACCTTGTCAATTTAATGGTGCTCTCTTCCCTCCTGCGAGAGGAGGATGATGATTGATAACTAAATAACCCTAATCGTTTGTTCGTGGTGCGTGTCGGTCGTGTCAGTTTTCTGTACAACATGGATTCTTCGTTGTGCTGCATGTCACGATTGTAATAATTGTGATGATGGCGTCATTTTGCTACCTTTATGTAAATTAGTCTGGTTAGGTATGAATCCATGTAAGGCAATGTATTTAATTGCATGGTTTTGCAGGACAAGGGGGAGTGGCACTTGGAGGCGGGGGCATTAGTCTTGTCGGACGGTGGGGTTTGTTGTATCGACGAATTTTCGTGCATCAAGGAGCACGACCGCACCTCCATCCACGAAGCGATGGAACAACAGTCCATCAGCATCGCAAAGGTGAAATTTTGGCGTAATTTTGAATTTCGTTTTCCCGAAAAAAAATATAATAAAATGAGTTGAACATTGCAGGCCGGGATTGTGAACAAGCTCAAGACGCGCGTCACTGTTCTGGCGGCGACCAACCCGAAAGGCAAATACGACCCGGAACATCCCCTCCATCTCAATATTGGAATCGCGTCCCCGCTCTTGTCCCGCTTTGATATCGTCATGGTCCTTACAGACGCGGAGAATGACGACTGGGACGAGTAAGATGACGACTTATCTAACCAAGAATTTGTCAAGACACTTACGGGACTATTTATTTATAGGTTCATCACGGATTTTGTTCTGTTCGGGCAGGAAAAATTGAACACTGCGCTGCAATCCGCCAGTGATTCGTGGGACATGGACAGATTGCAGACGTACTTGGTCATGGTCAAGGTATGAAGGAAGATCGGAGTGAATTTATTATAGTCTGACTTTTTGTGTCGTACTACTTTAGGAACTTTCTCCCATCCTGGGAGAGGATGCGGCCGAGGTTCTCCACTGCTACTACATGTACCAACGTGGTCTTGTTGATCGTGACAAGTCCCGCACGAGCGTTCGTCTTCTTGAAAGCCTCCGCCGTTTGTCAGAAGGTCACGCGAAGCTCATGTGTCGAACCACGGTTACCATTCATGACGCGATTACAGCTATCGCACTCACTGAGGCGTCTATGCAATCCTCCACGATGGTGGGACCCACATCCGGACTGCACACTGCATTCCCTGTTGACGCTATGCAAGAGTATGAAGAGCAGGTGTGTGATAACACAACAATTATTGATTGGTGAATTGAGTGATTAATTAATTATTAATTAAATGGTTATCTATTTTGTTCAGGCTCGTTTGATTCTGTCCATTTTGGACCTGCCCCACCTCTGGGAGAAAGAAAGTGCTGTTCTAGCCCAACTCAGGATGAAAAACGCGGAACGAAAGCCTAATGGATTCTCATTGTCGCAACAACGTCCCTCCACCTTTGCAAAGGCTACCGCTGCTGTTCCTGCTCCTCTGATATGCAAGTCTTCCTCTATTCGGTCTCATCCCCCACAAGCAGTTTTAGCACCCCCACCACAAATTCTTAACCAAACAGAAGAAAAAACTCCCGACCAAGAAGAACCACCACCACCTTCTTCCCCACCAAAGAAACGAGCTCGTCACAACTCTACTTCATCGTCTCGATCATCATCCCCTTGCCCGTTCGATGACGAGTTTTCCTTCTTTTTGAAAAACAACAACCTTGGTGGTGGAACAAAAAGCGACAATATATTCGGCGACGACAATGACGAGAACTTAGAGAACGAATCAAGGGACTCTACTCCTCCTAAAACCACAAAGTTGCCACCAATCGGTCCCACACCGAAAAACAAACAAAAAACCAACAATTCTCCACAACCACGACAAAATTCCAGCAAACGGAAAAATTCGGACCCATCCATTCCAGACTGTGCCACCCCCGCCTCCGCCTCTCGAGAACGGGTGCTCAACAAACTCGGTAAATTCAAGAGACGACGCCCCCTCGTCATCAGCGACGACGAGGATGACGACTAGTATTGATGTCAATGTCGATGTTTTTTTTTGTGATAAGCTACACACGACCTCCATTTTTTATTACTATATGAATTACCAGTGTTTCTCCAATGTTTAAAATCAAATTCTTCAAAGAAAATTAAAAATCTGTTTATTCCAAAATTTCTCTCGCTCGTTCGCTCCTCACTCTCACTCTGTCAAGTAACCTAAGTTTAATTGCTTACTTAATTCAATCGATAACATGTAATAACCTTTTCACAAGTTTAAATAAATACTAGAAGAAGAACGAAGAAGGGCGATCAGGGATCAATAATTAATTAATTATTGAAACACAGCACAGCTCGGAGTGTAGTAGTTTATCACGGACCGATTATTATCGATCCGGTATTCATTACAAATCTAAATTAAAGCTATGTATGTACCTTCGGTTTGATTTTCAACCTTAATTTTGCACATTGATTAAATTCTTAGTTACAGAGTCCCTTACATTTTAACTATCCACATATAAATCCCATGCATCATTTACACCACAAATACTAGACCATGGTTGAGTGGGGGGCTGTATTTACAGGGAATGACGACAAGTACTTAGCATTAATTAACAAACGATAAACAAATAAAAACAAAACATGGTAATAGCAAAATAGTTGATTGGATTGACTATTTCAAGTATTATTCACCTCTCATCTCATTTATTTTCATAATAATACCCTAAATTTTTGGAACGTTTCGCTTCCTCTGCTGTTCTCGTTAGAATGAATATATGGATTACAAAAAAGCCCTATAAAAGTTCTCCGTCATCATGTAAGGGAGTAGTCAAGGTGGACGTAGATTTGCCGGACGCCCACCCCTTGGAAGATGAGTTGAGCTTGTTGCGTCAGGTAGCGTGGGTCCGCATTCCTCGCCACCTCCAATTTCACACTCCCCACGAAAAAGTCGGAGCATAAGGTCCAAAAGTGCGGCTCTTGGACAGAGTAAACACCCTCGAGCTGCATCAACCGCTGGTAACAAGACGGCAGCTGCGAGTCCAACTCACGTGGTTGACGTTGCATCAAGATCAGGACAGAGTCTGGAGAACAAGCAACTTGTTTAATTAATTCCACCTCATTTAAAAAATGTTATGCTACTTATTACGCACCCTTGATCAAACTTAGCACGGAGAGCGAGATGAGGATGGCGATGAACATGGAGCAAATCGGATCTGCAATCATCCAGCCGAACGCCCACATGAGGATAGCGCTCACAATGACGCCAACCGAGCCCAGCGTGTCAGCCAGGATGTGAAGGTACACGCCTTGCATAATTTGACTGTTCCTCGAGTCCACTTCTGGCCCTGGAGCGCCGTGAGAGTGACCGTGATTGTTATCGTGGGAATGGCCGCCTCCATGCGAGTGACCGTGACCCCCACCTAATATCATGATGATTAGAAGATTCCACTGCGACTAATTAAGAATTAATTAGCTACACACCATGTGAATGTCCATGCCCATGCTGGAAGGCAAAGATGCCGATCAAATTGACCAGAAATCCCAACACGCTGACGACAAAGAGTCTCTCGTGCTTCACCTCGGGCGGCTCGAGAATCCTCTCAACAGCTTCGGAAAAGATGAAGAAAGCGATGAAGAGGAGGAAGAGCCCGTTCACGAACCCAGCCAGCACTTCGGCTCGGACATAGCCGAAGCTAAACTTGTCATTCGCTCGCCACTTGGTTATCACCTGTAAATTAATTCAAATAATTAAGCTGTCCTTAATTAAGAGTCTACTTGAATAGGTGGTTATCTACTCACGGAGGCGATGAGGCCGGCGAGTAGACCAGTGCAGTCGAAAAACATGTGGAACGAGTCCGAAATGAGGCCGAGGGAGTTGGTCACGACGCCGTAAAAGAGTTCGACGAACGCGAAAGAGAGATTGAGGCAGAGGAAGAGGAGGAGATTTCGCGAATTTTTATCCGCCCAGATGAGGCGCAACCAAGCCCCAAACTTTTCAAAGACGCGGATTCGAAACTTGGAATTGAACAGTTTCCCCGTCTCCAGATCGCCATTGTTGTTGTGGAGGGGGAGCATTTCACGCGACACGCGAACCCTGCTACAACAAAATAAAAATAAAGTAAATAATAATCCCAAAAAAATTAGGAATGCCATCAAAAAACATATTCCACTGACTCGAACTGTACTTCGCCGTCTCGTCGTCACTTTCGTCCTCTGAGGGAGAGAATCCGTGCAGCAAATCAGATCAAATCTGCGAGTAAAATCAATTAACAAATTAATTAAATCATACTTAATTAATTGTTGACCACACCCACTAAATCCAAACTGTCAAACTATAACCTTACTTTTCTCTAAACTACCAGTTGCCCAACCCCCCCACACACGTCTCCGTTTCCTCCTTCTGGTACTGGCCGAATGAGAGGCTGGGCGTGTGGGTGTGGAATGCGAGTGCTGGGGGTGTGGTTGCTGAGGGTGGAAGGTGACGAACTGCGGCCGCCTGTCGCTAACTAAATTCTTCTTCCTTTGATTTGACTCACCTGCTGTCTTGTTTCTCTTCTGTGGTGTTGGAATCGTTTCAAATTTCGAGCCAGGCTCGCTCTATGGCGATACCACCACCCACATCCGCCTCCAATTTATCGAGATGATTGATCAAGTAGTGTCACGACGAAATGAGACGAACAATGGGAAAATTGTCACTTTTTTGATGAGACGATATCGAGCAGATAAGATAAGCTACCAGGTAAAGTATGTAAGAGATAATCTCACAACCGCCACCATACCATACCACCACCACGAGTTAAGCACGTAAATTCAATCCAGTCTCAAATTCCTCGTCTCAAAATCTCATCTTGCCCATAATAATCTCACTTTAGTTGTCTCACTTTTCCCAAAATCTCACTTTTCTCACAACTCCGTTGTCTCACATTCTCCTCAATGTTTCCTTGCATGCCAACAACGCAGCATTCAACTTTTTTCATTCAGTGCCCTCTAAAACCTGCCATGTTTGATCCCTTGCCAAGAAAATTTGTGTTGATGATGACAACGATTATGTCGTCTCATCCATCTCTCTCACTTAACGGCTGCCTGCACGCCGAGCTTGCGTGAGTGTGTGCCTCTCTTCGTGATCATCCAGACTTTCTCTCTCATTCCATCCATGCCTTCGGACCAGATTGGATCGATTCGTCCAGAAAGTCGTCTCACTTTCTCCACCAGACCACCACCACCAACTGCTGGCTGGACCACCACCACCACCACCACCACGAACCAGTCTGCTTTCTCTCTCTCTCCCAGTGTGTACTTTCTCTTCACTTCTTCTTTGCCAGTTGGGATTCAGGATTGGGTGACCCCATTCTTCCTCCGTGAGTGCTTGGCCCACTTTCTCTCTCTCTCTAAAATCACAACCTTACACGCACACACCCCGTGCCACCCGCTTTTTCAGCACCTACGTACATTCTCCCACCTCCTGATTCGTTACACCCACCACTAATCTTCCTCCCTTCCTTGCTCACAATTATTTTTAAGCTCAGATGGTGAAAATCTTCACCATTTTCTAACTAGTAGAAATAATAATCGATTTCAACATTTTTCTATAAAAATATTACGCTCCATCCATGTCGTCATTTGTGGCGATAAGACTCGGAGGCGTCGTGGTCGTGTCGAACTAGTTGTTTAGTGCTCATAAATACATACTTACTCATGTATAATGTCGTACTACTACCCGAGCAACCCGACCTTGACGACGCACCACCCCCACTACCACCACCACCATCACGACTACGACCACCAGTACGATAACAATGACGTGGCCACACCCATCCACCCCCCGCATTCGACCTTCTCCTGGGAGGAATTACCCCACAAAATCGTGTCCGTGTTCAGGCAGGCGATCGCCACCAATCTGACGACCTCGTCCCACCCGCACCATCAGCACCACCAGCATCACGATAATAATCAACAAACTGTTTTCTGGGATTTGGACCTGAACCGGATATCGCGACGGGTTAATCACGAGTTCTTCCCGCATGCCGTCGGACCTCCGCCGTTCGCCTCGATCCACATCGTCCACTTCATCCTCGTGAGTACAGTAGTAGTAGAAATGTGTTAGAGATAGGGGAGAAAATTCGAAATTTGAAAATTTCTGGTCAGTCTAAAAAAATTTGTTTCCTAATTTCCGAATTTCCCACCCTCTTTTTGCCACCCTGGGATAATATTGTACAAAAGTATGGCATCTATCATCATATGCACGAATTTTGAAAATTTTCAGAAATTTTTCCACTGCAAATTCTGACCACGATTTTGTTAGAATTGACGTCGTCATTTTTTTCACTTTATCATCGACTCACTAACTACAGCATTCTCTACTCTTATTCACTAACTTAATTAGTCGAAAAGCACGACCAGCTTTTCTCTCACTCGTCTCGACAACAAAAACGAGTGAAAGCAGAAGAGAAAAGGATCCGATTCTGTAGTAAATTCTCGTTCGCTCGCTACTTTCTCTTCTCTCAGACGGCGTGACTTTCTCTCCGCGGAAAATAATGCGGATTGCAGAGTAGAGAAATATGTGTACGAGACGACGAGAATGCATGCACGACTACGTGGCTGGAAGTAGAGTGAAAGCAGATACAGACTCCAGTTTTATCCAGATATTTCCAGTTTTCTCTGGCCAAAGCTCCCTTTACCTTTCACAACTTTCTCTCCCTCCTCCTCCTACACTTTGGACGACTTATTGGTAATGAGATGCCCTCATTTTTCTGCATCTCTCTCCTCCACCCCGGAATTTGGCTCCTGTCCAGCATTTCCCACTACGAACGAACGAGAAGTATATCACCATCAGTCAAGAAACGATAGGAACGATTCGCTTCCTTCTTTATCCCAAACCAATTCTAATCCAATCCAATAACCGCAGTGAATCGATTTTATCGGTGGAAAACGACGTAGTAACTACGTCCTAAAATAAATGGGATGATACCTTGAAAAGCCACGAATGTCACCCACCAAAACTAATAAGGACCACCTTTAACTGATTGATTTGGATTACTTTGTCGCACGCAATCCTTTCCTATTCACTGCATAAAAGCCAAAAATAAGGGAAGCTCACAATGTCACGTACACAATTCTCCAAATTTTTCATGAAATTCTCCCCGTTTATAAATTACATATGTCCATCCGCGTAAAAAACTGGTATACAATTTCTGCAAAAGTTGGGATAAATGGGTCATTAAGGCTTTCATCACGTCAAATTGCACATTTTTCAACTAAAAGAACATTTGCGAAATGGCGAAATGGTGAAATTTTTATGAAAAATGCATTCGACGGAAATCCATCCATCCATCCAGTCACACTCGAAATGTCAAGTATTCTTTCTTAATAGCGTGTCACCCACCTGGACGGATAATCGATTCCGAACGAGCACACACACCTCAATTTCCTCCTTTCCATTTCACCTCCTGCTTTCCCTAAACACTCTAAAAATTAACGCAAATATACATACCCCAAAAAATTTGCATATTTTTTTTCACACCTACTTTCTCTCTGTCACAGTTATTAGGCCTGCTGGTCGGTCTGGTCTACCTGCTCCTCGCCCTCGTGTACCACACGATGCAGAAGATCCGCGCCTTCTGCCCCGCGCTGCCCTCGTTCAAGCGGAAGAGCAAACGCGACCGCGGCCGCTCTGATGTTGAAAGTGGACCGCCGAAAGAACTTCCCACACCGGAAGTGCTCGAAGCACGGCGACAAGAACGGCTCTCCTTCCTCCAGAAGGAGTGTGATCATTTGGAAACGCAGCTCACAGGTGAGAATGAGTCCATAAGGGTGACGACGACGAGGTTAAAAAATAACTAAATTTTCACGCTAACTTGGGCCAGACGCGCTCTCTTCTTTACGAATTTTAGCCGAGAAACAGACTTCGCTTACGTCACGGGCATCAGATTCGGATTTAGAATATCTCGGGTATGCAGATGAGGATTCGCCACCCCTTAAACGTGAGTAGCATTGTGGAATTAGTGAAATTTTGAGACAGATATTTTCTAAAAATTTCAATTTCTACGCTGATTTTTCAAAGTAAGTTTTCACTTAATTTCCAGCGTAGTGTGTCGCTGGGTGGAAATATTTTTTTGAAATTTTACGCATTTCCTAAAAAATTGCTTCTTGACTGCTAATTACTAATACATTTTTCTCAATTTAAGGCAACTCCATCTCGCTCCAAGACATTCCCCAGTCCGTAGTCAAAATCAGGCGAGAAAAGCAGCTCCGCCAACTAAAAGAGGAGATTGAACATTTACACGCTCTCAGTCAGAGTCAAGACTTGGATAAAGGTATGAAACCACAAAATCCCCCCCCCAGAAATAACCCCCATCACTAAATTTTCCCCCAACTTTCCAGATCCGGGACCTCTCTCGTCGCGCAGCCCGCTCTTGAAAGATCTCCATTTCAACTATCCAATTCCACGGAGTAAGTCGAGCTCCCCTTCACCGGTGGATTCTGGTCACATCATCACGACAGGTCAGTCAATTAATGCCTCCCCCCCAATTCCCGTAAAATAATTTAAACCCCCTCCCATTTTTAGAACATCTCTCCCAGCGGATCTCTCATCTCAAGGCGCAACGACGCCTCCAAGCACTCCGCACCGATTTGGAAGGCCTCGCCTTGCATCTCGTCCACTCGGATGACATCAGAGGTAATGCGTCTCTCGTCTAATTAGCATATATAATTTGCATAATTGTATGAATTTCAATTTCCAGCCAAAACCTCCTCTCTTCAAGACCTCCCTCGCACGGCGTTAGGCGCCAAACGACACAAGGAGTTGCTCACTATCGCCAAAGAGATTGAACACGTCAAGTCGTACAAGTTGCAGCAGAAGACGATCCTCTCTGCGGGTAAGAAAGACGCATTTACCTTATCGATAAGTAGGTTATCATCATGTTCTTATCATGCTTTCCAGTCCTACCTCCCCCAAAGCCGAATAAGGCCGAAATCACGGCGCAAGTCCTGGCCAAACTGAATCAAGACCAGGCCACGACCGTCTCCTCGTATCGAAGTCCGACCCTGGCCAAGAAGGAAATCGCGGCTACGACGCCATCCTCCATCACGTCGGGCGGCCCACTCCAGCGGCAAACCAGCACCGCCGAGTCGGTCAACTCGGTGGCGACGAATCCAAATTCTAATAGTGGCGACACGGCGTCGATCACCACGTCAGCGTCGCTGAGACGAACACGTGCCCAGGAGTTGAATCGGGTCAGAGTGGAACTCAAAGAGCTCTCGTATAAGCTGAATCTCAATTATGTGTTTGATGGTGAGTTGATAAGATTGAGGTTATCGTGAAGAAGTGCTTATCTGAATTTTTTTATTTTTAGTTGAGGGCGACAGAGAGAAAATCTTCCCAGCCGACTGGCCCAAACAGTGCTCATTCTCGAAGGATTCATTCAAGTAAATGCGGACTGGAAATTCTGATCGCAAATAATTAGTAAATGCCTCCCCTGTTAATTAATTAATTATTTGCCTGCACTACGAACCCTGCTCAAGTTGAGGTACTGATTGATTAATAGTGCTACTTCATAATTCTACTCCAAAATAGAGCTCAGAAAATTTTTCTTTTCTGAGAAAACGTATACCCTTTTAGAACAGAAATTTACAATCGCAAAAACCGACCGTGTCCTATTTACGTAGATAGAATTTCATAGTTGGACGATGTCACGCTATGTACAAACCACTGCCAATATTTAGAATAAGTAGATAACTTCGTCCCCAAAAATTGCAAATTTTCCCATCGCCAATTAACTTACTCAAAGTTTTTGCATGTATATATGTATATACAAGTAAAAATTTCTGTGAAATCCACCTGCCAAAAATTGGCACATTTTTCTGCAGAACGTATCTGTGATCTGAAGTTGGTAGTTTCTGCTGGAAAATTGTGTCTGCAGGACAAAAATGATGCACATTTTACGTGAAATAAAAATTTGTACAGACAAATTTATGCAAAATTCTGCAGAAAAATTGGCGAATTTTCGGCAGATACACAGATTTTCATACGGGTTATACACCACTACTTAAATAATCGAAATTCCAAAAGTAATAGAATCGTCTGACGAAACCCTTACTGGACTTGAAAATGATGAGTGTATCGTATCATGTGTACCTCATTTACCTTATTATGTAAATACATATAACCACTACTGGAAAGTGGGTATATAGAGATTATTATTCAGAATAGAGAGATGATTTTCTCGCTGTTACATACCTTCCTAGCGTATTTTCTAGTGTTCATCAGTCCTAAAAGAAAAATCGACGTGGCAAAAATTGGTGATTTTTTTCTGCAAAGAGACGCGCAAAATTCTCATTTGCATACACTTTTAAAATGTGCAAAATTAATTCTGTCGAAATACATATTAATTCTGCACGTCCCTACCGCAGAAAAATGTGTGCATTATCGACACGTCGATTTTCCTCCTGGTATAATTACTTAATTGTGATAAAATATTAACCTTACAATTAACTGTTCAATTTTCCATTTAATTTAACTAAAAATGCAACGATTAGAGTAGGATCATAAAAATTCTAAGTCTCCTAAACGGTAATAACATAATAATAATCCTGGAAAACGAAGGTTGTGAGTTTCTCTGTTGAAACGCTGGAATCTAATTCTATAATCCATATGCCTACTTAATTCATAACTAACTAAATAATTACTACTAAAATTAACTGTTACAATTAATCCCAACAAGTAAATATAAAAGTGTTACAACGACCCCACCCAAAACAAATAAATAAATAAGCCCATCAGCAAACAAACAAATATCCAAATCAGTCGCATTTTACTAAATATTTATTCCGTTTTACGGATCACCTCGCGTCAAGTTGAGTCGGGATTAATTGCGGTGACAGTTTTTCTGGTCACCCAAAAAGTGGAAGGTCGGCATCCACTAACGAACCGTCTCCCATTTCTAATCACCGATTGATTGTGTATTGATGGCTGTCGTAAAAGTGTAACATGCCGCGGCTGCCACTGTCGTCGTATTCTGTGTCCCTTTTCCACCCTATCTCTGCCACCATTTAATTGTTTCCCTTCTACATAATCACCACCCATGATGCCACTAATCTGTAAATCTGTCTCTTCTTCCTTGTGACCACTACTGTGCGTGGGTTCTCGTCTCCTTGTCATGTCCTCGTTAGTTAGGGATAGAGGTGTGCGAGGGTCTGATTTTTGAAAACCCTACCCTAGATTTTCCATGGGTATAAATACCCTACCCTACCCGACCCTAAGAAATATTTACCCTACCCTACCCGGAGGGTAGGGTAGGGTATATTTTCAAGAGATCTAGGGTCCGGATCTCTTGAAGTACCCTACCCTACCCTACCCTACCCTAGAATTTTTTGTATGTATATAGAATAGAATGTCCAATAGAATTATAGAACAACGAGTTTTGACTGACGGAACACAGTCGACATTCTGTAAGCTATAATACAAATTATTAAACAAAATTTGATATTAGCTTCAACATAACTCACAAGTTCCTACGTCGGCGACGACCATATATTTAATTAACGAAATGCACACCGAATTGAACCAGTCATTCTCACTTCAAGAATAACACAGGACCGACAAAAGTAAACTTATGCTATATAATAAGTTTCATATTTTATTCAACTAATTACAGGATAATCCAAGTCGGAATGTATGTAAGTGTCAAGTGTATGGACATGGGCAACATCCAAATGAGCAGTTGAAAGATATTAGTTTTATTCGGTTGTAAACTTGTCGAGTAGACGATCGGGGCAAGGAGAAAAATTTTCATTGAAAACCCTAGCTAGGGTATGGAAAAACCCTACCCTACCCTAGGTTTCGTAAGATTACAAATACCCTACCCTACCCTACCCGAGCAATTTGGGTGCCCACCCTACCCATACCCGGCCGGGTATGGGTAGGGTATGGACCCGCCAGGGTAAATCCATACCCTCGCACGCCTCTAGTTAGGGAACTGTAATACAAAGTCGTGTCAACCAGGGCGACTTTGCATCTCTCGTCCTTATCGCTATCGGAATCGTCGTTATTTCTCTCTTTAATTGCTCCTCCTTGGCAATAATGTCACCCAGAAGAGATCACAAGGAACAAACCACCTGGGTCGTCCGGTTTCTTTTTAAGGCACGCACATACTTTGCTCTCCTATCGAGAATCGAGGAGACCAGGATACCACTGGTCACATTTTTCAGATATTTATTGTCACAAAAACAAGTGATTCATTATACATTTGAAACAATTCCTGTGCAAACTTGTCCCCAGGAAAAAAATTAAACTAACAATGGAGGTCTCCAAGCGTATGAACTCCGATTTTGACGAAATTAGTGCCAATCGATAATAAATTTAGGAAATATGAAATTTGCAAATGACACAATCTCCCAATGGGCATGTTTGGAGAGATATTTGCATCCGAAGAGAATAAAACGCGCAGTAAATTTAGAAAGCGTAAAATTTATCAACTTTAAGGCGCGTTTTCTCCTCTTCGGATGCAAATTTCTATGTAGATCGTGTCATTTGCAAATTTCACATTTACTAAATTTATGATCGACTGACATTAGTTTGGTCAAAATCGGAAAGCATACGTTGGGCGACCTCCATTCTAAGCTCTTCTTGTTGAAAGGAACTTTTCGTCATTAAGTGCACCACCGTCCATTGGGGGGGGGGGACCAATTATCGTGTCACCTGTTCCCCTCAGTCTTTCCTCCTCTGTACCCTTACTCTCCGTCCCTTCAATTTCCTTCCCCGGAACGAAAAGGGCTGAGAATTATTACTTATTATTGACTGAGGGATCTTCATCTCATTGGAAGAAAGGGTCCCTTCGTCGTAGTCTTGGTCGTCGTCATCATTATTATTTATTACTGCTGCCCTTCTCTCTACGTTCCGTATTATTATATTATTACGGACGGGGTCGGAAAAAAGAAGAAGACATTACTCCTCGCAACCACCTTGGCTTCATGAAATGATGGGATTTTAATGTGGCATCTAAATTGCTATGTCTTCCTGTCTCATGTCAGTCAACCCTTTCGAAGCAGCAAACCTACCTCAACCTCATCTCGTCACTAGCCCACTCGCTGTTCAACTTTCCTTGTAAAATATCTACGAAATGAAGCCGAAGAATCGGCAAAGTAGATGATTTTCGCATAAAAATTCACACATGCACCTGCCAAATTTCTGTCTAATTCGTTTCGTACCAAAACAACTCTTGTTCTTTTTGGGGATAAAATTCTCACCTTAGTCGAAGAGAAATATGGATATGATGTGAAAAGTATAATATTTCTAGAACAAAAATATGTAATTTTCGCATAAAAATTCACACATGCACCTGCCAAATTTCTATCTGATTCGTTTCGTACCAAAACAATTCTTGTTCTTTTTGCGGATAAAATTCTCACCTTATTCCAAGAGAAATATGGATCTGATGTGAAAAGTAAAAATATTTCTAGAACAAAAATATGTACTTTTCGCATAAAAATTCACACATGCACCTGCCAAATTTCTATCTGATTCGTAACCCCGTACCAAAAAAATTCTTGCTTTTTTTGCAGAAAAAATGTTCACCTTTTCTCTCACAAATTGTGGCCCAGAATGACTGAATCTGAAAAGTAAAGTAAATATTCCCTGGACAAAAATTTCCAATTTTGGCACCAAAATTTCACAAACATCCATCTGCCAAATTTCTTCCTTCATAAAAATCTTAATTTTTGCCTATCCCAAAATCTCACTCTGATCTAAAACATGCGCCTTCCAAGAAAAATATGGATCTGAACTAAAATCTGTCTAGAAAAAAATAATGCTATGGGGAAAAATGTGGTGATTAAGTACAAGAAATGTGGTCTTATCCTCCCTTATGAAAACCCTTTGTCCCTTCATCCTCTAAAACTCCGTTGTAATTAAAGGGGCACAAAATTATTAAGTAAACACGACTCAAAGTGTGGGTCGCATCACTTGATTTCGTCTTCCTCCTCACCTTTCCATCCATGCATCCAACCAAGATAAGCAATTAGTTATCAGTACATCACCCATCCATCCAAACCCAAAGGCAACCTTATTCCCCATCCAACCACACTTCCCACCATCAAAAAACCCTTTTCTATAATAGGAAAAGCAAACAAAAAATAAAAATGGTCCACCAAAAATCAAGCGTCACAAAAATCTTTCATTATCATCAAAAAATCAACCCTTTTTTCAAATCCATCCTTACAAAAACCAACAGCCCGAGTTTTAACCGAGTTCTTTTTTTGCAGGATTATTATTAATAAGTGTGATTTGTTCCATGTTCCGTCACAAGTGAGGAGTAATTCCATTCGGCTAATTACACATCAAAAAGGCCTTCCAACACCGGTACAGATGATGAGATTATGATACTTATTTCGGTTCAGATCACGTTCATTTGGGTGGATTGGATTTGGTGTGTATAAATTGTTGTGTGTTTTACCCCACTAATAACGTGGCCTTTTCCGGCCGGAGGTGCCTGTAATCACGAGAAGTCACGTGGAATGAGGGCAAGGACGGCGGAATGGTGGTGGGATAACATGACTTCAATGTTGATAAGCCCCTCCTACTCTTATCTGGTAATGATAACCCCCAAAATGCCGCACAATTTCGGATGCCAATGGATCCCACATCTCCAGTAAAGCACGTCCAATTTCTCCCAATTTCCACGCCAATCACAAAAATTCTACAAAATTCTACTACGATCAAAACCTATCAGATTCATCATTTTTTTTTCTCCACGTAAAAATTATGATGTTTCGATGTTTTCTAAAAAAATTGACACAAATTTCCAAGAATTTTATTAATTTCAAAATTTCCATTATGAATGAATTTCTTTCCCCTAATTCCTAATTCGTCGCCCTCCTTTGCTTTCTTTTATGCATATTGGACTGAAGCTCAACAACCATTAATAATAATGACAGTAATAATTACAGTAGTTAATTACTCTTGTCCTACACACACACACGTGTCCAATGTAAACGACACTATTACCGTCGTTTCAAATTAAGTCGGCCCATACAAAATCTGAAACCAGTCTCAACAAACAGCAGCGTTTCCCTTCTCGTAAATAATTCCATAAAAATGCCCATAATTTCATAAAAGTCGTAAATTATTTGTGCTCATCTTCACCAAATAAGTACAGACGACAAGGTATCATCTTCTTCAAAAAGAAGAACAATGCTACACAGTCAAATTTAATGAAAGGCTGAGAGACCAACTTAATCACTGATGGACGGACAATGTGCAAATATGTCGAAGGTTGCAAATTTCCCTTTCATTTTCATCCATTCTTTTACCAAAATGTCTGCAAATTCAAGTTTAAAGGCCATTCGCATAAGATCGTCGGTGTCGAAAAGTGTTAAATTCTACGTATGTATGTACATATTTTGTAAAATTGTCTATTTTCCCATCAATCTTTCATCCTCTCTGTGCCACTTGTGTCAGGGGAATGAATATCTTTAACCGGTATATCGCATCATGTAATCACTTACCAAACCACAAGCATGTTTTAATACGTATGTATGTACTTAAAACTCTAATTTTGTGGTTTCATGTTGCAGTGTGATTCAACTTTTATAGCGAAAAAACAGGATTTTTCTACACGTTTTAACTAAAATCATGCAAATTCGTCGTGTATCTTCTCGTTAATTTTCATAATCACTGTAAAACCTCCTCCTCTCACCAAATTAAAAAAAACAACAACAAGAATATATAAAAATAATATTGAAACTGAAAGTTTACTTTTTTCATGCATTTTTCGTGCCCAATAATAAAATAAAATAGTGTGCTAAAATGAAAAATATGTACTTTTTATCGCATCAAAATCTAAATAAGTATTCGTATAAAAATTAACCTAAAATTAAAATTGGTAATGAATGCTTCCCATAAAAATCTTTATATTTTTGGCTTCAAATCAAATCAAACAAAGTGAAGCCGTCCCAAAATAAATATTGTCACTTTCTGTCCTATGTCGTCATTTATTTCGTCGTGATTCGAATTTTAATTAAATTCTGTCTCGTCTCTTGACACGAAATGCACTTCCACAAAATATCTACTTAATTATCATATTTCTACATATGTTTAATAAATTAGTGTCAATTTTACCCAATTTTTTGTTTTGCCCCAATCCGGAAACGATGAGATGACCAAACATAATAAATAAATAATTTAAGTTATGAAAATTATTCACAATAACAAATCCATCAAAATAATACATTTCAATTTCAAGCAGATCACCAAAACTAAAATGGTTAACGTTCATTCTTAAATCATGTAAAGAAAGGTGCGGCTGTAAAATTGAGAATTTTTTCGCTTTCATTTTCATCTCATCCCACTAAAAGAAAGCACATAAATAATAATTAATTACGTGGAGATCACCACGTGATGAGAATGCAGGCTAATTTACGCACCTAAATAAGTTGTTTACTTATCAAAGTTTACGAGAATTATGTATATGCAATAATTATGTAACTATATGGTCACATACAATGGGTCAATTAAACTGTTTACATGGTCATTTTGTACTCAATTAGAATTAAACGTAGCTACATTTTAGTCATGCTGTTTTTCTCATCATCTGAGAGAAAGTATGTATGCGTACAATTTGGCGACGAATTTTGAACTTTTTGCCAATCAGGATAGATAATTTTCAACCTTTTAACTCTTCCAAAAAGTGGTGTTTTCCAAATTTATCAGCATCATCACACCTTTCAAGTAAGGAAGTCTAATATCCCATATATCATTCTGTAAATATGAAGGAAATCCCCATCTCAAAGTTACAAATATATGTACGAGCTGTAAGTTAAGTCTCAAACTGTAAGTACAACTTGAGACTTAATTGGTCTCCTCAACCGTCGACACCCTCACATCCGTCTGTCAAAGGTATCCCACAATTCTCAAGGCAACAATCCATGTACCAATGCGGCGGCTTACTTGTCACTCTCGATAACAATAATGCTTAATTACTGACAAATCGTAATAATAACTATTTAACAACTTCCTTCCGTTTTTGGCACAAATTGTCCCCCAGAAGAAAAAAAACTCTTATTTTTTATCATCCCTTCAAACCAAGTAATCAGTCAGAAAGAAAAACAAATTTAACTACCTACAAAAAATCTCTAATTCTAACATGACACGAAACATACTGTTCACAACTGATTCGCATTCATGCGAAAAAAACCGGTTATTTTTTCTAATCATAATCAGAGCCTAAACTGAAAGTCAAGAGTCATCTTGACTGAAAGTGATCTTCATCGAGAAGATGCGTAGCCAAAGCGCACAATTGTGGCCCTGTCATCATCATTAATTCAGAAAACTGATCCTCGTGCATCCTTATTTTTTAGCATAAAAACAATGCAACGGGAAGTTAACATCGTCTCCTTATCAGCCAAGGTTATCTCATCTCTGTCCCCACGACCAGCGACCCCTCATCTTCTTCTTCCACCCCCTCTCGTCTTTTTTATGGCTTAATTTCACTTTCAATTCCCCCAGTTACCTCGCAACTTGGGTCAAGTGCGGTCCGCAGTGCAAGTGGTGCAGCAGTGTGTACTCGTAGATAAACTCATCTAAATGTGGTCGTGTTAAAAATAGTGCGTCCTCATTTTTGAAGTTATTTTAAGAAACTTTTTTTTCTACGGAAAAAATGAGACTTTTACAGAAAATAAGACTGATGATTTCCATGTCACTCGTGGTACTCGGAGTTCTCGTCCTGGTCGAAATTTCCGTGGCGAATCCAGGTTTTCATGACCTCCACCACCATCACCACCACCACCCTCGACCCAGGTTCCTCTCGTCGCATGGGAAACTTAGTAAGTGTCTCGTATGACCCCGACATGACCTCGTGACCTTTCACTGTGCTCTTCTTTAGTAAAATTGTACGGGGATGGCTACACTTCGAAGGACCTCCTTTTCCCGGCCGCCTACGTGGAGCTGAAGTACCCCGTGTTGCGACATCCCAGGAAAAATACGCTGCCACACCACCACCATCACGACCACCCCCACCCCCACCACCACCACTATGTCACCACACATCCCGTCCACCACCACCATGACGACGATCATCATCACGACACCTTCGACCACATCGGACCACACGCCCATTCCTACGACTCGTTCGGCGAAGAGGACCCGCATCTCGGTAAGTTTTCAAAAAAAATTGTGTATGTGTGAGGCAAAGTGAGAATTTTATCTTTAATTTGTACAGGATTAGGGGCTCGTGTCGGTAGTGGTGGCGGTGGTCCTCCCGACAGTACTGTGACCTACACGAAAACCACCACCATCGAGAAGGACGGGACAGGTCACACTACAACCCGGGAGGAATGGGAACCTCCCATTTTCGAGGCGGGTAGTGGCAGCAGCTCGTCCCCGATCAGTTACGATAACGGAGGAGGGGAAGAAACCTACTCTTCTGGTGGGCTTGGATCTGTCAGCAGTGATGGGGACGTGGTCACTTTATCGGACGAGTCACCATCGCCTTATCCTCTCATTTCCGCCCCACTCGTAGAAAATTTGGTAGGCATCACTAAAGACGAAATCCCACAGGACCCAGTCCAACATCCGGCCTCCCCCGCTATAAAGATCCAACCGGTGGAGAAGGTCATCAAAAATGTGGCGCTGGAATCCTACATCTGGGTTCGTAGGGAGGAAGGGACGCCAATCATTAGGCTTACGCTGGACCCCGTGCGAAGGTACTAAATACTTGACCGCGTCCAGTGGCCGCGGAAACTTGAGGGGATAGTGGGACAATGTCCCCACGGTTATTCGATGATGATGTCCCCATCATCTCCCCATGTTATATAAACCCCTCCCTCCCCAATCCTACAATGTTAATGTCCCCACAGCTTCCACGGTCACTGGCCACGTCCACTCAAATTTCAAAAATTTTCACCATCTAAAAACTTTCCACAGGTCGACCTACTTCCTCGACGACACGCCAACGGCACGTCGAATCCATGTCGTATCGCGAGAACGCGTCTGCATTCAAGGTGCCCGAATAGATGGTCACACGGCGTCCGCGTCGCCATGTTCCGCGTCCCAAGATGACCCCCTCATTCAGTGGGATTTCGTGCCCATTCAACACGGCCAATACTGGATTCAGCTGTCCGGTTCGAACCACTGTTTGCAACCGGGAAGTGCCCTCACAGCGCCGAGATTTGTGGAAATGGCGCCTTGCGACTTGTACGAACCGGGTCAATTGTGGGAACTGGGGACGGTTCTGCCCTCGCCAACCTCGGCCGCGAATTCGCACCAGTTCAAGACCGGAAGTGGTAGCAAGGAGGTGAATAAAGGATGGACGAAGTAGAAAATGGGGAGAAAAAATCGCATAAAATTCTACAGATGCCAAATTAATTATAGTTTTTCATTTTTTTTGTTTCTTATTTATTTTCTCATCATCGACATTAAAATTATCACTGACATTAAAAAAATGTATAGAATTTTACTAATTTTCAAAGTTTTCGAGTCTGGTCATAAATTTGGATAAATATTCAAATTAAATGGTGTTGAGGGGCCGTTTATCCAGAAGTGGGTCAACTGCCGAAGAAGAACAGAAGCTACAAATTAGCCTAATTTCCCTACACGTCATGATTACACAGGTGAGAGGGACGACTTCAAACTCCCGTTAGAGACGAGCCATTAATTCCATTAAATCGAAATCTCCAAACTAAGGAGGAAATGCATCTCGTAGATTTTTAAGCTTGTGCCACGAGGCAAGAAGAAGTATGTCCATACATAAATATAGCCACCAATTCTCTCTTTAATCAAATCTATCATCATCTCCTCCTCCTCCCGATAGATAAATATAATATGGGGCGATGAAAGCTTGATAAGGACGGAATTGGGGCAACCACCAACCACCACAAGACACGACATTTCTAATCGCATCTCTTCATAAAAATAATACAAAAGCGATAACAAGCAAGATCATCGCTGAGAAAAGAATAAGTAGGTATGCATTTATTTATGTATCTCAAAAAATGTGGGGCAGGTCGGGCAGTCAAATCAAAAATAGTATAAAATTCAAGCTAATGTATCACTAAGTCCATCGCCGACTTCACATACTTAAATTTGTACGTATAAAATTGGACCAAATTAATCCATGAGACGATACGAACCATGTCATCATAATCATGAAATGACACCTTCTCTTCTCTCCTGGAGGAGGATTACTTTGACTGACGCGTCTTTTCCTGTCGCTCTTCTTCTACATATCGTGTCATCACTTAATCAATGAAACAGTAGGGGTTGAATTGAATCATTCTCCTTGCTGGACATTCAGAAATCTATAGCTCACACATCCATCCATCCATCCCCCATCCATCATGTTCCATGGACGCATTTCATTCAAGATTATCCCCGATTAATCCATCTCCTCCACATTTGTCCCTTCTTGATTTAATCACTTTTTCCTCGAAAATCTCCTCGTCATGTTGATGTTTTAGACGAAGACCCTGATCCATTCATCCCCTTGGATTAGATGATAATCCTTCCTTAACATAATTTCCTCCCCTCGACTGCTTGATTACCTTTCATTTATTTACACCTTTTCACCAAATTGATTCCCAGTCACAAATTCACTTTCAATTCAATCCTCTTTGTAAAAATTAGACTATTTTTACACCAAATTTCTTAAACCCACCACCACACCACCGCGGACACCCTTCCTCATTCTCCAACCATCAAAAACATCATGACGCCACACTTTCTTCTTCTTTACTAAAGAAGAATGGACAGGCAGAAGAAGCAGAAGCACTGATCTTGCTCAACAATGCGACGCCCTTGACTTTTCCAAAGAGGCGAGAGGAACAGGAACAATGCGAAGAAATTGATTATTTCTTTGAACGAACTGGGCTGGAAAATGTGTAAAGAAAATAATAATAAAAAAGGTGATCTCCATTTTTCCATTTTCAATTCAACAACACGCTTTCAATTTCAATTTCTTTTTACAAAAATGCTCAATCGTTACTCAGAATTAGGTATGTGGTCGGGTTAAAAATCAAAATGTTGAGACGGCAGAAGTGCAACGAGGGAGAGGAATTATCAATTTAGATATACATAGCTCGAGTGAGGCCTTATGAAACCTGTGTATATCTGTGTGCGTCTGTCTGTAACATGTACACATAACCATGTTAGATAAGCCGAGGTCGTGGATTTTTTGCACAATATTTTGGCAACAGTAGTTGAATCGCCGGACACAAGCTTAAACCTGACTCGGGCTTAACGAAATCTGCACTTTAGGTTATTTTTTCTACGTCTCGAATTCTAATAAAAATCCGGACCAAAACTTAACTCATTAGCACCGATACACACGTCTAGTTGGCATTTCAATGTTTTATGTCTGTAATGTAACAGAAGCGTGAAAATGTTTATGTATATCGCAATCAAAAATGTTACTGAATCTCATTAAACGCTTCTCTGGACTGGATTGGACCGGACTACCGACTCGTCTAATCATCCTCACCACCAGAATCACTGCCTAATTACCGTATCATTATTACCATTACAGAAAAATAGGTAAGTAGGTAGGTAGCTAAAAACAAATCCTCACGTAAAAACCAAAGCTTCTTCTAAATAAAAATCCACTCCAGAAAAGAATTAATCTTTCCAAGGCACACTTTTCTTCAGTTCAAGAATACAAAGAATCAGAATATCTGTACACTCACAAAAATAGAAAAAACGAAACCCATCCGTCCAACCAATCTCAAAAGTTCAAAGAAGAAGTTGACCACAACTTTTTCCATTATTATTTCAAATCCTTTCATCCTAAAAATCAACCCTACGTACAAAATAATAACATCCGTCACACGATGACCACCATACCACCTCCTCCTCGAACTCTCCTCTCTCTTTTCCACCGCACTTCATTGTTCCTCTCCTTAAAACAATTGCAAATGCCACCTGACGACCCCGGTAATAGATCTTGTTCCTCGTTTCCTTACCCATCCATCACACACACCACCGTCCAGTCCAAGATTACTTATTCCATCCCATGAAACTTGGTCATTAGGAGGAAACGAGGAGGAAACTGGACTGGACTGATTACACCAGGTAAGTTAACTTGTAGGTCAAAATTCAAAATCTTCTTCCATCCATCCATCCATCTCTGAGTGATTAAAGTCATCCATCCATCCGATTAGTATTCACATCTCGCCTGACCCACTTTCCACTTGTTTTTTATTCATTTCGTCCAGTCCAGCATCTCTATTTTTATTCGTCTCATTTTTATCCCTATTTTTATTTCGGGATGGACATGACTTTTGCTTCTGGCCAGGTAGTAGAAAAAGCCACCGGATTACATAGAATTACACTTCGTCCATCCATCCAAATCCGTTTCTCGTCTCTTTCTTCTTTTATTTCGTATTGTTTTGTTTCTGGTTGGGCTTCGTATCCGGATTTATTTATGAGAGTCTCGAATTTTCATGCGTTTTCCAATCCGACTCTGGTCTTCCTTCCTTCGTCACCACAATTATTATATGCTCACTACTGGACTGGACATATCTTATCTAAACAAAGAATTGGCTCCCCTTTTCTTCTTCGAGTTAGTTAGTTTTATTTACAATTGGACGCAATTAATGACCACAATCTAATCCTAATCAAATCCCTTGGTCGTATCAGTTTTCTTTTACTAATTTGTCCTCCGTTGTTCATACCCACAAATCAATCGGGTTCCGATTCCGAGAAAATTAATTCGATCGCTCAGCCAAAACCAGGACCACGTCCATTCATTATTCCCAGACTCCAATTTGTACATCTTCTACGCCCAGCCAGTTGGTTACATAAATATTTTTGAGAAGAAATCCGATACCTTAAGGAGATGAGATCCTTATGTACCGCAAATTGGACCCCTTCTTCTCCCTCCCCGCTGTCCAGGGATGATGAGGTCACACACCAGGGTCGCCTTGTGGTTGCGGTCTCTCTCTCTGCCCATCCATCCAAATCAGCACGAGCCAACTCCCCCTTATTACTTAGCAAAGATCTCAAAGAAACCCCACCACGACAAAAGACATCATAAATCACACTCCTAACCAACCGCAATAATCGTACAATTCCGCACAAAAAAAGAAGCGTCCTCCTCCTCGGGAGCTTTTCGGCACGCCCACCGGGTCGTCGTGATTGAGTCTCAGGAGTATTTCTGAATTTCCCCACTCCACGTCCACGTCCACCTGAGCTGCTAATTGCTTTATTACTTTTTAACTAACTAACTGCGCACAGAGGACACGATTCATCATCGAAAGAATGCAAGCCCTCCTCCCACCCAGCAGTTAATTGAATCGCGAGAGATTATCGGGACCCTTTTTTCGTGAAGAATTTCTTTTTCCATGTCAAAAATAATTTAAGGTTCTTCATTAACTAAAAGATCCGAGGAGTACATCTTATCTCGTGCTCGTTCAAAAGTTAGTTAGCCATCTTTGCTTGGATCAGGCATGTGAGTGAAGAGATAAACTGGTTCTGTGATCTTTTTCAGCAGTGGTGGTGGTGACATTGCTGGGCAGAAGATAATAAACTATGTACTGCGTACTTATTAGTGTGGCCACTTGGCCAGCAAATGTCACAGTCGTAAAGAAACAATCGCATTAAAAAGTTGACATCTCACTCAACTTTCGACTCCAGTCCGGCAGGAGTAGAGGAACGCCATAAAATGTCCCGTGGTGGACATGCCGCTGTCGTAAATCATCTCGCGAAACGATCATGATGATGATGATGACGACGATTTCTTCGTAGTTGCATAAAATTTCCACCTGTTCGAAAATCGAGGCAAAATTTATAATTTGTAAATATCCCCACGACGGCTAATTCCACGATTGCTTGACTTTTAGTGCCTAGTTACCCTAGGGAGACTAACGTTACCTAGATACTTAAAGTCAAGCAATCGTGGGCTAATTCATTGCATAAAATTCGAACAATGTTCCCACCTTTTGAAAAATTGAGCCAAAATTTCCTAATTTTGAAAAACATTCCCACCACCACCACTAAATTCTCTCTCATTTCTTAAATATTATTCATAGAGATCAGTATCAATATCGCATATCGGATCGATTATCTATTCCGACGGACCCCCACATTCCCAAGCAGCAGTGGATCTATCACCACCTCTGATATGCCACCCATCCTTCTGCTGCTCCAATTTATCAATGAATCCCAATGATTTTTAATAGAAAAAAGGGTTACTCGCATGCTGCAGCAGGTCATAAATAATTAATTCCAATTCCGGTCTATCTGACTGAATTGGATTATGGACCACCAACTATTTTACAGATCCTCGCTCTCTCTCCTGCTGCGGTCATCCACAACGCTCCTTCCTCAGCCACGGCTACCTCATAAAGTAAAATTCGAGCTGACTACATAAATGTAAATGCAGGGCTGAATTATGCCCCAAATCAAATCATTAAAAATTCTGACTTTTTATAAACAAAGTCAAGAAATGAAATGGATCTCTCAGAATAATGAGGCTGGAGATTGCTGCTTGCTGCAGTGCAGAAGAACAATAAAAATGTAGTAATGAAATCAGAAGCGCAGGCACAAAAACCACAAAAACCACCATCCACCAATCCAGCCAAACTACCAATTAAGAACTAAAAACTTTTTTATTTATTCCATAATCTAGTCTAGAATTGGATAAGAAGGAGAGGAAGATCGACCAGAGTGGAAAATCTGACAAAAAATCGACATGAAAAATGGATTCGATTCTCGTCTCGTCTCCTTGAATTCGATTTTATTTAATAATGTCGATAAACTGGCTGGCCTGGCTCGTACTACACTTTCCATTTCTTGGACGGGATGGATGGACGGATGGGTGACATTGATGGCATCGGAAAGCGTCATCATCATTACTCATCGATTCGGAGGGACTGGTGGACTCATTACGTAAACAATTGGAATATTGGTCTCAATTTTTGGGTTATTAACTATTTTTCAAAAAAAGAATGAGAGAAAATGTCTGCCTTAAATTGGCCACACTTCTCCCTTCAGTCTCATATCATCAAAAGTCGACTCTTTTTTTTCGAGAGGAATATTCCTCTTCTTCTTCTTCATCTCTCATAATAATTACGCTGGAATATGGACATGAATGCGCAACCAGGTCTTGTTCTTGCCCTGCTACTACTTCTGCCTCTTGTATTGGAAAGGTTGCCTTCTTCTTCTATGTATTCATAATTATTGCCCCAAAAACGACTCGTGGCTCGGCTGGATTGAACCTTCTGTGCATTTTTATGACCCAAAAGAAGAAGAAGCTAAGGGATGGATGGATGGATTATGGTACCCTTCGTGATACCCCTTCCTCGATTTAAGTACCCTCCAGAAGATGAAGAAGGGAACGATGTTCAAGTTATTGAAGCGATTGTGAAACTTGTTCCTTCTTTTATGTGTATCCCTTTTTTCTCATTGTTGGTCAGTCGCTAGCCGCATCTCGACCCGGCAACATATACCGATTTTTATTTACCGTCTTTTAAAACAAGTGCATTGTCATTGTTCCGTCCGAGTCAAAATCTCGACTTGTTGTTGAGACACTAAATTTCGTCCAAAGTGAGACTACTGAATTTTGTGCCATGTCGACCCTTAGCCTGCTTCCCAGCACACCCACAACGCTGGCCCCCTTCGCGACCCTGTTCTCTACAACGCCCAGCTACATCCCGTGTTCTCCACCCTCGACAAATATCCACGACCACGACCACCACCACCTCCTCCTCTCCGCCGTGGTGACCTCCATCGCCAACCATGTCGTGAAGGTGGAACAAGACGAGGAAGAGGAGACCATGATGACGACGAGTAGTGACGACGACTTGGGAAGTGACGGTGGTGGATCCAGGCTGACTTTTTCGCCATCGTCCTCCACCACTTCTTCGGCCGATGAGGAGAAAGGAGGAGCAGCAGCCAAACAAAAAAAGAGGCAGAGACGCGTCCGCAATTCATCTCAGGTATTATATAAATAAACCCTTCAGCATTATCGTAATTATGAAATTATAATATACAATGACCTCATTTTGACCTCTATATTTTTTATCTTTAGCTCAATCCTGTCGTCGTTAAGAAGCGTCGTTTAGCCGCGAATGCTCGGGAACGTCGCCGCATGCAAAATCTGAACGTGGCCTTTGACAAGTTGCGAACCCATCTTCCGTCAATCGGGAAGGATCAACAGCTCTCAAAGTACGAAACGCTACAAATGGCGCAGGAATATATTAACGAGTTGTACAACCTGCTGCATTAACGAAATTAACCACTCCCACCTAAAAATTGTACATAATTGTACCAAATTAATAATTCCTGAAGAAAGTGAATATTTAATTAATTAATTAATTAAGTTCCTCGACCAAGAGTGAAGGTCTCAAACCGTGATATTACCATTTTTTTACCTCTGAAATTAATTAACACGTGACACCAATCCAAATGTTCAACCTGGAGCGGTGTATGTAATTTTATAATAATCAGCCACAAACGCTTCATAGATTTAATTTAGGCTCTAATTTACATAGTTCATCTTGGTCTCTAATTAATTAATTACGAAAATACCAATATGTATGTACAATTTATAAAAAGAGAGTTTAATAATTTTGTGTTCATGATTCAGTTCATACTACATATCTACGAAATAAAGTTAATCAGTATATTTTGAAAAAATTGTCATATTTGTCTAAAATTTTCTAAATATAAAATTTGGCCACATTTTGATTTTGATTTCACAAAACCACACGTAAAAAAAATAATACTTGAAAACTTGACACAATTTCACCATAAATATTTTCATTTTCATTTCGCAAAATCACATGTAAAATATAATACTCGAAATTTTACACAACTGCTTCTTCACCTACCTAGTAAAATCGATCAATATATTAAAAAATATATATTTTTGTCGTATTACTCTCACAAAATTTTTTAGAAACAAAATTTCGCCATATTTTAATTTCGCTCAATCACCTATCAATTACAATACTCGAAATTTTACAGAACTGCTTCGTCATCTACCCAGTAAAATCAATCAATATATTTTTTTTAATTATTTTTGTCGTATAACTCTCACAAAATTTCGCTACATTTTCATTTCACAAAATCGCCCCTAAATAAAATCGAACTCTTTCCATAAAAAATTTCTCCAACTCCACGAAACTGGGTCACTCCAAATCTAACAATTTTTGATCATCCCTGATGCATTTTCTATGCACTTTTATACATACATCCACCACCCCGGATTTAAAACTGATGAGCACCCGAGCTGCATATTAATCAGGGCAGCATCTCACTCACTTAAATTTACTTACCCAACCAACGGATTCACTCACTCACATCCATCGCCCCATCATAAAATGAAATTAAGGCATAAAAATACAAAATCTTAGAAAAAAAGCAGCCTTCTTCTTCTTCCTGACCAGCATTACATTAAAACGTTTCCTCTCAATAAAAAATGAGACGTGATCCCTTAACTTACTTACCTTAAGGGAGGAGGAGGCAAGGTGAGACTTGCTCACCAAAATTGCCTCTTCCAGTAGCAACTAGTAACCTTCTCCCTATAAGTTTTAATCTTTACACAAAAATCAAGAAATAATTGGCTCGGCATGGCGTCACCATGATTTACGAGCCTCACATTCATATATGTATAATAATACATAATAATATTCACCTCCTCTCTTAAAAAAATATCCAGTCCGGTCTAATTACACCCAAAACAACAACAAGGCAACTATTTTCCTCTATTTTATCATGGACACAAAAAAACGAGGACAACTCTCTCTCTTTTCGAATATTCATTCAATTCTTCTTCCTCTTCTTCTTTTATGAATTCGGGACTTGACTCACTAAAAAATACGTAAGAAGTGATTATAAATTAAGAACAAAAAGATCAACCCTTTCGCTTTCCATCCGCATACTTTCCATCCATCGGATGCCTTGATGGAAGGGTTGGTAGGCAGGAAAAAGGGTTAAGTCATCTTCCGAACACAAGCTGGAGGCAAGGACGTCCTTGTTTTAGGCAAGATCGGAATCATCACTTTTATTGGATTTTTACTTCGTCGTCCTTCTCTTGTCCTGTAGGATTTTCAGAGCTTCACTTAACTTAGGTTGCTGGCATCCCTTGATTTTTTATGATCAAAGAAGACATCCCATTAATACATAAAATCATGTATTGTTGAAAAGAAAAGGGTGATTTTCCTATAAAAATTATTATTTTTTCGTGCTTTATTTTCCAATAATTATTTACCAGCAGGCCGAGGAGCCGGTCACTAAATGAGTTACTTTTTTATGCCCCTGCTCCACAGGTGACATACCAAAAAATCGTCCCTTCTCCATTAACGGACTTGGCTGATGACTCAAAAAATAAATAAATGCGTTCCCATTCAATCTCCGCATTTTTACGGATGCATAATGAGACGAAGAGAAACCGTTACACATAATTTCGTCCTGGTCACGGTCATCAGGCCGGTTTTTGAATTATTTATAACTGTAATTGCCTCCTTCTTAATCCGAGTCGTTAATCATTCCTGACTTTCTTTTGTCTAAGGTCAGTGTCAGATTCAAGGACACGACACACGAGTAATTATGGATCCACCTTTTTAATACTAAAATATTCTCGATACGGTTAATTTTTACTACAAAATTACACATAAATGTTACATGGTTGGAATTAATCTGTCGGAAGGGGAGGCTGGGAAATAATCAATTTTCAGAAAACCTAATCTATTTAATTCAGTAGCTTCTTTCTTGATGTTCATGTAAAGTGGTCGAATTAAGGGCAGCATTACCCACCCTGACCTATCATTAAGGGAAAGGGAAGGGTTAATTAAAACGGCCCATTAGCCAGCCAACCAGCAATGATCGAGTCTAATAAAAAAGACGAAATCCTAAATCATCCATGCGATATTTAATAATTTATTACAAAAAGTTGCCTAACTTTGTCTGCGTCAGTTTCATCTCGTCATGATCAAATCAAACTCATGATCAAATCTCACTTTTAAAATCGCTCATCTCTTCTCTCGAACAATTATTACATCTCGAGGAAGAAGAACATGACAATTAAAACGATTCAAACTCACTGAACAACACGTGATTCCACCAAACGAAACACTGACGGACCGTGAATATGTATGTGTGTACCTTAATTATTAAAGGTCATTAAAACTTCTTCCGCCTTGTAAGAAACTCTGAAATTTTCTGTATGTATGTAAACTAAAGCAAACGACTCTCCGATTTATGACACCTGTTAAAAAATAGGTAGCTGAAAATTTTTCCAAAAAAATTTCGAATGCGATCTGGGCGGTTCGTTCGTCGATTTCACAAATGAGGAGAACACGACCATAAAAGAAAACAGGCTTCCTTCATAAAATTTAGTGGACACCGTTTGCACGGCCACTCCCATTCTGACACCAAATGCACAAGCCCATGTACCACCCACCCACCCAAGTGCAATAACAGTAACATAACTCTCCTACAAAATTGAGATGTTAAATTCTTTTACATAAAAATAATTCCAAAATGGAGCAATTAAGGGAACACAATGTAAAACAAATCAGCACTGGGTGTGGTTTAGGATATAATAATTTAGTTGATTTATCCATTTTCAGGGAAAGTGAAGAAGAAGTGAAAACCATTATGAATTAGACTTTTTTTTCATAATTCTATTCACTATTTATTTTATGGAACTTCAATATTTACAAGAAACCGTAAAAATTTACTTACTTTCGTTTCAGCTCGGCGCGGGGTCCATGATAATAAATATTATCCATTAAAATTATTGAGGAAGGCAGGTCACGTTCCCAATTATGACTTGATTAAATCTTTCAAAAAAATGTCTAATGGAAATTTCCTTTTCCATTTATTGCCACTGCTATTTCCAGCCAAGAAGAGTTTCTGACAATAGTAAAAGAAAAAAGCAGTTCCATCCACAAAACGAAACCACTCCTCTTCCCAATAATAGAAATCTTCATAATGGAAATTGAGTCGTAATCTTTACAATTTAATTTAATATAAGTAAAACCCTGGCGTCCTTCTTCTTCTGGAGAGAGAGAAAGTGATTAAAAGTGAGGGCAGGTCAGGAGGCCAGGTGTTAATTTCTGGCAGATCATGCTGTGCACAAATCCAATCCAAATCTTATTTACAAGGATAAATAAAATAAATCTGTAAAAAAAATTCTACATTTTTCTACTCCCAAAACTTGTAAGAAAAGTTGTATTTTATTTTTCTCTCCTCACAGAATAATGCCGATTTAATTGTCACCTCTTCGTCAATAATCAGAAAAACACATCTATCATCCATCCTCCCAATAAATAAATAAAGAAAATAACATCACTAATATCACAATAAGCTTGGTAGGTAAAGAAAAACCTGAAAAAAATCAAGGTGCAGCAAACATACTCCGTCAACAAAGGTGCCAATTAGCCGAAAGATTTCCAGATTTCGGATGTCAATTAATCATTATTATTAGGGAGACAATTCTTCTGCTACATCCGCATTATTGGAAATACAAATACACAATTGTCCACATATTACAAGATTGTGGACCAAAAGGACAAGACATACACCGTCAGATTGCATCATCAGGCTTTGTTTCCTTATACGACGACTTGCCGTGAGATATGATCTTCAGTCCAGCTCAGCTCAATTTGTTGCCCAACTAATTGCAGAGTGAAAGCCATAAATCTCAATCTTGTTGACAAATAATTGACACAGGAGACAAGATACACAAAAGAGGAGCAGAATTTCGTTTGTAATTCACCTTTGCTACCTGGTTTAGCTCGTAGGGTAATTTATGACCAGTGGTACATGAAGGAGGGGATGTCTCAATTTCCCCGTCGAAAAGTACTTCACTGTGGAGTATTCATTGCTAAATAAGTTTCCCAAAATTCAGCTTGTTCCTCTTCCCCAATTTTAATTATTCATTAAAAACCAACCTTATCGATGATATCACAAAGCCACACAAATTAATAGAAAACCGCATATTTTTTATCTACAGTCGGCATTTTGCCCAAAATTATTATCTTTGTCTCAAATTTATAATTCTTTCTTACTTAATTAGCAGTTCCCATTATAATTATTTATCACAATTTACCCCTTCAAAAATCAGAATAAGTTCCCGAAAACGTATTCGCTTCCCCACTAAATATATTACTCATTAAAAATACAACCTTATAATCCCAAAATCTTACACAAATTAACACCACGCCACGCCAGGAAACTGCATAAACACATATTTTTTTATATCCAGTTCCGACAGTCGGCATTTTGCCCAAAATTATTATCTTTTAAAATTCCATCTTAATTAGCAGTTAGGATTTTTCCTTAGCTGTATTTCACTTCACCTGGTGAAATACTGTCACTGCCAAGAACGAAACCCAATAAGCAATATTTCTGGTCTTCTTCCAATTAACACCAAGAAACCACACCACTAACCGTCATAAATTCCATCGCCATCAATCCACTCATTATTGCGAGAAGTGGGCAAAACGAGCAAAAACTGTGATAATTTATGCAACACAATTTGCATCGCGGATACATATCTTGATAATAATGGCGTCCCATTAATACTAGGGAATCGCATCATCATCATTCTCGTAATAGAAGATCACTCCTTGCAGATAATAACTGGATGAGGATTGCTCATCACAATAATTTCAACTCCTTCTTGCTCGAGGATTATCCCGGGACACGATATCCCTCCAACAGAAAGAAACTTAATTGCTGGCTCTTCTTCTTCTAAAAACTATTCCGTTTTATTACTACGTCCATTACACTTCTCAATAATTGTGGTCCACATTAAGTTAACGCCACCACTTTCACTCGACTCTTTCAACTCGGACCGTCTCAGAATTAACAAAGTCATCACATCTCTTGAGATTATTGGCTGATTCGAAAATATGAAGGGTTTCTGGTACACTCTAAATTATGGGGGGCCAAAATTAGTCAGGATTGGTTGCTCAAAATTGGTCAAAAATTGAAAATTTGTGGTTCGGGTTCGAACAAAATTCGCCCGAAATTTTTCAATTTCTCAATAACGTGGACAACTATTGTCCCAGAACAATTAGAGGTGCCTTTATACCTCGTCAGCTATTTACGCCAATGTTATAATTTAACTATGGCGCAAGTTACCAAAGTATTTTTTTGTTCCCAAATTTCTTGGCGTAACTTGTCCCAATGTTATGGCGCAAATGAATGAAGGATTCATAAATGCAGTACTGGCACCAACAAAACTCGGTTATTTTATTCTCCCCCATTTTTCTTAGAGTGCTGCTGGTAAAACGTCGTCGTCGGATTGATTGAGATGCTCATCATCGCCTTTTCTACTTATTCTACTAACCGCAGATGCAGAATTCAAAGTCCACGATTCCTCGGGAGATAATGTTTGTGCCGATTTATTGAGTTGTTCTCGCGAGATTAAGTAAGAGAAGGGATGGATCGAGGAGTAAAATTATCTTTTAGCACGATCGCTTCATTCATCACTTTTATCGCTTTATTATGCACCCAACTAACCACTAAGGATAAGGAAAAATACGAGAATATCAAGAAATGGATACCGTTCAGAAATATATCGTTGTGCAGCCAAAAACTCATCCTTCGTGTAATAATGGAGTAATAATAATAAAACAATATCCAGCAACTTTCCGCTCCTGGATGAACTGGATTAGCATCATTGCACCATAAAACTCGATCATCTCCAATTCATCCACTTCTCATTTTTTTTCAATTTACATATCTTTATTAATTAAAATTTGTTGTAAACTGTGGTCAAATTTTTACAAATTATTATTTTTTCATTAAATTTTCATCTAAACTTGTGCTCATTTTTGGTCGAAAACAATTTCATCTTACACAATTTTCTGTTTGTAATCAGTGTCAAATCACTGGTTAAAAGTCCACTTCATCTTCTTTTTTTCAATTTATACATCTTTATTAATCAAAATATGTTATGAATGTGGTCAAATTTTGAAATGGAGGGAAACAAATTAAGTATTAGTTTTCCATCTAAATTTCTGCTCATTTTTGGTCAAAACAATTTATTTGTACAAATTTTCCAATTTTCTGTTTGTTGTCAGTGTCTGGAGAGGTGTCAAATCACTGGTTGAAAGCAAGCCCTACATACCTGCAGCTATGTACAAATACAGAAATTGCACTCCTCAGGTGCACACACTCACTCCAATTAATTAGTAAATATAGCAGAAAATCGTGTAACAAAGCACATTTGATTTTCTAACTGGAGCATTTGTCTAAGAAATCCGGTCAGAAAAGGGTGGAGAGCAATTTCATCCGAGATGAAGGACAACGTCAAACAAAAATCCAATCTACTTCCCGTCAACTCTTGACACTTGCTTGTTCAAGAGCGAAAATCAGTTTAAACAGGTAACTCGAAAGGCAAAAGTAAGGTGTGTATGTGCCCAAGTAAAAAAAAAAGATACACAAGGATTTTCTGCAACTCGAAATATATAAAATCTAAAAAAAAACATCTTGAAAATTTCAAGGAGGTGTCAGTCATGTCACGTGTCGGTTAATAAGTAAGTCTGCGTCAGGAAAAATTTGTGGGGAAAATTATAATTTAGTTGGTATTAATCACGATTAACTAATTGTTAATTAACTACACGAGTATGGTTGGTGTGGAGAAAGTCGGTTTGACAAAGTGGTGATGGCTGAGGTCGTTTTGATTATTCTCGTCAACAATGACGACGTGGGGTTGGGGGTCATTTTCACCCAAAAGTTGGGGCGTTGTTGGAGCCGTCGTTGTGGTCAGAATAGTCCCATTCTGGAAATTCCAGTAGTCGTGGGGGTGGTTTAGATGGTGGTTTTTCTCTCTTAATCGTTTGCACCGCTTCTCCAAGCGGGCACAATTTCCGGTCAGTAGTCCGGCCCAAAAGGCTTTCTCCATCCGTTTCACCATCCTTCCCAAGCGGACGTTCTTCGTGGCGGGGAGGAAATAAGGTGCCATCAGGGACCACCCCTTTTTACCCCAATTTCCCACTGTTTGAACTCCTTCCCCCATCCATTCAGCGGCACCAAGTCCACCCGGAAGTGGCAGCCCTGCCAGAGAATGGCCCATATTGCAGACGGCCCTCTCCGGACAGTAACTTTCTAGTTCGAGCGTGCTGCAAAAAAATCAGTAAAAATTAAGCACGATTTTAGTGCAAAACTAGGCACCCTAAATTTTGACCTCCCTAACTCACTGACCTCAAAAGATTTGACACTGCCCCCTCCGTGTCACCAGCCACCATTTTGCTCACGGTTTCCAAGGCCCGTCCAACCAATTCGGTTCTGGCGGCTTGAGGTTGTGGCATCATCATCATCATCATCCTTTAAAAAATCACATTATTAACCTTTGACCTATGTATCTTCTTGACCTTTGACCCGACTCACATCATCATCATCCCACCGCCCGCCATCATCATCATGCCTCCCATTAAAAGGGCGAGGAGGGATAATCCGAGGGGGATTAAGAGCAGGGGGAGAAGAAGGGAGCCCAGCGCGGCCAAGGCTAACAGACCGACTAAAACCCAGAGGAGGATGTCGTGACCTCCTTTCCCTCCTTCTGCTGCCCAACCCCACCCTTGCTGCTGACCGACGAGTGGCACGTGGTAGTGGTAGTACGATCCCTGCGTACCTCCACCCCACCCACCCTGCGGGGGTCGTGACCAGCTTTCGTACGCTGGAAAAATATTACAAAGCAATTTTTAGTGCAAATTTCGTAAATTACAGATAGAGAGAGACACGGACAAAAATTTGCAAAGGACTGATTTGCCAAATTTTACTGGCAGAAATGTGCAATTACTTGAAACGCTAGTACAAAAATTGTGGAAAAATTGAAATTCTGAAATTTTACACGATTTATATCACATTTATATCAAGAAATTCTATCTCTGCTCGGCCTTTTGGCTAAGATCAAGTGTAGTATCTCTTCTTATCAGCTTAAATCTTAATATCAAGAATTTCTCTACTTTCGGAAATTTCTCAAATTTTCTATCAAATTTTAATCCCCCCCCCCTCAATTTTCTATAAATGTTCTATCCTTCAATTTTTCTCCAATTGTATCAAACTCCTTCAACTTCCACTTACGATGCGACGCTCCGATGACTGCATCGCTTCGATCCAAACTCCCCTCAACCCAGCAAAAACCGCAGAGACCAAGGACGAGTAAGAGCACAAACCTCCCCCCACCACCAACCACACCCTTCCTCTTCATATTATCTCACTTCACCCCGCCGTTAAAAATAACTTATTAAATCTAAAATTAAATATGCACTCTTCCGCTGATCAGTACGAAATGGATACTCCGAGTTAAATTGAGGTCCGATTTTATGCCTTTTTTTCTACCTGCCCCACAACCACGCCACGCCTGATGAGATGACATCGGCAAAAAAAGTGGATCATTCTTCCACCGCCTGATCCATGATTACATTGACATGCTGACATTGACACTCACTTTTACTTACCTATTTATTATCATGATCAGATTTCATTAACGCAAAATTTTTACGGGAAATCGGGCCCATGCCAAAAATAAATAAATGAACGTGCGTCAAGATTAATATCGCAGCATCCTCCTCATCAAAGTAAACCAGCCCAATTAAAAAGTATCCAAATGATCATTATAAAAGTGTGCAAATAATGCAAACTTTTCTTAATCGTGACGATTTACAGAAACAGTGCGGAATCAAATCAATCAATAAATCTGATCAGTCAGCATCTCAATTATTTAGGCATTAAAAACACGATGTCATTCTCATCTTCGTCTCACTGCAACAATCATTTTCATTATTTATTTATTTAAATATGTAGAGCAGTCTGCGCACGACTGGATAAAAAAAACTTTAATTAAGACTCTTGAGACGAGAAATTGTCTCATTTTGCCTCACACACAAACCAAGATCGATTTATTTCCTTGCAGAAAAACAATTACTTCTTTAACCACGAGACCACTTTCTTATTACTTTCTCGACCACACACACACACACGTCTTACCATTCCGACGACGACGAGTAATAAAACCAATACTCAATAATTTCGTCGTCAGAGATGATTGGGATTGCATAATGTGGATGCTGCTGCTCTGCACATATTGCTAACTGGTGATCTAATTCAATTACAATTAGTCGGCTCCCTTTGTCCACGCCACGACCAATAATCCGTCCACACAAGTAAATAATTGCCAAATTGGTGGTTTGGTTGTAAATATGTACATGGAGGATTGTGTCCCCTTATTTGTGCTCCTGCTGGGTGGTCCATTTAGTTCCGAGAGAGGTTCTTGTTCGTTCTTGGTCCTTTAATTACTTTATTCCACTAACGACCCATTATTTTATGGATTTCCATTAACCGTTTTATACACGAGATGCTACCGTTTCATGATAATCTGGCTTCATCCAAATTCAGTGCATGTGCCTCGTTTTAATTACATTTTTTAATTCTTTATCTACTTCGGTCCCTTACTGCATTTTAAAGTGTCTCAATTTCCCCGAAAAAGCATATATTTTACATATGCATTTTACAGGCTGTTAGCAATAAAAATCTCACTTTTCCCAACAAGTCTATGCATGCATACTTCACTCGTCCCAAGTCATGTACATATATATTCATCTAAATTTCTAATTAATTTCAAGAATTGCATCACTTCAATTTTTTGGATAATTTTGTTACATATTTTTATTTTGAAATCTCATGATGTTCGTCTCATTTGTGCAACAGGTAAAATATTAAGCTTTGATGTCATCAAATATGTTCCCTTCGAAACATATATTCTCACAAAATTCAAAATGAACTCAAAAAGTCTCATAAAATTCGAAAACTCAGAAAAATAACTCTACTCTCATCTCAACAACAAACCAATTCGGCTAAATTTCCCCCCCATGAAAATGGCTGCTGCTGGTGGCGACCTCTTCGACCCAATTGCGTGCTTATTATACCCTGTCGCATTCTGCATTTTGTCCCACCTCAGTGACCTCGAAGTGCGGGCATTTCGGCAGGTCTGTCACACCTGGGCCGCTGCGGGTGGGATAATCCTGTCCCGACGAAACGGAGCGAATAAACGAGCCTACATCACGTTCGAGAATGAGGAAGACGTAAATAATAAGCTCGACCCGCTCGACAAACTCCTCTCCGAGACGGCCTCGCCACGCTATCTGCTTCCAAACTATGGCGCCATGGTCATTTCGACGACCTGCATGCGAACTCAGATCGATATCCAGACCACTCCGATGTTCCCAGTGTTTCTAGAGAAGTATGGCAACCACGTGAAGGCCGTCGAGTTCAACAGATCTTTGGGGAAAGGGGATGACTCTTTGATGATGAACGAAGTCCAGACAATTTTGCAGAATTGTAAAAATTTACTAGAATTCGCATTTTTGCCGTACAAGGCGAAAATCAGAGATGGAGGGGCAGAACAGGAGGTGCGAATTTTGCTTAAAGATAAGTTGTGCATGTTTTCTTATCATGTTATTTTTTTTGTGAAGCCTAGTGCTTTTCGGGAAACGATGCGGTGGACACCGATTCTACCTGCGAACGATTTTTCGGTCAATTTGCAACCTCTCAAGCTGACCACGTTGGTGATGCACATGTGTCATCCCCGACATCTCGCTGTGGTCATTGCTTCCTCGCCAAGTTTACAGGATCTGACCTTCCTCGCGCCCAATGTGGAAACACGAACCAACGAGGAAGTTTTGTTGGACTGGGAAAACTTCCAAGATGCGATGAACGAGTTGGGGGGCATGAACCAGGTTGAATCCTTTGCTCTCCAGGATTGGGATCTCATCCCCAATGTGGAAATGAAAAAGTATGCAATTACAAATCGGCTAATTTAACTCGAAAATAATCCAAAATTGACGTAATTTTGATCTCCTATTGTGTTTTTTTTAGTTTAAGAACGGTCAAGCTTTTCGTGAGAGGGATCTCAAAAGTCCCTAAGTCTCAGAAGATCGCCTACACCACAATGTTTCACCAGGTATAAAAATATACCATTTCAATCGGAAACTAGTTCTCAAATTAAATCTAGTCTTGATTTTCTCAAAGGTCACGACAGTGCAGGTTTACTTACGTCTACCACTCCAAATTTTGGAGGAGAACGCTGCCATACACCGCTTCATGAATCGATTTCCTTCCACAATCACGGTCCTTGTTGACTACAATACGGCCGGTCCAGTAATCAGATCCGGTTGGAATGCAGGATTTGAGGACATATTTAGTGTGAGTTAATCGTCAAAAAATATACATTTGTTTACCCAAAAGGTCGATATAATATTTATGAAATGTTTATGAAAGAAAACCTAAAAAATATAAGCTATATTTGTGTCAAATCGTTTTTTTAATGCAATGCTTAATTTTTTAATCCAATTTTGTTAACAAAGTTTATGCATATAAATGATCAGGAATAATATGGAAATTTTTTGGATTAAAAAAAATTAGACAATGCACATCGAAATTTCTTCAAAGTTTGATCTTCGATCTTCATCAATTTAAAAAATCGACTTAACTACTTAACGATTTGCATAATTATTAAATTTTTAGCACATCGAAGCAAATGCTGCCCTCCTCAACCCTCCTGGCTGTCTGGTTAATGAAAATGTCAGAAACCTTTACGTCTTCAACTTGCCGATTTTCGAATTTGATAGCCACCCTCCGTACATCCCCGTGTGGAAACCTCTCCCAAACTTTCCAAAAGTTTATCCAAACTTGAATAAGTTTACGATATCGGTGGCTCCCCAGGAAAAAGATTTTGCTCACTGAGTACACATACCCACGGGGGTGTTGAAATTGTGAAAATAATACAGTATTTTGAGCTTCGTTTTTTTGAAGACTTGAATTTCTAGGCCACAAAAAGACGAGAATCTATGCATGTACCTGGAGAGTGCACTTATAAAAAATACAAAAAATACGTATTTTTTAAAGAAATCAACTTTTTATCGCAATCAAAATACACATGTGTACTTAAAATCGTGAAAAAATGCATTTTGACAGCGAAAAAAATTGATTTTTTCACAAAATATGTACATATTTTTATATAACTGCTGCAGATTTTCGTATTCTTGTGGTTGTTTTAGCCCCGGAACTTCAAGCCGTTAAAGCTTGAAATATGCTCAAAATACGCTCAAAATATGCTCAAAATACGGTATTTTCACAAAGTTTTTTTTACCCACTCCTGATACTTGCAGATTTTTATTTAATTTTTTCCCAGTTCCGTCCTAATTTTGTCTTTTTTACTATGCCAGGATGAGGTCCATCATGTTCAAATTAGACGACCTTTTCCGAATTATGAAAGGGTGGAGGAATTTGAAAGATATTTCGGTGTCGCAGTCAACCTTTGAAACTGTTGAAATTATCCAGGCTCTCAGACAAACTCGATTCATGAATCGTTAGACAAATAAGAATTTTATTTATGATTTGGATTGTGATGAATTTTTTTTCAGAAATCCAAAATTTGACCCTCCACTTGGCCTCAGATGACAACAGTCGCAACGTTGAGTATACAAATAATGTGGACAAGGCTATAATGGAAGCGGTCATTCTGGCCGCGTCGAAGCTGCAGTCATTCAAATTGAGTAGATTTAAGGGGGTTAGTATTTTGAGTTTTTTGTAAAAAAAAAAATTTACCCCATTTTGTAAATTTTACAGCATCTCTTTTTGGGGAGTGTGGCTCGCTTTTTGGAAAACATAACTTTGGAGAAGCTCAACTTTGACGAGTTGTCGGAGACCGGGTCCACTTTGGCGAAGAATCTTAAAATCAAATTGTAATAATTGAGCAGAATTTGGTTAAAATTTAAATGCACATCAGAATTTTCAGAATCTCAAATAATCTCAGTTTTCCCTACAAATCCGTCCTAATTAAAAGTCTGAAGCTATTTAATTAATAAAATTCCCGATTTAAATCCATAATTTTTACCCAAAATTCCATCGTTAAAAAAATTCCGAAAATAATTACACCTTGAAATTGCATTCATCCATTCATACAAAAATAATCCCGATGTTCAATCTGTGCAAAAAAAAATCCCCAAAAAAATGGCACATCCGTCCAATTACCCCGATTCAATTTATGATCATTATTTAGCCCGTACATGCAATACACATGCAACCAACTAGATTATTAACTCTGTCTGTAATCGTATGATCTTCTTTAACTCGTCATATCTCAACAAATCATGCACATTTCTCTGCAACACAAGTCTCACTTTCCCCAACAAGTTCATGCAAATGATTAGCTCGTCTCAAGTCGATGTACATAAATATTCATCTAATTTTCTAATTAATTGGTCAATAATTTTAGGATAACTTTGTTAAGTTAAAAAAATATATTTTTATTATCTAATTTTATTATATGTTTCTCATCTCGTCTGAGGTCTCATTTATACAAAAGATACATTTAGGCAAAATTTTAAGCTTTGATGTCTTCAAATATGTTCCCTTCGAAACAATACGTTCTCACAAAATTTGAAACAAATAAAAACATGAAAAAAATCTCATAAAATTCAAAAATTCAGAAAAATAAACCGTCGCAAACGCGCATACGGAAGTAGCTTCAGACGTACTTCACCCCAAACGGTCCCACCACAACTCGGGAACACTTAATTTCACTCTATTTCACCTATAGATTAATTTTTTGTAAAAATCTCATTTTGCCCCGACCACACCCCCTGGCGACGAGGGGGTGTGGAACAACTCGGGAACACTTAATTTCACTCTATTTCATCTATAGATTAATTTTTTATAAAAATCTCATTTTGCCCCAACCACACCCCTGGCGCCTAGGGGGTGTGGCACAACTCCGGAACACATAATTTTACTCTATTTCACCTATAGATTAAATTGCACTAAAAATCTCATTTTGCCCCAACCACACCCGCTGGCGCCGAAGGGGTGCGGCAAAATCGGGGAAACACTCAATTTCACTTAATTTCATTTAATTTCACTCAATTTCACTTAATTTTACCCATAGAATAAATTGCACTAAAAATCTCATTTTGCCCCAACCACACCCCCTGGGGCCGAGGGGGTGTGGCACAATCGGGGAAGCACTTAATTTAACTTAATTTCACTTAATTTCATTTAATTTCACTCAATTTCACCTAATTTTACCCATAGATTAAATTGCACTAAAAATCTCATTTTGCCCCAACCACATCCCCTGGCGCCGAGGGGGTGTGGCACAACTCCGGAACACATAATTTTACTCTATTTCACCTATAGATTAAATTGCACTAAAAATCTCATTTTGCCCCAACCACACCCGCTGGCGCCGAAGGGGTGCGGCAAAATCGGGGAAACACTCAATTTCACTTAATTTCATTTAATTTCACTCAATTTCACTTAATTTTACCCATAGAATAAATTGCACTAAAAATCTCATTTTGCCCCAACCACACCCCCTGGCGCCGAGGGGGTGTGGCACAACTCCGGAACACATAATTTTACTCTATTTCACCTATAGATTAAATTGCACTAAAAATCTCATTTTGCCCCGACCACACCCCCTGTCGCCAAAGGGGGTGTGGTCCGGTGTGGTCCTGTCGCCAAAGGGGGAGACGGAGGGGCACAACAGGAGGTGCAAATTTTACGGAAAGATAAGTTGTGCATGTTTTCTCATCCTGTTCTATTTGTGTGTAGCCTGACGCTTTTCGGGAAACGATGCGGTGGACCCCGAATCTGCCTGCTAACGATTTTTCGGTCAATTTGCAACGTCTCAAGCTGACCACGTTGATGATGCATATGTGTCATCCCCGACATCTCGCAGTGGTCATTGCTTCCTCCCCAAATCTAAGAGATCTGACCTTCCTTGCGCCAAATGTGGAAACGCGAACCAATGCAGAAGTTTTAGCAGACTGGGAAAACTTCCAAGATGCGATCAACGAGTTGGGAGGCATGAACCAGATTGAGTCCCTTGCTCTCCAGGACTGGGATCTCATCCCAAATGTGGAAATGAAAAAGTATGCGAATTTTACTCAAAAATAATCCAATTTTTGCTAAAAAAAAATTGACGGGATTTTGATCTCCAATTGTGCTTTGTTCAGTTTAAGAACGGTAAAACTTTTCGTGCGAGGAATATCCAACGTCCCTCAATCTCAGAAAATCACTTACACCACAATGTTTCGACAAGTATAGGAAAATATAAAATTTCAATCGGAAACGAGCCCTCAAATTAATTTACAAAAGTCTCCATTTTCTTAAAGGTCACCACAGTGCAGGTTTACTTACGTCTACCACTTCAAACTTTTGGGGAGAACGCTGCCATACACCGCTTCATGAATCGGTTTCCTTCCACAAGAACGGTTCTTGTTCATTACCATACGGCAGATCCAATACTCAGAGACAGTATTGAGGAAGGATTGCAAGACCTGTCTCATGTGAGTCAATTGTCAACTAATATTTCCGAAACATTTTACGAAAAACAACGTAAAACTATAGGGTATATTTTTGCCAAATCATTTTTCTAATTCAATGCTTAAAACTTGCTCTAATTCAATTTTGTGGTAACCTTTTTTCGCCTAAAAACCTTGACAAAGTTTGTGTATAGCGGAAATATGCACACAATTTTTCGAATATATGTATGAAAAAAATGTAGACAAGTACATAAGCACATCTAAATTCCACAATGTTTGACCGTCGTCGTTCCTCATCAGAGTTAAATAAATAATTAATTTTTTAGCACATCGATGCAAGCGACGCCCTCTTCAACCCCACGGACTGCCTGGTTAATGAAAATGTGGAAAACCTTCACATCTTCAACCTCCGAATTCTCGAGTTTGAAGGCGACCCTCTTCAAGCACCCGTGTGGAAACCACTCCCAAATTTCACCAAAGTTTACCCAAACGTGAAAAACTTTACGATATCGGTGATTCCACAGGAGGACATTTATTTCATGTGAGTACTTACTTATCAGGGGTGGATAACAAACTTCAAAATATGTAAAAATGTAGAATTTTAAGCTCTTTCAAGGGTTTTGACAAATACGAAAAAAATACATTATCTGAAGATATTAACTTTTCAACATTTTTAAAGCAATATATTTTTACAATGATAAAAAATCGGATTAAAATTTCGGATTTTTGTTAAAATTTTGGATTTCCGTTTTAAATTTTCTTTCTTTTGGATGTCAGAATGATGTCGATCATGTTCAAATTGGAAGACGTGTTCCTCATTGCGCAAGAATGGAAGGATTTGAGGGATATTTCCGTGTCCTTGTCAGGCCTTCGAAGCCTTGAGATTCTCAAAGCTTTCAGCCGGACTGGATTCATGAATCGTGAGATCATTCAGAATTTTTAATATTTGAGCTTTGACTGACGAACAATTCTATTTTGGCAGGAATTCAAAATGTGACGCTCGACCTGGTTTTGGCTGACACCGAATACGACATTTACATCCGGAATCGGAAGTCTATCAAAACTCAGGACAAAGCTTTGATGTCCGCGGTCATAATGGGCGGGTCGAGGCTGCAGTCATTCAAACTGAGTGGGTTTCAGGGGGTTAGTATTTTATGTTTTTTTTATAATTCGTGAAAAATATTTCCTCATTTTCGAAATTATTTTCCTATAGCGTCTTCGTAACCCTCGTTCCACACGTACCTTTATGCAGAAAGTGGCCCCACGCTTGGAAAATTTATCTTTGGAGAAGGTCAACTTCGACGAGTTGTCAGAGACCGGGTCCACTTTGGCGAAGAATCTTAGAATCAAATTGTAAAAATTGACCAGAATTCCGTTAAAATTTTGTAAATGTCAAAATGTATAAAATCCCGATAATCTCAGTTTGACCAGAATTCCGTTAAAATTTTGAACCAATGAGTAAGTATGTCAAAATGTACTAAATCTCAATAATCTCAGTTTTCCCTACGAATCAATCCTAATTAAAAGTCTGAAGCTATTTAATGAATAAAACTGCCGATTTAAATCCATAATTTGTACCAAAAATTCTACCCCCTGAAAAAAATCCAAAAATAATTACACCCTAACCTTGCATCCATCCATTCATACAAAACCAATCCCGATGTTCAATCTGTGCCAAAAAATTCCCCCAAAAAATGGCACATTACTACCCACCTGCACCCTCCAATTACCTCATCACTTTAACATTCCCGATTCAATTTCTGATCATTATTTAACCCGTGCATGCAATACACATGCAACCAACTAGATAAATTATTAACTCAATAATCGTAAAGTAATTGTGATTTGCAAATTATCCAAATGAGAGAATTCCACCCGAGATCAGATCACACCGAGGCACGCGATGATCTTCTTTCACTCGTCATCATCTCAACAAAATCATGCATTTCTCCAATCCAGTCCAGTCCGGTGAATCAGTGGCCGCGGAACAGAGGGACAATGTCCCCACAATTATTCGATGTCCCCATCATCCCCCCATGTTATGTAAACCCCTCCCTCTCCTATCCCACAATGTTAATGTCCCCACAGCTTCCGCGGCCCCTGCAGAATGGATCCACAATACAATACACATTTTAAAAAATCATGTAAACCGGCAACTATGTAGTACAGATACATCGGACAACCTGTCATTATTTACAAAACAAGCGCCAGACAGACACTGCAACAGGTAATTCCCGTCCCCCAACGAAACAGGCATCGCGTGTGTATTGCGTGCACATCAAAATAAAAATATTTAACGCATTCATCGCCGCAACATCATCTTCACCACCGGAGAGAAAAAAATTATTTACAAAAATCTAACCTGCAAAATCTCCCCAGTGTCAAAAAATTTGCACAAATAATTTGCACAAATAATTTTATATAATCAACTCCCCTAATTCGGATTCATTTACTAATTTTTGCAAAATTTCCTACACAAATTGCACCCTTTGAGAAGAAACAATTTTTATAAAAATTATTGCTCCCGTTTAACCAGTATTTTTGTAATTTAATACTTTTAATGTTGGGATTTGGTAGATATATTTTTCTTTAAAAAAAATTAATGCACCACAAATTTCCTAGAGTTCAACTTGTCGTTTGGAATAAATTGATTCACGTCTGTTCCGATGATCTCTGCAAATTAATGAGGTTGCTTTTTTATCGTGCTTCGCATCATCATCATCTTTGAGATAAGTCAAGCCAGAGAGGAAAACAAGTTGCAGATTATTTCCAAATAAACCGGTAGCCGCAGAATTATGCAGGAGCATTAAGTATATCTGATTATTGCGATTAATTCAGATCCACGGCGAGTGGATTTCGTATCGTGGATGATGAAATGACGACTTCACTTACTTAAAGTAAAGTTGGTATAAAATAAAATTTAAAAAACGAGTTTATCTCAAAAAATGCGACAAAGACGTCCGTGCGTCACCTGCCCCTGTGCTTAACAACAATGGTCTAACGACACTTGACACGATGCAGCTTACTCACCTGCAAATTACGTCGTGGTCGTGCCAGCCGAGTCAAAAGCGGTTGTTGTCACTGACTGAAATTAAATATTTGATCTTCTTTTCCCTGCAACATTATTGGAATTTTTTTAATCCCTGCAAATAATTTGATCCTCACGAGAGTAGAGTAAAACGATGCCCAGTTTGTTACTGTAAGCAGGCACTCGATGTAAAATGATTAGCTCGGAGTTATACAAAAAATTAACCTGTTTATTACCAGAGATCGCAGCTTATACATGCATATTTTGTGGCTTGAGCTACAATAAAACGCAGCCCGATTGTGCATGTAAATTCCGAGTATCGACAAGATCACTATCGCTTTTTCTCTCTAATATACAACCAGTAATTAGAAATTAGTAATTAAATAAAATCTCGTGCAAAATAGGGCTGACACGGAATGTAAACAGAATGCTTTTTAGACACGTTTTATTCAATATTTGGACACATTTTTATCTCTTGAAAATCATCATGTGAAATGATCAATAAATAATTGCACGTGTATTTCGAAAAAAAGTCATAATCTTTGAGGGGGGTCGGTCAAACGTAGTGGAACCTTTGCCTAATCTGCTTCCTCTTTTTGGCAGCCGCGATCCTCCTTTTGGTCGCCTTGTCCTTTCCTAGTAGAAAGCGCCCGAGTTGGTCCGCTTTTAGACCGCGCCCCTTTCGCGTGTCGCGACTACATCGGAGCGAGTGGATCGTGGTCTTGATAACCCGGAGATTCCAGGTTATCTTCCTCACCGGGACAGTTTTCCCCCTCCACCTGTAACATAAATATGCGACATGAAGGATTAGGGACATGAAAGATAAGCGACATGAAAGATAAGAGTATAATCGATAAGGACACAACGCTTACCGACGTGGTGGCGTTACTCGGCGTCGCTTTATCCCAGAGATGATAGCAATTCGTCGAACAGCTTTCCCCTTCGCGGCACGGTGAGGATTCCGGCGACGCTGAGGGGTTGGTGACCTTTGATCGTCATTGTTTGGTCTTTTGGGGGGCATTACCCGTTTTTTTTAGGAGACGACTAATTAAAATATGTAAAAATTCCCCAGTTTCTCATCTGCGTTGCAAAATTTCGGAAACTTTCTCCTCAATTTACTCTCATTTTGTGTGTGACCAATCAATGTTGCCGGACAACCTTAAATTACGATCATCCCAAAAAACCACACCCACCGGATTAATCATTAATTTCAGACCAATTTAAATATGTTGTGCGCAGAACAGTCATTTTCCGAGAGGAGAATTCTTGGCAACTTGCGCCATAGTTAAACTACAACGTTGGCGCAAATGTAGAGGCACTTTCTACCCAAAAACCACACCCATTACATTAATTCCGTAACCCAACCCAATTTCATGTTGACCAGAGTGGTTTTTCGGGAGGATGGATGCCCAGAAGCTGGCCCAATTAATGTCGTGATCATATAAAAAGCAAGCGTCCGCAGTTCGACACACTTCTTGGCCACTCGTTCCATTAGAGAAATGCATGAGTCCATTGTCTTAAGTGATAATGTGACCAGACAAGTTCACTCAGAAACCTCACCTACCAAATCCTTTCACTATCTTCACCTTCATCTCATCAGCATCTCTCTTGCTCTCTCTCGAGCCCAGTAATTATCATCATGCTCTCTCGATCTCGATCTGAATCCAGTTTCACCTCACCCATTAATGTGTAAGTATCATCTCATGGGCAGCTTAACGTGAAATGATGATGAGCAAGGGAAGAAACCATAAATTCAAGGGAGAACGTAGACTAATGTTTTCAGTAACCCTTTAAAAACAACATTTGTTTCAGAATTTTAAAGCAAATTCCTTGAAATTAAGGTGCAGAAAATTGACGACTGCACAATTTTTTAGCCCCCCAAAAAAGTCATTATTCAGTCACTCTTGGTTCAGCATTTGGGTGAAGTTCGAAAAATTTAGCGACTTCTTTTATGCAAATTGTCACAAATTTTGAGGGTTTTAAGAAACTCGTTGAATTTTATCATGATTGTAAATTCATACACATGGCGAAGTTCGAAAAATTTGGCGAGTTTTTATGCAAATTTTTCTCACAAATTTTGAGGGTCTTAAGAAAGAAACTCGTCGAATTTTTTACCAACCTGCTCCAAAATGTTGACTATAAAGTGTTTTATTCTCATGCAGAAGGTGAATCTCCGAAGATAATCGTTCCTTATCTTTTCATTTATTTATTTATTTACCATTTATTCCTCCTCCTCCTCATTAGTCACAAACAGCAACAACACGCATTCCTCACCTCTCATAAAACTACTCTCATACAAGTCTAATGTCTAGTGGTGAAATTCCCATAAAAAATAATATTCAATTCATTCCTCTCCTTGTTAAAGTTCCATTGTTACAAATCCTGCAATAATGTAATAAATAAACTGCATCCTCACTTATTCCAGATTTTAATCTCAATCATCTAATCTGATCTCGAAATGCAAAACAAAGTGGTATAAAAATCTCAACAAAACCACAATTTATTGACAAATCGCTTCGCTCCCTCTTCTCTCATTTTATAATCTTCTTCCGAAAAACAAAACGATTTCCATTAGAGAAAACCTGCCCTTGATTAATTTCCGATCGTTCGGTTAGTAGAGATTAAATCTGGCAGAGATTTCCTCAGCCATGAAATACAACAATTTTTAAAAAGGATGAGCAGATTTGCATAGACAACAGAGATTCAAAATCTGAGCAATTAAGCACCAACCAAACCAACCGACTAACTAACTCGTCCTCCGGAATTATACACGTAAAAGCAGACTTGATGATCTGGATCTCGTTCGCTGTGATTGTACGTACACTTATTTCTTTTATTTCGTACGTACGAGTTAAAAAAGTGGCTGGAGCACGTTGTTACCAATTCTTGATCCATTATCTCAACCACTAAATCACATCTCGGACTCGGATTAAACATTTAATTTACCAGGAGCAGAAGCCAATTGGAAGAAACCAGATTTTTACTCTATACGGATGACAGACGACAATTCTAAATCATTTCAACTGATGCAAAATGTTGAATCAAATGCTATTTGATTTCTGAATTCTTTCAATTTTTTCGTCGCAAGCAGGACGCTCAACGCGGGGACACTTCACCGGGGTCAACTTTTTTTTACAAGAAAGCAACGCCACGCCACACCACACCAGGCACGTCATCGTCACAACAAGGTAAAAAATAGGCTTGCAGTCATGATTAATTGTTGGCTTGTCGTATGTTGTGTGTACCGATAAATAAGCTAAACCAACAAAATAGTAAGAAAACAATCAGTCAAACCGTGACCGTTTTTGAGATGAATATCTCTCTCGAATTATTTACATATTAAAATTCATCGTCATTCATCCAGCAAATACGAATTATTTATTCAAGTGAAATGAACGACTATGTGAATAATTGTTCCAAAAATGCGGTGTTTTTCCGTGAAATTGAAATTATTCTGTTACACATACATACGAGTTCATGATTTATGAGGACACCTTTCGGTCAGATACGTGCCTAGCTTATCATAATTTTGACAATTGACGAATTATTCACGTAGATAAACTTGATGTGCAAAATTATAGATTGAAATAATTACTGAAATGTATAATCGTATAATTGGGATAAAGTCGACTTCTGGTGAGATTTAGATGAGGGGGGAAGATTGCATTATTTTTTTATGCTGCTGCTGCTCGGTGGTCCTGTCACTTTTCGTCAAGTATGCACCATTGAATTACATTAAATATGATGCATGTCCAAGTGGGGGGATGATTTAGATGAAAGTTTTTCCGTAATTGGGCCTTGCTTGCACATAATTTATTTTGGATTAATCTGCTCGGCCAATAATCTTCTCACTTGTGGGGAGAAGAACAAATCCACAGGTTTCCACTCTTCAACAAATTTTAATTGTTGAGTTGGATAAAATCCACTTCGAGTTTCTCACTTTCCCCGATCGTAACTTTGTTCTCATTCATTACGAAGTTTTAGTAAGTATGTATTTATGTAGAAAGAAACTTTAATTTCTTCGTTGAATTGTTAGTTTGCAGTGCATTTATGCGATCTGAAATATTTTGCTTTGTAATTTCTCATGCATTTTTCCTATTTCGCAATTTCTTACTTTCCAAATTTCGTATTTTTATCCTCTCCTCATCGCAAACTTTTCTAAAAATTTGGGATACATTTCTTTGTCACATTTTTTTAAAAGTGTTATAAAATTTTTAACAAAAGTGATTTTTATTAGAAATTTTGTAAGTAGATATTTTGAAATAAGTCGATTTCTTCGTTTGCATTGTCGCATATCCGTTTTCCCGTGCAATTTCTTATCTTCTTAATTTCGCAATTTCTCACTTTGCTCCTTCGAAATTTAGAATTAATCTTATCACAAAATTTATATTATCCAAAATGAGTTACCTTATTTCAAATTTCAAAACAAATTTCAGTTTCTCGTGTTAAATATATTACTGTGCTTTTACTGAAATATTCTTCCTTGCAATTTCTCACTTTCCCCAATTCGCAATTTCTCTCTTTTTCATACCTATAATTTTATATGTTTGTCATAAAACTCTCAATTAATTCCTCGCTTTATCAACATTTTCCGTCAATAGAATTTGCCCTTAATAAATCACAACTTTACAGGTAGCACTGTTTCACAAAAAAACAAACAATCAAATCTCACTATCAAGCCAACAACAACTCGTTGCACGTGAAACAATTAACCTTTTTCGAAAAGGTGTCTGCTGCTTTAGTTTACATATTGCCCGTGCCAAAACCCACACATTATTTTCCTCTCTTTCTTTCTTCCCGTCATTTATTTTGTAAAGTAGGAAAGCGTGATTTCGTTCAGTTCGTGCCAGCAGTTCGACAAGTCACGATTTCACCCCAAAAAAAATGCCGAAATTCAAACGATACGGAGGTAAACAGACAAACGAATCAGTTCTTTCAATCCAATTCATCTCAAACTCATAACAATACTTTTTTTATTGCGTTCAAAATTCAATAAATATCGCTCAAATCAAATCCGTGCACGTGACAGTAAATGTCCAATATCTGACTTATCATCGTTTATCAGGCAGTAAATAATTGCGGAGAGGCACGCTATGCAATAAAGAGATACATAATTTTCCATGCAGATAGAACAGATTTAAGCAAATGTGTTTCTGGAATTAAAATCTTTTAAGGCAAATGATCAAAAATTTGATGAATTTAGTACCCGTGAATATTTTTACTGTAAATTTCACTATTTTTAATAAGTGTTTTGTAGGTTCTTTGAGTATGTTGGTAGGTATATATTGACTCTATATTTTTTGTTGTTCATGATATTAAAATACTGCAGGGGTACGTCCGATTAACAATTACTGAGGTAAATTTTAATATTTTTTATGCTAGGGGATGAAGCTATATGACCCTCACTGTGTCTTGAAATTGGTTGAAAAAGCTGAAATTCTGCACCAAAGTGCAAGGACACATCAGACTAAATAATGAGATCAAATTTATGAGACGATCCAACAGGTCCATGCTTATTTTTTAAATTGGTCGAAAAAAACTGAAATTTTGCATGCTAGAATATATGCACATTTTTGACGGTTAATTGGTAATAGTAGGTGGGTTATCTGGTAAAAATTTAGCATCGGAGTCTGGCCCTGACTCAGGCTAAATCATCACTGCAAATTGCAAGTTTGGGACAATGCTTCCTTCTTTGTCTCATTTTCCCCCTCAATATCTCTCACCTTTCTCTCCTTTGTCTCATCTCAACTGTCTTTTTATTTAGTCGTTTTATTCTTTATTACTCAACACCACCAGGGATTGGTCCATTTCGCCAATCTCTCTCTTCATCCCTCCACCTGACCACATGTAAATAATTCCCTACACACAAAAAAGAACAACTAATCCATCCACCACGTCTATAAGGACTAAAAAAACCTCGTAATGGATGGATTTTAGATGGATCACAGAATACAAATTAACCTGAATTTGCCTATACAACAATTCCCTCGTCAATTTTATTATTCCTCCGACAACATTATTTTCGCAAATGGCAATAATTCATTCCTCTCCGCGAGAGACAGATGGCAAGTACAGGATTGCTTTATCCTATAACAAACCTAACTTGAACATATAAAATAAACCGCAAATTCAACAACATCAAATTATTTCGCAAAGTGCGAATGTCCAATCCACAAAAATTGACCGGTTCACCAGACCCACCACAATATCAAAATATACAATCAACTCACTGACTGGATATGTTTTGGCTTGTGTTTGGCACAAGTGTGCTAGCAGACAATAAAAAAATTAATGAGCAGCTACCACTACCACCGAAACTACATACATAATTGCACCAATTTCTGCATTTTTGCACTCACTTGAAACAAGAAGATGGTGAAATTAAAAGCAATAATAAATGTCTGTCTGTCTGCCTGCGGGGTGAGAAAAAGTTTGGTTTGGTTTTGTTTAGCAGCTTCAATTTCAATTCATTCTTTTCTTGATTGACTCGGCGAAATTTGCAATTATCTTCGGACGAGAGAAATAAGTGGGCATCGCCTTCCAGTATCGGAGTAACAATCAGAAGAAGAAAAATCATCCGAGGTAAACATCCAGTCCGGTCTATTAATTCCTCGCGGACATGAAATAATAGGGAGGAGGAGGATGAACCATCATCTGACTGAGCGTATTTATGCATACATGGTAAAATTAGCTGGTAATGTTATACGCATGCACTTACACGGCATGCAATAATTTTTTTAGCGAGGGTAAAGCCTTATGTAGTCGGCGTGTAGGTTTGTCTGGTTTTGAAAGCTAGTAAAACTTGGCTGTTCGGCGGAAAAATAGGAAAATGAGGAATTATGATAACGAAAATGATAAGTGGGAAGATGAGTAAAATCGGTTGTTTAAGTCGTGGGACATATTTAAATAATCTAAATTGACTCTAAACTTTTTCCTGTTTTCACTTCAGTTAAAAAGTTAAGAAATTAAGAAAGCATTTAATTTGTCATGAAAAATTATATAAAAATCATACAATAGTCAAGTGACATTCTTCAAGGAATGAGAAGTACATAGGTTGAAGTACAATTATCAAAGTAAAAGTTTGCCCAAAATTTGTCTCTTTTCTTTACAAGCATTACTTATCTGTTAAAAGAAAAATATATATGCCGTCAAATTATGTTTTGAAGAGACTGATCCGTTTTTTATGTGTTTTTTTAGGCACCTTGGACCTCAAAAGAATTATTTTAAAAGCTATTTTTTCCTTTTGGGTAAAAATCTGGACAAACAAATCACCAAAAATTCCACAATTTGTTAACACAATTAAAACAATGAAGAGATAATTCGTGCCAAAATTTGATATACTTTAACGCCGAAATACAAAAATGGAATCCTTTAAAATTCTTGAAGTTGTAATAAAATAGATACAATCATCGTAACCAATAAATCCACTTTACAATCATATCAATTATCAGCAGCCACATGTTGATGGGGACTCTTTAAATTTAACTTGGCTTGAGAAATCGGAAAAAATGACGAGAATCAACGCAAATAAACCCGCAAAATTTTCATAATTTTCAAAATAGTCTAAAAATAAATTTGCCCTATCGACATCACATCAAACCCGAAATCTTTGAGGTGACAATAAAATAAATTTATGCAATCTGGTCCACTCGACTACTCGACACAATTAACTCTGCAGCAGCAGCCGCATGTTGAGGGACACTCTTTAAATTTAAATTGGCTCGCGAAATCTAATCTTTAAGAGGATAAAAATGAGGAGGGAATGAGCCACCCCACGGGGACAAAGCCTGTTTCGTCGTCATCATCAAAAATTCTGCCAAGCCAGCCAGCCAGCCAGCAACACCCTTCTGCTTTTCCTTATCTCAAGACAACCACTAAGTAAATGAGTTGTAACATTATTATCGAGAGTTAAGAAGGGGGTTGCAGTTTCTAAAATAAAAAAAAGTTGATAAAAATCCAGCACAGTGAGCAGTAAGTTGAGCAAACTCCCCGCACCGGTTTCATAGCTACCCTTGTTTCTGCACGTGCAAAACTGATCTGGTTTTATTGGGAGGAAAAAATTACGGGCAAATCCACAAATTCACCTTTTATATGTGTTTACTGATAACAATCTCTCACCCTCCTCCCGGCCTGTCTGCATCTCAAGACCCCGCAGATGCAATGGCGCATACCATTAGTTTATTTATTAATCAATAACAACAAGCTTGGGGAGGCTCATGGCAAAAGTTAAATGGATATTTGGATTTGGAAAAAATTAAAAAATATTTTTCTGAAATTATGTAAAACTTGGAGAATTTTATGAGACTATTTTAAAAATTTGCAACGCTTATCGGATTTATTTATAGGAATTTTGACCAAAATTACGAGGAAATTTCTGCTCAATTAATTTTCTCCACAAAAATCAGACCATTGCTAATTTACAAATTTTCCATAAAGGGTGCAAAACTTTGCCAATTTTATGTAACCTTTATGTAACCAAATGAGAACCTTTATAACTTTGTAAAGAATTTTCTCTCCACAAGAATCGAATGGTCTAAAAAGAGCTAAAACCTTGCAAATTTTATGGCAGCATGGCGACATGCTAAATTTGCAACGCTTTCAAACTCTAACGCTACAAAACTCTGCAAATTATCATTAGCTAGAAAATTTGCAACATTTAGCATCTTAATTTTCATGAGTATGCCCAAAATGATCGAAAAAAAAATTAAAAATCTTCCTCTCTCTCTCTTCTCCTGCCACTGGTTCTGATTCCTATAAAACTAATGATGTCCAAGCAGTTGCAGATGTTGGATTGCATCCCTCGCATCAATCAGTATTCGCATCATGCTCGTCTCCTCACAGACACAATAAAGATAATAATGAGCCGGATTATTGGGAGACAACAACAAGTTCACCACACTTTCTTCACCACCACCACTTATGTATCCAGCCCCAGCACATCAGCAGAGGTGGGCAAACTACTGACATGTATAATCAACTAATTTGCAACAGTGAGCCTCTAAAATTGAAAGAAATGGGCGCTGCAGTGTCACAATTTCGGGGGGTTCAGGAGCTTGACTTCTTCGAATTCGCGATATTTTTGCAATCTCATCCGAACTGGAACAATGCTTTGCCAAAATCCAGTATTTTTAGCTCTGTTCTTCCAAGGGCTTAGATTTCCGGGGGTATTACAACTACAAAAACACGAGAATTTAAATGGAGAATGTGTCAGTCATACGAAAATGATGCTTTGTGAAAAAAGTAACTTTTTATCGCTGTCAAAATGCAGTGTTTTTACGAGTGTTTTTAAAATAAAGTATTCTGACAGCGATAAAAAGTTATTTTTTTTCCAAAAACATGCATTTTCATATGACAGTTGTATTTTTCATGCAGATTCTCATCTTTTTTTGATCAGCATTATATTTTGACCAACTATTTTGCCCACCTCTGAGCCCCAGTCCCTCAGATTTTTACCCCTTTACTCGATGCACATTGTTCTTGGACGTGTGCACTAATCGTGATACGTTCTCTGCATCAATTGTGTAATGTGCAATAAAAGCCGAGATTTTTCTCCATTTTTTCCTCTTAATCCAGATTTGCATGTATGTATAAGAAGGGATAAAGTCATAATACGTGACCAATTCCCGTGCATGCTGTTGGATTCGAATTGATGGATGCGTTGCGTCAAGAAGACCACTTTTCCATCCACTACTGGTCCAGTCCAATAATTAGATTCACACATATTTATACAACCACCACGCTACTTCGGCTCCAATTAAAGGAGAAGTTTAACGAGGGGTGAGCTTGAGCTGGGCTGCTGAATTTAATGGGAAAAAGAAGTGTCGTCTCAGCTTCAGGATTAATTTTCGTCTCATTTTTTAACCAAACTTTCCCCCAGGATGATTTTGCTTCGCGATGAATAAAATAAATCCAATATGAAAAGAAAAAAATTGTATTCGATGGATAATTTATTGCTTAATTAATTGTTCCTATTTCCCACTTTTTATTGGCTCCCGACCCATAAAAGAGTCACATTATTCATATTGTGGAAAAATATGCGGGGTGGAAATATGTATGATTTTGTAATGCGGGTCGCTTTGTGGTAATACCAAGTCGGTAAATAACGGTAAAAAATAATGGGTATTGTGCTGTTGGCAGAATTTTGTTTGTATTTTTTTGAAATTTTTTATTTATCTATTTTTCAATAATTACGAGGAATACATGAGTTTTGAGGATATTTTGATATTTATTGTAAATTTGAGACAATCAGGTTTTTCGGATTGGTCATCTTTGAAACTCTGATAAGTCTCAAGTTACCCTTCATTCTAAATATAATAATTACTCTTTCTTACCCTAAATTTAATAGTTTTGCTGTAATATTCTAATATTTTTTATTTTATAAAACAGCTCGGCAGCTCTGGAAGACACTCGGTTTCATATATTTCTTTGACACTTGGTTCATCTCGGAGTGGATGCATTTTCGCTATATCAAATCTTATTATATATCGAATATGTTTCAGGATCAGGTATTCTGTTATAACAAAGTTGAGTAACTGGGAGCACAAAGATATGTATGTAGATAAGGTCCATGTATATATAATTATGTATGATAACTTATCATTGATAAGAACACAACTAAATATTTTGGCAATATAAAATATTTCAATGATTCGTCTTCGTAAGCACTAATTAGATACATAATTTTGAAGTGAAAGTAACTAATCTCTAATTAATTTAGATATATTTTTCTACGGTTATCAGTTATTAACTTATCATTTCTGAACATACGTTATCTTACGAACTAATTCTAACTTAATCATCACAGAGATCACAACATCGAGGTCGTCTTACTCATTATTCCAGTTCAGTACTGAAGATCTCTGATAAATCTCAAGTTACCCTTCATTCTACTCTTATTAAAATGCAATATCTTCTCAGGTAAGCTGTTTAGGATTCGTTTCATAAGATACCCAAAAGGTGCGTTTATTCGTCACTTGCGCCATAGTTAAAAGCCACACCATTGGCGCAAGTTAGGGAAAAATAAGCACATCTACTCCTACAAAACTCTGCCTTAAAACCTATCTCTGAGAAAGTGAAGCGTATAATTTTCATCATTTCGAAGTCTCACCTTCTCCCCTGATTATTTATTTCCTTGAGCAATTAATCAAAATTATGTATTCCTTTGTACTGATATTTACAAGAAATTTTAAGCGTTTTCTCTGCTTTCTTCTCTATCGAGGAATAGAAAATCGTACCCAAAATCGTAAAAAGTAAGTAAAAAAACGTAAAATACATAAAAAAATCTAGTATGGTTTACTATGTAAAGTGATTTGTACAAGACTTTCCCCCCCAAAAAAAGTCCCCTTTTACTGGAGAAAGTTGTACAACTGCTCAATATATTCTTGCGCCATTTGCAACGTTTCGAACTTTGAGAGCTGTTGGTCCTTGCCGATTGAAGGGAGATGGGTGCGCAGCTTGTCAAACGCCAGGTTCAAACTGTGCATGCGGCGACGTTCTCGAGCATTAGCGGCCAAACGACGCTTCTTCATGACGACAGGATTGACCTGGAGAGAGAGAAGGGAAACAGGGGTCAAATTAAGGTCAATTACGCATTTTCTTGATACAAGAGGACAAATTATTGGATAGCGTGATCAAATTTGTTCGGATAGATTGTCATGCAAATTTGTATGCAAATTTGGAAAGTGAGAAATCTTGACCAAGTTCATTTGGGAAAAGTGCGAAATTTTTACGAAAATTTACCTGTCTCATTCCCCTCTGCTTTTTCTGCGGCTTCTCCACCCCCTCTGCCTTCACTTTCGTCTTCTTTCCCCCCTTCCTCCCACCCCGCTTCGCAATATTACCCCCTTTCGTGCCCACTTTCCTCTTGGATTTCTCAACTTGCCCCAAATTCTCAATATTCCCAATATTCTCCTCATCCCCACAACCCTCCTCTTCATGGAGAAAGTCATCGTGATGATGATGATGATGGTCATCCGTCGTCAGGTCATGTGACATCACGACCTGCCCGTGGATAACGTAGCTGTTATTGTTATTATTCGCTGGAAAGGTGGCGAGCAAGTAGTCCGCGGGGTGCTGGGTGGACGACGTGGTCGAGTTGGTCGACCCGGGCGAAAAGGGGGACGAGAGGGGTGACGGGGTATGAAATCCATCCGACCCGTCGCCATGACCTCCTTCATCCCCTCGAAGGAGGAGGAGTCGATGGGTCAAAAGGTTACTGTGCGCCTGTTCCCAACTTGTGGGGTCTTGTTCTGGGGAATATTTCAGTTCGATATAGTGCGGCGGAGGGGAGGAGTGGTCTTGTGCAGATTGTGGTGGGGGCGAGTGGGGTGCATTCAGCATCCCGAGAAGAGTGGACATCATGCTAACTTTTTTTTAGGTAAAATCACCAGCCACACACTTATCTTGGATGATAACGTACTTCCATCCAAGAAATCCACTCGGCACCCGGAAAAAAAATCGAGATCTTGTTGAATCTGACTTAATTAATTAAGCGTATTTAGCAAACTTGGACGAATTTTAAGTTTATTTATCTATCTTCTTCTTGGTGAAAGTAGGCTAACAATTAAACTGTGTGAGTGAATAGCGTGTGAATGAATAGATTAGGATAAAAATTAAGTAGGAAAAGTGCAGTCTTTAGTGAGCAGTGTTTCGAGTGAGACTGACTCCTGCGTGGCAAAAGTCACCCTTTTTCTGGAGCCAGAGAGAGAGACTACTGCACTGGATCATCTCATTGTTACAGTTTTCCGTTCAACAATGCATCCTCCGCACGTAACAAATAATGCAAGTACGGGTTAATAGCGGTAGGGCAGACAATGGTAACACAGATCATCTTCATCCTTCCTCTAGGTAGGTAAAAAGGCTCTCATGCAATCTGGCCCACAAACCGACTCACTCACTCACTTCCTTCCTTTTGCTACTTATTATTATCATTTTTACTGTGTGAATCGATGTGTGTGACTGACGTGTAGCTCATTCAGGCCTCCTCCTCCTCCTCCCCCCACTTTACTTTCCACTCCAATATCTGAACTGGATGCTCGGGTTGTTAAATATAAAGTTTCTTTTTTTGGAGAGAAGAGAGCCACACCTGCTCAAGAAACGAACGACAGTTCCGTCCATGCAGGCCAATTAGTAGGGTAAATCAGGCAGGAGTCTCATCTTACCCCCTTCTTTCTCCTCCCCCTCCCCCCGTTAGTAATTAGTTCGTAGTAAAGAAATATAAGATAAAATCCTTCCAATATTCATGAAATTTTAGGAAATGTATTAATTTCTCGACAATTAATGAGAAGAAATGAGAATCAATTTCTTCAAGTCAATGGATGCACATCAATTTCCTGAAATTTTTCAGTTTTTGAATCGACACACATCAAATTCCCGATATTTTTCAACTTTTGGATGGATGCATACACATCAATTTCCCCACATTTCCAGAAAACCGTGACCCTGACAAGCTTACATACGCCTGCCTATTGACTAATCATAAGAACAATGCCAGTGAGTATCCCTTTGACCAGCAGATCATTCTCCACAAAAATCCCGTTCATTTCCAAAAAGTAACGGATCTCCTCCTGCCACAATTTTTTTCAATTTCACCCCAAAAATAAAATAAAGAAAGTGAAATTGACTGCTGGCCAGGTGGTCGATCGCTTCTCTCTTAAATCTCTCCCCATTTAAAAAGAATGACTTGGATCGACGGCTACCATTCGCTGGCTTTTTACCAATTAGTGTGTGCAACCCTGGATAAAAAGAAACAATACGTGATCAATGGGAGAGAGCCAAGCCGTGTCATGTGACCGACCAGCCTAAATAGAAATCAACACCTAAGAATAATACACAATAAATTACTGCTCATCCATTGTTCTGAAAATCCCACCTGAGCGAAGATATCATGACTCAGCGCGTCACTTACTTGCTTAATTTGGCATGACTTTACATACGTACCCATAACTTCCGCCTGGTCACTCATCGGGTCATACTTATCATCATCGTCAGCTTATCTGACTGAATTGGGAGGCGGACGGGTGACCCAGATCTTGCACAATTACTCATCTATCTACATAATTTTTACTTTAAGACGCGGTACTCATTACGCTCAAGGAAAGCAAGGTGACAGGAAGTTGGCTAAATTACACATACTAAAAACCTATAGCCCAATATTACTTATTTTGCTGCTTCCTGTCCCAAGAAATCTGCACGCACATGATACTTGCATACGTCGCAATATCTGGCAGTAATGGCAACTTTTTCTTATTCTCTCATCATTTCCTTAAAAATTTTAACTTTTGGTGGGATCTCTGCTGCATTGTTGAGAAGTAACGACGCAGAAAACTGAAGTACTTTATACTGGATAAAAAAGTGAGGAAGTTGATGGCAGTGTATGTAGCAAAGAAGAAAGAAACTTAAGGTAAAAACTTAATTGGATTACCATCCAGACTTAAAATAAGTAAGCGACTCACCTGCATTCACTCCACTGCAAGTCGTATCATATCGTGTTAAGGAATCGTAGTATCGTGCAGGCCCTGCGGAAATGGTGTGGTAAATTTCTACCCATTTCTTTTGACCAATTCTTGGTAAATTCGACCTTATCCATCGTCACGCTTACCTTATCTACAGGGTCCCCTCATATGATAAGATAAAATGGGTATACACACCGATTACAAGTCGTGTTAGATAAGCGCATCGCCAAGAAAATCGTATCGTATTTGGCCCCCTGCAGAAATTGTGGGGCCAATTTCTGCCCAATTTTGTTTTATTGGACCCTTTATGCAGGGTCCCTTCTCTCATGCTAAAACGCACATAAGGATTATTTATGTCCTACCACCGGTGGTGGTCACATTACTGACTCGTACTTACTTCAAGGGCTCCTCCGACCACGCTTCATTTCATCGACAAGAAGACACGGCACGTCCCTCAAGATTTTAGTTTGCATGTGCTTCGAGTAGTCGTGTTGTGTTGTGTGTGATGTAAACCGGAAATCGGATATAACATCCATCCATCCATCCAAAAAGTACACCGGCTGGCAGGCGCACGAACGAACAAAGTCGAAGAAAACAAGATCCCTTCTTCTTAATTTAATAGTCTCATGATGCACCTTGGTGGAGAGAAGCAACTGCTTTTCACAACCATTCCAATCAACACGTGAAGTGAGGTAAATGAGATGATAGGCAAAATCAACAAGAAAATCGTACGAAAAAACCGATACTGTGCAAAATTTATGATTTAATGTATAATTAATAATGTTTCAAATTTCTGATTTCATAAATTGACGAATTCGCAATTAAGTTTTTGCAACATTTCAAAGTCAATAATATGATAAATTTTAAAATGACTTATTTTAAAAAGTAAACAGGTTAAATTAGAATTGGTGACAATAACAGTAAAAATTCGAGAATAACTTCACGAATCTAATCGAGATTTTGTGTCATTTTTTTGTTACCAAACTTTTATCTTTTTCGCTATTGGGTTATTATTAAATTGCAAGATTTTTAAAAACCCTAATCCGAAGAAAACTTTCAAAAAATTACACTTAAAAAGTACCAATTTTTTCAGTTCTTAAGAAACTAGTTGAACTCCAAATTTTGGACCAGACAGATTTTCAGTTCTTCTATGTCATTCGCTCTGATTCACATAATTCATTCATTGTTTCTCCCAATTATAAATTCAAGTCCTCCACCTTACCTCCAATCATGCACACAATGGAGTGAAAAATTCAGTTAGTAAATGAATGAATGAATGAATTGGTGGCGCATCCATTTATTTACAACTTTTATATTGTATCTCTTCTCCAGCACCTTGCTCATCTCCGCCTTTTGTGCGTGGGAACGGAAGCAGTTTCCTTGTACGCTTTTGTCTACCTCTTTTTGCCTCCCTCCTTCACCTTATCCTAGTAATAAGGAGAAGGGTCGTCCAGAAATAAGGTCACCGGTAAAAGTACCACCTCGACCAGGTCACAAGTCTCTCTTCAGAGAACACGGAAATGAAATTTTACCCAATTTTTGACCAAATTTTAGCAATTTCACCCGAAAAATGACAATAAAACAGGTCTTATCTCTCGGGATACATAAATGAAATTTTCACCAATTTCTGCCAATTTTCCCAACTGTCCCCTTTATGACCCTGCTGGTCCAAATCGATGTCACGTATCCTTTGGTCAAAGACAAACAACACAATTTTGTCCAATTTTGTCTTTCCTTTGGCATTTCCTTGTTGAAAAATCGACGATTTTCTAGTCACACACTTTACGAACGACCCAAATTACTATTTACCACTTGCTTGCATACAGCCGTTTGTTTTTCGAACGGGAAGTCGTACCTGGTTCCTTTATTAGCAGGGACGGTCGGTGGAGATGATGATGATGACCCAACAGCACAGGACACAAACAGGTTGTTGGTTATTTTCATTACTATTTCATAAAAACTTGACTTTGGTTCCTTCCTCCTCCTCGTCGAAAGGCAGGCCTTGAGAACAAAGGAAGACTTATTCATTCTTAAAAAATCTACTCCAGCCAGTCTTAAGATTTGCATTTGTGACTGTTTCATCCATTCACACAAAATCAAGGCTCTCTTCACTACTCACGCAGTCTCCTCTCCTTAATAAACAATCTCACGAGATTATACACAATTAAGTGGTTATGATGTCCGGTAAATAAAAATTAAATAAAAAACTGACCGGCAATTCTCTATACACATTACTAAATAAATTTTCTCTAAAAAGAAGCTTGTGATCAATAATAATAATCTAATGTTTTTTATGCATAAGAAGACGAGACATTTTGCACAGCTTCTATTTATCCTTACAATATTTAAATCTATAATTTTCAAAAATTTCACAACTTTTTCGAATAGTCAATTTTGAAACGGTTTTATTAAAAGTTATTTTATATTTTACGTATACGTAAATCATCTCAGACTTTTATTTCATATTGTTAATTCTGTGCAAATTAAAATGTTTTATCGAGGAAATTATTTTTTTGACAACATGTAAAATCTATACGCCAATTTAGTTTAAAAAAAAAGTTTTACAATAAAAAGTGCAAATTCGCGCATGATCACCTATATTGTATTCCGATTAAAAAATGTTTAAATAGATAAATTAATCAAACGTTTTAATTAACAATGCCTATTTTTCACCATTTTTTACCAATTAAGGTGCTCTAGTATGCTCAATAGATTTTTAATCTCACTCTACCCATATTCAACGTCTTTCATGCAAATTTATAAAATGACATCAATTTCATAGGTTTTGAGATAAATGCAGCTTTTAATACATAACTTTAGCGTTACGTAAAAACTTAGGATTGAAAAATTTACTACATTTACGTTTCTGGTTACGTTACGTGTGAACCCAAACACTCCATCATCTCACAAATTTTCCGTCTTCTCTGAATATTAAGCAACTTATGTATATTAAAAAACGGTGGCAGTGATCTCCCCACGCCGACCCCAGCAGGAGACTCAACTCAACCACAAAATTAAATTAAATTACTTTCAACTTCAGATCAAAATATTAAATATTATTATTATTATCGACCAACTTTAAGCATGTCAGCGCAAGCCGTGGATCCGTAAAACAAGTCAAATTTATGCCCTCCTCCTCAGTTAACAGGTCACAACAAGGTTCTCCAACAAAACAAAACATGTCATGTCCTCCGTCACAATAAATTCTGGAAGTCGGGATTC